GTCACTCAAGTGTTCGGCCCAGACGGTGGTAAGCGATCGCAGACCACGGGGAGTCTCGATGTAGCCCACAATACCAACAACGATCATCTGCAAAAGTGAAGATGTTAGCCATAGGCACAGAGCCAAGCGGGCTGCGTTGTTCGTACCGGTGGGGTGTCAATAATGGTGACAGCCTCAACAACTTCCTTCTTGTGCGACTTGGCACCCGGGCGGTCGAGGTCTCGGACGATGGTGGTCATACCGGCCTTGTAGCCCATGGTGGCTGTCAGGTGAACGGGCTTCTTGGGGTCATCCTTGGGGAAACTGGTTGAGAAATCCGCGAGTTAGCATTACTGATGTCTATGAATGCAATTGATACACCACCATTCTCGATTTGCAGATAGGACTTTGAAGTCGCATCGACATCATGGTCGACCCGCGGCCGGGGAGTAGCGTTTGCGACTCTGGGAAATTTGCAGGTAACTTACGACTTGACCTTGCCACGGTGGCGGGCGGCACGCTTTCTGGGCAAGAATGCTAGAGAGCCATGACGGGGGGCCTCGAACTTTCGGTGAGACATCTTGCAATGATTCTCCTGTTCGTGTTAGTTGTCGAGGCGAGATGAGGAAATCTGAAGCACGGAAAGTCTCCAAAAGTGTTCGGCGGGAAACTTCGGTGGTGGTGGAATTGGCGACGAAATTTCTAGCCCTAAGTGGCACGTGCATATACCCCACTCGGACATCGAATTTATTAAAGGGCACTTTCCTCTTGGCGGTCGGTCAAACGTGACATTTTAGTGGGAATCAAGAGCATTTTGATATCACTGGAGTAAGCGATGGGATAACGTACAACACCACCTTTCTGGCCACCCAACTTTCTGGCCACCCAACTTTCTGGCCACCCAACTTTCTGGCCACCCAACTTTCTGGCCACCCAACTTTCTGGCCACCCAACTTTCTGGCCACCCAACTTTCTGGCCACCCAACTTTCTGGCCACCCAACTTTCTGGCCACCCAACTTTCTGGCCACCCAACTTTCTGGCCACATATTGCAATCCAATTGAAGGTATTCGAAACAGTGTATTCAACGTACTATTATAGCTATTCAGGTACAACCGGCTCTAATAGAAAGCTGTGCTCTAGGGCTTCCTGAGGTATAGATCTGATAGATTCTGACGCCTTAGCTGGGTCCAGTATTACCTGATTCCGACGTTGTACCTGGTCTCGTTGCCGTTCTACTTCAAGGGCTCGATCCATCGCTTCCTTAATCCGTACAATGTTACCAAATCATTCATTAGGCCCTAATCGTACCTTCTTACGTGGTTTGGGGCGTAACGAAGTTATCTCGGCTTCTAATGCGTGTACACGTTGGGTCAAAGTAGCGACCTCGACGCTCTGTACATCTAGCCGACGAGTCAGCTTCCGAAACAATAGCCGTTGCGACGATCGCAATGGCGTAATCGCTGCCAGACTCTCCCTAGCTACTAAGCTAGTCACTGGCATCGCTATTATTGTCGGATCAAGCCAATTACCAGCTGTTGGTGGTGTAGTTGGTCGTTCTGATAGGGGGGCTATCGTCGGCTGAGGTCGCGATGGATCTAATGGGTATATTCCAGTTGCAGAGAAGCCTGATTGTATATTACTGATCGTGAACGACTTCGTATATGCCTCGATGTATAGCGAGAGGAACGTCGACTTTTTAAATGGAATAGAACAGTACTCGATCGAGAGAGAGGTCGCTAACGAGCGATAGTACCGCTTTAATGGAGCAAATACGGCGACGTCGAGAGGTTGGAGCCCGTGAGAACAGTGTGCTGGCAAAAATAGTAACGAGATCTTGTTACAATAGGCCAACCACATAAACTCGACGTTGTCGTGAGCGATATGACCATCTAATATCAAGAGCCGCTGCTCGTCGGGATCAACTGGTTGTGTACGAGGTATAAAGATATCACGAAGCCATCGAACGGCGATATCTGTACTGATCCAACCGTTAGACGAATAAGTATATTGCCGATCAGGTATATCGTCGCAATCGTTAAACCATTTCCCTAGATAGCTTCATCGACGCGATTGACGCGTCAGAATGGCTGAGGCCATCGCCGAGTCGTAATTGGAGGGTAGAGCGTGGAACGCCCCATCGGAGGGAAGCCTGGCGCTGGGATATCCCTTGATTGATATCGTTGAGAGCGCCTTGAATCGAATTTTCTGAATATCGAGGCATTGTATAATAATAGCTAATACCGACGATAATCTGTTGTGCCGAAGGTTGTTGTAGTTGGCAGATTAGGTGGCCAGAAAGGTGGGTGGCCGGATAGGTGGGGTTGTACGTTAAGCTATGTTCTCATGGGGATTCTTAGTGGGATAATCGTTGGGCTGCAGTATCAATCAAAGCCTAGGCGCAACTGCCGTCTACACTGAACAGCCTCATATCATTACCTTCTCCACCATGTACTCTTCCTGAGACTGTCATATCCAGTGTCGAGATCCGGTCAAATAGACGTTGTTTTTAATTATGAAATACATGCTGTTGTGTCATTGCAATACTGAAGTGAATAATAACCATGGACCACCGCAATAGGTTTTTTGCCCAAAGTATTTAAACGAGAACGCCGTCTTGGCAGCCAAAGATATACATTGAGAAACCATTAACAAGACGAAAGGGTATGTCGCCAGTGTGCCCAAACTGCTCACTTTGAAAAAAACCTTCGCAATGCCATAAATGTTTTCTTGCTCCTCCGACCATCCCCCGCCCTCACCCTCACCCCCTCCCCCTTCCCCCAGCAGCACAACATGCTTGGACAAATGCTAGCTACGGATCTTGAGAATCACCCAAAAGCTTTTCGCTGCAAGTAATTGCCGATAACAGTCGTACTGATGCCCCAACCTCGCCGTCCATTCCTCGAGTTTTGAAATCTCTTCTTCAATTTCCTTGACTTTCAAGTTTGTCGCCTATCGGCCTCATGTTTAGCGTGCGCTTGTATGTGTTGCTGCGCAGCCATACGATGGGCAAGTTCGTGCATGGCCCACGCTCTTGCGAGAGTGATGGGAGGAACGCCGCCACCACTTAAAGTAAGTTCCTCATCACCCTGGGAAAGCCTGTGTTGGAGACGAAAGACTAGGGTCCCTTCTAAGCAGCGCCCTCCGTCTTTGGAGCGGTTCCCATCATCCCGTTCATCCCACCAGCGCTGGTGGGTGTCGCGTTCTTCAGGTCACCGGCAGCTGAGCCCGGTCCAGAGTTAGGCCCGCCCATGCTTATCTTCTTCTCTTCTTCACCACTGTCATCATAGTCCTCATCAACGTCCATTTTTCTGGCAGCTCGCTCAGGCTCACTCATCTGTGGGGGAGGAGCAGGGGCGACAGGGGGATGTTCTACTCTGGAACGCTCGTCCTGGGCGTAGTCCTTTGGTGTGAGAACTGGCTGAGGTGGCTCGTGCATGATGCCCGGCATTGGTGAAGGGCCTTGTTGCATTGGAGGTAGGTGATTAGGCATCTGGTGAGCTGGAGGGTGATGCGCAGCTTCAGAAGGATGGTAGTTCTCATTAGCATGACGCTGTTCGTCAACCCGGCGTTGCTCCTCCACACGGCGTTGTTGCTCCTCCAAGCGGCGTTGGTCCTCAAAGCGATGTGCGTCGGGTGAAGCACGACGGTATGCTTCGCCGCCGCGAAGAGGTGTGGACGGGCGTCGATGGCGCATGTCGTCCATCCTGGCGCGATTTTCATCCGATGCGGGCTTCTTGATTGATGGCTCATCCTCCCACTCCCGCAGTCTTTTGGGCCCAACCGAAGGCGGTCGATCATCGGCACGATGCACGGGACCATCAGGACCCATAGGGCCCTTGGATGGCGGTTGGGGAAGACCGTTGTCCATGCTGCTAGGACCAGGTTCGTGGTGCGGAGCATATGGAGGCGGTTGATGTTGAGGATATGCCGACTTAGGCGAGGGCATGCGGTTATCATGCATAGGCGGGCGTGAATCGGAGCGAGGGGAGCCTTGACGGTAGGGCATCAGGTTGTGCGGTGGCGGGGCGCCATTGGGAGGGGGTCCGTTGGTGGGAGGCATGCTGGCGGATGGCGCCGGCGTGTAGTTAGGATTGCTTACTCTAGCAGGCGGGCCTTGTGAAGAAGGGGGCGGTGGTTGAGATTGACCTGGAGGCGGGCCGTAGTGTTGTGGAGGTCCAGGTGAAGGTCCCCGTCTCATCGGCCCAGGACCTTGACGACTTGCATCGCCGCCATAAGGACGCATCTGCTGCTCCTGACGGGGACTTGGTCCTCGTGCCATGGGAGGTGCAGGCCCGCGGAAAGGATCTCGCTGGTCATAGGGGTTAGGCGGCTGCGGTTGGGGAGGGTTGACCTCGGACAACCTATTGCTCCATCCATTGACTCCTCCCGGTCCTGTTGGTCCCGGAGGTCCAAGAGGAGGGCGTCCATTCTGCTGCTGCTGGGGTGCCGCGGATGCTCCGGTCCATTGCGGAGCCGGCGGCCCTTGAGCGCCGTAGGTTTGGGGGTGCACATCAGTGGGCATCGGGGGAGGCCCCTGAGGCATGTTGTTATTGTTCGAGCCATTTTGCCGAAGTAGCGTGAGTCTGGCCTTGATGTGCGGGTTTGCAGGATCCAGCTCGGCAGCTCTCTGATAAGCATCAAGTGCATCGGTGATCTGGTTGTTGCAGGACTCATACTGGGTAGTTGTTAGCTGTATTCATATGCCAATCACGTGAATGGATGTACGCACCAGAGTACCCAAGTCATACCAGACTTCAGAAATGTACGGGTTCAGTCGAATAGCTCTAGAGTAGGCATCCAAGGCGTCGCGGTATTGGTTGATTTGGTAGTAGAGCACGCCAATCGAGCACCAGAATGTAGGGTTTCGTCCATCTCGGTATACCGCTTGCTGGTATGCCTCATATGCCTTGGGGTATTTCTGCTGTGACATGTAGCATCGGCCGAGGAGATACCAGCTCTGCGCATCGCTGTTGTCTGTCAAGTGGGTTAGTGGAATCTCACAGGCACCGAGGAGCGTGGATGCTTCTACTTACCGGCTGCTACGGACTTTTCGAGATATTCAATGGCTCGTTCTTGGGTCGAAAAGCTGCTACTTTGTTGGTGATGAAGCCAGCCGAGCTGCTGCAAGACCTTTGCATGGGCCGGGTCGCGGTCCAAAACACGACTGTATGCGGCTTTGGCACTGTCGTACTGGAATGGCGAGTTAGCCAGGGTCTGGATGCGAAGGCGGCAAAGGCAACTTACGTCTTTCTGTTGTTCATGTACATGACCGATCTGGAACCAGATGTCTTCCTCAGTCAAAGGCGGCGGAGGCGATGTCACAATGTACTTGAAACACTGCGCCGAGTTAGAACAGCCGTTGCACTCAGGCGAGGGGCTTTAGGAATTACTAACCTCCAGACTCTGTCCATACTTGGATTGTTGCTTGTAGATTATGCCCAGACGGAAGTATATTTCGTTGGCCTTTTCGAAATCGGGTTGCATCTGCATGACTTGCGAAAACGCCTCCTCCGCATGCTCCAAGGACCCATAGCGGTCATAGAGAATACCGATGCCATACCACAACTTAGGCTCCTGACCTGTCGTTAGCATGCACGGGGGGGACCTTGTAGTGAATATGTTTTTACTAACTTTGGGATTTGGCAAGTTGACCAATGCATTCTGGTATGCCGCGTACGCTTGCTGTAGGTCGTCCATCATGAGAAAGCAGTGGCCTAAATGAGAAGTGTTAGTTTAAATAAGGCCCCACCAGCTGAAGCAAGGGACAGCATACCGAGGCTACCCCAGACTTCACCATTCCTGTCATCTATTTTGAGAATGGCCTGGAGAAAATCGACCGCCTTGTGGAACTCTTCCCGAGTTCGTAGAATGAGACTGATCGCATTCATCGCCGGGACGGAATTAGGGTTCGCGCGAAGGGCGTGCTCGTAGGCGCTCATAGCCTCTTCGAGATTGCCGAGGAGCTCCGAGAAACTGCCTGTGGACGAGTTGCTTAGATGTGTTCTAGATCACCAGCATCATGGAACGTACGTACCAATTTGCATCCATAGATGTTCGTTGACGGTGAGGATGGCACGCGACGGAGACGCGGCATAGGGAGCAGGGCCTGGGGCCTGGGGCCCTTGCGGACCGTGATGCATCTGCATCGCCATTTGAGGCGATGGGTGGTGGTTGGCCATGATCGCTCTACTTTGCTCTATCTGGCTCGTGGAAAACTGCTGTCCATCGACCTGACCAAGACTGACTGAAGCTGTTTGTAGCGGTGGAGTCCACACGGTGGTGCAGCTGAAAAGTCGACAGGACTGGGCTCGCGGCAAGATATCAACGCGAAACAACTAGTGGAACAATAGCCAGAGGAAAAAAAGGATAGACCGACTCGGCCAGAGGAGGGCGGTTGCAGCGTATTGGGTTGGGTATCTCAAGAAGATGGTGGCAGGTGCAGTCTGTGATAGCCCCAGAAAGCCGCTCCTAACGGTCGCGACCGCAAGATGACGAAGCCGTTTGGTTGGTAAAAGACCCTATCGCCTCACAGCTTAAAATAACCGTGGACGAGTGTCTCAATACCGAGATCGCTAGTCGCTAGTTACGTTCACGATGGTTGAACTAGATGCCCATGTGAGCCAGCCTCGAGGACGGGATGGGGTTCAATGGGCTTGTGGGTGGGTGAGAAAGGCGACGGGAAGGATATGAGTGAATGAGGAAATCGGGAGAGAGGAGCAAGATTCGTTCTCCCCAAAAAGTCCTCAAACAACCCTTACCCACGACTGTAGAAGGACCAGTGCTGGGAAGCGTAATGTCTTCTAGGCGCATGCTCCACAGGACCGACCCCTGAAGAGGAACTTTGGCGGCTGCCCCACGGAAAGTCTCCTGCAGTACCGCTTATGTACTGGAGAGGGTGGACCCTCTAGTAAAGTTTGGAACGCTCAGACCAGATGTATCGCGTATGGGGGCCCAGCCTCACAACCAGGGTCACTCTTCTGCCACCGGTAGCGAGCGGAGGGCGGCGCTATGGAGGCTTAGAGTTGTAGGACGAACGCGACGAGTGATCCTGCCCAACAAGCGTTTTCGGTATTGAGGGAGCAAACATTGGAAAGGCTTTGATTACCCAGATGCCAACAGAAGGGACAAGCAGCACAGAAATCACTCAGTCGCTTGCTGCTCAGACCAGAATCGCCGGAGGAATAGCCGAAGGCGCAGAAGTTGGCAGTCGTCAAATGCAGTACAGATTGTCAGCTGCCAACCTGCCATCTTAAGTGAGCGGTACAGAGCCGGTGAGCCCCATAGTTCCGCCTGAAGGTGGGGTACTCATCAGTAACCTGGCGCTACTTAATGCATCACGCACACGAAGTTCCCGAGACAAGCCAAATTTGGGCTGTCGCCCGTGTGGCCCCCCAGAGCAGCCCAGAGATCGTTTGAAGGGTATCCCGTCATGGATGGCGATGTGGCACTTGATTGCAAGCCACCCATTATGATGACAGAGCCCACTAAAATTGAGGCACGCTTATCGCATCGGAGTATTTATCCTCTTCGAAACTCACTGAAGGCCTTTACTCAACTTGGTTAATGCCATGTCGCATCCCTCCCAATCGCACTGGCAGCCAGGGTAACAATTCCAATGCGGGAACAGCAACAACGTCCTCACCGATGGAAGGTAAGCTTCAGATGAGACGGCTTCAACGTTGTCAGAGAATTACGAAAGAAAGGGTCGCTCAACTCACTGATGAGAGTGGATGACTTTCACAGATGTCAATCGCCGAACCGGATGTTTGATCTGATATTTTCCAACGCGGTGAGAACCGTCCACGTGTGAACACATCCACAATCTCATCCTTCCCATCGTATCAGGTTAGCCGCTATTGCCGGTAATTTTGGGGTCTTGAGGATAAGTCCGTATATCGTCCTGTCGATCTTGCTTTTAAGCGATCAGCACATATATCCAGTCTTTAATGCAAGTTCAATATACCAAACCCGCTGCGACCGATCAGACAGAGAAAGCATCCGCGTCTTTGAGTTTTTAGTTCTTCAGGTCCAACTTCATCAGACAACTGATGCACGTTTATTTCCGAGGTTGTCTGCCAGGGGGTAGGTTCAACGGCTAACCGACTTTGTGCTTATTGTACACAGAGTTCATGCATTCCCACTCCTGCTTGAAACTTAGGGGTTCTAGAAGCTTTTGCTGGTATTGGCCGCTGCTTGCAGATTGCGGGATGACAGCAACAATACTGAGGTATTTCAAGGAATGCGCTCACTTCATGGAACGAGGATGTTCCCCGTTGCTGTAGCCAGAGCAGGTGAGGCGGTCTGCACGGCGAAACTCGATCAAGGGGTCTCAACAGTTGTGATCATGCCCAAGGGACTATCTCGAAAGGGTCTATGTTGACTAGTCTTGTTTTTGACTCTTGCCCACGTGCGTGTTAACCGGCGATGGCGTGGCCATGAGAGATGGGTTGATTGTTAAAGTTGACGGGACCGGAGGAAGGGTTCTCTATTTTAAGCGATTCAAATGGGTATTACTCTGAGAACGGAACGCCAGAACTCTGCAGATGCTTTCAACAATTTACTCAAATTGATTTGCCGTGTGAATGATGAGGCGCCAGCTTGCAGTATATCAATTACCTGTACGAAGCTGCATATGGCATCCCTTGCGCTGTTGCGAGTTTTCCCGCAACCTATCTGCAGCTAGTTATTTAAGTACGTTTGAATCGGGTATGTGATTGCCCGCAGTCCAAGTGCGGGCCGGGATGAGCAAGACGGAAGTGATGCCGTCGCATCACCATGGAACTTTAGAGTGAGTACTGGTTATGCCTGCTGCACGCAGAAATCCAGTTAAACAAGAGGCAAGGAGATGAGCCTTGCCCGAAGTGCGAATATGCAATTTAGTTGACGCAGTAACTTACCTTTAATTAAGGGTGTAAAAAAGTGAGCATGAGGAAGCGTGGGAGCCAGACTTTACCGGTTCCGCGCCCGCATCGGTCGAGCACGATGTGTGGTAATATAGTGCATAAGTGTGGGTAGGAATGGCAGGCTGGCTGTGGGAGCTTACTTACTTTAGCCCACACCTGCATCCTCCTTTAAGACCATCCAGATTGAGTGGCCGAACTGCATCTCTCTGCATCTCACGCATGAGCAGGCGGTTGACGCACAGGGTGGACGTTTGGCGTGTCATTGGCCGTGCCGTCAGAAAACCGGTACGCCTCGAGGTGCCACAAGCACAAAAGCGAGCAAGAGGGACGAGCGTGGTTGAAATGCTCCATTTGCCCAGGGTTCGGCAGCTCCATGAGGGCCCCATATACACGGGCAGCACCAGTCCAGATGAGAGCCTCCATCTGCCTGCCTGCATGCTTTTGGTGTGAGCATACTAGTAGGTAACCGGGGGCCCATTTCCATGCGTCCCTGCAACTGCAACCGCCGCTCGTTTTTTTTTCACAGCGTCTTTTAATGATCCATCATCGCTGCGTGCGGCGCGTGAGCGTGACACAGCCCGAGTTGCCTGCATCGGCTTGACTTGCGGACCAGGAGCAAGCCGTATAAGAGAAAATAAAAAATAAACAACTTTTGACTGCCTCAATCCACCCACTCGATGAGACTTGTTCTGCTAGCCTGTGCGTCAGATGAGCTGGCTGGGTCCTGGGCTTCTGGGCTTCTGGGCTTCTGTGGGCTTTTTCGTCACGAATCAGTTGTTTTGTTGCCGACCAACCCAAAACGACACCCGAACGCTTGCACAATTGAGCTTGTTGTTGACAAGTCACTCGGTACACATTTTATTACATGGGAAATCCTATTTGATCGGCTGATCCCCGCAGTTTGATCCCGTATCTGCTGGGAATGGGAACAACGAACGTGCTTTGGTTCCAATTCCAGGTCACATCCTTGCCTAAGCGGCAAACTCCTTCGGCGTCTGTGTTGGGCGGCACGCACAGCCCCTGGGTCCCGTTGTTCAATATTCCGCGGCCGATGGCCTTTTATTTCCCCAAGCAATGAGGACGAGGTGTTGTGTGACTCGTTGTGGCGAGAGCCTCTTTTCGCTTACGGGCGAGGGATGGAGGAAATGTTGAAACAAGCCCGTTCTTTATTTTTACAGCAACGCATGCAGACTGCAGCCCCATGTCGGGGTGACCCAACAAGAACGGGCGCCGCGACGCACAGGGATACGGTAGATCGGATCGTTTGAAGGGCGCAGAAAGCGTGGGTATCTAAAACATGCCCCAGATATGTCGTCAGGTTCCCGAGATGCTACCCATTGTATGATGATGATGATGATGATAATAATGATGCACATACACAGCAGCACACAGCAGTACACAAGCACTAAAAGCACTGTTGTCACTTGTTGAGAAACCGTGGAAAATGTCGCAGGAACGAAACTAGGTAATGCTGTCCCACGGGGGAGCCAATCTGTGGGCACCGAGGTTACCTCAACGCCGGCAGCGGGGACTTGGTGGGACTGGCTGCAACGGTTGCAAGTCGTCGTCACTCGAAAAGCCGATAACCCTGTAGTGTGTCCTACGTGCTAAGCCGATCCGTTATGATGAGACAAATCTGTCCCTGTTTGAGGTTTCTCAAGAGCCCGTCACACCCGGCTCGTCACAGTTCTCCTGGCACACTTTCGGCAAGCCACAATATCGCTTCATTCTCGGTGTACGCCGTGTAACGACTTCGGAGTCGTCAGCCACTACTCACCTCAGGCATGCTCTCGGTTGTGGCTGGCGCTGTATATTATCAATATCTGAAGTGCAGCTGGCAATAAGCAACCTCGAGAGCAAGTATCCGCTAAGTCCAGGCTTCCTTCTTCTTCTTCTTCTTCTTCTTCTTCTTCTCCTCATAGTTACTTCGGGTTTGATAGTTGTCGGGCTTTCTGTTGTCAAAAAACAGTAGGCATACTTGATATCCTATCCGCAGTTCAGTCTCCGCAGTTCAGTCTCAGACACCTTCGAAAACCGCATCATGTTCACCCTTCGTGAATGAATGCTATACCTGAAGTATGAAGCACATATTCAATGTCCAAATAGTTTCCAAAGCGAAGATAACGACGCGGCAGTTCTCGTCGTAAAGTAAACATGAAAACAATAAGCAATAGACCGCCTCCCTCTGGTTGTGCCCAATGAGCCACATGCTAGTATATAATGTAACATTCCCAAGAGACATCTTGCTCGCATGAACACTTCAAATTGAAAACACTAAGCCAGATCATCTCGTTGGATCTGCCATTTCAAAATCATTTGTAAATCCCCTTAGGCCGAATAAAGACAATACCCCCGTAGTAAGTTCCGTGTCCTCTAAGGCCTGTTCCGTGCTCGCAAATGCTCATGGTATAATACACGAGAGACCACCAAACTCCTACGCCCCTTTCCGTGAGTTAATGTGCTCAAGCTCCGTCCTTCTTGTGGTGGTGGTCGTGGTGATCGTGGTGGTCGTGTTCAGGGACATAGTTCGTCTCGCCTAGCATGCTGGTCGGTTGCGTCGTCATGGCCGTCTGAGTACTCGGCTGTGGCTGCGTCTGTACTGTTGGGCCGCTAGTCTGGCTTGGGGGCTGGGAATGGCTCCGGGGTGCACTCGGTCCTGTCGCAGCATGAAGCCTCTGGTCCAACGCCTTTAGAGCCAGAGCTCTCCTTCTTTCAGCTTCAGCTCTTACGCCACCACCCGATGCGCCTCGCTGTATGTAGTTGCCGCCCTGAGCTGCGGAGAGGTCCGTCTGCGAAAATGGGGTGCAGACTCGCATGGCAACCAATAAGTTGAATATTTGCTCCGAGAAGGCGGCCACGAACGGCTTGACGGGCCCAGGAAAGAACTCAGCGAAAGCGAACGTCTCGCTTGCATCTCCATGCATCGAAGTCGGTTGCGACGAGTCGAGGTCGGGAAATACAGTCTTGTAAAACCGCAGGTACGTCCAGCTCGTGAGCAGCCCAAAAACTGCGAGGAAGAGGGAGGCGGTCGTCAGGAACGGGGTTGGAGTGAGCACCGTCACGAGGCCAATATATATCAAAGGAAACCTTGGCACGCGTAAAGACACTAGGCCGCGGAAGAGGGTGACGGTGTGCGCCGGCACGAGCTGGCTAAAGGCGACCAGAAACGAGATCTGAAGGGGTATTGTGCCATTGATTGTCGTCAGCCTACATGTTGATCACAGCGTTAGTCTTACAGCACCAGGTGCCAGATTTATTGGGGCAGCGCAGTACTCACGTCCATCTCTCATTGCGAGAGAGAGTAAATAGCATGACCATAGATAAGAAGCAGAGCAGGTTGGGTATCAAGGACGACACCAGAAGGAACTTGGCAAATTCCCTCGACGACCAGGCTCTCTCCAGGTAGCGTCCGCCGTGAAACAATGTAAAACCACCAAGCGTAGCCGTAAATACATTGTTCTCGACCAGAGTAGTGGTGACGAAGGTCCACGGGTAAAAGAGTGAGAGTTGTGGGACGAGGGTCAGCCATTCAACGACGATCTCGGACTGGGCTGACCATTGTCGGTATCGCACCGCCGCGCTCAGGGTAGACTGCGCAATCAGCGCAACGAGCAGAATGCGTGTCACTGGCGGTATGTTCAGTCGGGGTGGCATGGCGGATGTTGGGTGTCGTCGTCGTCGACGTCTAGCATCAAGCTTGGTTTTGCTTTCGGAGCACTACTTTGCATTGCTAGACGTAGCCAAATGACACGGTCCCAGCAGAAGCACGGAGATTCCCGTTTCTTGGGGCTGGTGGCCCGAGTGTCTGCTACAACCCTAGAAGCCGCCGTGGGCAAAGTTGATATGAATGCCAAGAGGTAGAAAATATGAGATACCACCAGCATCTGTGACAAGAGACGATAGAATATAATAGCTTTCACGTGGTTCAATCCATCATTTTCAGTAGCTCTGAAGTTCAATAGTTTTAAGGTATGCATTGCTGGCTGGTTAAACTACTCAAATCCCCAGAGTATCGCTGGAACGACCGAAGCACCGGCGGTGCTTATGTCATATTGAGAATAGGGTGACATCTGACAATGAACAGCTCAGCCAGTGCAATTGAGCTAAGAGTACTTCGAGATGACTTGCGGTTTTCTACCGGGAAAGACGAACTCCCTCAAGTTGTTTATGCTGCATGATATTTCACAAGTGGAGGACAGAAAGAATCTTAGTTGATATAACTGGTAAGTTATTCCTGTCTATTATACTGGAATACCGTGGTATCTCATGTTATTCCATCCACCCTTGGTGCGCCGATTGTTCTGTCCTCCGCTTGGTAAATGGTCTTAAGAATGACAGGCCTGCTCAAGGTAGCAGACAGAAGGCGACCCTGTCTAGTTAAATTGTATCCACTTTCAATTGTTCACATTGTGTAAACCTAGAAAACCCCGAAAGAGTCGTGAAATGCCAAACTGGACCCATCTGAAGGCTTTTCGGTCACACACGATGCCGCGGCTGACGAGGCGGGAAGGGGCCACCGTGCATATTTTTCCCCTTCGGAGATCAGTCCGTATTTCAGTCTGAAACTGGGGAGCATGTTCAATGGAGATCGGACAAGTCGGAACACGCGGGTCCAGGCAAATAGAAATTACTATGCTGAGTTTCTCCACGCTGCAGTTAGGTATTGCACACTGGGTCTAACGGACTCGATCATTCACCGCTCTCTTAGCGCCAGGCTCAATAACTGATGAGGCGAGTCTTCCCGAAAGCCTCACGGCATGGATACGTAAACTCAGAATGCTGTGTGTCGCACGAGTCAAACCACCATGTGGCATCTCAAATTGCATCATGCGGAGCGACTCGATAAAAGGGGCCATTCTTCGAACGCTAAGCCATATATGGGAATTAGCCGGACTGACAACGATCAGCTGCGAGTCCTGCCGATCATGAACTGGGAAGCAACCTGGAATGTTTCTCTATTCGAACAAAAAAAAACCAAAAAACTCCCCCTCCCCGGTCCACCCTCCGTGCCTGGATGGCAGGATGGCCTGCATAATGAACTTGATTGAGACCGCAAATAGTACAATTGTTCAAATGTACCTGGGAACAACTGTCACTTCTTCCAACCCCACGAATCCGCTTCTGCTATTATTGGCTCAGCGGCAGCAGGGCGTTTCGATCGAGGCCTTTCTTGATTCTTCAGCCCAACCGGCCACTTGATCCAATCTCTTGCCGAAGTAGCGCGGATAGGTGCCACAAGTTAAAAGAGCCCGAAGACCCCAGACAGCCGGGATGGCCCAGGCTAGCCAATAGCACGCACGATGCCAAGGCTGACAGACCCAAGCTTTCACTTGTTCCAAAAATCGAACGAACCCCAGCGACGCGGCGGCGTCGGCGTCGCCTCCCTCGCCGCTCGAGGATGCGTGCAATGGCGGCAGCGAGCCTGTGACCTGTCCCCAACACTCACCTTGTCGATATGCATCCTATCAACAACCCCGGCGGCAAACCCCATTTATCAACCCTACCACCCAGATGCACGAACGGAGAACGGCACCTGAAGGTCAGAACCGTAATGCTGAAACAAACCAATACCAGACAGACAGACACTTCATAGCATCTCTCGACTCAATGACAACGAGCCTGCCTGCTTGCTCGCCCCAGACCGTACTGCGTAGATGGCACGATTGGCCATCGCCTATTGAAATGCATTGCCCTATGAAATCCACATAATATACCCGTTTCACTGATCTAGTGAGCATTGGAGGCTTTTGAGGCCACTCTTTGTGCGACTTGTAACCCAGATTGGCGATGGGGCCACCTGGGCAGTTTTGACGAGGTAAGGTACTTGGTACATTGTACCCAGTAGCCGTTCGCGAATCCCAAGACCCTGATGTGTCAAGTTGGAGTCGTCTCCAGGTTCATCAATTTCATCGAACGGGCGGGAACCCGCTTGAAGGCACCTCGCGGCCTCGGCCAGTTAGGGATTGTCTCGTCGGAAAGAACGATCGGTCATAAAGAGATGCTGCTGCTGCTTGCAAATGCAAATGCAGGCTCTGCTGTTTTTATTGTTGTTCCATGAGGCCAATTTTCATACCATGGAAGACTGACGATGGCACGGCTTGCGGCGCCGAGGAAGCTTCGCCAGGAAGCGGTGCGCAGAATAAACGGCGCACCGGGTCTCGAACATATGAGGGTATCCCGTCAATTGTGCGTGAATGAAATCGGTATGCTGGCTGGTTTATCTCAGGATGCCTTGTTGTTGGTCATCAAGACTGGTAGAAGCAATTAACTTGTATTGCAACACGGAAGTGCATCAACCATTTTGTACTTCGTACATTGCTCGAGAGCCCCGGTCACGAACCTGTCTTGAAGTGCTGGCAGTTGAGCACACTAGCAGTGGACAGGTACATTTAGACTCGCAGTCGGGATGTATCTTTTTATGGGACTAGACCCGTTTGGTGTGCCTAGCACAGATCCATAGGTTGCTCTCCACGGCCGGTCTTCCAAACTTTCCAGCATCCTTCTTTTTCATCAATCTATCAATTCTCGACGTGCACACGGCAATACACTGGATCTCACGACGCATTTCTCACCATGAAGGAGCCTCTCGACTCCAACCGTGTCAATTTCTTAATCTGGAGGTAGGTCGTCCCACTGTTCCCTCGGGCGGCTCATGGCTCATGACGCCCCAACGCCTGTTGCATCGCCCGATTCCAATATCTTCGCCGCGCACACTCACAGAGAAACATAGCCATTAACTCGCAGTCGCAGGTATCTCATAGAAGGCAGTATGTGTCATGAACTAAATTGGACACTCGTCGCAGCATTATGTGTGCTGGTGACATGCTCTGTGGACTTGGGTGGCTAAACTAACGTGGATTTGCAGACTATCGAGAGACGGCGGTCAAATTCCAAAAGGAGTGGCACATTGAAGAACCGCACCGGCAGCTCGAGTTTGCGCGTCACGTCAAGAGTCACGCACTAGTCAACACATTAAACCGGGGCCTGCTCTACAATGCATTGGAGAGGGAATTCGCCAAGTCGCAGCAGGTAAGTTGACCGTTACCAAAATCCTCCAATCTCGCCGTCCCAAGCGCATTTAGCGAGACATTGAAGATTGCGAATGGAGGCGAGGCGAGGCGGGTTGGTTTTATTCTTTTTGCGTGGATCTAGCCCAGGGGCACTGACAATTTGCGTGCAGGTGCCTCAAAATGCAGCGGCAGTGGCCGAGGGGGTGCAGCTAGGAGTGTTTGGTCCTCTGATGGCAAACGCTGCAGCAGCAACTGCGGCACCTCTGCCTCCAGCCGACGAGGAGCATGATTCGGAGGAGGACGCAGAAGGAGAGCCAGATATCGAAAATCCCCGAAAACGTCCAGTCGACAACAGGCCACAGCAGCCGCAGCTTAATGGATCCCCGGCGGCCAAGCGGCCTCGTCTGAGCAATGGCTATGAAACCCAAAATGGGCCAAATGGGGTGGATGCAGCCACAACACCCATGGAACTTGACGGGCAGAGCCACCACGGCGACAACCACGCCTACCCGTCCCCCCTGGAAGGCGAGCAAGCTCCGACGCCGACGCCTCGGACTGATGGCCCAGAGCAGGGCACGCAGGTCGATAAAGTTGAGGAACTTGCGCCCGAAACCACCTTTATTCCTCTTGGCTCCGACGATGCACAACAAATCTCGTCGCCAATTGGAACGTCGACGTCGAGAATCAACAGTGAGACGGCGCCCGTCCTGCTGCATTGCCAATGGAGTCCCCGAGATCCCACAATCTTGGCGGCTGCTGGCACCGATGCGCTAGCCCGCGTTTGGACTGTCTCGCGTGCAAGCTCAACGACCGCCGACCTGGACCCTGCTCCTGGTCACGTGAACGGCGTCGTCGTCCCACCTTTCCACAGCCTCATTGAGGATGACATAGCGCCCAAGGCGACGGTGACGGCCATGGCCTGGAACTGGGATGGGTCCGCAATCGCCGTAGCCACTGACTCAGAAACGAGGGCTCGCATCAGCCTATGGAGTGCCGACGGCAGTCATCTCCATCACTTTGAAGTTCCAGAGCCGCCCATCATCAAAATACGGTGGAACCCCAACAACGCCGCCATCCTGGCGATAGCGCCCGACAATGGAGGTACACTTGTGACTGTCTACCACGCAACAACGTCGAACTCCATGTCATATTTCCTTCCACGCCATGATATTGAAGCCGATCCCCTGGACGCCGCCTGGATCAGCGAAACTGAATTCTTGTTATGTGGTGGCGAGTTGCTAGTTTCATTGAGCTGTATAGATGGGAACATCATCGAAACCAGGAAATTGGAAACACACGAAGGCGACAGCTTGACGCAAGTTCAATTTGACTGGCGCTCATCAATGGCCGCAACGTGTGGAGAAAAGGGCTACGTCGATGTAAGATCTTCCGACTTTGCGTCCGTACTGTGTTCTAACCTGCATATCCTCAGATCTGGGATGCTTCGGGGAAGCGACGTGAAATCAAGGCGCACGACGATGCTGTCACCGCATTGGCATGGCAGCCGTTACAGTCCGAACCGGCACCCGACGAGCGTCTACTTGCGTCAGGCGGCGAAGACGGGGCAATTTTCATCTGGAATGCCCGATCTTCTGATGGCAAACCTAAATGCTCCATGACTATGGGACCCCCAATTGTGGCCTTGGCGTTCACGCCTGACGGAGCCTTCATCGCTGGTGCGACAAACGAGCGGATTCTCATCTGGAAAGTCGGCGACCACAGCATCCCACGAGCCAGTTGGAGTCGTATGCCTCATCCCGGGTGGCTCAGCCCTCGAATGAATGCCGAGTCGGACGAAGAAGACGAACATTGCCTTTGTTGGGACTCGACAGGGCAGAAACTGGCATACGGTGTAAATAGTCGAGTGAGTTTGTCCGACCCCGTCTGTACCCGCAATATGCTAATCAAATTTGCAGTTGGCTGTTATAAACTTCCGATGACAAGCTCGTGAAACTTTCATTTGTTAGACATAGAATGAGCGAAGGACCTCTCGAGCAACAGATCTCGAAATTGGTTGCGGGATGCCTGAGACGTTTCGGTTCCACTCAGCGTCAACGAAGCGCGGCCACGTCGACTTACGTTGCGTATCAACGAAGGAATCACACTTGGACACACCGACACACCCGTGGCTGAAATTTGGGGGCGCATTCGAAGTATCGGAAGATCTGCTGTCACAAAACTATTATAGATGACGGGTCTGAACATTTCAACAGTACAATTTCCGGTGCTTCGCCACTGATGAACATTACCTTCTCGCCAAAAGGCGACGCCCGGGGCAATGGCGTTATGGGGCGGGCATATCATCGTGAGAACCGGTCATGCTGCGCACGGAGCCGGTCCGGGCAGCGGCTGGTCCGATTCATCTTTCAGCATTGGTTTTGGGTCCGGCAATGAGGAACATGACGAATGATCACAGGTGTCACATTAGGGGAAACTTGGATATCATTCACCGGGAGACGGTCGGGGAATTGTGCAACCAAACAGAGCGGAAAGGGCTATATTGCTATACATAGCAAGTACTCGAACTGTACAAATATCGAATAAACATTATCATGATGAATGGTGGAGGCTGCGTACAGATGGGTCGTGGATGGACTTGGTGAAGAAGGCGAATGGTTATATTTATATGTCGATTACCAGTTACTGTCATCTAGCCAGAGTACACAGCCTTCCACCTCAAAACTGTCAGAGAGTGTTTAGGAAAGGTAAACTTGCCCGTGCCATCCCAGCTCTCCTCTTTCAAGCCGACATTCTCCTTTCCGTCCATATTACCCGAAGTTACGCCCTCGCCAGACACCTTGTATACGGTAACGTTCTTGCCCACGCCCTTCAGCTCAACCTGGAAATCATCGATTTCGTTGGTGTTCACCACAGCCAAGCTCACATAACCTTTATCATCGACAGTCGCGCTTACATCCAACCAAGGGGCGCCTTCGCCCAAGGTGCCCTGCAGCCAGGCCGGCTGGGTCGGTCCATCATACGCACCGCCACTCACATGGCAAGCAATAGTCCACCCCCGCATAAACTGGCTGAATAGCTGCAACGGCCACCAGATCGACTGCTTGATGATGCCGTCCTTGGTGGTCATCAAGGGGCTGATGACGTTGACAGACTGGGCGATGTTGGCCATGCCAATGTACTTGCTCTGCCGGACGAAGACGTTCAGCCACACGGCGACCGCCAATGCATCGGACAGCGTGTACGACTCCTCGGCGCCCTTGTCGCCAGGGGCTCGCTCCGGGTCCCAGACGTTCCATTCGTCGAAGCATATCTTGACCGGCGGCTTCGTCGGCGCGATCTTCTTCTCGATGCGGGCAAGGTCGATGAGCGACGCCGTGATCTCAATAGACCGCTCGGCCGACAGCGGCGCCGTCACGTTCTTCATGTGGTCCTCGCTGGCCGTATAGATGTGGATGCTGTGCATATCGACCCAGCCAATACACTCGTGCAGCACGTAATGGTCCCATGACGACTGCCCGTCCTGTCCGCAGAGAATGAGACACAGCGACGGATCCAACAGCCGCAACGCCTTAGCCCACTGGATGGCCTTCTTGGCGTAGTCCTCCTTCGTCATCTGCAACACCTGCCAATCCCCCCACACCTCATTACCCAGCGCCCAGTATTTGACATTATACGGCTCCGGATGACCATTCTTGCGGCGGAGATTGGCCCAATATGTGTCCCGCATCCCGTTGCAGTACTCGACCCACGCGAGCGCCTCGTCCAACGTCCCAGTGCCAAAGTTAAGGCAGATGTACGGCTCGACGCGCTGCTCTTTGCCCTCGCTCAACACGTCGAGCCATTGCATGAACTCGTCGGTGCCGAATTGGTTCGACTCGACGCCCAGCCAGGCCAGCTCGGGACGCTTGGGGCGGTCTTCCCGTGGCCCGATCCCCTCTTGCCAGTGGTACGTGGCGACGAAGTTGCCGCCTGGATACCGGATCACGGGGATGTCGAGGTCCTTGAGTGCGGAGATGACGTCCTTGCGGAAGCCTTTGGAATCTGAGAGCGGGTTGCCTGGGTCGTAGATGCCGCCGTAGATGCAGCGGCCCATGTGTCTTTTAGTTTGTTAGTTTTGAGAGGGGGTTTGGAACAAGTTGGCTGGGAGGATGGGACTCACTCGGTGAACCCGCCATACGTCATGGGATCTATCTTGGACAGCTTCTTCCTGGCATCCACCTCGATTAGGGGCGTCTCCCCGGCAGCGAGCTTGGTGAAGGTCGTCATGGTTGTTAGCCTACTTGCAAAGTTTACCCCAGATATATGCCCAGTATCGAATTGGGTGAACGATAGAAGAACTTGTGAATGAAAAGAGCACAATCATTTGTTCCTCTTCTGTCCGTCATGAATTCGGGAAAGGTCACGATGCTGGTGGTTGTTCAGTACTAACACCGGTCTATTCTCCAGCCGACTCGGACGCAGCTCACCCGCCTGCGCCCCGGGATTGGCGCGCATAATGGTGGTTCATCTGCAGGAACCCCGTTGTGCCCGCTTTCGGATCTCTCCGGCCAAGCCCGCTATGCTCGGCTCGGCTTCGCTGGTGCAAACAACCTATGTATAGTTGCCGCCGTTTCGAGGTTTATTCAATCGCCCGTGACTTGATAACCCCGGTCTTCGCCACACCAAATGGAATGGTGACCAATTGTGGGGAGGGGCCACACAGTTGAAGTGGGCGCCGAGCGGGATACAATAGAGAACAGATGCGAGATGGCGCTTATAAAGTTAGTGAACATGTGTGATCCACTCCTCGTCCCATTCGTGGGGTTGTCAATCGTACGTGTATATGCTGGTAACCATGACTTCGCTTCACAACAGGACTGGCAGGCGGACAATATAGATCGCATGATTAGACACGTACCGAGTAGTCCTGACAGTTCTCTTTCTCAGTAGCTGCCTATGCAGATTAAAAGATGGTAATAAACTTTGCCTTAGTTTCGATATTGGGACTGACATTCATCGTCTGTTATTGCTTCCCCGCTCATAGCCCCGCTACTCTTTATCATCTTCGCTCGGTTTTGGGTTGGAATAACTAGTTTGTACCGGGTCTTATAACCTTAAATACAGAGCTATGCTATATCTTAATCCACGCTATTCTACCCTGTTGCGTAGTTTATTTTGTCACCTGTTTGGCGGCTCGGGCGGCTCTGGCGGCTCTATCGATTCTAAGGGGGATCCACATGGTGCATTTCAGCACCTATTCCCACTCGATCCACAGCTGGTAGGTAATGTGATAACTCGATTATTTGATTTTGAGACAGCATTGTTGAGAAGCAGGCAGTAGCTTTTAAATCTATTGGGGGTGTTTTAATTTGGATATACAACAACGCGTGCGATCCTCTTCTCGAAGACTGGATGTGTGGACAGCCTCGTAAGCCCCCGCGAACAGATACCCTCCACCTGGTCTGGGAACCCAAGAGAGCAACCTATGCCCAAATATCCCGGTTGATTTGTCGGGTTTCTCACTATCAGGTGTCAATACTTGATAGTAGCTCGGTTATCGGTCCCCGTCTAGTAAGCAGCCACGAGGGTTGAGAGACGAGACCTAATATTGAGCTGCCAGATAAGCCGAGACTATAGTGCCTACCAAATGGAACTATTCAGGCGCGCATATTTAGCGAGCTAAATGCGGACCTGCTGCAAATCATGACGAGCTGCCTGCATTGGACTGCGCTCTGGAACTACTCAGTAGTAGACCTGGACGGCCCAGCCAGATGGTTCCGACCTTGGATCTGCAGGTGTTGCGGTGAGATTTCCAAGACTGTCACGATATGCCTTGACGCTACCTTGCAAGGGCGCTGTGGAGTCAGCGAGACTCTAGACCCGTACCCTGCTTAGATACGAATCCATGATCATTCCCAATGGAATGGGCGATGCGGGATATCGTAGCACACGCCAGTTTGGACCCCGGCAATAAGTCGTAACATATAGCAAGCTAGAACACATGTTGGTAAAATCACTAAGGGGGCTGCATACTGCACATAGTTACCAATGAGGCCAGTGTTGTACTTGTAATGTGGCAGAGAAATACTTTGTGGTGATTGGTTAATAAAAACCACTGCGAAGTACAGGATAGGTTGAGAAATGACGCTTCCTAGTTCAAGTCAGAGCGTCGGGGTATCAATACCCGAGTCCGCCGGGCCTTGAGATAAATTGACACAGTAGACATGGTTACCTTTTGGTTAGGTAATGCGAGTTCCGTGGTGAGCAAAGGAGCAGCCACGAAGTCGAGGGCGATTCCGAAGCCGATGAGCCCTCGAGTGAGTGTGAACATGGCAGCTGGGTCCTGTCAGATACCCGGGTTCGCATGGACGAAGAGCCTGTGTAAGTATATTAGTACCGCTTTGAGCTGCCGCTTGAAGTGCAACTCTCATATCCTGCCGACGCCACGAGGGTGTTTCCTCGACCGAACCGATGGGATACAGTGGGAACAAAAGGCAGAGCGATCAGCTGCCCAGCATGTTGGACGGTGTTCAGTCGTGAGATTGTGTGAATACGACACAGTAGATAGCCTTGCTAACTGATGATTTGCACTGACAAAGCCAATGTGCTCAGTCTGGCATGCTCAAAGTAAGCCTTCCACTCGTCCAGGCCCTGAAGGCCATTCATCATCATACCATCGTACCCATTGGTATACGAGGATACGAGGTGGCATTTGAATAGCATTGAGCTTTACGATGCTTTTGCTGGCGAACCAGCCCGTCTTTCGTCCTTTGAGGGCATCTTCTACCGTCAAAGGCATAGACATGGCGATAGTATAGGTTCCAGACCCGGGTACGCGACATAAGACTGACTATTCCAATAGAAATGAACAGGAACCAAGCTACTTATTTACAAACATCGGGCACGGTACCCCATCATATACTCCATGAACCACGAACCTGAACCCTAACGTAACCCCTGCAATGTGGAGATAGACGAATAGTCCAGCTATTGTTACTTTGGGAGCTGTGGAGCCAAGAAGGCATCTAGTCTCTACATAAACGGGCTGTGGCCAGACTAGAGTAGACCACAAAACCCCTCTACAGTCGGTGGTTGTCAGCTTCTTCAAAGTCCCGTGGAATTTGGGCGCTATCGTAGCCGCCTGGACTTACATCGGTGAGTGAACGAGTGTCTGATGTAACATGGGCTTGAAATCCGAGCTGACTTGAGTTTGTAGTCCTACTTGACCCTCATCATGGACTCTATCGGGTACACCTCACAGGGAACACAGGTGTGTATCAACGCCGTGCTTGCCTTGTCTTTGATTTCTACAGGTTTTGCGGCATTCTTCGTGGTAGACTGGTTTGGCAGACGAACTCTATTCCTGGCATCTATTACTGGGATGTTCATTTCCTAGTTGGTGAATATCCATGTTAGCAGTCAGTGTTATACTTGATCCGGCTGACACTCGTGCGTAGCTTGGAGTGCACTCCAGGCAACCTATGAAAGGCAGATGGAAGGGGGTGGCACTGTCAATTCAGATATTGTCAAGGGGGTACTCACCATGATTGTGCTGTACAACACTTCCTTCAATGTTGGCAGGACGCCATCTCGGAGGGTCTATGTCGTTGTTTCTTCCCGGTAAGAACCTACCATTAACAGATAGATGCAAGAGCCTCGTCCTGTATATTTTCGCCGTGACCATCGCTCTGATCTTCAATCAATACGTCAAACCCATTGCACTTACCGCAATCACAGAGAAGTGTAAGTACCAGACACCACCAAAACCCGAATGAAAGAGCACCTTAGGATACTCACTGAACGTTCGGAAAAGACTACATTGTATACGGTATGTGGCTGGTTTGGTTTTTTTTATTTGTTTATTTTTTTTAGCTGATTGTCGTATGCTTCCTATTCATCGAGACGCGTGGATCGGTACTTGAGAAGATTTCTCTTAGGTTTAATGGGCTGCAGCTCAAGGCGGAGCTAATCGAGCATGTAGCAGAGGCCAGTTCAACGGCACTGGATGAGAAGCACGGCATGGCGGCAGCTACTAGATTTGAGATGTCTGAGTCGGCGCGAAGACTGTATGCATGAGTTGAAACGTGGCTAGCTGTACGCCCCCTATATCTCCACTGGATTGCTCAGGGCAGGTATTGCCGGCGACCGTGCTTGGTTTGAGGAGTAGCTTTCAGAGGCAAGCTAATTTAAATTAGGAAATGATCCTGTGATGATTAAATATCAGTACTAAAGCCTGATAGCCTGGGAAGTAAAAGACGAAACAAACGGTGCACTACAGATGGAATAGGCCGATATCCTGGTGTAGTAAAAAGGCGTAACTTGGTTATTCCACCTGAGTGCGCAGTTTGTGTTGTCCGCTACTTGCTGAGCTTCGGCACGCGCCGACTGAAGAATGGGAAGGCATGACCCGCTGTAGTGAAACGGGGTCAGGGGTACCCTGCCACTTGTTTCACGAGCTGAGAAGTTGCGGCCTCGTTGCTACAGCCCCGACGGGCAACTCGAGATTCTGTTAAGACGACTTTCGAATGATCAACTTCTTGTCATCCCATCTTTTCCGACCTCGCTCAAAGCTTTTCTTTTCCTCAATCCAGCTCTGCCGGGTGCTAATTGACTTTTTTCCATTCTTCTAATATCTACCTGCTGGGCAGCCATTGACGACTACAAACGCTCTACAACGGATAGTAGTAATACTAGTAATTCACGCCCGCCATGAATCACCCAACACCCCCGATGCGCGACTCGTGGTTTGCGCCGCTGTCGATCGACCTTCTCCTCAAAGTCCTCAATGTCACCATCTTCCACCCTTTCATCGCATGGCTGATCCCATTATGCTTCCGCGCCGAGCACATGGCCTACACGGCCAAGCCCATGATGGCCACCAGCGCCTGGGCCGTCGCAGTCACGCTCGTCTGGATGGGCAACATGATGAGCCACAAGATCGCATACGGCATGCACCGCGAGGTGGACCTAAGCGAGGAGGTCATTGTCGTGACGGGCGGCGCCAGCGGGCTGGGGCTGCTGGTCGCCGAGGTCTACGGCATGCGCGGAGCCACGGTTGCTGTGCTGGACAAGGCCGAGCTGGAGAGCAACGATGCGAGAGGAATAACCTACTACAAGTGCGACATCACGGACAAAGCACAAATTGCGCGGGTGGCAGGCGAAATAGAAAAGGATCTTGGAGCCGTTACTGTTTTGATCAACAACGCTGCTGAGGTTGTGGGCAAGAAATTGCTTGATATGGACATCGAGGACGTCGAGCGCAGTCTATCAACGAACCTCCTGAGCCACTTCTACACCATCAAGCAATTCCTCCCGGGCATGCTACGCAACGAGACCGGCGGCACCATTGTCACTGTTTCCAGCGTCATCGGCCAGCTCGGCGCCGCGCAACTTAGCGATTACGCAGCGGCAAAGGCTGGCGTCACGGCTTTGCACAAATCACTACAGGCCGAGCTAAAGGCGTTCCCCGAAATCAAGACCATTCTTGTTACCCCTGGCCAACTCAGTACGCCGCTCTTCTACGGAGTTCAGTCGCCAAGCTCCTTCTTTGCCCCCGTGGTTGAGCCCGTAGATGTAGCCAAGGAGATTATGGCCGCTATCGACATGGGGTTGAGCGACCACATTGCGATGCCACTGTATGCACGATGGATCGACTGGTATAACGTATTGCCTGTCGGCATCCAAGGGATAGCACGAAAGCTGTCCGGCGTTGACAAGGGCATGCAGGGCTTTATTGGGCGGAAGGGCAGTGAGTTGAGCGAAAAGAACGGGACTTTAATATGATACGGATTTTCAGGGTAAACCAGGACCAAAGACTCATCCAGAGCAAACTGCATCGCAAAGATCGTGGCGCGGGCTGCTGCGCGCTTGTTTGGAGCAGCTTGGAGGATCCAACATCTTCAAGTATCTAGACTGTTAGAGCCGGATGACCATGAGCGAGGTTGATCATTTACTGGACAGTTGTATGCAAGATTACTCTATTTCCCCCAACCATGCCAACACGTGCCGGTCTTCTTTCTGGTTCGGCGCTCGGATTGGTGGATGAAAACCGTACCTACTTAAGTAGATTCATACTCGCTCGGCGAACTTCCTTGATATAGCAGCTAGGGACAGAAGACGTTGGCACGAGCGACCTACATTGCCTAGAAACATGGTGACGATCAGATTTCGAACATTGCACCCGCTCCCCAAGAGTGGAAACTCGAACAGATTTGATAGATATCCCGTCTGTGATCAAATAAGTATCGAAGGCTACCCGAGGCAGAGTGACGTAATCTGAGCTTTTGGGTCCTTCCTCAACGGGACGGTACACACAATAAAACAGTAGCAACTATGCACAATCATTGCTCGATGGTATCTTCCGGCCCGTGATAATGCACAGCATTTGCGTAAGCCGCCCACCCTCCCCCCGGAGGCCGATGTGACCCTGGTAACGTAGGCTTGCAGGTGGCCGCGGCACTATAGTAGGAGACGACACCAAATTCGTGCTCACCCATGCGGGAATCCCAGCTTGATTGCTGAAGAGTCCGAGACCGAGTTGAGATTCGAAATTCAAGAGCCGAGACAACGCAGCATTGTAATGTCTAAAAATGGAAGTGAGAGGCTATGCTAGAAGACAAATAGTAGATAAAGTTGAAAGCCGACGTAAGTTTCATCAGTGATCGGCTTCTGTGTCGACCGTTTTGAGGCTCATTGTGACTCATGCAGATTTGGATACGACGACATGCAAATTTGGAATTTGTCGAGCTGGTCATTTGCGAATCATAGATGGTTCCCAAGCGGAGCATCGCGTTTTTGGAGATGTAAATCAGTGAGGCAGGATGCGTGGACAGTTAGCGATTTGGATTACGGATTGGCGTAGCCGATGGATGGTTGTCAGTAGTGTTTGAGGGGTGCTCTGCTACCGATGAAACCGACTCACGGGTCGAATTTGCAAAAGCAGACCTGGCAGTGGTTAGCTAAGATAGGGGGGTTACGTTATTCATACGGAAGCAGTATATGACGGACAATGGACTGATATCAACCATACCACGATTACATGGTAGTAAGTGGAACACGATCTAAATGATCCAGATGGGATACGTTGCGACTTGCTATCCAACCCCTGAAGCCATATGCATAAGATAGCTAGCGAGCAAGAGTGGATCCTGGCAGGGAGTGCATCTTGAGAGCTCGTTGTCTTGAGGGAACATGCCAACCGATTTGGCATGGAAGTAGATCATGCAATTTCCATTTGCAGTTTTGTGCATAATCTCGGCTTATGATACGGCGATCTGATGGAGACTCATGAGTTGCGGTTTTCAAAATTGATTGATACCACGCCGTGCAACGTTCTTCAGCCTGTCCTCGACGCACCTTGAGACCGTTTAAAGACTTTTCCAGGCGTACTAGCTTAACGCGGTACAGAATGTGCTACCGAAACTGAGAAATCACCCAGTGGTCGGCTCTTCATCCAATCCAGCTTGACGAAAGCTGCCAGACTGAACAAGCAGCAGAAGAGATGAAAATAATAGGGATGCTTGTGCCAATTATGTACGTGGCCCCAAAGTAAACAGTGTTGAAATCCCCAGTTTGTCTCACACTGGTGTCGTCCTGCGTGAGCAGCAAGTGTTGCAACCGCGTTGCAACCGTACTGATCCCTGAAGTGTGCATAGTTGACCTTCAGATACTACTTATGACATAAGCGCTTCTCAGCCCTAGGATGCCCCCCACCCGATGATCAGATCCATAATTGTTGCAGTTGACGCCGAATGGAAGGCTCGGAAGCGTGATCGACTGCTAATATGCTCAAGTCGTAGTAAGATTTGGAAGTAATTTTTGTTATCAGAGCGCTTGTCTATTGCTTTTCGGTGTCAAGTCGAAGGCGAACTATAGGTTCCGAGGTTAGACTTTCGGCTGCTGCCGGCCGCAGTCCCCCAGCATTGTGCCTGACACATCAACACCTCTCGGGACTGCGATAAAAGCCTCCCGCTTTTTCCGTCCACATCCAGCAATTGCCGAGTCTTCATCGTAAGTTAGCACACAACTTTCGTCACACTAGAGTCAGATGCAAGGTGGGACTCCATTGCGATCTTTCTAAGGGCGGGCCGATCTCATTTGAGCCAATTCGGCACCATCGTCTCACGCCGAGAGGCATTTCCTATTCGTGATGGGTTTGCAGTCTGCAGTGGATACTGGCCATATCATAGTACGTCGGGGAGAAACGGGGGAACAAGGTGCACTTCCATCTGGTTCCAGTACACCGGTCCTGAACAACCTTCGACGATAACAGCATAACGGAGTCGTTTTGGGGCCATCAAGATCTGTAGATCGTGCCCCCAAGCGCCCTGCGGCGAGCTGACGAATTCGAGATTTTGCCCACCTACGTCCGCTTGCATAATGAACACGCGAGAAAAGCATTGCACAGCTGCAGGCCCCCCAGGTGGTAGAACAAGGGCCCTCGATGCACATCCCGCGTACGCGGGGCGAGGTGTGGTCCATAAGTTCCGACTCGGTCCACCATCGAGATATCCCAGCTCGCCCAGACACCCTTATCTTTTGCTTATTCTGAGCCAATCACGATGTTCGAGACTCACAAGAACGACGCAATATCAACCGAGACGCTGAATGTTATCCAAATGCATCTAGCCTCGCTTTCTGGGCAGCTGCTCTGTACCATGACAAAGCGGAGACCACACGCATTGGTTATGTCCTTTCTTTTTTTGCTGTGTCCCCAACCGGAAATCTCGCAGGACAACGGCCGCCACGCTACTCCGTTATATATCAAGCATATTTACCTGAACTGTCTTGCATAATATGTACACTCCGGTTTCCAGATACAGATACCACCTTGACTCTCCACGGCAAGTCGTGATCACAGCGCTCGGACGACATCTTGACCTCGTCTACTTGCCGTATTTGAATCGCAACCTGTATCAGGAGTAATGATACTGGCACTGGTTCCACAGTAGCCAAGCCATGTGGTGGGACACATCTCTTATCGAGGCTACTGTGACTCGACAGTTCGTCTGTTCGCACCTTCTTCCCGAGGAGATTGAGCGTCTGGACAGAGCCCTTGGGTTTGGCGGCGGTTTGACAGACGGCACTTACTGGGAATGGATCCAAGATAAGGCCAAAAAGATATTCCTCATCCTGGTTGATCTTGGAGTTCCGGATCAGATCTTTGGTGTCATCGACGATGCTTGGGATGACACCGATCTGCCCATCGCACTTGATCAAGTCGAGCGTCTGGCCCTGACTGCCACCAGAGACGATAGGGTCGACAGGAGGTTTTATTATCGCCAGTTCCAATATCTCCTCCACTATGTGGAAAAGGGCCAACATGCAGTCTATCATGACGTGGAAGTGGTGCCCATCGAAGTGGTGGACAGGCGACCCGGAGCTGGGTTGAATGCCAGCCATTCGGTCGACAAAGTCCAGTTGCCTAATAGGCCGGGCGAGATCTTCTCCCGCCGCCGGATTCCTGTAGGCACTGGCAACGGCGTTTTACCGTATGAGGAGTTCCTGTACGAGGTCAACAGCACCAAGAACGTACAGAATGACCATCTCAAGTCGTACTTTGCGTCCTATACGCATCAAGGCTTTGGATATGTCTTGTTTACCCCCGCAAGCGACTATAGTCTGAAGTCCATACTGGCATCCTTGCCAGCACCCCTCAAGGCCCTGCCCAAAAACAACCGACGGCTGCGTGTCATGAACTGGGTCCACTGTCTCGCCGATACCTTATGCTACCTTCATAACCGAGGCCGCTCACACGGCAACATCAGACCTTCGACAATACTTTTCAACACGGAAAACCACGTTTTCTTCACCGACATATCGCGCCTTCGTTCCGAAGCACTGGCAAACTCGTCTGACAAGGCCGCCTTCGACAAGGAATCTTACGACTATGCTGCCCCTGAACAATGGTTTCGACCAACCGCATGCAGCTCAGCACCACATCGCAAAAGCATCCTTTACTCACCTGTACCGGCTTCACCAGAAAATGGCTCCTTTTCAATCAACCGAAATACCGACATGCCCAGCCCTGCTTCAATTCTGAGCACGCCCAACCCGCATCTCAACCCTCAAGCCGCTGATATCTTCTCTCTTGGATGTGTAATCCTTGAACTACTCAGCATGCAGATGAAGCGACAGACTCGCTCCTTTGCTTCCCACCGAGCTGCCAAACACAAAACTCCGGGCCGTGGCGGTGCCGTCTTGGACTCGTCCTTTCACAAGAATCTGAGTCAGGTCGAATCGTGGATGGCAGGGCTTGCTAAAGATGCCAGCAAGAAGGATGACCAGGTCTTTCGTGGTATAGCACCTATGCTGAAGGTTGTAGCTCGAATGCTGTCGGCGGCACCTCATGATCGACCAACCGCCCAAGAAGTGGAGCAACGGATATACAATATTCTGAAGGAATGCTGCCAAATCGAAGAGCCCCATTGCGTACATCAGTACGGCTGGGACTTTGGTTTCGGTAATCTTCGCATAGGCCAGGAGAGCGAGAAGTTGACCATCGCAACGAAGAGACACAGCGGCGGGACATTGAAGTCCCTCGAGTACAGGCGGACGAATAGCAGTGGTAAAGACCGCGAGAGCATTTCCAGCAGTGTTGGCTCTCCGACCTTTCAAAGCTTAAGGGTGAGTAAGGTGAGGACTTGGGAGGCTCCCGTCTATGCAGGTAACCATAACCTAAACCTCCTACCTTCTGGTTTGCACCCCAGAGCGAAGCAAGCTGACTTTTTGGTTTGAACCCCTGCAGAGACCAGCGTTGGGTGATTAGAACGGTGATGATATGTTGATGGCATTGATTGTGGGTATGAGATAAGATTGGTTCGAAGCAAGTGGGAAGGGATAGTCTTTGTGATACCATGTTTGGAGTTCGGTGCCGTGACTTCTGTTTCACCAGGCAGTGGCTCAACAGCTTATAGAAGGGACTAATTGGTTGCAGTACACCGCAGAGTTGTACGTTGATATATATAAAGGTGCACTCGACGCAGAACCTATCACCGGAGATGAGAGACCATGTACAAGAATCGGTCCAAGCTCATTCAAGACCATTAATTTTGAGTTGCTTGATATCTTCTGCATCGTGTTCGTCTGAATACCGTCTCGTTCCCACTCAAACCATGCGCGACATGACTTTGAATTCCCGCCATAAACCAACCATAACTCCCCGCAAGGATAACCAGGCAGAAAAAAAAGGAGAGCCATGACGCCCACAACAAGGCTTCGTTGCAGGCGGGACCATCATCCGCCGAGGACTACGATCTCTCTTGCACTTAACCACTTGTTCTCGATTCCACTGCAATCAAACGCCATTCCTAGTATCGAAGACTCGACGTTTTGCTACTGTTTATCGAATATGGCCAGCCGGCTTTCTGATAGGTGGCGACCGTTTCTGTGTCATGCCAGGGCCATGCCGCTTGCCGACAACTACATGACACCTGCACTCATCCGATCTTGAAGACCCTGGTTCGGCTACTTGGGACATCGGTCACTATCCGTAACGCTGCATTAGCGTATGGTGTCGCTGTGTAGGGGTGACGACGTAGACTTCTTCAAGACGGTAAATACATACTCGTCGTATAAAGACAAAGCTTCTCGATAGGCTTCCTGGCAGGGACACATGTTAAGTTACACCGCCATGGGCCGGGCTCAAGTCTGCTTTGAAGTCGATAGATTGGATATTAGTGTTTATTTACAAACAAAGAAAACATCGTCTGTTCTCGGCGACTGCCATCTTCCATCTATTATTTCAGTCTGAGAGATGCGGTTCTCTCAGATATCCCCGTGCTCCCAAAGTCATTAACAAACTCGTTCAAATTAAGGACGAGGAATGCGATTATCAATGTACAGTTGCTCCTGCGATGCTTCCATGCTCGCATATATCTATGTACGGGGAGGGGGTTTATATGCGCAAGACAAGAACGCCTTGTACGATGCCTTGTGTGATATCATGGTCGTGAATGTTGTGTGTGTGTGCGTGTGTGCGTGTTGCCCGTTTCATGTCATTTCGTCTTGGTAGGTTCCAGCGCGACTTGGCGGGGTATCATCAGAGGAATCTTTGAACGATGCCAGCCACGATCCAATTAAGTGGTGAAAAGGGAGCGGGGGGTATGAAGAAAGGAAAGAACCGTTAGAAGCCAGAAATGAAACGGCTTAATTATTTTTTGGTCGAATCCAACCCAGACATCAATCCAATCATAGCCAGAACGTGAAGATCATCGAAACGCCGACGAGACCCACAGCCATGCCAGCGATTTCGTTAGAACCCGAAACTGCGTTCTGCGTCGAGGAAGCATCGGCGGCGCTTCCAGTTGCAGATGGAACGGCCTCGTAGCCACTAGAGCTCAACGTGGCGCCTAGACTGGGTAGGGCGACGTTGCCGTTAACGAGCCACCCACTCGTGGGTTGAGGGCAATCGCGCGTTGAAACCTTCTTGGCATCATAGGCGGATTTGGAGACGCCGGTCGGAGAGATAGTCGCCCATTGACTCTTTAGGTTGTCGAAGTCAGGGGCAACGGGAGTCGGCGTGCCCTTGACGGTGAACCCACCGACGACATTCTCGCCCGTCGCAGTGGGATCGACCGCGGGCCCGTATGAGATCAAACCGTAGTCGTTGGCCTCGGCTATCCACTCGTAGATCATGGAGCCGCTCCAGTCGTCGACCATGTGGGGTCCGAAGATGGCTGCTTGGTCTTCGAAAGTGCGGCCTCCTTCGCCCGTGTTGCATCCAGTCTCGGAGAAGAAGATGGGAACAGGGAAATTCTTAGCTTGGGCTTCGAGGACGGCGTATCCACTTGTCTCGTAAGTCGAAGGGTCGCACCATTCGTACGAGTTCAAGCCGAAGAAGTCGATGTTCTCCGAGGCATTGCCACCGCACGTCAGATAATTCTGCAGCATAGGTCGCAACTCAGCAATATCAGCCGCCGAGTACCCGACAGGGATCTCGCGGTAGCCCATGGAGCTTCGGTAAGCCTTCAAGTCTCGCGCAGCGGCCTTGATGAAGGGGGCAGCGAGTGAGTGGTTGGATTGGGAGATGATCTCGTTTCCAACGAACAAACCGAGAAGGTTGTCGTATCCCTGAAATGCATCCATGACTTTCTTGTACGCGTCGAACTGCGTCTGGTTCCACGCAGGGGCAGTAGGAATAATGTACGTGGCGAATGTATCCATGTCGATCATGGTGTAGATGCCAGCCTCGGCGAAAGCCGACATGCAGCCATCGTGATCCGCGTCGGGATCCACGTGGTAGACGCGAATGGTGTTGGCTCCCAGAGTCTTCATGAGGTCGGCATCCCTCATGCACTGCTCCGTGTCAACTAGCGGGTCGTCTGTTCACAAGGTTAGCTACAGATGCTTCATTGGGCAAAGCGTTGAATAAAGTAGACCATGGGCAAAAGCTCAGCTCACCTGGGACTAGCTGATATGCGATGCCTTTCATGAACCACTGCTTGCCGTCGCTAGTGAAAAACTTGTTGCCGACGGCCTCGATAGTCTGGATGGCTGTGGCGGCGCCGTAGAAGGTGGCAGCCGCCAGTACACTGGCCAAGAAGCGCATGGTGGTTGGTTGTTGAGCGGCTCGAGTGATCAAGCACTGATGTCGAGCTGACCCAAAAATTGCTACGAATACCCAAGTACGCAGGAATCCAAGGTGATCAAGCAAGTTTTTATGCGAACAAGACCGTCGAGGGGTGTTGGCGAGGGGATGAGAGGAGGGACAGTCGAGCTCGAGCAAGATCAACAACTTATCTGGAGCACCTGCTCATTTATTTCTGTCCAAGGTCGGATGAGGTATCGTGAGGTGGGACGAGCAAACGGGAGGAGCAGCCGTGTCTTCAAAGTTCCAGTGCTGGTAGCGACTGACTTGGCAGCAAACAAGCAAACGAAGGTCCCTTCCTGTCGGTTAGTGTTCCAAGCCAAGACGGTGCTGTCGTCCTTCTCCGCAAACAAACCGCTCCGTGAGTAGTGTTGGCGGGATAGGGAGTGGAGAGCGACGGGAAGATCAAAAGTTCCAGAGAAACGAGCATATCGAGATCAATTAAACCCGGTCATTGCACCCGTCTTAATCAAGCACGCGCTTTTCGCTAAGTTACACATTCAACAATCGTTTCTTACCGGCTGTTACTAGCTGTTAAATCATCCTTGTAAATATCAACAGCTTAACCCATTGCCTCGCTCAAGTGGACTTGATCATGCGGCCTTTTTGCATGTCGACGATGTGATAGGACGGCAGGCAGATAGCTCCGGACAGGGGCACTTTTAGTTATCCCAGAATGGAGCTAGAGTCTCGAAGCAGGCCACAGATGCGCGCAGATGCGGCAAGCTCTTCCTTGATTTTACCACTTTGCTCCCAAATCGGTGGTACAGTGCAGAGGTGCAGCTCTCGCATTGGCTATCATCTTACCTTAGCTGCGTCGATCGACTGTGCAGTTTGGTATACACAGCAGAGGGGATTCAAACTGTTTGCAAGCGCAAGCGACATTCTTGGCTTAAGCCCATGCCCGGTCTCCCGTCTGTCAGGGCTGCGATCAAGCGGCATTTTTCTTGTCGTCTCGGCGGAAAATGCTTGCTTCAGCTTGGCGGGAGCCGTCGCGCGGACATTAGGGACCATTTGTACCACCCCAGCAGCACTGAAAACCGTGTGTCTGCGAAATGGACCAATCTCGACTACCATGTAGACCATTGATAACGATTTCCGTTTGGGATTAGCCGGCAGGGGTTTCGTTTCAATGACGCAGCACACCATTTGACGGAGATCTGCAGTGGTGACTGGGGATTTCTCTTCTATCGTGCGGGTGAGATGGGGAAGCAAGGAAGCTGCAGCATTGCGAGACACTGTGTCTCGAACATGGGAGATCCTATCAATCCTCCGCGTGACTGCCAGTTTGGTGTTGGTGTATCTGTTGTTCTATTGAGGCAAAGCCAAGCCATTCTTGTAGGATATTTTCGTCTCGAGGCACGCAGCATATGCGTATCCGGGCAACACCCAAGATTGAAAGTAATCATTTCTGGACATGAGAGTTTAGCGTGTCCCGCAAAACGCATGTTCTAGCAGAGCAGCTGCGGGAATGAATGAACCAGAAATAGGTGTGTCTCTGTTTTTCCGAAGAAGGCTCCACAAAGCCCCCGCCTCTCCGCTCCAAAAGAGCCACTGTGCTGCTCTGTGGCTGTGCACCTGACTAACTGCGGGCTTGAAGACGACTTACAGACAGAGCTGAGTGCCAGCGTTTTGACAGCTCCTATCTCAAAAGCTTTTAAGCTACAAAAACAGTTCCAAGGTTTGCGAACACAGCATTCCATACTTCATTCTAAAGCTCGACTCCAGTCTCCAATCGGGGGCGCGCACTGACAATATCACGCCGTCTTGACTGCAATTTGGCGCACAAAATGAATGATGGCCGTTGTCTCGGGCCAATGGCCTTCATTCAGAATACCTCTAATGCTTGCAGCCACTTCCACCGAGGAAGTGTATTGGGCGAGCAGAGTGACGGGCATGGAAACAGTTTTTCTGAAAAGAAAATATTCAACGTCAGCCATCTTCGACTGCAAAGTCATTTCTTCATTTAGTTGCAGGCCCTTGCGCAAGGTCGGTGGCTCTGGAGCTGGAGCCTGGAGTGCTCCTTCGATTATACGGAGAACGTATGAGTGCAAGAGAACCCGGATGCCCGTCGTCACTTCCTCCGCCTCGACTTACCAACGAACCAATGGAACTCTTCAGCGCGGTCCACGACAGACTCCTACTATATTCAATCTCCCACCTTCGACAAGCCTGCCAAACATTCGTACAACTTCATCCTATGACTCCTATATATACCTGCCCTAGTAACATTTAAAATCACTGCTTGACCACTCACGTCAGCCAATTATCGGCGCTGTCGCCCTAGAAACCCTCTGCCCATCATGTCCGCGAACGTCGAAGAGCCTAAACACACCACACACCAAGAAGGACCATGGTGGAAATGCAATACGGACAAGTTGCGCATCGACTGGCGCAACAAGCTGCCCTTCAAAGACCGCCCCTAGCTGAGGTGGATAGTTTTGATTGGCATGGGGCTTATTGTCATCGCCATCTTGATCATAGGCATTGTCATGACTGCCAACTACTATGCCGCTTACTACGCTTCTGGTGTCTGGCTGCTACAGAAGGGGGAGAGTGGCACTGCGATGGAGGTGGCTGCCGACATCCAGACTCCAGATGTGGATGGCATGGAGTCAGCCGCGACGTTGCAGACCGTTGAAACCAGAGCTAGGGTGGATATCAGGGCAAGAAAAGCACAGTACGGAATGGAGAACGACGGATTGAACCCTCCGTTGGTCGCATGTGGCAGTCTCACCTGCTCAAAGCAAGGCCAGCCAGTAAGTCTACCTCCGTCTAGATTGTCATGAAAGAATGTATAAGCTGATATGACCGAAGAACATCTGCTGTCCACTGGGCATGGCTTGCTATCCGCACGGGTTAAGCAATTCCAAGATCGCATGCTGCCGTAGCACATTGCAATGTGCTGACGACCTCTCCCCGGTATGTATGGAGGGAACGACGCAGTGCGACAGCGAACAAGGGGGGGGTTGTTGTGGAGTCGGTATGCAGTGCTCACGCGATGGGTGTCTGAAGGTAGCCAACTCGGCTACCACCACTGTATACAAAATCGGCGAGGTTCCAACTTCGGTCACTTGGAAGACTTCCAGCACACCGAGTTCCAGTGTACAGGCCACGGCGACTACGTCCAACTCTGCCACGAGCAGCACCTTATCATCATCTACTACTGGCTCAGAGGACACTTCGTCTTCGTCCGGTCCATCCCAGACGTCTCAATTCGGCTCCAGCACGCAGGCCACCGCGTCTCCATCCGCTACGTCGGGCACTTCTCATTTTGAGGCGTCGTCACTATGGACTACAACGTTATCTGCTTTTACAATGGTTTTCCTGGGCTGGACTTGAGTTGTCCCCTTTACCACACCATTTGCCGCCACAGAAGTCAGCTCTCAATCATCACGCCATAATCCGCCAATGGAAGCGATACTGCCAAGGACTTCATTTCCGACGCAAGAGATCAGGCAGTCGGAATGCACAGAACTGGCTCATCGTTCTGGCATCGAGGGGAAGAAATGCAAGATTGATCCAACGGCCCCCTGCCTCTAGAACATGGTTGTCAAGTGATGTTGCAAAAGGGCCCCGACAGGGCCGACAATCCAATATCCCGCGTGCTTTCTTATCTTCCAGTCTGGTGAGACTTGACCCTATATCGCCTTGTCTCAACCGGAATGCGAGCAAACCGAGGCTAGGCTTGCGGTTTAGACGTTTCACAAGTGCGGAAAGCTGGGTGCTTCAGACATTGATCGCCGACCGGCATCCAAATTGCGGGGAGTCGCTGAAGAGGTATCAACAATTTGTGCAGCATCCGACGGCTTCAAAAGCCTCAAAAGATTTATTGTCAAAAACCCAAGCATGCTCGCCCCCAAGTCACCGGCTGGATTTGTGCACAGGAGGACCTGGCAATATGTTGCAGTGAAGCCGCTTACTCATAATTTCGTCAAGTTCATTGTCTACCGAACCAACAGTTTCATGCTATGTGTTATGTCTCGCAGATCCTATGCTAGGATCGAAAAAACAGTCAAAATCCCGTTTTGTCGTTCGTCACGGGTGGAGACTAGTCGTAGAATGAACCTCCAACCGCTCCTGTTTGTGTTTCTCTCTCGTCATCGGCCAGCTGACGATTCTCTGCTTGCATGAAATCAGCTCGTTTGACATTTCTCCATCCTTCTTTATCTCTTACTCAGCCGTCAACCATTGCCACGGGTCATCATGTATCAAGATCGGATGAAACCAGGATCCTCCTTTGTCAAGTGTTGCAGCTGGGCATCTAAATAGTCATGCTATTGGCATTTTAAGCCCGATGGCTTCAATCACATATAAAACGGAATTGTGGACTAAGTACTGACACATGGCTCCTCCTCTCTCCAGATTAAGGCTCGAGAGTCGGCGAACCTCTTCGACGTTGAGATTGGTTGGGATTCATTTACGAGGAAAACGAGCCGAAATAAAACTTGCCCGGTCTTTGCGGTTTAATTATTATTTCCTGTGAGATGTGAGCGGTTCATGTCACCTATGCGAGCGAGTCTGCCACCTATCGAAAGTCTGACCTTTCCAGACCCCAGCAATCAAAAGTCATATCCTACTTCGAATACGACGGTGACACCCCGAAGATGTCGCTACTATTTTACCGTCGCCCTGATTATCTGGGCCACGACAAACAACAGTTGACTGAGTCGAAATGCGCCTCCTACCTAGAAGCGGCGGAGGCGAGTAAACCTCATATACCTAAGGAGCTTTGCTTTGACGAGATTGTCAAGAATAATACACTCCCGGTAAGTTAGCCATCGCTGCTTCTCGACCTGTAGGGGGTGTGGTACTGATCTGCCACTAGCCATGCTCTCTCAACGACTTCATGGACTACCTCATGTATGTCGAGTACAACGCAGAGTGTTTGCAATTCTTCCTCTGGTACTGCGACTACGTCGAGCGCTGGAGCGGACTACCTAAGGAACGAAAGGAACTTTCTCCCGCATGGGATCCTAGCAAGATGCTACAGCCCAGGTCAACAGCGCACTCTCGGTCAAGAAGCTTGAGCGAGCAGACCGAGAGGATGAATCGGATTCTATTGATACTGGAAAAAGATCCCAAGGATGGCGAGGGAGCAAAACGGCCAGGGAGGAAACCGCAAAGGACGGAATCGAACTCGACCAATTTCTCCTGGCCGCGGGGTTCGTCGTTGGATACAAAACGCACCAATGAGGAAACTGGAAGTGAGTGGCAGCAATGTGAGTTCTTCTTCTACGGAGGCTACTCGCGGACACACGATGTTGATAATTCGATGCAGTAGTCTCAGCACAGCCCTTCCGAGACGAGATGACACGCATAGTCCGTCATTACATCTCCTCAACTGGCCCGCGCCAGCTGAATCTCACACACTCAGACCGAAACTCCTGTATGCAAGCTGTCCAGCAAACAACTCACCCTTCCACCCTGCTCCCGGCATTCGCGGCCGCCGAAGCTTTATTAAAGGGCCAGAGCCACCCTAATTTCATCCGCTGGAGTGTATCAAACAGCAACCGGCCCCGCGTCATTTTCATGCGATGGCTTGCCGCGGCACTCATCGTCCTCGGCTTCGCCCTCGACGCGGTCCTGGTTCTCTCCGGCTTGAACCGCTTCATACGGATGACGGCCCTGCCGCTGTGGTGTATTGGTTTCTCATTCCTCGTGGCGTCGCGGCATGGGTTGTGTATTATTCTGCACTGGAATTATAAGCGGAATCTTAGGCCTTGGGAGCAGTTCTCTGATGAGGACTTCAGCGGTAGCGTACTACACGAGAACGACAAAGCTGACAGTGGTGATAATGGCAGCAATGAGACGAAAGCCAAGAAAGACAACACCGAAAAGGAGAAGAACAGAAAAAGCCAGCACAAGAAGAAGAGCCCAAGTACTAGCAGTCGCATCGCCAGCGCGGACCTCCAGGGCAAACCCAGTCTACAGTGTCTGGGAGGGCCCATTGCGTTTGACGAGGAGCCTTGGGTGGGTTCATACCAAAACAGGTCGGGTTGGAACAAGGTCTTCGAGGTTTCCATTGTGACACAAAACAAGCACTTGCGTGCCATGCAGGATCGGGTGACCTTTGAGGCCATGGCATGGGGGACGCTGCTGGCGTTGGGGCTGGCGACGGGTTCGGTTTTTATACCCTCTGGTAACTTCTACTAATGTGATATTCTCACGCATTAATGAGATCGCGTAACTTCTTCCCCTTTACAGCAACAGAAATTGCTGGTCCATAGCCGTGCCTACTAGTCAGTAATTTCCGTCTGGTCTGTATGAACTCGTTGACTGAGCCTGCGAATGAGGACCCAACGTGGACAGATCAGGACAGAACCATTCCAGCATCATAGGCGAGGCTAGTGTGCACATGGATATTAATGGAATTTGCGTAGTCGGACAGGGCATTGTATGAACGAACATTGTGCCGCTGATGCAGCATGTAAATTTACAATGCGACATCGCAATACGTCTTCACCTATGTGCCTTGAGGCCGCATGGAAGTAGTTTTGCCAACTCAAAACGCCAGCCCATGTTGATGGTATCCCTTTTCCATAAATAAACGCCAACCCAATGCAAACCAGATACGCCATGCGGGCATACTACTTTTCCTGAGCCAGAATCATCTTCTCACGCTCACTCTTCCTCTTCTCAAACTTCTTCTTCGAATGGTTGCGTTCGTTCTCTTCACGTCTTTTGAGAGCCTTAATCTCCTCGGCCTTGATAGTTCCGGCCTTCTTCACCACCTTGGGCACGTGTCTATGGCGCTTGATGCGCCTTATCTCTGGCATATGAGCATATCTATCAGAAAGTGCCTCATTATACTCAAGCGCCTGGCGTTGTCGAGCCGACTTCACACCCTCCCGCTTGGAGGCATTGGAGCGCCATAATCGAATATTGCCTATGCCAATCAGTATTTATCCTCAACGATGATGGTAGAGTCAGGGAAAGCCCTGGATTACTCATCTCATCAAGTGAATAACTTACCATCATCTGAACCAGACAAGATGTACTTCGAGTCCGGAGTCCATTTAGCCGAGAATACTCTTTGCATGCGTTTCTATCACAGCAGTTAGTAGTTTGGTATTTCAAGGGAGACGAAGAACCGTGGGTGACGTACTGTGTGGTATATGTCTCGAGAGTGACCTTTGTCTCTGCACCACAGGCGAACTGTACGGTCATAACTTGCAGTTACTAACTCTTCTCCAGTTGGAGAAAACTCGACGCTAGTCTTGGATCAGCAATTGCCATCTTGAAAGGACTGGGGTTTCCAGTGACTTGACTTACTCCATTACGGCTGCCACATGGTCCTTCAGAACATTCAGAGCTCTGTCCATTCTTCGCATATCAAAGATATAGCAGTTATGATCTTCTGATGCAGAGGCGAAATTGAATGCTTCCATCGGATTCCAGGCAATGGCATTCGTGGCAAACTTCAGTACAGTCTTGGCAACAGGCATGCTCGTTCTCAGATCTTGCCATGACAATTAGCATTGACTTGTGTTAAGAGCTTCGGCTTCGGAGTACTCACCATAGAGGACGATAGATCTGTCTGTAGCACAAGACGCCAACACGCTCGTCTCAATCTGGTTGAATGAAACATTGGTGATGGTATCGGTGGAGTTCGGCCATTGAACTACAGAAGTATAAGTACGGTGTTCATAGATGAAAGTGTATGCATAGGACATATTAACGTACGTATTTCTGGCGCTGCGGTATGCCGCTCGAGGTCATAGATGGAAATGACGGAGGATGCAGCAGCGAATGCATTGCGCGAGCGGTGGTGGGACAAGCTTGTGAAAGCGTTGGTGCCGAGCCAAGTCGATATAGGGGCGGAATCGCTGTTGGTCTGGTATGGGTCGAAGAGCTTCACATATCGGTCTGCGGCACATGTGAGGAGTTTCTGGTCTCTTGTCCAAGACATCCCTAGCGAGTGTTAGCAGGGTGGAACGACAATTGCAAAATGTTTTCCTACCCTTCACGATGTTTTCATGTGCCGAGCCGTGCCAAATCTCTTCCCTGCTGGTGAGATCCCAAACTTTGACAATTCCGTCACCACTGCCACTTGCAAAACGTTCCAAGGAGTTCGGATCCTGTTCAGTAGCCCAACGTCAGTCGTCTCTCCTGCTGACCGTGTCCCAGTGAAATCACCTTTGCGAGACAGTAAACTCCGTCTGTGTGTCCATGGCCAAGCTGGGCGATGAAAGGCTGCGCAAACATGCCTGATACGTCAAAGTTAGCCCTCTGTTCTTCTAAATCTATCGTTGTGCATCGTGAAGTCCTCGTCGAGATCTCAGGGACCAAACCGCCTGGTTCTGACAGTTTCAATCCCTGAAACGAGAAGCAGGCGGGATGCATGAATTCGAGTCCGTCCTACTCACGTTCCAACTTTGTCGCATTCAAGGCTCGAGTGTATTCGCGCGCTCGTTCGAACGGATGGAGGGCGGGATCCAAGTTCCTCGGAGCTTTGGGCACAGAGCCCGGGGGCTGATGAGCCGAGATTGATCGGCTTAAGGTCTTGATCTTCATGGTGTCGCAATTAGTACACGATGCTTCCGATAGTCTTGAAGATCGTCGTCGTCGGGAAATTGGCGACCGGAAATTGTTGGCGTAGGAAGCTGCTGGGCTGCTGGATCTCGAAGTTATCGAAGTGGGTTGTTATCGATTGCTGAACTTTTTTTTGGAGTTCTGAGTTGACCTAGCTAGCTTTGAAATAGAGAGATCCGTGCGCCATGCCAGGGGGTATGGATGCAGCCCCGTCCGCGTTTGCGCGGCAACCTAGGAGCCTCTGCAAGGCTGGAAGCACCTGGAGCTCCGATTCAAGTTGGCAGTCGTCAGATGTACTTTGAGCGTCCCCCATTCTGAACTAACATCTACAACGAGACGACATACACCACCGAATACCCCGGCGATTCTGCTACAACTAATAACAACCCATAGCAACCCAGGATATTGCATTTACGTCAATCACACCCCATCCAATCCCCATAAACAACGGTCATCATGGCTGCAGGCAAGTCGGCCGTGAAAGAGGCGCAAACGCTAGCCAACACCGATCCCCGAAAAGCCGAAGCCATCTACAAGGACATTGTCACGAAGCCCCCGTCAATCAACTCAGATGCCGCCATAAAGGAGTACGAGACGGCCTTGATCAGCTTAGGCGAGCTATACCGGGACGAGAAGTCAGTCATCTGGGCCTCGTTGACATACCGAACATCGTGGCTGACATAGTGTGTTTAGGAAGCCACAGGAGTTGGTAGATCTCATCATAACCAGCAGAACGGTTCTCTCCTCCTTTGCGAAGGCCAAGACGGCCAAGTTGGGTAGGTTTGTTCCCATCGTGACAAGTGCCCGCCTAGCTGACTAAGGCCCTCGACAGTCCGCTCGCTACTTGACCTGTTCGAGGCCATCCCCAACACGAACGACATCCAGATCGCCATCACCAAGTCATGTATAGAATGGGCGACATCGGAGCGCCGAACCTTCCTACGCCAAAACCTCGAGACCCGGCTTGTGACGCTCTACATGGCCAAGCAGTCGTACTACGAGGCCCTGACGCTCATCAACGGCTTGCTGCGCGAGCTCAAGCGACTGGACGACAAGCTAGTCCTGGTCGAGGTGCAGCTTCTTGAGTCTAGGGTGTACCACGCGTTGGGCAACATCTCGAAAGCACGGGCGGCGCTCACGTCGGCTCGCACGAGCGCCGCCTCCGTCTACACGCCGCCGCTGCTGCAGGCCAACCTGGACATGCAATCGGGGATGCTCCACACGATGGATCAGGACTTCAACACGGCATACTCGTACTTCATCGAGGCGCTGGACGGGTATCATACGCAGGAAGAGACGGTCAAGGCGACGGCCGCGCTGCAGTACATGCTGTTGTGCAAGATCATGCTCAACCTCGTCGACGACGTCAACAACCTCATGGCGTCCAAGCAGGCCCAAAAGTACGCGGGCCAGAACCTCGAGGCCATGAAGGCCATTGCGCGCGCCCACTCGAACCGGTCCCTCGAGGAGTACGAGCGGGCCCTCGCCGCCTACAAGTACGAGCTCGGCAGTGATGCCTTCATCCGCAACCACCTGCGCCGCCTCTACGATGCCATGCTCGAGCAGAACCTCATCAAAGTCATTGAGCCCTTCAGCCGCGTCGAGATCGACCACATTGCCAAAATGGTCGGTCTCGACACCCAGCAGATCGAGCGTAAGCTTAGCCAGATGATCCTTGACAAGGTCATCATTGGTGTTTTGGACCAGGGTGCTGGCTGCCTGATCATCTTCGACGAGACGCACCGCGACCAGAGCTACGATGCTGCGTTGACGACGATTGAGAAGTTGGGGAACGTGGTTGATGTGCTCTATAGCAACCAGGCTTCCATGCTTGAGTAAAGCTGCGTCGGAAAGCAGGATGGCATAAGGGCGGCGGAGGTTAGGAGGCGCCGGTCGGAATTGTAATACTAGGATTGTAGACAGACACAGACTACGGCGTCAATTCAGAGAAGGCTGGGCGATAGCTGCATCATAGGTAAAATACCTAGAGTGAATTATGCAATCGGTGCAAATTGAATGAGAGCAAAAATGAACAATAGGAAAGTGCCGGCGCAAAACTTGTCTCCGGGTATTTATATAAACAATGTAAACCAAGCCAAACGCCTGGCCTGGCAAGGCCTAATACGTTTGCCTGTGTCTGGTGATGCTCTGCCGAGCCTTGCCTTGTCCTTCTAAACGCCGTTCCCGTTCCAATAGTAGTCAGACCCAACCGACTAACCCTTCCAGTTGAAAAACCAACATACAACCATCCATCCAGTTGTTTCTTCGTTCTTTCTTTTGTTATTTCCTTCATGTAATCGCAACTACTACTACTACTACTGCTGCTGCTGCAGCTTCTTCCTCTCCCCACCCTTAATAATCCCCTTCCGTCTCCTCTCCTCCCCGACCACAAGCGCAAACAATCTCTTCGCCAATACTCTTTCGTCCCACCCGCCGACCTCGAACCGAAACGCCTCGACGATATCGAGGTGCCAGGGCTCGAGGATCATGCGCTCGCCCTGGGCGCTGACCTCTTTCCCCAGGATGGCCTGGGTCCGGCGCTTGTCCTTCGTGGGTAGGGGGCAGCGCTGCTGGAAGAGCAGGGGGTCACGGCGCCGGAGCTGTAACATCTCGTCAAGTCGGACCCAATGCTGTTTTCTCCAAGTTGTTGGGCTGAGGAAAGATGAGGTGGAGGATTTGGAATTCGATGTGGAAGTGGAGGAGGTAGAGGGTTTGGGTCGGGTGTTGCGACTCGGGGCCGAAGAAGGGGGGGCAGAGGTGAAGTCAGTAGTGGATGAATTGGATGAGTTGGATGAGTTGGAGATGGAGAGACGGCTCTCAGTCCCACCCCGCTTCTCTTTTTCTTTGTTTTGGTCCTCATGCACGACGGGCAACAGCAGTGGTTGATTCTGCGACAATGTGCGATTACCCAGAGACAAACTCGGGACGTTTCGCTGCTCAGTCCGCATTTGAGCCTGTGCCAGGGGGTTTAGCGTGGCAGCCGAGAACTCGACGACGCGGCCAGGAGTGCGCGGCTTCAAGGGCGAGCGCATGCACGACTTGGTTGGGGAAAGAGTCCTGTCCCACTTGGATGGTTTGGCGCGCGGCGGTAAGCGCTCATACTCCGATTCGACGCTCAGGATGGATGACTCGCCAATATTCTGGTCGCCATGTGGTTGGTGCATGTCATCATCGTAACTTGGTTTCTCCGGACTGACGGGCGTTGTCTGCCTACTAGGTGTGAAAAGTGAAGCCGTGTTGCGCGATTGGCGCGACAGCGGCGTGAAGTTTTGTTTCTGGGGGATGTGAGGGAATTCCTGCCGCTCTGGGGTAGAGGGCGACGGTGCGTATGTGTCTGCAACTGTGTCGTTTGACTTGAGAGCACTGCCAGGAGAGAACAGGTCAACGCGGCGCTCCGGGCTGGGATTGAAGAACTTCTGGGGAATGGATGGAAAGAGGCCGGGAGCTCGTAGTACCGATCGCGGTTCCTCAGTGTTCTGTGCTGGCCGAGTCCGAGGTGTAGGTTTTGCGACGGCCTTGGGCGCGTTTTCACCATTGCCTTGTGGCAAAGGTGCGGGTGAGGAGAAGAAGGACAGGATGTTGAAGGCGCTGAATCTTGACTTAGCCGACGCCGGCTTCTCTTGTGTTGTTGGTACCTTTTCCTTCTGCTTCGGCACCATGGAGTATTCCTCAGTGTCTCCCTCCCGTTCTGATAGCATGGAATACTGGGTAATATCACTTCTCTCGCGGGCTTCCTGCTGCGGCTTTGCCCGGTCCTGATGCCGAGACACTTTGGAATAATTTTCGGGTTCGGGGATGTCATCCTGCTGAGGTGACATGAGGTGATCTTCAAATCCGGGCAAGTCGTCATCCTGCTGATGTGGCATGGGATGATCCTTAGGTTCGGGCATGACATCATACTGTTCATATACCTTGGAATAATTCTCAGGTTCAGGGGTATCCTCATCTTGCTCAACTGCGATTCCATAGTCCGCAGGTTCAGGGGTATCCTCATCTTGCTCAACTGCGGTTCTATAGTCCGCAGGTTCGGGGATATCCTCCTCCTGTTGATGCACCATTTCATGGCCCTCAGATTCAGGGATCTCTTCATCATGCCGAGCTTCTATTGGATAGTCCTCAGGTTCATACTCAGCCGCCCGCGCAGCCTCCATGGCTTCCTGTGCCTTCGGTTGAGCAGTGGGGTTGGCGATTTCCTTCAGCAAGAAAAACTCGTCGTCACCCACGCTTTCAGGACTGTATTCAGCCTCGATCTCGATCTGGGCAGGGCTCCGAACTTCGTCTTGGTAAATCAGACGTCTCGTGCTCTTTCTCCAGGGGCTCGGAAGTTTGCTGCGGCGCGGAGGGGGTACTTTTGTCTGCACTTGTCCTTGCGGTTTACCTTGCGACTGCCTGCGGGCTTGTGCTTCCGCCCGAACAACTTCGGCAGGCCGAGGCGTCGACCGGGAAGCTTCAATATCCCAAAGGTCGACCTCTTCTTCTTCTCCCTCGTCATCAGACCGGTTGCCGCTGTCATCTTCAGCTTCATACGCAACTTCGTCTTGTCTCTCTAGATCATTCGCATCCTCCATGTTCGTCTCGGGATCCCCTCGCTCCTCGATATGCTGCGCTCCCTGTGAGTCCTCTGCAACCCCAAAGTCCATAACTTGGGTACCATTGGATCCTCGAGTACCAAAGAGACTCGAGTTTATGGAATGAAAAGGTCTTGATATGGACAAGCGCCTCCCCTTCTGTTGCGCCGGACTACTCTCGTTCGCCGCAGAGCCCATATCATCACTTGTCGCCGGCGCAGCTCTGGTAGAACTCGTCACCAAAGGAAACTTGATTGGCTGTCCAGGTCGAGGAGTCTCGCCCTGGTTTCTTTGGTCATAAGCCGACATTCGCAACGATTCCGTTTGGGAATGGCCATGCATGTCCGGGCCGAAGGGATCCTCCACATTGCCTAGTATGTCACGAGGACCAGTTGCTTGTAGTTGGCTTTGGCTTTGGCTAAAGTTGGATTTGATGCTTTGCGCAAATGACGCTATGGCATTGAAGGTCGAGTGGGTGCCATTTTGGGACAACAAGGTTTGACCATCGCTGTTTGGTGATTTAGCAACCGAGGATTGGCGCGACTCGTTGACCACTGATGATCCTCGAAACGGACTTCCCAAGCTGCTCTCACGGCCGTCAGGAGACGATCGGTCCGTCATGACGCTTTGTAGTGTTCTGCCCACCCGGACAATCGGGGACAGAGTTGGGCGTCTGACAGGCGCCGGCGGCTGGAGCAGCGGACCTTGGGCTTGTGCTAGGTCTGGAGATTCTGATCTGGCAGCAGGTAGGGGGGGAGATGAGGCAGGAGGCGACGGAGTCCCTGCCAGGTCTTGCTCTGTTTGTATGGGTTTAGAAATGGTTTGCTTGATTGCCGGCGGGGATGACCGGATATTAAGATCAGATGTGTTTGGAATAGCTGCTTGTGATTCGTCCACATGTTGCGTCATGCCGTCTTGGGTGGTGTTCTTAGAACCTGCGGCCGAAGAGGACGTATCGTCAGGAGTGGGTAGTCTACTAGATCCGAACGAGTTGGCTGTCTTACTGGCCGATGTAGCTTCTCTTCCAGCTGTTGAGCTAGCAGGACTTTCGTCTTGGCTTGATAGTTGCTGGATTGCCGGGCGTGGACGTGGTCGAGGGGTAGCTGCCTCGAGCACCTCATCCGGTATTTCTGAAAAAGAGTCGTCGTACATGCTGGTGTCCTTGTTTTCCGTAGTGGGGTCTGTGGGCTTCATTGTCAATCTTCGGGGTGTAGCTGCCTTGAGGACGCTGTCCGGAACACTCGAAAAGGAGTCCTCTGTTCGAGGGTCTGTGGCGGGTGCTTTGCTAACGAACACTTGTCTGCTCAATGGCAAGGGCGTTTGCTTTTGCCTTCTTGGACTTCGTGATGGACTTCTCGACCATGCTTGACGACTTGACACAACCGAGTCTGGCGCGGCCATGTTCCCTGGTAGCATGGGAGAGCTTTGGTACGCTGGTATTCGCCCTCTGCTAACTGTGTCTCCCGTCTCCTGGCCTGATTGGCTCCGAGTGCTGCTTCTGAGGGCTGATTGGCTCTGGGTACTTGCTCTCATTTCTGACTGGCTATGGGTGCTGTTTCTCAAAGATGCCATAGTCTGATTTATCATCATATTCGTCTCATCCCCGGCGTTGTCGGCATCGTGGTAGCCCGGAATGAGACCACTCTGGTTGCTCTGAAATGAAGCTTGAAAGGATGGTAGAGACTCGACTGCAATCATACTGAAGTCCGAGGCATGATCCAGAGTATTATTATCTTGACCATTGTAAGTCCCTTCTCTAGCTTGGCCCGATAAGGATTCCAGGTCACTGTGAGGCTCCGTCATAAAATCCTCGAACAAATCTGCGTCTCCACCGTCCCACCGAGCCTCATGCCCCGATGCTTCGTTCGGCTCAGGTTCTTGCCCGGATTCTGGTCGCTGTCCGTCATGTTCTGTAAAGGTGTAATTGATGTCCGGCTGTGGCGGTGAATCAAAGGATGGTAACGTAGGAGCATCCATTTCCTCTGTCGCATGGGTTTCACCTTCGGGCCGTTTAGTTCTTGTAGTGCTAGCCTCAGAAGGTCCTTCGCCGCCCGTTTGCTCCTGCAACATATTCGGACCCACGCCTTTATCTTCAGCTTCGCTGATAGCATCCGTCAGAATGGCCACCTCTTGGGGCATCGACGCCTTCCTCGGTCGTCCTCGTTTCCTCCCAGTCGGCTGACTCGATGGCACCACCGGAGTGGCTGCTTTCTTGGGTCTTTTCGCCGTGCTCTTGAGCTTGGACATAGCCTCCGTACCAACATTCCCATCCGTCTCCATCAGCGCATCGCCGAAAATGCTGGCCTCGGACTCAGCATCGCCGTGGCGCTGTTGTCTTTGTGCCGGAGTCTTGCGCATGGGGGTGCCCGCACGCTTCTTCCCCCTAGGATTTGGCGTCGCATTTTTGCTCCCCGGCGGACGTCCACGGCGTCGCGGTGTCGGTGCCTCCTCACCATTATCACCCCCTTCATCGTCTGTCAAGCCTCGTAGCGGAACTGTTGTTGTTGTTGTTGTTGTCGTACCCGTTTCCCTCCTGCGGCTAACGCTGCGCGATGGTGACGAAGTAAAGAGACGGCGGCTTGTGGCGCCCTGGCTCTTGGCAAAATCTTCGGCTTCGACGGTAACGAGTATCCTCTGCGGCGCCAGCTCATTGCCGACATCAAGCTCAAACGTCTGTTTCCGGGGCGACTTGCCGGTGGACGAAACGCGGGTCCGGGGTGTGGTCTCCGGCACGAACAGTGACGAGTATTGCGAACGTGCCGAGCTGTTGGCTGTACGGCGGGTGGATCGGCGCATGGAGCTCGGTATCTCTTCGTCTATCAGGGGGTCTGGCGACGACATGAGGTCGATGAAGCTCGCCATCGTATGTTAGGTTTTGGCGATGCGCGCGACCGACCGACCGACGTGAGACGGGGGGGAACTATCGGAAGTTGACAATGGGGATAATCCGAGAGTGCATGCAGGGTGGCAATGCAGCGCGAGCGCATTAAATTCCAACAGAGTGTACGTCGCAAAGGGATATACGTACACGTGTAATCGTAAGTAGGTAGGTATCGAGGTATCGAGATACTACGGCGAGGCACAGTTGCGGCCAATTGTTGTTTACTCACCATCTAATCTGGTCTAGTGTGACCTCTGGGAAAAAGATCAGGCCAACCGAGCCGAATTAGGTGGGGCAGAGTCCGGACCCCAAATTTGATATTGTGAACCGCTCGGTCCAATTAAGAGGGGCAATGATCCCCCGCATTTTGCCACGATTAGTAAAGTCTCTAAAGACAGGGGGACTCGAGTCATCCTGAGGCTTCCCGAAACCCAGCCTCGGGAATACTTGCACTGGCCTCTGGTAGGCAACAGAACTCGCATAACTGGATTGGAAATGTCGCTCTTGAAAGTTGATTACATGAGATGAGCCAAGTCATGTTCTCTGCACCCCCCGGACCAGCCGCGTCACTGCACTTTCCAACCATAATGACCTAGTTGTCGCACGAATGGGATGGCGTGATTACCAGTGACCACCTCCAATGCAAAATATACCCAACCGACATTCACGAATTTCTCCGTAGGTTCTTTGATTTGAAATCTAGCAAGACTTGAGATGGTATAAAAGCCGAACAAGTATTTGGCTGTTTCGAACCTCATAGTCCACCATTGGTCTTAAAGTGACAAGTTTAGAGCTCTCTCCTCTATACCCTCATATCCTACCGGCTCTCCCTCACCTCACCCAACAAGGCATACTCAAACTCAAACCCGGTACGATGGTTATCTCTCCATCCTCTATCCCCCGCGGGCCCGTAACCACAACCCTCAACTTCTCCCACCCGCCCCCGGCAGGTGAAAAAGCCATAAATTACGTCGAGGAACCCGCAGTCGGCCAACCCAAGCGTAACCTAATTGTGAACCCACAAGCCGTCCAGCTAACTGACATCCGCGGCCACGAATCCTCCTACACCCTCGACCACGACGCCTTCCAAGCTATTTCCTCCGTCCCTCCATCAAAGGAAACCGCCTTCGAGGACGACGTCTCCATCCAGCAAAAATACTACCCGGAAGTCGAAAAACTTCTGCTAGATCACATCCCGGGAAGCACGCGCGTATTCATCTTCGACCACACGATCCGCCGCTCCAATCCGGACTCCAAACGCGCCCCAGTGTTATACACGCACATTGACCAGACGCCCAAATCTGCGCCGCAGCGCGTGCGGCGCCACATGGGAGAGGATGCCGAGAAGCTTCTCAAGGGCCGGTACCGTATTGTGAACGTATGGCGAACTCTGAACAAAGACCCCGTCGAAGCAAACCCTTTGGCGTTTGCATCGTCGGCGAGTTTTGCTGATGAAGACGCTATCCCGGTCGATCATATTTATCCGAATGGGTATACGGGGCAGACTGCCGCCATTTCCTATAGTTCGGAGCAGAGGTGGCATTACTGGAGCGGGATGGCGGGAGATGAGAGGTTGCTGCTGGAGTGTTTTGACAGCGAGGGGCGTAAGGAGGGGAGTGGGGTCAAGGGGGGAAGGGTGCCGCATACGGCCTTTGATGACCCGAGGACGAGGCAAGATGCTGAAGGGAGGGAAAGTATCGAAGTTCGGGCTCTGGTGTTTGGGCCGTGAGGCCGTAAGGGCGGCAGGCATAGGTTCATTGCGCTAAGTCGTGGGCATTTACATTCTTCACTTCAGCTCATAGGTGGGATCATGATCACATAACCACTGCTTTGACAGGATCCAAGCATTGGATCAAGTACTTTTACTGTGTAATGCCAATTTGTTTCATAATAGCTGCTAAATGCGACTACTGACATGTTACGGATGCCTTTGCTGTATCCGATGCATGCAATCAAAAGATTTGCGAGGCTGCGCTGTTAGGCTCCAGCCGGGATATCATGAAACACTAAGCAAACCTGCCATGTAAAGCGTCCGTCCGCTTGGCCATTCCTCTTGTAATGAGCCTTTCCTGGCAACCCAAACGCTAGGAGAGAGTCAAGCAGTTCTGGTGGGGTAGCATCCTTGACACCGCGTAGTAGAACGGGTTGTTCCGCTCTTCAAATCAAGCAAACAGTACCATGTCATCACGTCGTTAGCCCATTACCCCCTTCGTCGACCCCGGCCACTGCTAGTCCTTGTCATGGCGGCTCCACCTCCAAAGGAACTTTGCCGGCTCATGGGCGGCGCTGAAGGTGACGAGTGGTTGGCACCTGCAGCAGCAACACCAGGAACTCCAGCCAAGGCGCTCAGAACACCTCCTGGTTCCTCCCGTAGCGTGCCATTAGGTACGCCGAGCTGTTCTGATAGCCGGTCGACAGAAGGTCTCTGGCCTTGGATGTAGGCAACGTATCTGCCAGGCCGCCGCGGCTGCGCCATGGCCTCCAGCAGGCTGCGTCCTCCATGAGGTACCTCCAGGTTTGAGCCAACACCGTGGTCTCGTTGATGGAGCTTGAAGACCCTCATGACCATGAGATCGTGCTGTGCATCGTCCTGTGATAAGGATGTGGGGGTGTTGGACTCCGACTTTACGTACGCCTTGGAGTATTGGGAGTGGATGAGGGGCGGCAACTTGGGTTCCTGCGTACACATTCGATCCAGATTACCAGCATGCTCGAAATTAGCCAGGGCTTCCATGCCCAGCACCTTGTCGTCATAGAAGTTCTGCGTGTTGTTCTGGCCGCCGCGCGTGCTGCGGGTTGCGTGCGACGGCTGGCGTTCCATGGTAGGTGCCGATAGATCATCGTCTTTGTCCTCCTCATTGGCCTCGCCATTTCCTGTTTCGCTCTCATCAGGGGACGGGATCACATTGCCGTTGGCATCCCGGCGGGTGAGTAGGTGCTTGTGAGCCGCAACAGCAGCTGTGTTGTAAGTCATGGAGAGTTCCTTGTCTGTAAACAGCTTGTCAATGCTGTAGACAGGGCCCGTTTCCTTGCGCATGGCTCGGATTCTATCGTTCTGCCAGAGGGGCGTGGTGTTGGAGGTGTCGAGTGCTCTGCGCATGGGGGCCGGAGAGCCGTCGTCGTCAACGCCATTTCGCTTTCTCTTCTTGTTCTCGGAGAAGCCGGGCATCTCCTCCATCTCTCTACGCAGTCGAGTTGTTCGCTTTCCATGTGTACCGCCCGGGCTTGCGGGGTTCGTCAGACTGAACTGGTTGGGGTGGAGGAGCAGAGCCGAGCTGTCGTTGATCTCGAGAGCCTCCTTCTCTTTGCTCAAGCGAAACTTCTTAGATGTGATGGTGTTGATCAACCGATCCTTGAGCGTGCTCGACAGAGCCTTGTGTTCCCGCTTTGCGACTTCGATCTTGTAGGCATGGGTGTTGTAGTGCTCTTGCATCTTTCGCTCGTACTCAAACTTGTGGGTTGTCATCTCGTAATCACGATGTTCCACGAGATCCTCAACTTGGTGTGCCCAATCCTGGAAACTGGGGCCAGCCATCTCGAGAAGGCTGCGGTTGGGTCGGTCGCCACCATTCGCAGTGGCTTGCGAGAGCTCTCGGTACTCGCGCTCGATCACGTCCAGGGGACGGTCGGCGTAGGGGTCGACTCGTGAAACAAGGTTGACGTCGACTTGGATCTTTTGGAGTTCTTCCCGGTAGTGACGGTCACGATCGCGGCTGAATTGATCCGAGAGAACTGCCAACTTATCGCTCAACTGCTGTCTTTTCTTGTCGCGCTTCGATTGAGGCGGCGACTGTCCTCTGGTCAGCTTCAAAGCCTGCGCCGTCTCAGCCGTCGCCATGGTGTGTTCTGTGATGTGTTGGTGACTGGAGAATAATCGTCAATGGGTTGCCAAGTCGCCTCGACCGCACCCCGAACTGTGGTTTGACGGAGGAGTAGTTGCGCCCAATGGAACAGGAAAAATATGTTGAACGTTTAATAAAACCAAGATGTTCAGTGGGATAGTCGAGGCAGAGTAACCAAGAGACGCCAGGATAGAGTGTCTGGTGTATGTCGCTAGACTGAGTTGTGACTGAGTTGTCGTCACTTAGTGTAAGGAGCTATTCCAGGCCAGCTCTTGCTATTGTTCCGAGAGAATAGTATTGTTGTGGTGTCGGTTAAAGCCCTGGAGAGGATGATTTGATTGTTTGAGCAATGCAAGGCCAGGGCGCTTCAACCGTACAGAAGAGGTCAGAAGCCGAACTATTCTAGAGTTACAAGCCCTGTCCGACTTGGGACTTGGGACCCACTTTTTCGCAGTTCTCATTTCAGCCTTCTTGCGGCAATAAGTCTTTCTCCGTAATCCCGACACCTACTATGATTGGTTGACGTACCCCTGCAGCTCCCATATCCAGGCACAACAGCAATCAACCTACCACAATCCATCACACTCAGTGAATGAGTGATAAGATTCATATGTCAACAAAAGCATCAAGGCGTGACTAATATCATCCAGCTACAATTATCATACTTTAAATTTTCAATCATCAAGCTCAAAAAACCCTAATACATCCGATTGTGTGGCAAATTGGCTATAACAGCAGCGCACAAATGTAAGTACATACGAGTATAAACGAGTATAACTATAGTCACAGGTTCTAGCGTGCATCGTCATGGTCGTTTCAACCCTCTCAAAATAGCATCCTCGTGATCAGCACTAGCTGCATTCATGTCCATGGCCTACCAAGAGGTAAATGTTTCAAAAGTTTTACATCGCAGTCAGTCAGTCAGTCAGTCAGTCAGTCGGCAATCACGAGGACCAAGCGTCGTTTAGCAGGTCGCCAGTGGCAAGCTATCCATCGATTCTGTATGTGGTTTATTATGCAAGTGCCAGATGTGCATATTTCGGGCTGATGTGCAGAGGCATTTGCCCTCAATCATCGTATCCTCGTCCATTCATTTTCGTCCTTCTGCTTCTCATTGCTTGGGAAAGTCGACTGCGGTAAGGGCCAACTCCACCATGTCCACCGTGCTCTCTCTCAAGTCGTCCGATACCTTCCAGCCATGGACATTCGCAGCACGGGTAAAGGCCTCAAAGGCTTCGCCAATTCCGTAATCCATGCGATTGGCATGCTCACTATTCTCCAGTCGCGCGGGCTTGGGATCAGTGCTCGACATCGCCATACGGACTTGCAATAAAACACCTTCCAAGCTGCTGACCGGTGACCAACCCGAATTCGTCAAAAGTTCCATACACATGGCCCCTCCCGCAGTAACGTGCCCACCACCGCCCTGCATGAACGGGAGGAAGCGCGGCCGGATAACTCGCACAAAGGGCGGCGATAGAGGATAATCTCGGCCAAAGCGGATTTCCAGCACGATGCTTTTCACCCCGACCTTCTTCATGTCCTGTGCAAGTGGCAGCTTTGGGTCAAACGAGTGCAACTCAACGATCCAACGGAACATGTTGGTAATCTTCTCGAAGTCGATGAACCAACCAAGCTCATGAATGCGCGTTTGTGACTGGATTTTCTGTAATTTTGCAATCTCCTTCCCAATAATCTTCTGGGCATTATCTGTGGCATACGAGGGGGGGTTGAGCTGAGGCAAAGTAGAAAGATCCAGAGCGCCAGGGCGAAAGTCCGTCTGATGCTCAGACAGGCTGTAAGGTGTATTCAATCTTGGTGTTGTCAGCTGATCTTCTCCCTCCGAGGAGAGGAACTCAAGATCTGATTCATCCTCATCACCACTATTTCCCGAGTGCCCCACCGCTTCCTGCTTCAGCTCGACAGGCTGCTTTGATACTTGGGCTGATGGGATGGCTTTTCGTGGAATGAATATGGGCCCGCTGGGTCCTGTCGCCACATGTGCAGGATCTTGCACGAATTCGGGGTCTGTTCTTCGAATCGGGGCAGTATTGGCAGACCCAGGGGTGTGAGCATTGATGTCAGACGGGCTCATGGCTGTCGATCTCGTTGTTTTGACAAAGAGGTACCGGCACTGAATCCAGTGAATGTGCTGTACCACAAAAAAATGCTGAGCGCTGGTAAACTGGCCAGGTTTGTTGATCAACTCGTTGAGACTCAACGCAGCACTAATGCCGAGTGCGGAATTAGGCCACACAATATCCCCAGTGGAGCCGGAGCTGTAAGTATGCGCACTACCTGTGTAGCTGAGAGCGCTGGTGTTAAAGTCTTTGGCGAAATAGACTCCGTGTCCGTAAGCGCGCCCGTGGTGAATATATTTGAAATCCAAACCCTGGCGGATGATGCTATGCCAGTTGTAAAGAGGACTACCGTGCCAAGCCACAAGGGTTCGTTGCGGCGTGCCGACGTGCTTCAATGCTTCCTGAAACAGCATTTCCTTCTCTGGAGATCCTTGTGCAAATCTGAACTGGACCCATCCATCAACGCCAGATATCTTCTCGTCTTGCCGGCTTAAATTGAGCTCGCTTTGCGCATCTGGTCCCGGGCATTCCCCGACTTGCACAATGTAAGAGCGGTTCGAAGCGATGATCCACCTCAAGAGCTTCGCAGCCGAAGGACTAAGTCCTTTCCATCGTTCAATCTGACGACTACGGTCGGTCATCAGATGTGCTCTCATGGTGGCGATCGGGGGGACAGTCGACAAGAGTATAGTCATGGAAAAGGCCTTGTCTCTGACATCGGAAATGTCGTCTAGGTTCTGGTTATAAAAAACCATATTAGCTGTCATGGATCCAGTATCAGCAGCTCCGGGTATCGATTCAATGTCAAGGCGCTCAACTGGAGCTAGTTGTCCGGGGGATGATTGTGACGGCAAAACATGCCGTGATACCACTCGCAATGTGAGCGTGCAGCCAATAATTCCTTCGATTCGAGCATGATGGGCGATGTGAACTCCACCGGCCACTCCAGCGCTGCTTGTAGGCTGACCGTTAGACGACGAAGTTACAACAGCAACCCACTGTCCCTCTCTGACCTTGGCAGTATCAAATACATCAACCACGACAGTGCTCGCCTGCCTGTCGAATTGTACTTTCAAAGGGTCGATTAAGACAATCGGCCCAATACGAAGGCATGTGCCAGGTCGAGCGAGAGAAGTCTCGGCTCGACGAATATTCGGCACTTGTAAGTGGATTCCCGTTGGAAATTCACGTATGCCGCTTTCTTTCTGTCGATCACCGGGGCGCTTCAGAGATGCATAGCAGAAGCTGATGAGAAGGTCGACCACGTTAGGCTGGCTGATGATTTCGTGATCGATGCTAGGCCCACAGCCCATATTCATGTACTGGAAGAGACAAAGCGCATTGCCGCAGACATAAGGCTTCAGCGCCTCAAAGTTGCCCTCGATCAGCTGGTGACAAACCATGCAGTAATCCATACATCGGACGAAGTATCGCATGGCGAATTGGGCAGCAATGAGGGGCAGCGACTTCTCACCGTCTTCATGGGCGTGATGTCGAGCAAGAAAACTAGGAAGCTTCTCGTGATCATTGGCTTGTTCGTGATCCCCCCCTGACTGTTGCACGACATGTGACGAATTGTTCAGCATGCTTGCAAGTCTTTTCTTGGCCGCGTCCCAGGACAAGGCAAGAGTCAGCTTCAGTTTGAGCATAGAAATGAAATCAGAGCCCATGAATTGGTCGATAGTTTCACCTATGCCCAGCAGGCTAAGACCGACATCACCTGTACTTGCTTGAGAATCGCTCGTTTGGACGTTGGCAGCGGTTTCTGATGTGAATGCTCGGACAGCCTGGTCGATTGTCGGCTTGTATGCAGAGCACTTGCGGAGGCGGAAGGAGAGGTTGGATTGCCCCGAAGCCCGATCGAGAGCTTCTTCCGTTGTCGAGTAGTCTCCCTCGTATCGGATCAGAAGAACGACGAAGCCGTTTGAGCTGAGGTCCCAAGCCTGAAGGGTTTCTGCGGACAAACACAGTTTGTCGACGCGTACTGATAAAGAGACAATGCTATACTCGGTAGCCACATCAAAGCCACATAGCCGTCCCACTTTGAAGCCGGCCTTACGAACAGCACGGAAGTCACGACGAATTCGACTGACGATGTCTGGTTTGATTTTCTTTTGACGCAGTATATCGGTGGCCGGCCGCTCATCTTGCGCAGCAGCCAATCCGAATATGTCGTCGTTATCTTCGTTGAATTCAAAATCTTCGAATTCTTCGTTGTCCTCATCACTTGCGGCTTCGCCATCCTCTTCGTCCACATCGGTTATGATTGTATCTTCGTCATCCGAAGTGGAGGCAGACCTTTTGAGCACATCGCTGAGCTTGTAACAGACACCTGCGATGGCCTCGGAAACCCTCAATCCCGCTGAGACCGGCACGAAATCCTCTAGCGGTTTCGAAATAGGAGCAGGGACATCGTTGACGGCATAGATGGTGAAGTAATGGCCGTTAGGGTAGCTGGACCATTCTTCAGGGATGAAACGAATGTCTAGGTGAGATGACGGGAGGCGGGTGTCGTTGAATCTGAAAATGAACTCTCCGTCATCCTCGACTCTTAGGTGGGAGACACCCCGAATGCCATTGTCAATAACAGATGACAGGTCTGCTTGGTAACTGGTGCGGTACTCCCTGGTTCTTGAAGTCATGATTGGCAACTGTTGTCAACCCAAGAGGTTATTTGTGAATTTGTGGCGTTGACGCTGTGCTATACAGCCAGGCCTATTTCATGTTAGAGACTGGACATGACAGTGGAGAGATTGATGTACGAGAGGATGGATTAAGTCTGGTCGATATGTTTCCGTTACCAGCAGGCGATAGAGGTTGTTAAGAATCTAGATAGTATATATGAAAGCCAAACTCACCAGGTTCTGATCAAAATCACTTGGCGGTGATGATGATAGGGCCTGATCTGGACGATGCGGGTTTGATCCTTCACTTGGCTATATGTCTGCCTGGGGGGTGATGACTACGCAAACCGATGGTGTGGATTGCCTCGCGAGGCTCGATGGTACAAATATCTGCTTGAAATATGTCAACCTGGGAATTCAAACGTGTCCCACAGCATGTGGAGTAGCTGGGTTTTTGGTGCTTCCAGCTTCCAGAATACCTACGTCGCCTGTACTTAAAATCATGATGTGACCTGTATGTGAATGAAGTGTTGCCGCCAGCGTTTGCAAACTCGCTGGGTCACAGAAACCAGGAAGTTCGTAAGGCATGTAGTTGTAATTAGGACTAGGCTACTACAGGAAACCACGACCGCCCTATGTGCAGAGCTGCAGGTGTCAGTCCTACTACTTCTTCCCCCAGGGCTGCTAGGTAGAGAGCAGGGCGAGTTCATCGAGCTTCGATGTTGACTTTGAATACTGCCTAGAAACCCCACGCAGCAATTGCCCGGAATTTCCACTTGAGCATAAACAGCTGGACCAACGCCTGCTAATGCATACATTGCGGAATGTTTCACAAAACAAGCCAGGAATCTGCAACGGAAAGAAACACAAAAAAGTCTCGAGACGTCGGTGTAGATGCTACGCCAAATTTAGCAATCGCGAATGGGGCGGCTACCGTACCTGTAGGGCGAAGCTTTGGGCGCCTTGAACCGCCGTGGGGTCGATCAGGTTGGTGGGTTGCGGGCAAGGTGCATGATCGGTGGACAGCAACCCCTGCTCGCTGGCTGGGGTAAAGCCGCTCCAGAAAATGTCCATGTTGTCGAGTCAGAACAGCAGCCCTCAATTGACCCAATTGAAGCAACGCGTTACACAACTTGCCAAACGTCGTCTCTTCCAAGTTGCTTGGGATATTTGGGTGGCAGAACAACGAGCTTGAGGCACTGGAACAAAGGTGCTAATCCCCTTGTCTTTGGCAGAGACCCGATATCAGGACTACGATCCAATACCAGCCAGCTCTGGTTTCCGAAGTGTGCAGCTGGCCATGTCGTGGGATACAAAGACAGCCGTGCGGCGACGGCAGAACAGCTCAGTGAGCTCTTCCAGAGCATCGCCACAACATAACCGGCAGCAGTCAAAGCAATCCACACCCATTGAACCTAAATCAGTTCACGTAGCCGACCCCTTCCTGCAGAGCTTCCTCGCCCCGGCTTTCGATGCCACCGACTACCTCAACTCGTCTTTGCCTCCGTTGCAAGCCCATGTGTCCTCGATAACGCCAAGTCAGGAAGGCGCTGTCCCTTTTGCCGAACTATCATCGCAAGCCCAGACGTTATTATCACAACTAAGCGCCCAAACCACTCGTCTAACCAACACCCTGACGCAGCTTACGGACGATATATTGCGAAGTGGTAGCCGGCTGGCGTACGAGGTGGAGTTGCTTCGAGGCGAGACCTTGAGTCTGTCCGAAGCTTTGGCGGATGGCCTACATGGAGACATTGTGAAGTTTGTGCCGAATGGCGTACAGGACCAAATGGAGGGCAAAGCGAACGGTGTCAGCGCGATTGATGGGATTTTGCGACGCCCGTCGGGAGTGGCAGCTTCGACCAGCGAGGACAACTCTACTCCGCAGGATGGCACGATCGAGGACCCGGCATACATCACACAGCTGCGCACTCTGACGTTGGTACGCGCAAAGCTGGACTCTGTCGTTCACACGTTCGGCGATGCAATGGAGTTCGTCTTTCCGCCGTCGGAGCTATCTGTTAGTTCCTCCTTCTTGTCGGTATCGGCACCTGATGCTGGAAGTAAAGAGCACAGCACAGAGGAGAAGGGGCAGCAAGTACTCAAGCGGTACCGAGACGAGATATCCGAGCTACTAGTAAAAAGTAAAGATCCAGTCGACGGCATAGAGAAGGCAGCCCGCCGGATTGAGGAGCTCAAAGAGCTGACGAAGGTATGGGCTGGCACGGCGGAAGAAAAGGGCAGGACAAAGTTCATCGACGGCCTGGCAAAGATGGTCGAGGACAGACACAGAGATCTCATGCGGGAGGTGGAACAAGGTGACAAACGACCTGAGGTCGGACATATGCCGCGGAGGAGCACCGAGGAGGCGGCTGAGAACAAACCTTTGTCTGGGTATGGAATCATGAGCCAGCTGCAAAAACTACGAAGTGGATTATAAAACCATGGCCTACTCAAATGATGCTGAATGCCAATGAGGCTTCTGTTCAGGTTGTTCAGGTTCTGGCTGGGCGCACACAATGCCAAGGAGTTGCATCAGTCCAGGCCCGGCACGTCCTCTGACACGTCAAATAGACGAAACAATAGAAAAGATTTTCTCCACAATTGCATATTATCAGGAGTCGTGGATGACACTGGCATATGAGACAAGCTGTCAAAATTGAGTTCATCCCTCACACCGCATCCCAACGTTGGATGTTTCCGCACATCCGACCTCAAATATTTGTTAAATAGCATCACACAAAAATCCAATATCCTCAGTTACAACGACATTCTGGCTTCCTGTATCTTATCAATGGCAGTCGGCTATCCATTCCAAGTGCCACAATGAGCTATCCCAGCGAAAGCTCATCTCCTGAGAAATCGCACACACCGCGCGATATCGCAATTACATATAACATCTGGACCCGGGTGTTGACTTTCATCATGATTCTTCTGTCCCTTGGTCTATTCCTGGGGATGCGTCGGCAACTTGTTCGTCAGAACCTTCGCTCGGAGAAAGTCGTGGGACATGCTGACTCGTTGGAATGCAGCTAATGACATACCAACCACAGTTGTTGTGAGATCCTAGCATGTCACGAAGCAAAATAAATCCCAGGTTGTTGTGGCAAGGATATATACATGAAGAGACGGCTAACGGGTCTCCTGGTGTAGTGGTGCAGCTGGGCTTATGTGACTGGTTGGATTACAATGGGTTTTTGAGGAGAGAGGAGGGGGGAGGAGGGAGGTAGGACGGGAGAGATCATGAACTTGATTGAACTTGATTTTATTCAATGGCGACTCGGTGGTGTTTATAGCGGAAACGTTGGGAATGACACAATACAGCATCGGGCTGACAGCCTGGACTCAATGAAAATGATAACGATCTGACCCTTGAATATCAGGGAAATATGCGAAGGTGGTTCTGCTACTGTACACCAACCTCACTTTCATGGACTGTTACACTACTACACTACACCAAAAAAGGAACGCATTGCTCTTATCCACTCTTTGTTGTTTCCTTTGGATCTTCGTTTTCCTTGTCGCACTGTACTTCTGACTATCTCAATAAATGAGTGCGATATACCATATTTACGAGGTTAGATACGAGAAAGCAGGGTTAGGACCATCCATGCATCTACGTCTCTACACTGAAACCACTCCAGCTCCTACCATACTACGCCTCTGAAGTCTTAGCATTGGTAGGCTGTATGCGATGCCCCTTTATGTACGTCAGCCATCTGCAGGACGTGGGTTTCTACAACCTAGAAGTCAAGAATCCCCAGACCCTTCAGTCGAATCAACGACCTGAAATACGGTGAAGAGTGGCTATATGGTACTGACGTACTCAAGTCAATCTCAGAATACCTAGGTGAGTAGAATGTCGGAGCCTTCTAGCATAGTCGTGAAATCAGTAAAATAAAGGAATAATGGTAATATGGGGCCCTCTCGGGATCAATAAGTAGGGGGGGTATAAAGTCGAACGAAAGAATGTTCATTAAAGTGGCATTAGTTCCGACAGAACAAGTTCTAGTACTGTTCATGGGAATTTCCCAAGCAGCCCAAATATGGATTACGCAAGATCATGCTCATTATCGAGATCTCCTAAATCCCAGATGGTGCCACTAAACCATTCATTCACCGTTTCTGAGAGCGCGTTATGACATCATTTGCCTAAGTTGTAAGTGATAGACCTAGTCGTAGAGACTATCTACTCTAATCTGTCACAGTATGTAAAGGTCAGTCTACAGAAATGGTGTTGGCTATGCCAGCCCTGCCGGGCAAGATATTTCCTGTGACCTATTGCCTTGGAAGAATTCAATGTGCCAAATTGACGTGTGCCATGGTACTTTTATGTGCTCATCCTCACAATAGAGCATGTACCTCTCATTGTCTTCAGTTAACTCCTTTCCGAAGATGTAAAGCATGGCTAGAGTGTACACATCAATCCGCAGGCTTAGCTGTCCTCAATCGCCTCCATAGCCGCCTCATGCTTCTTTGCCCTTGCCTCCCTCCACTCGTTGGCATTCGCATACCCTTTGCGCCTTGCTTCTTTGTCATAAGTGTCCTCCGGAGCAGCTAATTTCGCCTTCTTCAATACCGACTGATATTTCCCGACCAATCGCTCCCTGTTTCCGCCCTCAAACGTCCTCTGGCTAAGTGGTGCGAACTCAGGCGCCTTGCGGTCCCTCCTCAGACTGATATCAGCCTGGGCAGTCACAATATTCAACAGCTGGCCAGACAAAATCTCGTCAATCTTTCTCTCACGCCAGTATCCCCACATCTGGTCTACCAGCCCCGTGGCGCCGTGCTGGTTTAGCGGGCTGTCTTCGCCCATGTAAGCCCAGTCTATCGAGTTTATCCGCTCGTTGTCTTCGGTGGCTTCCAGATTGGGGAAGATGCAGTCCCACAGTACCAAAGGATACTCGCTTGCCAGCGTGTAATTCGGCCTTTGGGGCTGCTTCTCGTGGTCGAGAAGCTCGTCGATGATGGAAGGAGCCTCTAATCCTTGGCCAACCATAAAAATGATGGCTACCATACAGCGGATTTGATGCCATAGGAATGCAGACCCCCTGACGTGGAAGTAATAGACCTTTGGAAACGGCTCTGTATTTGCGGCCATATTCGCTGGCCTGAACTCATCTTTGCCCAAGTATGGCATCGCTGTTTCGACATCTTTGACCTGGACCACGTCACACTCGAAAATGTTTCGATTGAAGTTGGTAATCAGCTTTCCGGGGTCGATTTTGCAGAAATTGCGGAAGTCATGGGTGCCTTCAAACTTCTTCGCCGCTTGGCGCATTGCGTCAACATCGAGCCATCCGTCCTTGACGGCACTGCTAGCCTTCGGGTTTTCTAAGCCTCGGGGTATCGGGGAATAGGCGGGTTGGGTGAAGAAATATCGGTACTGCCTTTCACGACAGTGATGTCGAGCCGAGAATTCTGCCGGCGTCGTCGGGCACCAAGCAAGCATCCTGATATCCGGAGGGAGCAGCCGGTTTAATACTCTGCAATATTGTATTTCGTCCGAGAAGTCGTCGAAAGGTTTCTCCTCCACAAGCTGAATATCAGATTCCTTCTCAACGGCCATTCCCATCTCGTTTTCTGACGCACTCGTAGCACCACCATCCGGCTTGGTCTCCTCCACGGGCTTTTTGGGCAAGGGTCGATTACTCCTGACTTTGATGCCAATGACCTGGCCGAAAGCGCTCACACCACGATCCGTCCGGCCGCATTTCGAGTACTCCCATTCCTCCCATTTGACTTCGTCCGGGTTTTCGGGGAAAATCAGACAAGCCCTGACCAGTGCCTTCCAGAGCTCCTCCTCGATAGTTGGTAGCTGTGCGCTCACCTGAAACTCGAAACCGCCGTAGTTCTTTCCGATGTATGCGAGTTTAAAGGCTACCAGCCTCGTCGAAAATTTTGATGGATCAATTTTCTTGTCCGGCTTCTTTTTGGCCTCTCTTGGCGGCGGGCTCTCATCCCCGCCCGTGGCCTGTTTTTGGATGGAAGATGAATTGGCGGCATTCGGATCGCTCCTTGCCTGGGCTGCAGTCTCTAATATTTGGATTTTCCTTATGAGAGCTTCTTTGGTCCATTTTTTATATTCTGGGGGGCGGTCCATTTTGAGCCTGCTCAGCTGCTTTGGCTGAGCAAGACGCTGAGTTGAAATGTTGCGTTGGGTGAGTTTTCGTCCGCAGCAAAATACGGTCCCCGCATGAATTTGTGGATGCCGCCAACCAAAAATTCGACTGCCGAAGGACTTCATACAAGCTTCTTCATGAAGTGCCCTTTTTCCACTGCTAGTGACTCAGCTGAGTGACTGCTTCAAGTTCAGAAAGCGCACAAATGTGTGGCTTGTCGACTTATCGATAACAGCGTTGAACCCGCCAAGCCATTCTGTGATGAGGTGGGCAAGCAATATGTGGCTTGCGTCATTAACGCAGTCCAAGTCTCATTGTCGGGTGGCCTATTTCGAGTTGACATTTGGCGCGAAACATAAATCCGTGTCGTCGTCATCATACCACCTGGTAAATCCCTTTAATTGCAGATTCTTGACCGAACCTATTTTACTCATACCACATCAGCAGGGTGAATCCCCTGCAAGGTCTCGATGGACACTATGCCAGTCAAAGTTCTGTTGTTAGGGGATGATAAGGTTGGGAAGTCCACCTTCCTTGCGTAGGTTCATAATACTCATGAGAAGGTGAACGGGCTGCTTATGCCCATCTAGACGCACCAGCCAAGGAAGCAATGCGCTCGACGGCACGGTAGAAATTACTCCTTTGCGTAACTTAGATCAGCCATTCATCTTTGAGATGCGAAACAGGAAACATCAATATCGCCTCGAATTCTACGACACGTCCGCTCCAGAGAACTGGCGGTTGCTCGAGCCAGACTTGGTCATTATATGCTATGATATCAGCCAAAGGCTTAGCCTCATCAACATGCAAAGAGTCGTAAGCATCTCCCTAAACTCGATCTGCGGATTACAGCACATTTCTTATGCTGATTCCCCTCAGTGGATCAAAGAAGTGCGTGCGAACTTCAAGGCCGAAGCAAGTCTTCCGGTTGTGGTGCTCGGGCTAAAGCGAGATTTGAGATCAGAGGATGACCCGAATGGTATTATCTATCCGCAAGAGGCATATCGGATCTCTCAAGAGATAAGGGCAGACAAGTACGTGGAGTGCTCGGCTGTCACTGGCGACCTCCTCAAACTGGCCTTTGAAGAGATTTGTAGCACGGCAATGAAGACCACAACGCTTGGTGGTGGTCAGAGTGATGGAGGCTGTGTAATTATGTGAGCAATTGCTTGATATGAGAAGGAGCTGAACCTTGATTTCACCTTGCTTAACTTCTCGAATGGGCTATAGTGACAAGATCGCGTGTTGTGCAGTGATTGTCGCATGTCCATTACTGGGCGGCTTCAGTCATGTCCATTGCATCACCTTCCTCTTCCGCTTCCTCGGTTGGCGGGAATTCCCCAAGCACCTCAACAATGCCCTCAACAATATCCTGTTGCTGCTCCTCGGTGAATCGGTCCTCCATATCCTCAATGACGGTGTTGAGGGTGATTATGGTGGTTGGTCGTAGGTTGAAGATCATAATCATCTCTCCCTTGGTGATCTCATACTTGCGAAGTCTCTCGAGCAACTTTGGGATGGAGCTGTCTTTGTAAGTGATTGGCCTCTGGCTCAGAGGACCCGGGTGAGATTCAAAATATTTGATCAGCTAGACTGGGCATTAGCAAAGCTTCATGGTTGTGTAGCTCCGGAGCCTTACCTCTTCACGCAATGTTTGCAGACTAGGAGGTCCTGACTTCTTGCTCTGACGTTTAATGAAGGAGTACACCTCGAAATTAGTAAGAACGGCTGACTGAGCTTCTAGGATCTTCATGGTGGCTGTTCGGGTGGAAGTCGGGTGGAAGTCGGGTGGAGATACAAATGATGGTAAAGCTGGATCTCTCTTCTCCGACTTCTCCGAAGCAATTATAATTGCACTGTAGTCAAATCAATTGGTGATCACTTGGCTAGTAAAAACGGGGAAAGAAGTGTATGCAGCAGCCAAATCCTATCGTGTGCCAATCTAACTTCGCTGAATTTGTTGCCAGAGCCTCAGGAAGACAATGCCGAAATGTAGCGGGATTAATAAGGTTGCTGACAGCCGAGTTTGGTCCGCGGCCGCGGTGCGGCTGATCTTCTGTCGAAATCTTCTGTCGGAGTGGCTTCTGGTTTTTCTTTCTCACTCTGTCGCGGAGATGCTGGGCGGAACTCATCCAACAGTCATTACCCAAGGTAACCCGGGAATTCCGTTCTCTACACGCATTTTCTCAGATCACCAAGCCATTCATCCGATAGCCCTGATACTTCAAGATTTGGAGGCTCACTCATCTTGATGACTGTATTGTTCCACATGCAAAAATTGAACGAACTTTTGTCTTGTCCTACAGCGCGCCATATCCCCCACAAGCTTTTTGCCCCGCCATGCAGTGAAACTGTGTTTTGGGCCCAGGTTCGCAGCTAATTTGTACAAAGAACTCCCACAACGTTTCCATCGAATGAACAATCCCAGGAAAAAACACCACCTTGGAACAGGTTTACTCCCCAGAATATGTCTTCATGACCCAAAACAACCGTAGGTACTTTAGAAGTACCGCATTCAAAATTAAGCAATCAATGGCTGTTGGCTGTGCTTGTCCTTTGGCTCATTGCATCATTACCATGTATCAGGAACCTCTTGATAGATCCCAAATCCCAGCAAAGGCATTCGCCAATTCGCTTTCTCCCCTCCTTCCACAGGCTGTTGTGCTGCACCCCACCTCAAAAAGTTTTCTGCCGCCAGTGTCAAGCAAGAGTCAGGCAGGCCGCGAACCAACAGCGGCGCATTCATCTCACCATATCTGGAGAACGGTTCCTCTTAGATCGGTGGTAGATTTTTTCCATCCAGTTTTCTCTCTTCCAACTCCACAGATCTCTATTTAGATATTTGTGAACCTATCCCCTTTGACGCCATGGCCCTCTAACAGAACGATACGAAGCTATTGCCTTCAGCTTCAGAATCCCAAATACAATCACTTTTGTCATTCCTCTGCAAATTTCACGGCGTAACGCATCACATCCTCCTTCGAGTACGAGCCCTTGAAGAACAACCTGTCGCACATATCAACGATAGCTCCAGGATAATACCGCCTTTACTCCGGATTACGGCTTACACCCCACCGACCGACCGCGTTGCATCATCGGGAGCCGCTCTCTCCCGACAAAGGCTATCCTCGGCTGCCAGCCTCCGTGACCGCTCCCTAAAATTGCCTCTCGATCGGCTTTCCTCGCAGGGAACTACACGACAGCGACCATGGTTAGGAATATAGTAATTCTCGGGGGCAATTCCCACCCCCAGCTTGTAGACAGGGTCTGCAATATGCTAGGTGTGCCCTCCTGCGATCGGATTCTTTCCAGCTTCTCGGTGGGAGAAAGCAGGTGCGAGATCAAGGATTCGGTTCGAGGAAAGGATGTCTACATCATTCAGTCTGGTGGAGGCAAGGTCAATGATCATTTCATGGACCTTTGTATCATGATCTCAGCTTGCAAGACTGGGTCGGCGAAGAGGGTTACAGCCGTTCTGCCCCTGTTCCCATATTCACGACAACCTGACCTTCCATATAATAAAGTTGGCGCCCCGCTATCAAAGCAGCCCACCAACCCGAACAAGAGCACGTATACCTTCGAAAGTGTCCCACCAACTCCTGGCCCAGGAGGTCCCAGGAGTGCTGGCTTCGTGAACGGCAACGGCCTCAACGGCAACGGCATCGATGTACTCAGCAAGAAGCTCAGCAAGGCCCGTGTTGCAGACAGCTCCGTCAATGGGGACTCCCCAACGAAGACCACGAATGGGGACGGGCAACTGAAACGCAGTGATTCAACTCGCACCTTCACTACTCACGACTACGAAAACCACTCCTTACTCAACACCTTCCAAGCCAAGCCCGGATACAAGCAATGGGTAGCTCAGGCGGGAACGCTGGTCGCCGACTTATTGACGTGCTCCGGGGCTGATCACATCATTACGCTTGATTTGCACGACGCGCAGTATCAGGGATTCTTCGACATTCCGGTTGACAACCTCTACGGCCGTCCTCTGTTGAAACGATACATCCAACAAAACATTCCAAGCTTCAGGGAAGCAGTGGTTGTCAGTCCTGATGCTGGTGGAGCTAAGAGAGCAACTGCAATTGCCGACAGCTTAAACATGGATTTCGCATTGATTCACAAGGTAAAGTGCTCACTTTTCTTCAAACGTTTCACTCCTGAAACCCCATTAGGAACGCCGTCCAACGAAAATCATGGATCGACAAAATGCCACCATGATGCTTGTGGGTGATGTGGCGAATCGGGTCTGCGTCTTGGTGGACGACCTAGCAGATACTTCGAATACGATTACTCGAGCTGCGAAGCTCTTAAAGAAGGAGGGCGCAACGATGGTGTATGCCCTCCTCACCCACGGTGTCCTCAGCGGAGATGCCATTGCCCGCATCAATGCGTCAGCCATTGACAAGCTTGTGGTGACGAATTCGGTGCCTCAAGAGGAACACAGGCGTCTTTGCCCTAAGATGGACGTATTGGATATATCCCCAGCTTTTGCGGAAGCTATACGTCGTGTCCATCATGGCGAGTCTATCAGCACACTGTTTCAGTATGACTAAAGCCACAAGCGGCTCAGCCGCCATGAACAAGTGGTTACGGTCAAACTGAGGTATTACGCCCGCGGTTCTCTATAGATCTTGCCACCGGGGTCCCAGTTGGAATGCCACGAATGTCGATTATTCCAATCTCAGTGGGTGGAATGATCAGGAAATTAGGCTTTCTTTATTATGGAGATTGAGGAGTTTCTTCCGTCGACTACCTCTAGAGCATGCGACTACCTCTAGAGCATGCGACTCGTTAATTCGCATTTTGAACATCCGGGATTGGCATTTTGTTCTGCAGAGCGAAATCAGGACATTTGCATAGGTGGCTATTGGTCTTGCTATACTACCATCAGTTGGATAATTTTTCCCAACGGCGTTCAGAGCATCAGAAGGCCTCGAGTTGTTATTCATTGAGCCTCTCGCTTGGGGCGAAAACTTTTCAAAAAGACAGGTGCGGTATTGGATACTAAACTAGATGTAAGAGAAAGGCCTTTTGGTTTGAGTTTTTTGCATGCGTGATTTTAATTACAATAGAAGCGGATCTCTTAAAGGTCTTTTGCTTTACCAACAGTAATGTCTGGGCTATGAAGTCGCACCACAAGACTGAGCTTGGCCAGGTGGTGACTGACATACACGATGGCTATGCGGTAGTGTCCTGCTTGTCTTAATAGGTGGAAAGTGGTAGACATCGAAGAGTTGTCGTTGTCTATGTGCAATTAACAGTTGATTAGCATCCCATGAATAACGAAAAACCAGTGTAAATGAAAGAAACCAAAATCTTACACATTTGTGGGTTCAGATTACTATCATGTTTCGTGTCTGTGGTTCTTCGTGAGTGAACATAGCATGTATACTTTGAAGTCTCACAGCTTTCTTCATAACTCGCTACCAGCCAGATCCTCGAAGTAGTGGTCCTATGCTTGTTAATCTCGGACCAATGGTTTCTGAGAATCAGAAAGTAGGCAGCCCCTTTCGTGATTCTATGTCGTTCTTGCACTCTGAGCCAGGTCGAGTATGAGTTACTGACAACTTTTATCACTGCCCACTAGAGCGCATCTTCCGATTTGCAACATCTGTTTAGGTCATCTTCATCTTGAATTGCTGTAGGGCATCAGTTTTACGAGCTGCTCTGCCACATTCAGGGAAAGGCCGTGCAGCTGTATATCAAGGGCTCCTAGTGCTACTTTTTCCGGTTTCATACTTTCAGCGACGAGAATGAACCTGTCTCATGATGGAAAGGTACGAGCTGTGTGGGAGAGCACTCAATTCAGAAGATTATTCACTATATATTACCGCTGTCTCGAGGCGAAGGTGGGAAACCTGCTTTGGACTTATAGATCGACTAGTCTTAAGACTAAAAAGAACAAAACCATGAAGCTTATGCATGGGCTTGATACAGTATTATCTGTCCTTATACTTCGATTGAAGTGATCCGGTATTCAAGCTAGCTAATATATCGACATTGACTGCCCGACCGGCACCTTAGGACGAGCCGAATGTTGTTAAAATCATGTAAGAACCTTATCTCTGGGTAACGAATATGAGCAGTGCCTGTAAGTGCTTACTGGTGTACCCATACACTGCAGCCCCACATATTAGATCTCAGTTTCCCCTTTCCAAACAAACTAGTAGCATTAAGGCATAAGTGTGTCTCCTGGTACATATTTGCCAACTTGCTGGTAAAGTAACTAGACCGGGCGAATGGCATCTTGGATGCTTGAAGGCATTAAGTCCCACACCAGACCAAACGCGGATCAATGGAACTATCTATAGACGTGGCCAGTATTGAACGAGCGTTGTGACTTGAGCCGCTTGACTCGGCGCTGAATGTGAGAAGAAACTTCAGCCAGAAGGAGCAGCGTATCAATACTTCCCGAGAAAACATGAGAAAGGAGTCCTGGACACCGTTGTGTAGGTGGGATTTGATTTCGATGACTTCGAATGCAAGCACGACACGGATATCCGCCATTATCATGTGATGTGGCAACTGTTGGCTGGCAGGTATGCTTACTTGAGCTGCACAAGGAGATATACACGACGAGAATTCGTGGCATACACAGGAAGAAACTTATTATGTACGTAATGACCGAGTCTAAACTCGACGGCTTGGATGCTATCTTCACTCTGGAAAGGACGAGCGGAAAATAGTTCAAGCAAAGAGAGTTGGATTATCCACTGGAATCAGATAAGATAATGACACTTCTGGTTTACCTCAAATCGTCTTGTCAGGTTCATTCAACCAGGGGCTGGAGGCAGTGAATGAGTCCAGCATCTAACGACGTTAAAATTGAAAAGCAGAGTGCGACTGGTTGGTTTTTGAAATCCTCCGAGTTCAATTCGAAATTCATGTATTGATGATCAGAAGGCTCCAGGAGATGTTTCCTGGTAGGCTTTTCCTGATCACTATAATGTAGAGGGCGTGAACTCCCCCAGATACCGAACTGGCGGTGACTTTAGGAACCTACCTTGAAGCACACCGACGTCATGTCTCGGATGTAAGTTTACTGCTTCGCCGGACATCCCACAAGGATCCGGAGAGACCCGGCATTCGTTTGCAAGCCAGAAGATAGATCATCCGCTCTGAGGTTAGGCGTTATGCTAGTTATTTAGACACCGGTACTTAAGGAAACTTACATGATGGTTTTGTACATTTCTGCATGCCTGTCTTGTCCTGATGGTTAGTGAAGATCGATCCTGTGGCGTATTGAAGCGAACGAAATGAGTTAATTGCACGTTATTTGTTTATTGCAAGCCTTTGTGGTTGACATGTTCCATTGGCTAGAAGATTTCATCGAAAAGGGTGATATGGAAAAGACTAGAAGCCTACGGGACGGATGTGCTTCGAGGACGAACGCAAGGTATGATCGAAATCTCAATCGGGCAGATTCCAGCAATGACACGAGGTCAACTTTACGAATTCTAAACCGAAACCGGGAGATAACCAGGACCCTAAGAGCTGCTTATCCCCAAACCCCTTGTGGCCAGGAGTCCACATCATGTGCTGCCATACAGCTCGGCGCTTGAATTATCAAGCCGTCTAAACCCCGAATGCATCTAGTACGGCCGTACCTTGCAGATAGGGCTATGACACACCGTAGGATGGCTTTCCGTTTGAGTACCATCAGCACCGTTATTTCCCGACCCATGCCGGGAGCATAAGTAGCCGCCAAGACATTGGATTTACTCAATCTGGTGCAAAATGGACACCGTAGAAGACGATGTGCAGCTGTGGCTTCTTTATTGCGAACTAATTAATATAAAATATGGAAGCCATCAAGAGCAAGATATCGGATGAACTGTCTTCCATGGTCATGAGGCTGCTGGCGTGGTTGAGCACTTCGCTTTCATTCACTCTTCTAAAAATGACTATGTGGCATTCACCTTGGATCTTGAGGATTCTATAGATGCCAGAGCACTTCCTCCTGCTAACCCGATTCGTAACTGCGTACCCCCACCCCTGACTTTGCGAACCGTCCCTGTTTCCAGGAATCAAGCATTACGATGTCCAATCTGTTAGCTGCCCTGGTTCTCGTGCTCATAGTACTGCAAATAGCCTGCTGCACTTTGTACGTCGCCAGCCACGAAGAATACTACTGGGACGAACAATTCCGGTCGATATCAGAAGCGATGAAGAAGGTTGATAGCCGAGACAGACGACGCCACAGAGAAGATTCGTAGCCTGTAAGTTTGAGTATCATTAAATATCAAACTCATTGTTCAGCTATAATTTACGAACCCGCTTGTTGTTGAGTGCAACAAGGGTCTTGCCAATCAACAGCATTACCCGTGCGACTATATAACCAGGTTCAGCATTCTTCACTGGCATGCAATGCAGCTTGTCAACTGTCACAGAAATGCCTGCCGGCGGGAAAAGTCACATAACCGAGATTTCCAGAAACGAATCCTGAACTTATATCACACTGATTGTATAAGTTGGGATTTCTTCTACACTAGACTTCAACGTTAGTCTAGTAGGGCGGGTCTGCAAATCGGAACCCGCTGACAAGTGATCTGGACGCAGGCGCCGCTCATCACATCAGAAGTCCGTGCCGAACTCGCTACTGGCTGACGGACGAAACCACATGTTCCTTGTGCAAAGCTAAGAATGACGGCACGTCACCCGCAGAGCTAGGGCTATCTATCGGCGCTGAAAGCTGCTGCAGTTACTGGGCCCTAACTCCCTTTCCGGTATCCACACGCGGGTGATGATGGTGATACGGGATGGATCCTCAGGAAAAAAGGGTCTAGACTCACTTCAAAAATGTGACATTGCGAAGAATCATGATAAATGTCTGATGATGAACTCGAGAGGATGGTTGCAACTAATGCTGTTGTATGTGATTCAACCATCGCCGACCAATCGCGGAAACCCCATTAAACCACACCTGTTCAGTGCGTGCAAATGATGTTCACGCATTCACCTCTCAACAACACAGATCAGTCAATATCGCATAACCGCCATAAGAAGCTGTCCTTAGTGCAAATTCGAGGTGGTCAAAGCGAGTTTTCGCAATAGGAAACCACTTCATTGCGTGCAGATTCCCTGTGCATAGCGTACAGCGAAGACTGATTTCTCAGGATTGTGATAGGGCCTCGAGAAATGTGACAAGCCAGGATCCGGGGCAAATCATGAACGCATCCCAGAGGTGTCCAAGAGACCCTGCCGGGAAATGCGAATCCCCTGCCCCAAAGCAGCGTGGGGGCTGTAGCCATACCCAACGGCCGCACAGTAGTCGACCACCCTACATACCCCTTACTATCAACCAAACACAGTATCTTCCACCGCTGCCATAGCAGTAAATTTTCGGAGAGCCACGACTGTGTGACTTGCACACTTCATCACGCGTCTAGACTGTGCAGTATTCCACTTATCGAAGCTGTGCTAGGCATGCCATGTTATGCCGAATTGTTCAAAGCCAGCTGTTGTGATAAGAACGTGACGACCAAATTGGTACCAAATTGGCGACGGCTTTGCTTAGCAGATGGGTCCTGGTATTGGTTCAGATAGAAGAAGGGTTTTTGCAACGAACAAATCCAAAGTCGCTAACTCCGTACTCTCGCAAATGCGGCCTCCCTTGTCGATCTGCCACTGCTTCTGATGACCTGCTCATCGCAATGTTGCGCAGCTCCCTAGGAGATGCACACTCTCGCGGCCAAAGCACATACCTGTGAGCACTTTGTGTGATGCGACCTTCCGCGGACCATTCCCCATGTGCCGACTGGTCTTGCTTTTACAAAGTACAGAGATTGCTGGCGTTGGGTCGGAAGGATTTAGCAGTTGGGTCCAAGTGTTATCACGCAGGCTCCCATGAGGCGCAGGGGTTTCATTTGACCTGTTTCGCGTATCGAACGCACAAATGCCAGGCCTCTCTGGAAGCCAAATGTCGCAACTGAGAGCAGTTGCGACGACAAACAACTATTGTCTACGATGGGGTTTAGTTGGTCATCGGGCCGTGGGAAGTGAATGTACTTTCAACTGTGAACTCATCACGTCGAAGAATGGGGTATAATGGAGTCAACAGCACCTTCTGCTTTCCTTATCTGCGTAGAGCTGTTTCTGATCTGGTAATCTCCGGTGGGATGAAGATTGCGAGAATTCCGAAGGGGACGAAAATGACGCGGGGCGGACAAGGTTCGGGATGCGACCTGTTTGAGTCAGCTGCTGTCATATTTCCGTACAATGTATGTGGGGTGACGAAGCGGTAGTTGCGTCGGACCGGTCAGAATGGCTTCTCTCGTTATCGCTGCCATTGCCGAGGGTGGTCAGAAATTCCGGAGGATAGCGAGGAATCCGCGAAATCTAATCTTGGGCTCCCTCGGAATGCATGGAACTCGAAGCTGGTGACAAATTTCCTTGAGTGCTGGAAACTAGAGGAGGTACAAGTTTCCCTCTCATTCCTTGGATTTGACGCTGCTTGTTAAAAAAAATATTGACCACTAGACGGCGGTGGTGAATTCTGGTTGGTGGTTTCTCTTGAGAAATCATATATCAACTTTAATCTGCAACCCAATCGAGTCCTAAGATCAAGGGTACAGCAGCTTTACGTTGATATGTCGGGTTCCAATGGAGACGTGAATGCAAACGAACTCGGTACGACTCGTCTACAGGCCATATTTCTGTCAGGTTGGTGGTCAACCGACTCGTAGACAGCACCGAAGGCCAGTTTGCAGAGATGGGATGGACAATCGTCTCGTTCTGGAAATTTCACGCCTTTCATCCTAAGCTTCGTTGGCCCGTACGCATTCGACTCCATGTTTCAACCCCGCGGTTTCTCAGAAACACCCAACCTTGGGAAGGTCCGAGACACCCTTGGGCAGTGGCGGAGTGTCTTTCATCAGCTCCGCTGCCGCCACGTTCTCGTGTCGCAACAAGGCTTGGGGGTGGCCGCTTTTTCTACCAAACGTGGAAGCTGCGGGCAACCACCGAAGCTGCAAGGAGTGAGTCGGCCCTGTCGGGCCTGTCGGGGGCAGGAATAGGCCTCGTTCTTCCATCGCTGACTTATTTCTTGACACAGTTGTAATCTAGTCAAAACAGATTCAAGTGAAGAACCATGTTTATGCCGTTTTCTCCATCTCGTATAGCCGTTGTTTTAGTGTCGTCGGAAGCTCGGCTACACGGCGAACTAGCCGGGCCTAATATCTTGAATTCGGGCAAAACTGCGGCGAGTTGGTGATCGTGGAATTTGGAGTGGAGAGGACCCTTCCGCGACAAGGGGCTAGACTATGGGCCAACTGCGACACAGCATTTACCAGATTCCCGTTGCGGTTACGGGAGAACTGCACACTGCATGATGGTTTAGGCGGTCAGGCCTGCACTTTTCCTTTCCAGAATACTTCCAAGGCTTCCTGCTGCAGGCAAGACCCTCCGGTTAAAACGTTCCCCGGGGCAAACCAGACCGATTTAGCAACTCCTTGAGCAACAAGTTGGCAGATCTCAAACAGTCCAGATTTCTAAGCACGACCCATCATCGTGCATTGTGGTCCGTTGCTCCTGAATTCTTGGCTGTCTGGATTCTGAGCCCTTTTTGAGCATCATTTCCAGATTCGAAGGTCAAACAGGCAACGGCGGCATCATATCGCGAGCAGCCTTATTAGCAACCTCCCTAGAGGAAGGACGGGCCAAGGGCACAATATCCAGCGCGTCGTATGGATGGATGCTGAGCTTTTATTACGTGGACATACGGAAGGAGTCAGCAACACTGACATTCACTGGGTCGCAACCGAACCACATCACAAAGTGTAGCATACAACACGAAAGGCGGTGCGAAAAGGTGTGATGAGTCAAGTCAGCGATGCAGCGGAGGATTCAGACGCACTGCTCGTAATTGCTGAGCTGAGTCGAGCCGAAACGAGACGACAAACGAATAATGACCAACTAACCTAATATATTCGTATGCGCACGCTGTTGCTCGCGCAACATTCCCAGTGGCCAGAAAGACTCCGATGCAGCGACGCGAGTCGTTGATTGCCAAGGCGGTCTGAGGGTGCGCGGCGGACAATTGGCCGCCCCCTAACCAACCGACTCGCAACTTCGCTTTTTTGGGTGTTGGCTATTGATATCGTCCCGTCCTTACAGCCAGCCAACTTGCCAACAAATTGATTATTTATTGTCATTAGGCTGCGGCCGCTGACGTCAACGCCAACAAAAAAAACTCCTCTCGCCATGGGATGTGAATAGTAACAACAGTGTCGGGGTGAAAGGGGGCACAGGAGATTAGAAGCAAACAGTAAAAAAAAAAAAAAAAGCCCCATTAATAATGTGAGGGCGAGAAGCAAACAAGCCGAAATTTGTTTCTCTCTTTGTCCGCCTTGCCGTCCCCCGGGCATGGATTAGCACCTTAGCAAGCGCGAGTTGACCCCTTAACCGAATAGCCGGGAGGCTTCATGGGTTGGCCCGAAGGAGGAAGAGAGAGAGAGGACCGAGGGTGAAAAAGAATCCCCCAAAAAGGCGAAATGGAGGGCCGTCATTGGTCGGTGAACCTAAAAGGGTTTGCTGACTCGAACGAGGCGGTCTGGGCTTGTCACGGTTCCCCTAGCTTTTAGTCAGTGCTAGCAGCAGTCCCACCACACAACGGCCCAACACCGACCGCTAGTTTTCGTGGGGTGGCACTGGTGGGAATGAAAGCCGGATGGGATGGGGTGGACTGGGGTGGACTGGACCGACCACCATTCCGACGCTCCCCCGTGTCAAGGCAACACCATGACGATTCATGTTTTTCATATATCTTGCTGCCTTCTCTTGGTGCATATCCACCAGGCTCCGGTTTTCCCTATACGTTCAAACTAGTCCACTACTAACACACAACCCCGTAATACTCGAGCTCTTGTTTGAAAGCTATTGGGAAAAATCCCTGGTTCCTACACAGCATACTGTTCCCACACCAATACGTGAGAGCATTCCGCTTACACGCCGAAAATCCCACCGCGCTGCGCTGTTCAAAGAGACGCGTCCCAACCACGACTACGACTTATTCCACAACCCTTTTCATCATACCTGCACAAACAACATCACAGAGTACATCGTTGAAAATGTACAATTCGTACGGGTCATATAGCTCCATGAGCGAGCTCGCTCAACCCATGAACATCACCCAGGGCACCTACCTGTCCAGTCCCTCACACGGCGCCGGCTCCTGCGCATTTCCTTCATGGCCACAACGTTCGTCACTTGCCGAGTCGGCGCGAGACGAGAGGGCAACATCTTATCTCTCGGATGATGACCTCTTCCCGCAGGACTTGGAGGATGACGCGCACAGCATCTCGAGCGCCAGCAGCGCTACCTCGGGCTCGCTGCACATGACCTCGGAGGAGCTTCTGGAGATTCAGCGCGAGAAGGCTCACATGCAACGGGAGGCGCTGCGGTTCCTGCTGATAGAGAAGGAGCGCCGGAAACTGGCCTACAAGAAGCAGCGTCGGTCCAGTTCCGGGTCCTCCTCCAAGAAAGAGACCCCGAGATCCAAGCCAAGCGCTATGACGCCTATCTCCGAGGCGGTTGAGTGAAGGATGCAACCATGGCTTTGAAAGTGCGCAGCGATGAATTTGTGAGTTCGCCCCGCCGTCCTATTGCGCCAAAGCAAGCGACTTACCAGGTTTTCCAGTTACGACTTGAATGATGATACACCCTTATACCCAATATGATACCCCCGCCCGTTGTGGAAGCGCTGGACGGCGCGAAAGCATTGCATGCATGCCTGGAAGTATGATCACTCGATGTGCCATTGGACAACATCATCGTGTCACAATGACACTCATACTTTCACCATTCACGTCCCGTCGAAGGTGTACCACATCGAGCACCAAGACATGAGTCGCTAGAAATGTTTCGCGACTTAGTGGATTGTGTCTCAACCGCCTGGCTAGCGACGGCACCGTATTCCAAAATCTTCACATCCCTGAGGTCCCTTTCCGGGCGAGGATGTGCAGCATCGGCGCCTGTTGGAAGCGATGAGGATTTGTGTTGATTGGTTGGTCGCAATGAGAGGAGCGAAAGCGAGTCACAACCATTGAAGCTCTGCTCGCTTGAGATGTGTCTTCAGTGGCTGAGTGCCGGTGGTGTTGCACGGAATCGTAGTTTGCCATATAGCTGGCTCTGCAATAGCGAAGTATGCAAGATACAGAGGATGACGTGATGGAATGAAGCATGATCCCGCAGGGTTGCTTAGTTAACATGTAGCTTGTAATTGACAAAGGTTCGAAACAACACACAAATTGCGACCACATATGGGACTTGCATGGATGAGAAGCATGATCAACCCAAGGCTTACCTCATGCGAAAACTGTGTGCAACCTTGAAGTCGGTACCCTGTCGAGCCGACAGCGGCCAAGGCGTGGTGACAGCTCTTTTTTGGGACCGCTCATGCGTGAGAGCACTCAAAACCAGGTTAAGCAACACAGGCTAACGCACTCAGGCCTATGATGATTAAGGCGAAGGATTATCAGATGCATGGATAGACTTGGGTAGCAGTAATGAGTATACGGTCTCGTTGTGACAGTATGGGTGAGCGATAGCACACTGGAGAATTTGTCGGCCTTATCACATTTCTATAGCTCAAAGCGGGCATGCGTTTGCTCACGAAACGTAACCGAACCCAGGTTGGTAGAATAGATGAAGGATTGTGACAGCATCTTGACGCGGACGAATCCATTCCTTGTTGGCGTGATGGACGTCCAAGCAGACTCGGACCACTTCAGTTCCTTTCGACTGATTATCCGGGAGAGGGATTGGTTGGCTTGACGGAATAGATGAATTTTCTCATGTGATCATCTACCCATCGAATCACCTACTTGACGCTGTTAGCAAGCGGTGCTACTTACGACGAGATCAAGTGCTTGTCCAACGTTGTCGATAGCATAATCTCCTCGAAACATGGGGTCCCCGTGGTAGTCGAGCAATAAGAGGCTCAAATCGCAACACATAGTGTGGGGTAAGAAATGCTTTGTGGCATATGAGAGAACGGTCGCCAATGACGATGCGTATGTCCTGCCGGTTGACTGCGACTTGCTGGCCTTAGATGTAGGTGGTCGGACTGGGACGAATTCTAACCAGGGACATGATTAGCTCTCAAAGCTCGCTCATTAAAGGGTCGGCCTGTCCGGAGAGCAACGGCCGTATCGAGCTGCAATGATTATGATGGTGATATCTATTCCCGATTTCGGGATGAGGAGATTGTAATTACAACTCCAAGGGTGGTTTGTGAGTATTGGCGACATCTTCAGCCATCAACTTAGAGGTCCACCCCGCAGTAGCGGGGATGAGATGGGGATGAAAACGGTGTGGCGCTCACATCACACCCTAAGTCAACTTCGTCACAGACGTTCAAGTTGATTTCATCTGACGAGCTTCCGCGCTACAGGTATCGGGCGTCGATGGAGCTGGTCAGACGCTGAACCAGGATCAGTTGTGATAGAGATATGGCGAGTGATGGTGCTCTGATGTCAGTGAATTCAAAGCCAGAATATTGGCTACGTCAGGAGCATTGCGTATGTGTATATACATTTCAACGCCTTTCTGGCGATTAGTCGGCCAGGCAGCTCCCAGGAAATAGGAAAAGAATCTAATGCTGTTGGTTCTTTAGTTGCAAACCAACCGCGCGAACCGTCTAGTTGTGTGGAACGGACAACAAGGTTGCTTCCCTCCCGCCCGCTGCCCGCGTGTTGCTTGCATGGGAAGGGAGCCAAATATCGGTCTGTGTGTTTTAGGGCGCAGGTGCGGTCGGGAATCTAACAGCCTTGCAGGATAAAAGTGCAGTGGTGTGGACACATAGGAATTGACGATTGACCTCCAGGATTCGTAATGACCGACCTCGCAAAAATGAGATCTCTAACGTCCTTGAAATCATGATCCGCAATGAACGGTGAGAGGGCAACAGGACCCGAGCTGAGCCAGTCTCAACAGATGCCCAATGACCCTGGGACAATGATAGCGTTTTTCAAGGTGGGACGAAGTAAGGCCCAATGCAAGGGGCACAATCCGATATTCTTGGGCGGTTGCTCGCCTTGCAGAAAGTACAAGTATCCAGACTTGCAGAGGCGGTCGCGGGGTAAGGACCTGATGGATGATGCTCAGATACCCCACAGATGAGCCATGTACATATTCTTCAGACCGCCAATGCTGTTGCAGCCTTTGATGAAAGTAGAGAGTCTGCAATGTTGAACAAGCCTGGTGGGATATGCAAAGGTACGGGGAATCGGCCATAGGGACGCCACCTACACGAGCTTGGGAGCTAGCTGTGGCAGCTATTCAACTCGACGTTGAATTTAACGGTGCATGTCGCTGATCAAGTCGAGTAAGTAAAGACACTTTGAGAGGTCAGACCTTTATTTGATAGGCCCGTGCATTTGAAGTCTTAATCCTCGCTTGTCAGGGCTCCTCCTGCTCGATTTGACATCCTAAACCCACATGCAATGCCCGCCCGCAAACTTCTGTCACAAAATGACATGCAGACAATCATCAACCAAAAGGCCCTGGACCCATTAGGGTAACCCGCAGAAGCTTGCTCGGACATTGTTCGTCAGGTCCCAGCAGCTCCAGCGCAAATGACCTGGCCTGACTGTCGATAAAACGCATAGGTTTGTCGACGGTTGTTTACTTGACAACATGAACAATCTATCTTGCTCCGCTCGCTCGGGTTCCGGCATTACCCGCAGGCTCTCATGACAATGAATAAAGAATTGGCATTGCAATCTGTACATTCCATGGCACTCGAGCCGCCAACACAGTTCTCGACAACACGCTCCGAGGTCGTGTTCAGTTCCACGCGGGAGGTATCCGTAACGTGGACCAAATGCTGGTACCCATCGGTGAGCACGGAGCTCACGATCATTGATGGGTTTCTTCGGCGGGGTACCTGGCTGCTGCGCGATGCAAGGCCTAGCTGGCTTGGGCACTGAAAATGCTGTGCACTCGAAGCCTACATATCCGTATATTAAAGAGTCACTGGGGGTCCAAAGGAGGAGGTGGTGATGAGCCTTTTCGTTGGTCCAAATGCCCAGGCCAAGGATCTTCTCTAGCCGCCCGGGAGACTTAACACTTGCGTTAAACCAATCGTGCCATCCGCCCCCAGGGCTCCCTGTCCCTGTCGATGAGCAGCCAGCCAATCCGCGGCCGAGATGACCCTCTCACGACTTTAGCGCTATGTGAGCAACGACGTCCGTTAACATTTCTCTCTCCAACCAGCCATCTCCTGCCCAACCACGCATCGAAAGCTAGCTTTCGTCGGAATGAACAATTAACACAGCTAACGGCCGTTGATTCAGAAATGGGGTTGCTAGCAGGGCAACAAGGCCCCTTTCAACCATTCATCTCTTCAAAGCCATTGTCAGGCGAGCACGCCTCGTAGTCACTTGCCTCGGACAGGCCAGACAATTAGCGAAGTCGGAAGAGGTACTGTTCGGTACCTGGCAGCAATAGCAGAAATACTGGGTTGTGGACCGCTAAGAACCTCCACATCATCATTCCTCGCCTGCGAGACGCTACGGATAACCGCGAAGAGAGAACCTGGGATAAAACCAGCGGAGACACCATGCGTGTTTAATTCTTTCAGAGCCAACAGTCGGCGGTAAGCCTCATAGATCAGCAGGCCCGCTTGACTCCTTGTTTTTCACCTCTTCTTCTCCCTGAACACTCTGGTATGGTCGCAGTATCTCGCTGTTACGCCTTCCCCGTCAAGTGACGAAGCTAGTACTAGAGGAATTGAAAACCGCCAGAGACGGAGGAGCTATGATGCGAAGTGAGGCTAATTATATCAAATATTGATGTACTCTTTGGGTTCCCTTGTCTGAAGCTACTGCAGAACCAGCCAGTCACCTCAACCACCACACTCTAAGTCAACTCGATCACCTCGATACCTTGACTTATTCCCTGTCTATTCGGCATGCAATGGCTGATCATACCCCTGCCCTATGCTTGACCTTGCAGACCTTGGCTTAGCCGGACCGTATCCGCTCTAGATTTGGCCGGTCGCTTTTATATGCGACTTGAGCCATTGACAGCTCAGGATTCCTCATCTTAGGCGCTGGCCTACTCGAGTGCGATACATGGACTTATTTGCTCTCTCGCACCCCCAAGCTGCATTTCGTAGCCTTTTCTTACTCCTTTGCCTCTTTGCTACTGCGCACGCTACATTGTTGCATTTGATACAGCTTGATACCCACGACGTCTGCTGCGACACAAGCGCCCGCAAACCAATTCTGATTCAAATATAGTGTCACCACCACTAATGCACCAGCTCCCACGAGGCGATAACCGACAGTCAGACCCTTGTGCGACCTACTCTATTGCCCCCGTCTTCTGTCTCTGCCCCAACATTCTAATTCTCTTCCAGAGCAACTTGTATACGCAGAAGCAAGACATCAGTAAACCCGTCGACTCCGCGCACCGAAGCAGCACTCTATCGTGGAACCTGACAACAGTTGCAGCTCACTCACCCTTCCCGCGTTTACGCATTGGACCGGGTAACTCTGGTACACTGAGTCTGGGGGGAGGAAGAGTCGTCCGGGAACGGACAGCCAAGTGTTGCGTGTGATGTACGGGACCCGAATTGTGTAGCGTCCCCGCTTGTCCAGGTCACTTGGAAGACGTATTTCGAGGAGACACTCGCTCGCCGAGGTTAGTTGCGGCCCTCGTACCACGGTGCCCTCGGATCTATAAGACTGTTTCGGGAACCTCACGGGTCCAATGCCTTTCGCTGGTGTGCATGACGGCTCAATATGCTTACTCGTTCGTTCAGGGCATTACCGTTCCGATGTCGTCCACGAGTCACCCGGCGATGCCTCGCCATCGCAACAAATCAGTCAGTTCTGCCGGAAAGTCAACTGGGAAGTCATCGACGAGAACAGGAAAGGTGGTGGCGGAGCCTAGAGACTTTACATCCTCGACTTCGCTCATGAGATACTTCGAACCCTGTTCAGCTACGGCTTCCATGCTATTATACGGACGTATGTACAAGCCATGCCCCTTTTGGAATGTTGCGAAATTGACCAAAATGCAGAGGGCAATTCGGTTGTTGTCGCACACCATGATAGTCTAACGATAGAAAGGCGCTTTTCGCGGCATGCCGCCGAGATACAGTTGCTGGCGGTTGATACACAAAGCGACATTGGAGCAGGGCGCTTGGTTGTGAGCTATGATGTGGATATGACCGCGATCGTTTGGGACTTGTTGACAGGCGACGAAGTGGCTCGCTTTGCCTCCTACGAGAACTTGACTTGTGCAGCCTGGATGAAAAATGGAAATGTTGCCTTTGGTAAGTTTGTTTGGCCCCTGGCCACACGTGGGAGGTTCGAGAACTAACGTCAACTCAGGCAATTCCCAAGGAAACATTATTCTATTTGAACCAACAACTTCGGAGCATATTTCTGCCAGAACGATAGACCAGATCACTGTCACGGCACTTGCTCCCGCGGCAGACTGCAGAACATTCGCCATCGGGTGAGTCGTTGAGGACTGAACACCAGTCTGATCGGCGTCCCTGCTAACAACTTCTTAGTTATCAAAATGGATCTCTATTAATTGCAACTCTTCAACCAAGATTTACCATTCTGCACAATTTGAGCACCTCAAGATCACCATCGCCAATCGTCAATTTGGCCTGGCACGCTTCATCGGCACGCCAGAAAGCAGATATGCTGGCAGTGCAGACCAACGACGGTGATCTTCGGGTTTGGAGTGTGGCAAAATCCTCAAACAGCAACGATCCCGCAAAGGTGGTAAGGATACTAAAGCGGACAGAAAAATATGAGAATGGTCCCAACTGGATGGGCTGGTCGAAGAATGGCCGCATCATTCAGTACTCGGAAAAGTGAGTCCTATACGCGCGCGCCTAACACAAAGATATAGTGGCTGATGACTTGCCACAGTGAGACCCTCTCCTGGGATGTCCGCACAAAGCACGTCACATATGACAGCATACCGACCCTCGATCATGTGAGAGGCCTCGCCGTCTACGGGCCCGGCGCCACCTTGTTTACCCTCGGTGCCAACAACACGGTGCAGCAATTCGATCTTAACACCCCTTCCATGATGGTGGCGAACGTGCAGCACCCTGCCAACCTATTGCCACCGTCTCCTCCAGTGTCTATCGAAGAACAATCCGAGCAAGGTATCGTTGTCATTGCCGCCGACTCCGACTCTGTGTCCGTCCCAATCAACTCTGAGGTGTCCGAGAGCGATGATGACCACATGTCGCCATTGGCCAGGATTGCTCGGGGCTCAGGCTCGTCGGTTGGAGATTCAGTCGATCAAGATAGGTACTTGACGGCAAGCCCTGCGTCTACAAGATCATCGACCGTGTCGAGATCTACTGCCGACTCGGGCACACATGGACGCTACCAACCTTCAGTCATCTCACGTGGCATGACTGAGAACACTTACATATCTGCTGGGTCTTCCCTGCGGTCGTCTGCGTTGCCGCCTTATGGTGACAAGGATGCATACTCAATCAGCAGCGTCAGCTCTGCGTCAATAACCTCTTCCTCGCGGGCTTCACGACGCCGTCCTTCCCGGCTAAGGAATGAAGTTCCGCGGAGCCCAGAGGACAACAAGGTCCAAGACTTGTTCAAATTCACCCGAAGCCGTCTGCATGATATACCCTATAAGCGAGTACCCCTGGTCGATCAGACCCGTCTGACCAACGATGACCTACGACGGCAGATGCTCAGCATTATCTTCGGGTGGAACAAGGAAATTGGGGACCTCGTACGGGATGAGATGTCGCGCCATCCCACTGGTTCTCCCAGTCGTATTCTCTTGGCAAAGTGGCTGGGGGATATTGAGTCGGATGTCATGGAAGCTTCGTCGGAGAATATGACATCGTCAGACTGGATGTTGCTGGCTTTGAGCGGGATCGGCGGTCAGGCTTCTCAGCACAAGCTTGGGCGGGCTTATGTGCAACGCCTTTTGGAGAGCGGCGATGTACACCATGCAGCGACCATCATGATTGGCATGGGAGACCACAATGATGCCATCGAGATCTACGTCTCGCACAAACGATACATGGAAGCCTTGATCTTGCTTTGTCTGTTCTTCCCCTCAGTGTGGGAACGTCAACGCCAAGTCATTAAGAAGTGGGGAGAATTCGCCATCCAGCACGGCCAACAGCAATTGGCAATTAGATGGTAAGTCATATTGAAGCCACTACAATGTGTGTGCCGTAGTAGAAGCGACTAACAAGGAGAACAGTTTTGCCTGCACCGGAGCAGAGTCAAGTGAACCCTGGGCGTCTCCTTCGGCTGCCCAAGTTACATTCCAGAGCCTGAATGCAAGCATCCCTGAGATCTTGAGCCCGCCATTGTCTCCGCCTGGTCTCAATCGCGGACCTCAACGAAGCATTGCAAAGTCTTCGGCATTGAAACTCATCACGTCTTTTGGCGACCATTCTCAGAAGTCCAAATTCTTCGCTGCTGGTGATGATGGGCAGACGCCGATTGCGGCGGGTGTTACCCCTATTGCCGAGTCAGCTGTCGGTGATCCAACGACTGCGTTCCTCAAACCCTCATCTCGGAGCGCGTTGAACACGCCTGCGTCGGCTAGACCAGGCGGCGGCTTTACTGGCCGGAACCGTCTGCCTTCGATTGGTGAGGTGCGTGGTGAAATAATGCCGGTGGTGCAACCGGCGGAACCACGCCGGGCACCGCGAGGTCACTCGCGCAAGTCGTCTGCGGAGGAGCAGTACAATGCGGGCTTGTTACTCGCAAGAGCGGCCACTGCAAGTCCCATGATGATGAGAGAAAACCACCGCAAGAGGGACCCTCCGCCTCCGTCGCCGTCGCCGGAGTCCTTTGCTGTGCTGATGACGCAAGGCCGCACCAGCCGCAACGGCGCTCGGGATCGTGTGCCGGACGGTATCGACCTGAAGCTTCGTTCCCTCGATGCCCAAATGGCGTCTGCTGATATTACGTCGCCTGAGCAGTCTGTCACGTCGGCTGCTCGCTTTCACTGGCCCAAACGCCGCGGACCGGGCTCCATCGCCAGTTCCGTCACGGCCAGTTCCGTCACGTCCACTTCGAGCGTAGGAGGACGCAGCCAACGAAGCCACACGGCCGGTAGGACGCTCGACGATTATATACACAGCCTAGACTCGGCCCAAAACTATGCCAAGAAGGGCCGAAGTCGCGAGAGGAGCCGTCATCGTACAGACAAGCATCACACTCGCAGCCGCGACAATAGCCGGTCGCATAAGGACAACATCAGCGAGACTGCTTCCGACAGGGGTCGCTCGGTTGCGAGGCAGTGGACACCCAAACCGGCGAAGCGTTCCCCAACTTCACCAGTGCCCATGTCCCCCGAAGATCTCATCAATCTAAGCACTCCCAAGGTTGCCGACATCAAACTGAGCGACGACTCTGTTGTACCCATGCATCTCGACATGGTGGAGCCCTCGACGATTCGTAAAGCCAGCCAGATCAGACACGCTTCGCAGATATCCAGCCGTGCATCCAGCCGCAACCGCCGCGAGGGAAGACCCGTCTTGGAAATCCGCACCAGAAGCAAGAGCCGAGGTCGATCTCCTTCGTCGCCGGTGCCCATGTCGGCTACCCGTCACTTCTACGGGTCCGATGATGATGAGGACCTCAAGGCCGCTTTGGAGGCTCAGGAGTCTTTCAGGGTGCGCCACAACAAGAGCCGTGGTCTCAGGGAGCCTGCGTCTCCTGCTGTCGCCAAGAAGCGCCGCGACCGATCCGAGAGTCGACACAGACAGAACAAGGCCCCAGGGGAGCTAGAACTTGATCCCGAAGCTCCTGTGCGGCAAATGTCTCAGACACCGTCGGAGCCCGCACGCGCTGGGGACTTGAAGCAGATTCTGACCGACAGACAACTGAAGAAGGAACAGGCTGCTCGTGAGCTTGAGGAACGTCGCAAGTCTCTGGCCCGCCGCCCATCAGCTCCGTCCATTCCGCATCCTGATGTCCTGTCTCCCATAAGCTCTCGTCCCCCCACAGCCTTCGAGCTTCCCAAGACAACGTTTGTACCTGCCCAGGAGCCTCCGCAGCGAAGCCAGACTGCCGACTTCACCAAGACCTCGTCGTATATGCGAAGCGGCAACAAGCCAGTCATAGGCCTTCCAGCAACCCCCAAGGCCATGAGGCTTCAATTCGACACAGACCTCACCAGGGGCCAGCCTGCAGTCCCACATATCCCTTCAGCGTATACCAAGCGGTCGCCGTCGTCGTCTGGCCCTGCATCACCCAACAAGCCTGCTGATAGATCGCCGGTGAAGGAGCAAGAACAGGAGGTTCCAAGCTTACTAACCCTGCTTCCGGCGACTGTCTACTCACCACCTTCTCGTCCACCTCCTCGGTGCATGTCTGCGCCCCCCGAGGAGCCTCGGGTGCCAACGAATCTCGGTAGCCACCCAGGTTTTCAGACTGCCAACACCCCTACGCGGAGAGGTTCCGTTTCGAGGAAGCTGAGCAGTCCTGAGGCCCACACCCAGGGCTCGCTGATCATTGATGGTGGGAGACACTCGAGAAGAGCATCGAGGGACCACCAGATCCCACCGCCACCTCCTCCGCCTCCCCCGCCGGTCCTGAGGGAACTACAGCACCTGGCTAGTCCGCCGCCGCCGCCCCCTGCACCTTTTCCTGGCGTGAGATCAAACGTCGCTGGCGGTCAGGGTACCATAGAGATCGTCATGGACGAAGACGACAACTACTACCCTACCGCTGCTCCACTGGTCGATTCCACCGTGCCAATCATTGCCGCTCCAAACCCTCCTGGCTCACGTAGTAGCCATGCCCGAGGTCGCAGCGTCACGGAGAAGAATGAGAAGGATAACAGCATCGCTGGTCGAATGAGTCGAGCCGCCGAGCGCATGCGATCTGGCAGCCGCGGTCGCAACAGCTCAGTTCTTGGATCTCGAACCAAATCCCCCGAAACCACATCGCCTTACGAGAGCGTGCTGTCACCAGTCAGCTACAACGGACCTCCGGTTTCCATGAACAACGGCCAGCAGCAAACGGAGCGACACCCTCGTGAAGTCCGCGCAGCATACCAGCAACAGCAACAGCAGGGCTATGGAACTGGCCTAATCAAGAGCGAGATGATTTGAGCTCAGCCACACCCCCACCCGCCGTCCCTCTCCTTTTCAAATGCAATTACCCCAAAAACGCTCGTGGTTTACAACGTCCCATCATTCTTAAAACTTACCCTTCACACCCACACAACACCTTTATTTGATTCTCTGCATGGCGCCGGCGTTTCATTCCACACTTGATACCATTTCTCTCGACTTCAAAGTCCGCTATACACCTTCTGCCGCTTTTGACTCTTTTGGCAGACTGGCATTTTCACCACTTCGCATTTCTCTCAGATAACGGCCGATTGTTGTTCACTTCTTACTTAGACGCCTTGTACTCTTCAGCAACCCTGCTTGACCCAAAGATTCACAGCACTGGGAGCAGAAACAAGATACATTTTTCAGCTCAGCTCGTTTCAAATTCATTTTTCTCAGGAAAACCACGGTTTTTTTTTGGTTTTTTTTCCTCTCCAGACATACTCTTCATGATATCACGACAAACTGCTGGACATTTTCGGGGCATATAAGAGAGGCATCTGGAATGGATGTGGATGGGCCGCATAATGGAAATGAAGGACAATAACAAATGATGGGGGTTACTCGGATTATTTTCATCTTTCTTTACCTTGTTCCCACACAACAGGACGACAAGCCACGCGGCTCGGCTCAGTGGGGAAGGAAAGGGCTGATACGGCTTGGGGCGACGGTTTGTACAGAATGCAGAACAATGCGGAGACATGGTGGAGAGAGCCAAAAAGAAAAAAGATGAGAGCTGGAAACGAGGTCTCGACCAAAAGAATCTCATGCTGGGGAATTTTCTTTTTTGGTCTCTCTACCTTTACAAATGCTGCCTCACGGCATCGTAGTAGTTGTGTTATAGTCTTTAGCTACTGCTATTCGGAAATATGAGAGTTCTTTGTGTCAGCCTTGTCAATGAATGGATCCCCAGTACGTGTATTCGATGGATCAAATAAAGTCAGGTAGTTGAATTGTTACTTGGAGTACTATGGAACAACCGTTTGTGTGTGAACTGCCCAAGCGCATGTATGTATGAGGAGAATTGAGGTTGTTAGCATCGATGTGACAGAGCTGCATGGTTCAGATTATGCTCTGCTGCATCATCCAAAAAAAGTAGAAGTCCACACACACCGCACTGTGTATGCTGACTTGTTCGTGTAATCTGACTATACTCAAGACATTAGAGGTTTGGAATTCGAAACGACTGCAGATCGAGGTTTAAAGATTTTTTTTTGAAAAAAAAAAACACTCCGTGTTTTTAACATAAATTAGTTACTTAATTAATATGAAGGAAGAAAGAAGTTCATTTGGAAAAAACTGCAAAAATAGCAAAATAGTGGAGTTGACATCTCCATCTCAACCACCTAGTCCAAGTCCCCGAGCGAAGCGTAATCCAACACGCCATGCGACGGGGGAGATACTCTGCAGAGTGAAACCTCCCTGAAGCATACTCTCCATTTCCTAGGGTCCCTCTAATCATCACTGGTTACCCGAGTGGATAGGGGACCACCGCGGTATTCGCACTGGGCGCCGCGTCGGGGGATCTGACGGAATTGGATTCTAGTCGGTAAAGCATTACAAGTGCCTTCTAACCAATTTGACCATCACAGTCGGAAATATACCGCAATATTAGGGTTCAAGTAGAACGGCTATGGGGTGAATGTAAGTGGGGTTGAATGATAAGATAAGGATATTGCAGGGAAGAGGTTGCAATTAAGTGATTCGCGGATCCGCGACGCCACAGGTGAAGCTTCAGGTTGAACATTATCAGCCGGCTCGTAGGTGTATAAATCGCGATTTGCCTCATCAACTCTTTGGTTGACGCGACAGCGAGGTTGGCCAAGTCCGCGCCCTCCTTGTGCCAGCATATCGCTAGTTTGAATATTTTCATATTACCCATAAGATCAGTGGGACAGCTCTCGATGCGCCTCTAATCTTGTAGAGATCAATTCTCCAAATCACATTACTGTCAGTGTCGAGTTACTAGGGGGTTAGTGGACAACTACCAAGTATTGCACTGTCGGTGAGCCTGGTGCCTCCAGGAGACCGACTCACTCTAATCAAGACCGACATCGACAACCATCCATACACAATGCTTACCACATCCCCCTACCTCCATACCCGGCGCCCCTCGCCCACAGCCGCTGAGTTCACCCTCTCGACCCTCCCACTCCCCCTCAATCTCCCCCGACGTGTCATTCTCCTTGCATTGAATGGAATCCGCGTCCTCTTCGGCCTGACCATCCTCCTGCTCCTCTACTCCAAATGGCTCCTCTCGTCTTACTCGAGACCGTTCCCTTCCTCCGACCACTTCTCCCCACCGCCCCTTTTCTTCTCCGACGGCTTCATCCAGAAAACCATCTTCATCTTCCTCACCACCACCCCCGCACAGCTTTCTATCCGTCTTGCAGACGCAACACCATTATGGATCCTACTCCCCGCCACAGCCGCGGGCCTATATTTTATCCTGCTGCGCATATACACCGAGGAAAGCCTGCTAGTACTCAGGGGCCTGGGGATCCAGACGAGCTCGTCGGCGAATACGGTGCTGGGGAGCCCGGTCACGCGATTTATCCCCACCGAGAAGATATTGGATGTGTTGGTGAACGAGGCGTTTTTGGGGTTCGAAGTTAGGTATTACTTGGTTGTGGTGGTGGAGGATGACGCGGAGGTCGTGGTGGTATTTCCGAAGTTGTTGCCGAGACGAAAGGTGGTGGAGGAGGTTTGGAGGGGGGTAAGGGGGTGTTTGAGGGAGGGGAAGGGGTATGAGAGGGAGGAGTGATGGGTTAGATGGTGAAGTAAATGGAAATTACTAGCGGCACGCTACGAGGTCGTCAAACTACGCTATCAATATGTGTTGCCTTAAAGGGGAGGGAATAGACTATTCGGAGTCGGTCTGGATGATCACGAAAGCTGCTGGGCAAGTCCTTTGACAGTCTCCGTAATCTGATGATCAATGGGCTCTGACGAAAACATGATAGCAGAAGGCGGGAGCAGGCCGCTGTAAAGTCTGAATCTCCAGGCTCTTCAGGGAGCTTTCTGCGAGAGCTCAGAGCGAACATACACACTGTCGTATTGGATTTCATAGCATGATCAGAAGGGACATGTAGCCAGAATTTATTCCTAGTTTGAAGAGATTTGACGAAGGTATTCTTCGTCAAAATCAAACCGAGCTATGCAATTCCCATATCTCGTAGCGGTCGGTGTCGAGGAAGAATCACCGCCATGTTATAAAAACCTACCCTGAACGCCAGGCCAGCCAACTGATATGAACGCATTCTAACTCCTTAAAGCCTCTAGCCTGTTCCTCATCTGATCCATCATCGCCTCCTGGTCTTCTTCCTCCTCTTCCGCAGCCACCGGCTCCTGTGCCACGGGCGCGCTGGGCATTGGCCCCGTCTTCTCCATACGCCCCTTCAATATCTCGCCCAGCACCTTTTCGACCTCCCCTTCAGCCTCCATCTCCTCGTCCTCAAACATTTCCTCCTCAGGCAAGCTCTCCCCAACCATCTCCTCGATGACACCCGCCTTCATGAGTTCGACGCTTAGCTCGCGCATCGTCCCCGCCAGCTCTGGCAGCCGGATCAACGTGTTGACGTCCTTCATTATGCCGACGCTTGCCCGAATGCTACCCTCAATCTTGCGCACGGCAAATGCCTCGTTGACCTGCATCTGGACGCTGTTGAGCTGGGCTTTGGAGGTGACGAGCCTCGACGACGTCTTGCGCGCGCGGATCAGCTCCTTGGCGAAATCGCGCGCCTCTCGCGCCGCCTGCTTCTGCTGGTTCGGGTTCTTCTGTGCGCGCTTGTCGGCCGCTACGATCAGGTTCTTCGTCTTCATCTCCACTTGCTTCACTTGGTTGATGTCGCGGTCGAGTTTCCGGATGTTGGACCGGATCAGCGCGTTGCATTTTCGTAACTGGTAAGAGAGTAGGTGGGCAATGAGCGAATTGGACTCAACAAGACGAGGAGGAGGAGGAAGGCAGCGGCAACAGAAGCAGCAGCATCTCTCCGGTCAGGGCGTGGCGGCGCATACCTGGGCATTGGGATCGGGCTTGACGAAGAGCGCCTTGAGGCTCTCCATCTTGAACGACTATGGATGCTAGATTTCAAAGTGGACAACGGCCTTTCCTATGGCGAAGGTCGGTGGCGCTTGGGAATCTGGGGCTCGTTGGAAAGGCGGCTCTTTCGCGGGTACCTGGAAATCATGAATGGATCTACCGTCTGACGTTTGATGCGGATCTCGGAAAGGCGTTTGGCGTCTGGGCTGTTAAGGCGGCTGCACTGATGATGACATGTGCAGCCCACACGGAGACGTCCAAGCGCAATCAGGTGGAGAGCTGCTTGGGCAAGGCTCCAGTGTAGTTAGTTGATGGGCAGCTACCCCACAACTTAGGCGGCTAGACAAGGTCAACTATTTATTATATTTCTATAGTCGGCTGGTGTAGTTGGTCACTTCGCTGGTAGATAAGTCCCGATTTGAGCCTCGCCCACTTGGGTCGGTGACGAGTCGCGGGTTCGAATCCCGCAGCTGACACACAAGGGGTTTAGTCAACCCTTACGGCGCGCTGCCCACCTTGTTGACTTCGCCTACCTAGCGATAATAGGGAGATTGGTGCATTTTAGGATTACGAGCATCCTAGCCAGTCGACCGTCAAGCACTACGTCGGCGGAATATAACTCGACAGCCGGTCCAGAATTCGAATCGTTAATCCGACCCCTTATCGGACCCCCTCTCGCCGCGATTCTTGCGAGCGTCTAGACCACGTTACGGTCTATCCACTTGAGCGTATGGTTGAGATGTATACGCTCGACGAGAACCCCAATTAGCAGATACTATGACTTGTCGCGACAAAAAATAGTCGAGCATCTTCTGCACATCAGCAGCATCCCACCCCTGAGGATGAATTTAAGTGCCACATTACCACGCTTATCGGTAGTTTAGGCAGGGGTTGTAGCACAGACTTAGGGAGGGACAGGAGGTTTAGTAGTCGTTTGGCTACAAGTTTACCTGTATAACCGCCCGACGCGGCTTAAGGGCCCGCTATATCATCTATAGCCCCTTAAGGGAGTACTTGTAGAGGTACCGAGGGTTAACACCTACGGCGTATTTAATATTATTTTTATATTTCTATATGTCGGTCGAGAATTGCGTCTGTCTCTTTGCGATTTGGCAATTCGTCTTCAACTCCTCTGGCTGGATTAGCCATTTCCGCTGCGGCACAACGTAGACAGCATTTATCGCATTCCACCACATGCAAGCATCAAGGCCACTCTCAGTGGTGTGAGATCAGATTTTTGTCCTAACCTGAATGGCTAAGCAAACGGCGCGGCGAAAACCAACGACCTCAACCTGGAAGACCTTTCAACTAGTCGACAAAACGAGCGGCAGACTTAGCTAAGGCTTTTAAATATATAAGGTCTAACACGCTGAGTATTTAGACATCCCATATTATCGTACCATTGGCGCGCCTTTTGTTCTATCACCTCCTTGCCCACATCTTCCATACTTTATTCGGATCGTGACTACAGGCAAGCACGCAGCTTGGACGTTGCATGGTGCCTGGGCTCAAAGGGTCTAAACGAGTATCAAGGCCTCCAGGTGGCGGTGTCAACTGCAAGATGAGATGAAGCACCACTGCCACGGCCATGGAGATGCAAAACATGAGACAGGAGCACACTGGGGTACTTGCATATTCTCTATATTTCAGCAACATTCAATTGAATTCAATGCGAAGACCACAGTGCGAAGGCTAACGCGTTTGATCGAAATCATGACCGCTTAGCAGTCTGGAAAAGAGATCATATCTACGGAGCTAAGCCAAGTCGGGCAGGCATCCAGAAGCCGATGGGGTTGTTGCCGTTCAGCCTTGGATCTTGGTTGGCCCTGCCACTTCTGCTAGAAGGTTCGTTTGTGAGGGGTGATGTAGTCGCGGACATTTTTGGCGCCTTTTGTATGCGCTGCTGTGCCTGATTTCAGAATTCTGCAGCCTCAGCATAACCAAGAAAAAAAAGACCGACCTCTCTCATCTTCAACCTCACCTCCAAAATAATTGAATTTTGGACAACTTCGTTTCGTTCAAATTCACTCCGTTGGCGAAGAGCCAGACCTCAGACCCAAGCACACAGCGTCTACGCACCACTTCCCGCGTCACTGCTTTTTCAACCCTCCACTTTACACTCCCCCACCAACACAAACTTTACAATGTCGACAGATATGTTGACTCCCGAAGGTGAGTAAGCTTTATTTTGCGATCAGCTGGCTAGCTATGCGGCACCAGTATTCTGCTTGGTTGCCGTCATGCTACCGTGCTGAGCCCTGCTGCGCAGGCAACTGCGACTGCTGCTTTGGTTTGTACTACGGCTGATGCTCGATCTGCTGCGAATAGTCCTTTGGGCCCAACGCTCGTCCAAGTCGGACCCCGAGAAGAACTTCGTCTATCTGACCATCAGCGTTCCCGATGTTCCCGCGTCCAACATCAAGCTGGACCTCAAGCCCGAGGGCCTCACCTTCGAGGGCCGCTCCGACTCGCTGAAGCGCTCCTACCACCTGGAGCTGTCCTTCTACGACAAGATCGACCCCGATCACTCCAAGATCAACCACACCTCACGCAACGTCGAGATGAGACTGCGCAAGCAGGACCTCAAGGAGGAGTACTGGCCCCGCCTGTTGAAGGAAGCCAAAAAACTGCAGTTCCTTAAGACCGACTTCGACAAGTGGGTCGACGAGGACGAACAGAACGAGGTTCCCGAGGAGGACATGTCCCAATTTGGTGGTATGGGTACGTAAATGGTCTCACAAATCACAGACGTCACAACTAACATCAATATCTAGGAGGCATGCCAGGTATGGATACTTGAAGTGCACCCTTCAGGTCCAACTCTAGGACATCTAGTTGTTGATGTTTTGGGAACAATACTGACGATGCTGATTCTAGGTGGCGGCGACTTCGGAGGCATTGACTTCTCCAAGCTTGGTGGCGCTGCACCGATGGGCGGCGATGATGAGGAGGAAGAGGAGGACGATGACGACATGCCTGCTCTCGAGGGTGATAATGCGGCTGATGCGACTGATGCGAAGGACAGCAAGACGCCCGCCGCGGCCTAAACAAACCCCGTCGAAATACCGATTCGTCAGCGGAATCCACCACCCGCACTCATCTACCACTCACGAGGTTACCTCATGTCATGTCAGTTCCCGAGCAGATGATTTACTTTGGCGTCTCTAGAGAATAAGTGGCAAAAGGCAACCATTTCCTCACGGAGTCAACGTACGTTGATGGTTTCGGATCGCTGGCGAGATGCTGGCAAGTTAGGAGCCACAGATGGACTCCAGTTGAGACTCGTTAGGTAATCAATTCAACCTTTGGTGCATGTTACGTCACGTTTCTGATGAACTCCTCAATCGCGCTACTGCGTACATTTGTTCTGGTCTCGACAAAGTTGTCACATCAAGCCACTGTCTCAGAATGTCTGACGAATCTGTCTTCGTTTCCACCATCCGAATCTGAGTCGTCATATTGGTGTGACGTGTCGGTTGCCGCTGAGAATGCTTTCATATGTGGTCACACCCCGTCAGGTTTGATCTCAACTTTGACTTATTTACCCTTACGTCAAGCTGCTTGACTTCTCGTATACCTCTGCGTTCTTTACCGCATCCTCGCTTCCTTTCAAGGCAAGCCTCCGACGCCACCGCGGCTACTTGCCCAAATTGACCGATGTCAAGCTTGTCAATATGCCAGTGGCCGGTACACTTGCCTTGGTGTGGCCGAACCACGGGAGGAGGTGATGGCTCTCGCTCATCAATAAGAAGAAAACAAACATGTCCCTTCGGACAATTTTACCGACACTGCCAATGAAGCATGTAGGATGGACCCGAGTGAGTGGTTGCGGCACGGGTACTACCTATGCACACACGCGGAGGACGACATATACATGTGTCAACTCTATTTTGTGATATCGCTCGTCTCACGCGTAATTTACGTACACCAAGGATATGAGGTATTTATGCCTGCCTGCTTTGGGTGCGGGCTCTCCTGGCTTTGACTGCTCTGCTCCTCCCCAAACGACTCATACCTCTGGTGCCAGGCATTGCGACGTTGTGTGGATCGCGTTGCTGCTGCTTCTTCTTCTTCTTCTTCGAGTCCTGTCACCGCAGACAGAAAGCTCGATACTATTCTCCTCCGAAAAGATATCAAAACAGTTAAGCCGAATTGGCCCGGCTCGCTTGTCATTTCCACTCGCTTTTATCCAGACATCTCAGTAATAAGACTCCGCACCCTTCGAGGCAACTAACTGCCTGCCCGAAAACTACAAAAGAAAAGAAAACATCTGTATTTATATAGACGGCCCAAAACAAGACCTCACAGTTACTTCGACAGTACACACGGCACCAAGTACGGGCTAGGATCGCCGAGATCATGCCTCACGCAACACCCTCGCCCCGCCGCCTTACCAGCTCAACCTCGAGGGGCAACAGCCAACAGTACCAAACTCAAGCAGGCAGCGGCGGCCAGATGTACACGGCGTACGACGCGGCCAAGGCGGCGAGGAACGGGGCTTCCATTACTGCTTGGCCGGGTGATGAGCCGTACACGACGCCTAGGGTGGGGAATGGGAGTGGCGGGGGTTGTGGGAGGGGAGCTGCTGGGTTTGGGGGTTCGTGATGAGATCGTATGATGGATTAGTTTCCCCAGATGTTTGGGAGAGACTTATCCGGTTGTAATACAGGGGTTGGGGACAGGGTGAAGACAGGTCAGGAGTAGGGCGTCTGGAACAGAATGGAGTTAATCTGAACTTGATTTTGTCGAGCTTGGAAATTACGAACGTCGTTACTTTCATCACCTGGACTAGGAGTGCTTTTTACGATATTGATCATGAAGACTCTCGAAAGTTGGGGAAAGAACATCCTGTTAGGCTCAAGCTTGCTATGTGCCAAGAATCTACGTAGCGACAGTAGCCTCAAGTTTGCGCTGATAAGGGGGATCCTGGTGTACTTCGGATAGACCTCCGAGAGGCCAGAGACATTTTAGTGTTTACTTTCTTTCCCGGTGCATACCCATTCCAATACCTGTATTGATAGAGCAAGCTCTAGTAGCAGTTCTTGTTCATCAGGTTGCACTCCAGAATATCCCCCTGTGTCTGATTGAAATTAGGTTGTATTGTTTGTGAGGCGTTAACGAAATCGCTTCGGTAGAAGCAGTGTAACTATAATACTAAAGTTGAACGAGGTCACGGCATGGTATATTATAACAAGTATAACATGCATCATCGTATGGCAGCAAAATGTGGTTAGTTGTGGAGTGTCAATGGTTTTTGCGAAGCATCGTTGCTTCTTCATTACCACAACGATCAACATACTTGACACATGACATACTGAACAGCGGAGGAGCATGGTATCTGGTCACTCCAACATTTGTTATGTTCCTGTGGTTGATTTTTGGTCATCTAGCTACTGCATATCGCCGTGGTGAGTTTCGCGAAGTGTAGGGAAAGGCTCCATTCGGCTGCCCTTCTCCGTCCCGATATTCCAAGACAACTCTAACTTACAAAGTGAACTTTCGAGTTTTTTTATTAGTCCCTTCTAATGTCAGAACACTAGAATTATTGATTACCTAATTAAAATACTGCAGTTTAAGGCCCCTCTCTAGCTTTTAGACGCAGTGATAACTACTAGGAAACACAATTTACTGGTTCCATGTTATTATAGTGACGGCGAAGGAGTATTTCAATTGTAAGGACAAACTGCCCACGCTAACGGAGCGTATCAGATACCTCATAGCTCACGAGAACAAATACGGCATATGAAAGTCAGTAAAAGCTCCCATATTCTAGATAGTTGGTGTACATTGCCAAGGTCTTATCCCACACCTGTTTACCAACTTGAGCTATCTTCCCGAAGCAACTTGTGTTAACAGGCTGTGTCGGAGGAGTCGGAAGATAGAAAATATCCTCGACGAACTTAGGCATGGTTTCCAGTATATGTTGTTGCTCTTCCCTCCTCCTCTGGGAATCGTCCTCATCCTCCTCATCCTGCAAAACCGCACCCTGGTACGATCCCTCCAACCACTTATACTGCAACCACCCCAAGTCCCCGGCAATCCCATCCCTCATTTCCCGGAGCTTCAACTTGAAATACCTCGAATCATTTGCCTTGGAGTTAATCAACCTAGTGAAATCCTTCCAGCCTATAAGATACGGTCCATAATCCTCCTCTCCTCCACATTCGTCCAGCCGCGACTGGAACATGTCCCCACTGTCCCAGTACCGCACTGTCTCGCCCAGATGCACTCTCCTTAACTGCGGGAACAGGGATCGATCCCTCATAGTATCGATGACGCCCTGATACGCATCCTCGTACGCCATGATCTCCCGCGCGTTCATGATGACTTCGCGGATCTCGCCACAGAACTGGCGGAAGTGGGGACTTTGCAGGAGTTGAGGGTCAACACGGGGGTCCGTGACGGAGAACAGGCAGTGGCGTGCAGCTTGGGCGTGCGAGGCGGAGCAGGCGTGGGAGACGTGATGGATCATTTCTTCTTGTGGGCTTCGGTTGCAGGAGAAAGTATTTTTGATGAGGCGGACGATACGACTTTTAGACCAGAAAGGCTGGTGCTTCGGGTGGAAGTAGAGGTTTTGGATGTAGGACTCGTTGGCGAAGGCCCATACCATGTCTTGGATTTCTTGGGGGAGGCGAGGGAACTGGGGGAAGCCAGTTTCTATGCTGCGGGTGGTGTTCACGGGCGACATGGTTGCTGAGGGGGGCAACACCACACAGTCGTGTAAAGTAGTCTCGAGAAAACCACGTTGGTTTCAAGGATTCAGCTGCCGTTTGACGTTATAAATTCACTGGTTGTGGGCGACATAGGTTTCTTGTAGATTTCCTGGCACGATGGGAGAAAATTTCTAGCTACATTACCTCCCAATTACAACAAACTTCGACATTTCCAGTAACGGTCGAATAGTTACCAAAGTATTGGTGAATGAACCAATCTGATAAGGATCGTTGAATCATTCGAAAACAGACCTTTCCAAGGAAGGCGCCGCAGGAAAGGTCCAGGGACGGTATGCTCATTTCGCTCGTCCCGTGTTTGATAACCTGAGAAACGGCCTGACATCGATTCACTTATTCACCAGACCCTGAAATATGATGTCTCGCAGGTCAACGTTTGAGTATGTGCAATTCAATATCTTCGATGACCGATTTGAGTTTAGAAGATCCATCACAGCGCCAGGGCTGGGTTCAGCCGTAACATTGTAAACACCCGTGGTACCTACTTATCAAACTTTCATGTTATAATTTTAGCAACACAACTCCAATCTCATGAGACGAGAAACGAACCTTGGTTATTTATTAAAACTTGCCGCCAAGGGTCACTCCATCTATACCCCATGTGTAAATGACTTATAACCCGCAACTGCCTCAAAAGCCCGCTACCATGATGTCTTGCGCACCACTTCCATTTTTTCTACACCTACGCCTTGAAGAAAATGCGCCAGTAACTTAAGGATTCGGGGGACTTCATAGGAACGCTCTCTCGTAGAGTCTCCTCCCATTCCTATCCTGGAGCAAACTCGCTGGCCTACCCCCCTAGTAGAGACAGGACTGAGACATACCTTTGGCACCAGTGATGTCCTTGTCTTGCAGAACGTATCAAAACAGGCCCCGCAGTAGCTCATGTTGGGATTTACCTACCGTCATAACAGTGTTTCGGAAGTAGAAGGTTGTCGTAGAGCAACTTTGGGCTCTCTCATGTGCTATCATCAATTCCATCGGTAGGTTGAATGTTGTGCGCAGTCACAGCCGCGGAAAGACCAGCTACAGTCTTACATGGAGGGGTTTGATGGCATCACCGGAATACTCGTCTCTGAACCGGCAGTGGGTGTGGCCGCAGCGTGGCGTCGCAACTCGCGAGGACGAATAAAACACGTAACGGCGACGCTATACCACCAACACCGCTGCGACAAGGGTGGCCCAAGACCTCGAATAACGCCAGTCGTGGTATAACTGCATAATTGAGCACAGTAGATCCATTGTCAATGATTGTATCCAATAAGCGGCATTGGACGCATAGCCAGCCCCCTGAGAAGGCCTACTCTTCCGCAGTCCAGTTCCAATCCGGCGCCGTAAACACATCCCTAGCGAACTTATCCGCACCAATAGCGTGTTCAAACCGCAGTCTCTGGTCCCCGGCAACAGCTCTGGTAAAACGAAACAGCTTTGGGACGCCCTCCTTGTCCTTCTCGTTGTCGGTTGGTATCCAAGTTGCTGTGTGCCTGCTGGTCTTCCACTGCATACGGGCAATGGGTATGGAGTTCGCAGAGAGCAAGGCCTGCAGAAAATCCACAATAGAGAGGATCCTCGTCCTCAGACCACAGTTGGTATGGTTCTTGTCTATCTGGTAACTCGGACATTGCCTCAGGGTTGCCAAGACTGGATCTATCTGTAGAAGCGACGTGTCCGCGATGGAGTCTAGGGAGGCGGGGGAAAAATCGACAAGAAACATGAGGTTCTTGTTAGTCAGAAATTTCAGCATCTCACCGAGCTGGTAAGAGTCACATGCCGCACTTGAGTCGTATCCCAGTTTGCACTGTCGTGTTCGAGATGTGTACAGCTTGAGGAAATGCCGCTGCACCGAAGCGATGGTGTTGAGGATACACTCCCGGCGGTGCTGGAGCTCTTCTAAAGTGACGGTCAATTGGACCGAGCTGTTGGGGGGGTCCAAGCAGAGAAGGATACTCACCCTCAAGACCATCTTGCAGATACCACCAAGTTGGCTCGTCCTGCCCATCGCTTTCAGGAAAGGAAGTCCATTTGCAGGATCCGTTCATGATCAGCTCGCGGGTTGCGGCCGCGAACTTGACCGGCTGGTTCAAAAGCCAGGCGACAAGAATTTTCTGCCGCAGCACATTCTCAGTGTTACGACTCATGCTTGCATCCTCGCCGGGAAGTGGTTTGCGTTGTGTGATGGGCCACTTGAACTTCAAGCCAGAGGACATGAACCTGGAGATGGAAGCGGCACAGTCAAAGCGATCCGCAAGCACTGCCAAGGTGGCAACGAACTGCATGGTGACGGGCGATGTCGTTGCCGCCTTGCCGTGGAGGATTCTTAGCAGATCGGCGAAGGCAGCGTCGCGATGAGCGTACAGAGTCGCCTCATCATCATCGGTGATCTGAATCCACGGAAGATCCTTGAACTCTGCGACGGCGGGCTTCACGTTCCTCAAGGACAGGGCAGCGAGGGCCGCGGTGATGGCCTTGGCCTCTCTGAACCGAGTATCGGTCAAAAGCTTCTCAAAATACTTGGACTGCCGTTTCAGTGTTGCCACATCGACACGAAAGCCCAGGCGAGTCATTGCTGCAGGGGCGACGACTATTCTGGGGACTGCCTTCCGGGCGGATTTCAGCGTCGCCTTGGAGTTCTCAAAGGTCACGTCCAAGACCAAATCCCCGGTGGATACAATTTCAATAACTGTGGGTAGATCGGCTTCACGCAGCGCTTCCGACGAGTCGCCCTCTGATGCCCCGGCTGAATCGTCCATCTGGCCTATCTCCGGTGTGCGGAAGTACCTTCAAAATGCAGGCGTGCGAGGCAGTCATCAGCCCAGAAGTGGCAAGGCGCCTGTGCTCGAGATTCCGAGATTTCAAGTCGTGATTCTGAGAAAAGGCCTCGAGCGAACGATGTAACTAGGCGGTGCAATATTCTGCAACGACGACGGAAAAGGCGGTTTCCCGGGATCGTGGTCTCAGTGGCACACTTCTTCGGGTTGGGCTTGAGACGGAATCTGGGACGGCTCTATCGGGTCACCTGGGCTTGGTGCAGGTGACTGCTCCAGCCAAATGTGGAAACGGCTAGACTGTCGGCCAATCAGAACACCCCGCCAATCGGCCGTCACTCGACCCTCCAGCACTCATGATGATCAATGGTGTTGCTGATATACAGTGGTTTCTGGATAAAGGTATTGGGTAACCGTAGAGATGCTTTGAAAGGCCAGAATGTGAAAATAGTTCTATGCTGGTTTATTTACATGCAAAGATACCAGAACCGGCCATCACCGCCGTTCAAAATGCCCTGATGGAGGCCATAACCACCGCTTCAGGCTTGTCAGGTCTTTTCGGTCGCAACTGCCGTGTACTCAACAATACCATTGCCCCTGGCCCCACTGGAAATTTCGACGGGCTCAGATGAGTTCTCGTGCTTGGACTTCTTGAGCGGCCAATGTCCCTTCACCTCCCTGTACCTCATAATAAAGAAGGCCGCAATGACGAATATCCAGTAGACGTTATACGAGATGACAGACCCGTATGTCGCCGAGTTGGTCCAGCCGAGTATGGCATTGAAGATGCCCCAACCTTCGCCACCATTCAATTCGGGACTGCAGCACTAGAATTGCCGTTAGTCTCGAGCTTGGACCTGTCAAGTCGATATTCAGAACGTACGTTCACATGCCACACGCTCTTGTCGATATCGTAAGAACCTGGCCCGGTTCCCAACTCAGCTGCATCGCCACCGATGATGTTGTTCCACTTCTGTTGCTCGAAGTACCACACTGAACGGGAGAACAACCCTGCGGCGACGAGGTACAGCAGGCAAGTGGATGCGATGAGGAAGTATTTCAGCTTGGCCGAAGCTCCTCCCCTAGTCGTTCATGAGCAAACTTACGACACAACCACATTGGCAGCAGACTTACTTGTACAGGATGTATCCCACGATTATCCCGACAGCCAACCCCACAACAACGGGGAGGGGAACAGCCGTGGCCGGAGCCGAGAAGGTAACGCCCGCAAGGAACACAATCGCTTCTATCCCCTCGCGGAGTACGGTGATGAAAGGCAAATAGAACATTGCGTACTTCTCGGCGAACCGCTTGAACGCCCCGCCCCTGGCCCCCCCGGTTTGGACGGGGCCCTCAAAGGCTGTTGCGAGCTTGACCCGCCACTTCTCCTGCATCTTGCCGATACGAAGAAGCCCTGCGCCGACAACGGTGATGATGACGGCAGCAACCAGGGCAAATGCGCCTTCGTAATTGTACTCGCTGGATTCCCACGCGTTCTTTCCGAGGGTGTAGAATGCACCGATCAAGCCTCCAGCCACGATGACACAGATGAGGAGGCCTAACCCAACCCCCAGCCAGACCTGCAACACACGGATGATTAGTACGGGGACCGTGAGCGATTGAGTTGTGTTCTGTTTTCTTTGAATTCTCACCTGCTTCACCAGCTTCTTGTAGACTACCGCATCATGATCCGGTCCACCGAGGGTTTGTTTGAGGAAAGCCAGCAAGACGGAGACAATGATGACCGTCTCGAGCGTCTCGCGAAATACGATCAAGAACACTGGAACGGCAAAAACATTTGGCATCTTCACGTATCACGTAGGAGTCCTAGATTCAGGGAGGAAAAAGTCTGGTGGGATGGTCTGCTTGAAAGTGGGCAGATGGTTCGCAGCATAAAAGAAGTTTCAGATCAGCGGCTGACCAATACGATCAAAATCAGATAAAAGAGAAAACGGTGCGATATCCCAAGGCGGGTTGATTATCACGTCAGTTGAAGTCGGAATTGGCAGACTGGAGGATCCGATGACGGCTCAGCGTCTACTCGCGATATAACCGATCCAGCGGGGCGCTGAATGTCGTTCCACACAGATGGGTGGTTGTTTGGGATGATCAGGTGAGGCCTTTCTCCGGCTGAGATGTTTACCAATCGGTTGAACGGTAGCTAAGAATCGTTCAAAAGGAAAAGATAAGCTTCAGTACTGATGGCTTATGGCGGCTTGATCACACGAGACTGATACCATGACGGCGGATACCTTATCGAGCAGGAGTCGCCCAGAGAATCCTGGTTGCCAGATTGGACGTGGCGTCCCAGCACAGAAGCTGCGGCATTTAGCGGGAAAACGGTGCTACTGGATGATGCCGGCCATGAGTTCTAGAATGTGCCTATATTCTCGTGTGGTAGTATCAAAGTTTCTTCTTGTCGCTGTCGCAAATAAGCTTTCACTTGGCAAGCCTAGCTCGCTCAAAAGACTGGCAGGGGTTTCCTACCTTGACTCCCACCCTATCCACCCTATGAGCGGAGACATCTAGAGCAAATGCGGATGCGATCTTCAGCAGGGATGAACTCTATTCGCTAGGGTCATATATGCTCAAGCTCTGTGCTCAAGCTCTGTGCTCAAGCTTTGAAGTCCGGCGCTTGAAGTGTGATCTCGGCCACGATATGAACTTGCGGTCATCTACCTGGAATATTTTAGAGATTTGGGCGATCAAACCATCCAAGTCGCACGGTTCAGGAAGGCGACTGTGGATTCAGCCAAGCTATGTGCGTGTCTTCGGCTCAGAGCTAAGGATACAGATGCGATTTGTCCGGTTAATGATGTTCGACTTCACCGTTGCATTTCCCACCCCAGGCGAATTCCGCTGCGACCGATGTGGTAGACTAGATATCTGAAAGGCTGAAATGGAGGTCGAACCTTTGTTCGGCATTTTATGGGAACCAAACAACTCGCTCGAGTGACCATCCTGTTGCTAGCTTTTCCATTGCGCTATATTTATCGCCCAGCGACAGATTGCACCGTCTGCTGGTCTGTTCGATCTAGACTTTACATGAGTCGGCTAACAAACTCGACGAACGTCGAGATAATCGCTTGTCTCCGACGTCTTGCGCAATTTCGTCTTCCACACCTCAAGGCAAGCGACGCAGAAAGGAGGCCAGGCTCATTAGGTCGGTGAACTGGTTCAACACTAGGTCACAGCAGATAAGTGAAGCTCCTGTGCCGCCCCTACACGACGAGACACTTGATAAGATAACTTGTTAAGCTCCGCGTCAAGGCACTGGTTCTAGTCGAGTAAGTTGTCGCCACCACTTCCTATTGCCGCGTTTGGATTCCACGGCGCGTTCCGAAATCAGGTTACTCGGGCAAGTGCGTTATGAAGCTCAAGCATTTCTCCTGGGCTTGATATCTTTGCCTTGTTCTGGACACTCGCTGACCATGCGATGAAGCAATCTCTTTGTCTTCTCGCGAACATTAGTCTTCGTACGGCATTGAAAAGATGAAGTCCTCCGTCCCAGGCCTCCTGTCTGTCTGGGAACTCGTCCTCTTTAGTTTCGCTGAAGCGGCCACTGTCACGTACGACTTCAACGTGACATGGGTCACAGCAAATCCGGACGGTGATTTTGACCGGCCTGTGATTGGTATCAACGGGAAATGGCCCATTCCTCAAATCACTGCCAACGTAGGAGACAACGTCGTAGTGAACGTTCAAAATCTTCTCGGCAACGAATCGACGTCTCTCCACTTCCATGGCCTCTACATGAATGGCACGGCTCATATGGATGGTCCTGAGCAGGTCTCTCAGTGTGCCATCCCACCAGGCTCGAGCTTTACTTACAACTTCACAGTATGTATCACTCAGGTAGACTCTGTTTTATGATACTAACACCGGCAAGATTGATCAGCCAGGCACCTATTGGTACCACTCCCACACACATGGCCAATACCCCGATGGGTTGCGGGGACCACTGATAATCCATGACCCCGACTCTCCATTCCTCGGACAATACGACGAAGAGTTGGTTCTCACGCTATCCGATTGGTACCATGACCTCATGACCGACCTTCTCCCTGGCTTCATCAGTAAAGGCAACCCCACTGGCGCCGAGCCGGTTCCCCAGAATGCACTCTTCAACGAGACGCAGAATCTGAAGGTCAAAGTCGAGCCGGGAAAAACTTACCTGTTCAGAATGATCAACATGGGTGCTTTTGCTAGCCAATACGTGTGGTTCGAAGGCCACAATATGACCATCGTCGAAGTGGACGGCGTGTACACCCAGCCTGCCGAGGCTGAGATGATCTATCTTTCAGCTGCACAACGCTGTAGCTTCTTGCTGACTACCAGGAATGAGACAACTGCGAACTATGCCTTCGTCGGGAGTATGGACACGGTGAGTCCACAGACAGCTCACTCTTTCGTCCGACATTGTTCTAATAACGACACGCAGACTCTATTTGATGTCCTCCCAGACGACCTGAACTACAACGTCACGGGCTGGCTTGTTTATGATGATGGGAAGCCGCTTCCTCATCCCGCTTTTGTGGACGATCTGGATGGTAATACTTTCGACGACATGACCCTTGTCCCATGGGACAATCAGACCCTCCTGGGAGAGCCTGACAAAACGGTAGAGCTTAATGTGATCATGGACAATCTTGGAGACGGGGCAAACTAGTTCGTCGAATCCGCTCTGATCGAATAGTTTTATTGATGAGTCCAGTGTGCTAACTGGCCTCTCTAGTGCATTCTTCAATAATATTACCTACAGAGCCCCAAAGGTCCCGACGCTGTACACGGCCCTCAGCACGGGTAAGCTGGCCACCAACCCTGCAGTCTACGGCGGTTATACCAATACTTTCGTCCTCGAGAAAGGCCAAATTGTCCAGCTAATCGTGAATAACTTGGACACCGGTCGCCATCCATTCCATTTGCACGGTAGGAATTTCCAGGCCGTGTACCGGTCTGCGGAAGATGCGGGCACCTTCGAGGATTCCAACGTCACCGAAGCCGATTTTCCTTCTGTTCCCATGCGCCGTGACACGTTCGTGCTATACCCCAGCGGCAATGTTGTTTTGCGGTTTCGAGCCGACAACCCTGGTATGATAGTCTCCCCACCCTAGAAGTAAGCCAACCAGGACATGCTGACAACAGTTAAAACTCGCAGGCATATGGCTTTTTCACTGCCACATCGAATGGCACGTCGCGTCTGGCTTAATCGCGACCTTCGTCGAATCGCCCCTGGACTTGCAAAATACCCTCACCATCCCCAAGGACCACTATGAAGTCTGTGTCGCTGGCAACGTCCCGACAGTAGGTAACGCAGCGGCCAATACGCACAACCTGCTCGACCTATCCGGCGAGAACCGCGCGCCAGATCCGCTGCCCGATGGCTTCACCACCCGGGGGAAAGTGGCACTGGCTTTTAGTTGTTTATCGGGCATTTTGGGGATTGCCGTGGTCGCGTGGTATGGTCTTGCTCCTGATCCCGCTGCGCATGCGGGGGTGGAGAAAAGGGTTGCAGAGGCCGACGTCGTTGATTCTAGTGTCGGAGACATAGGCGCGGGGCCGTCCACGGCTAGGGAATTTGTGATGGCGAGCAGTTCGGGTGATGGTAATAGAGGTGCCAGGGCTTGAGCTTCCTCGTGGTGGTCGTATTAGCGTCACAAAAATACAGTCATGACGAGCGATATGCAAATTCAAGTACCGTATCCAAGACTAGATACAAGTCCTTCCCTGTCAACTCATAAACAAGCGAGCTGGTAGCTGTTGCGTCACCTTACATAATTGCACCCATAAAAGCGGCATGCTCAACCAAGTAAGTCATGCTGAGCCTTTTCTTATCATCGACAACGCGAGATCGAATAGGGCCTAGATATGCGTGCGCCGATCATGAGACCAATTTCTTTACCCCCTACTTTGGGACGACAATACGGAACGCCTTGCCGAAGATTTCTAATGTCAGGCGACTGATCTTTCTCTCTCCCTCCCTCCCCCAAATTCTTGTACGAGAATCCGTGACTGCTTCTCTAGGTAATTTCCGGGATGATGGGAGGCTGCATGATCCCCCCGAACAAGAGGGGACAATGCCTTTGTTCCACGAAGTGTTCCCGTAAGACTCATGCACCGACATGCTCATCTGGCAAAGACCAGTTTTCATCTTTGTGGAAAGGGTCTGAAACTCAGGTTGGGCAAGTCTCACCGCAATCAAACGACAAAGTTGTAGAGACCCAGGGTTGGTTTAAACCGATTACCTCATATGCCAGAGACATGTAGATCACCTCACGAAGATGTAGGCGAAGATTACTGACGGGAGTATAGCATATTCACATACTCACTAGTCATGTATGATCTCCTGATACCGAGAGAGTTGGATACAAGCCCCTGAGAACGTACTCAATATACTCAAATAAGGAGTACGGCCCATAATAGCCCACGATCGCGACCGTCTCCCGCTCACTGGTCAATTTCCCCAGCAGTCAAATTATTTGGTATTATTGCCACCCGACAACCCAATATGTTTTACTCAACAGAATGATTCGGGATGGGCGACTAATAAGCGTCGTACGTTTTCTTGGTATTCTTGAGTTTGGTCCCAGGGGGATGCTCATGAGCATGGAACTTGCAGTAAGGATGCGTGCAGGCTCCGTTCACTACGCTAGGGCACTGTCGAGGATAATCAGTCGACGCAGTCGGGACATCCATGGCACATTCGTGCCTGATGGCCGCCGAGTGCTGGGGGAGGGTAAAATGGGGCTGATCTTACGTGATGGCCATAGATGCAGTTGTCCACTTCACAGTCCTGCCCATTGGTGCAAGGATTCAAGCGAGCGAGGAACGAAATTGCCTTGAGCTCGTCTGCATTGGGCTTGTAGTCGTGCTCAAAACAGCAAGAGTCCCCCTTGGCGCATGGTCCTCGCAGGTAATGGTTGTTGCATAATTTATCGTTCTCTTTTCGTTTCTTGATTTGGTCAAGGACCGACTGGTTGATCGGAATGGGGGGATCCAGACCACGGGGACCGGGGGTCCAGGGCGGCTGCTGCACCGGAGCCACCTTACTGGCAGCGCGAACAGTCGGAGTGGTGGCTTTGGGAGCTAATGGGAGGATAATCGTTGGGGGAGGGCTGGCCTTCTGGGTTACTGTAGCATACGAGGCACTGTGCGGCGTTGAGTAGGCAGGTGGCGGAGTTCGACTAATCAACTTGTCGTTTCGGAAGATGCTGTCAAAATTCAAAACGCCCACACCGGTGGAGATAATCTCTCGGACGGTGGGATACCCCTCGAGGATGGTGACGCGTCTCCTAGTGCTATCATCTCGAAGAACCTCGTCGAGGAAAGGAGCGTATCCAGCGTCATGGGACACACCCAACAGGATCTGCTTGCAGTTGTAGTTGCGGAGGTTCCAACGAGCGCTTTCTTTAATCTTGGTATCGGCCCGTTCCTTACCGTGGCCGACGTCAACAAAATCAAACGAGGCTTTGGCTTGCGTAAATCCCAACATGAAGTCCTTAAGGTCGTTCTCGCTGTCGACCGACCCGTCGCGTTTCATGGCTTTGTTGAGGCCGGTCAAATTGGCGTAGATCCTGGTGATAATCTCCGTCTCGTCCGGGTTGTCGCATAGTGCAACGACCGACTCTCGGAGGGTGTAGGCAGCTTTCTTTCCGCCCTCGAGGCCTTGCTTGATCAAATGCTCCTTGAAAATCAACCCATCGCCGTCAATGAGAACCAATACATATGGGTTACGATGTTTTAGCACGGTGTTATCTTGCGAAACAAAGTCGTACTTGTCTTGCAGTTCCTTGATACGTTGCTGGAGCTCTCGGCGTGACGTGACAGAATCTTCGTAATCTAGCCGGGCATTGTTCAGTTGGGCAATGAGGGCGCGATTTTCCTGGCGAAGCTTCGTTTCCATTTCTTCGCAATGAATCATGAGGTCCTGTAGGTACAATAATGTTAGCTTCAGATGCTACAGCATGCAGGGTGCTACGTACGCGAATCAAAGACTCGGTGTGATCTCGAGTCTGCTGATACTCTGTGTATCGCGGAATGAAATCCATGATGGTAGCTTCCACAGCCATCTTGCCGAGTTTCGAGGTCATCAGCCAGGTGCAGGAGAGACAGTGGCGTTGAAGGAGGCAAGGCTACCGTCGTGCCCGATATGATGCTTATACAGTCGGGTAGAGTTATCAACGGAGGTGGACACAGAAATCAAGTCGAGCGGGCGGTGGCTTCCTAAACAAATATATGGTACAAGGAGAGCTTTCGAGGTTTGTGGTTCCAGTTTACTGGGGCCGTACGCCGAGCAAACGTCGCAAAGAGAACAAATCGCAGACGAATGGTAGCAGTATCTGGAGATGTCCAAAAACTTGACGAATAATAACTGGCAATCGTAAACATGCCTTCGGCCCACCGCTCTTCAGTGCTCTTCTTCCTTGGGGCATCGGGCAAATGTCGAGATACAGCAGGACGACACGAGGGAAAATAAAGTGGAGAGCCGCGCTCTTAGAACGACGCACCGATCCACTGATTTCCCTTGCAGGGTTGGCCGATCTGGAGTTGCGGACGCGAAAAGTGCCCCAATTCAACATGGGCCGGCGGGTACGAAAATAAAATGGCACCAACCGCAAACACGAATACAGACGACGAGCGCCGATGCCGATCTCGACGGGGACAAGTCGAGGGTAAAGCCCTGAAGTCCCGGGGAAAAAGACAGTTGGGAACAGACGTACAATTGTTGTTTCCTGCTGCGACTTCAGCGTTTATTGTAGGCGCCCAATGTGCACAGACTTTCTCGAGTATTTACCAAGCTGTGGGAACTTTGGGGCCAGCGCTCATTAGCGAGTTCCGCTTTAGATTGAATCTCGCAATAATCTACCTACTATGCACCCACTCCGTTGGCGCTCCGATTCCGAATTCCAGCGGGCGGGTTCAGCACATTGGGTGCATACGAGACGAGTCGAATCTTCCCCGACATTCGCTAGCTCCAAGAAACGAAGCAACTCGGTTCTCGCATCGTCTTCTGTCGGGCAAATCAGTCCTTATTCACACAGAGTACAACCCAGCCAGCCTCGAATTGGGGCTTTAAACCGATTTGTGGGCCACAATGGCCGCTCCGGCTTGTTTGCTTGCTTGCTTGCTTGCTAGATCACGATGATGTCCAGCAAGCCCAGCATCCACATTTCAAGCAGCTCTCCACATTTCACGCCAGCGACAATCCTGGGGCAAGCCCTTCCTTGCCATCATCTCCAGGTCCAACCAATTGCCAGGGGGCCGAGATGCAGCTAAGCACAAAGTTGCCGAGATGCAGCTAAGCACAAAGTTGCCGAGATGCAGCTAAGCACAAAGTTGCCGAGCAGAGCTATCTAATCAGCGCCCATGACCCTGTTAGGGATTATGCGACTTTCATGAGTGTCAAAGCACGCAACAGTGAGTCGCTTGCTGGCGCCTGTCAATGTCAAGCCCTGTTGCAGTGGCGCTTTGGGCAACCACACGTCCTCTGTGACTGGTCTTGGGAGGGAGGCCAGGCCGCCAACATAGTTCTATTTGATGGACGTGGTTAAGCACAGCCTAAAGTTGCTACGTGGCCTGTCTCCCAAGAATGTCTCCCGAGAATGCCTCCCAATAATGTGTCCTGTGAGAGTGCCTGACGACCCGTGAGATGTTGCACAGGAATCTCAACGTACTTGTGGTCTGTTGCACTCATGAAGTACGATAAGGCAGATGTGAACACAATGTTCATTGGCCTTTGCGAATGGAAGCACAGCAGGTAGCCGCATTCACAGCCCTGTTCGGGCATCAATTGATGATGGCGGTCTCTTGTCAGGCCCTCGGCTTGATCGGATGTGAGAAAATACAGTGTCTCCTAGTAGACTGTATAAGCGAAACCACGCGAAAAATGCACGAGTTGGGAGTATGACATATACTTTGACATTGCGTTTCAATAAAGGGCCGGTTCGCCCCCGCATTGCAAGGCAGTGGAACTCGTCTTGCATTGCCACATTGCAGAATTTGTGACCGAAAACGCTCACAATGTAACCTTGCATGCTGAGATAAGTTCCAGCAATATACTACGGTATCAGGCCAAAGTTTTCACCCCCCTGACAAGTACCAGTGGACACTGCCAGACAACGCTATACTAATTCTGGCCTAGCCTACTCATGCCAACGAAAAGGTACTTCCACCTCTGATTCCAACTTGCTGTCAATAACGCGTCCTCATTATCGCGTTTCAGTAACCACAATGGGGACTAAACACCTTACGGAAGCCGATCGCCAACGAATTCGAACCCTCTATTGCGATGGTGTAATCAAAAGCCGAAATTCATACTATTACAACATTTTCTCTTAATCAGATCAAGACAGCTATTAAGGCCTCTTCAAGCCAGGTAGCTAAGAGATCTGGTAGACCCCGGACTTTATCTCGTGAGCAAGAAGAGCTCGTTACATATGTAACTTGTTCTAAGCAAGGCCGTAGAGCCTCATTCCTCCAGTTGTCAATCATCCTTTTCCAGTCCCTCTTCGGAGTTTACGTTATACGAACTACCCTCCGCCGGCTCGGATTCAAGAGACATACTGCGCGCCGAAAGCCTCCTATCTCAGAAGTTAACCGACAAAAGCGCCCCGCCTGGGCCCTCGAACATGTTAGCTGGACACCAGAGCAATGGGCTCAGGTACTTTGTACCGACGAGACATGGATTACAGGAGGACACCATCGAAAACAGTACGTTACACGACGACCAGGAGAGGAATGGGACCCGACCTGTATTATCGAACGACACCAACATAAACAAGGCTGGATGTTCTGGGGCTGTTTCTCAGGCCTTGGAAAAGGACCGGGAATCTTCTGGGAAAAGGATTGGGGTTCTATTACTGCCGAGACATCGATCCCACACAATTCCTATTATCGATGGCTGGATACAACTGTCAACGAGACCTCGGTACACACCTTACATTAATGCAGGACGGCGCTCCCGCTCACTCGGCAATTGATACAGTCACAGATCTTACGGATAGGGGCATTAATATAGTCCAGTGGCCACCTTATTCCCCTGATCTAAACCCGATAGAGATGTGCTGGAACTGGATGAAGGACTACATTGAAGATAAATTCGGTATTACAGAAAAGCCTAGCTATGATCGTCTTCGGATATGGGTAAAGGAGGCTTGGGATGAATTACCTGAGAGCTACTTACAGGAGCTTTTGAAATCAATGCCAGAGAGGTGCGAAGCGGTGATCGCGGCCAACGGAATGCATACAAAGTACTAGTAAAATGTATTGGATGCATATGCCAAGAGTTAGCGCGTGCCAAGGTGGGGCACGGTACAAACACACAATTGAAAACTTACCCATAACACCATAGTAAGCCTATTGATATGACTATCAGTAGCAACTGTCGCAAATTAGTCATGGATTAGTCATGAATTAGTCGTGAGATCTTGAGGCCGCCCTCCATTCCAAAGGATCCAGATTCTAGAAGTCGGCCAATCCGCGGATCGGTCAGACTTGTCACAAAGCCACGTCTTAGCGTAACGACAATCTTTGGTCTGTGGTTGTAGTTAAGGTGACCATAGACCCCCCTAGTTCAGCCGACCAACCCCCACTTTAATCAAATATTTATGGGGCGCTCGTGATAAAAGCCGACCATGGTCGGCCTTTGTCACCGACTACACTTTTCTTTTTAAATCCGTAGAGATTTTTCCTAGTAACTCTAGTCCAAATATAACGAAATTGTTCTATAATTAGTGTGACGGTCAACCCTCGCAGACTCCCTACAACCAGGTGACTTACAGCTGGAACACCTGCCGTGGCAGTGTGAGATGGGAAGCCAATCATAACCCTTGTAGGAGCCCCGCCAAGCGTGGATGACTTAGTCGCGCTCCCTCAAACCTAAGTTGTCATCTTCTTTCCTTCGCTCCTTAGAGTAGAATCTTCGTCGATAGCACCTAATCGAGGTCTATACCAATGCGATGCAACCCAGGTCGTGACAATTAGTTCTAAATCGATTCTACTATATTATATTTACTATAGCTACTACAAATATCTTCCCTATTATCTAAAATACCCGCTCTATATTTAGAGGTACGTACTTATAGTTATATATATACTACCGGAAGTAGTAGTTATACGGTAATATAGAGCTTACTAATAGCTAGTACGACTTTATCTTCCTAGATTATATAGAATTAGTTTTGAATCGATTAAGAATCGATTAAGAACCGATTTAGAAGTACTTACGCCGTTAAACTCGAATAGTAGTATACTAAGTAGCCAGTAGTGTGTGTCGTCGTCACGCCGTGCTAGGTGCTAGGGGTTGCAATCCTTGCCACTACGCCACCGTACCAGATGTCTTCACCAAAAGAGACCAATACCAAAGTCAGGACTTGCTATCTGCAACCACTTATCAATCTGTTCAGACCAGTATGGGTCAATCACGTGACAACGGTCACAGCCGTCGACGTAAGTAATACTATCCTTATAGAAGTAATATTAGGGCTAAAAAAGAATTAACTTAAAATCGATTCGAAGTTAATTTAGAAATGTACTTACTATATCCTTGTATGACGGTATCGTTACGTAGAACGATTAGCTGAATTACGAGGAAGAAGTAGCGGATAACGGGTTATTACTAGGGAAAGCAGAATCGAATCGAAATCGGAATTCAAATTCAATTCAAATTCGATTCTATGGTCAGCTAGACCCAATTTTCACATATTTTCAACTAATAAGAATAGAGGTATTATCTACCCCACTATGGTCACCTGTACCCAGTGTTTTAACATCTTGTGAGGTCATGGTCGGCTCAACTGGGGGGTTCTATGGTCACCTTAACTGTAGACTCTTTGGTCTGCAGCTATAAAAAGTTAAATTAGGTACTTTGTACTACGGTATCAGGCCAAAGTTTTCACCCCCTTGACAAGTACCAGTGGACCACTGTCAAGGTAACGCTATACTGATTCTTGCCTAGCCTACTCATGGTAACGAAAAGGTACTTCCACCTCTGATTCCAACTTGCTGTTAACGCGTCCTAATTATCGCGTATTCAGCAACTACAATGGGGACTAAACACCTTACAGAAGCGGATCGCCAACGAATTCGAACCCTATATTTCGACGGTGGTAAATCGAAAGCCGAAATTCACACTACTACAACGTTTTCTCTTAATCATATTCAGACAGCTATGAAGGTCCCTTCAAGCCAGGTAGCGAAGAGTTGGCGCGTGCCTAGGTGGGGCACGGTACAATCACGCAATAGAAAACTTACCCATGATACCATAGTACTAAACCATCAAACTATAACTGCCTTGAATTAAGGACAACATAATAACGTACAACCCCACCTTTCCGGCCACATATTGCAATCCAATTGAAGGTATTCGAAACAGTGTATTCAATGTACTATTATAGCTATTCAGGTACAACCAGCTCTAATAGAAAGCTGTGCTCTAGGGCTTCCTGAGGTATAGATCTGATAGATTCTGACGCCTTAGCTGGGTCCAGTATTACCTGATTCCGATGTTGTACCTGGTCTCGTTGCCGTTCTACTTCAAGGGCTCGATCCATCGCTTCCTTAATCTGTACAATGTTACCAAATCGTACCTTCTTACGTGGTTTGGGGCGTAACGAAATTATCTCGGCTTCTAATGCGTGTACACGTTGGGTCAAAGTAGCGACCTCGACGCTCTGTACATCTAGCCGACGAGTCAGCTTCCGAAACAATAGCCGTTGCGACGATCGCAATGGCGTAATCGCTGCCAGACTCTCCCTAGCTACTAAGCTAGTCACTGGCGTCGCTATTATTGTCAGATCAAGCCAATTACCAGCTGTTGGTGGTGTAGTTGGTCGTTCTGATAGGGGGGCTATCGTCGGCTGAGGTCGCGATGGATCTAATGGGTATATTCCAGTTGCAGAGAAGCCTGATTGTATATTACTGATCGTGAACGACTTCGTATATGCCTCGATGTATAGCGAGAGGAACGTCGACTTTTTAAATGGAATAGAACAGTACTCGATCGAGAGAGAGGTCGCTAACGAGCGATAGTACCGCTTTAATGGAGCAAATACGGCGACGTCGAGAGGTTGGAGCCCGTGAGAACAGTGTGCTGGCAAAAATAGTAACGAGATCTTGTTACAATAGGCTAACCACATAAACTCGACGTTGTCGTGAGCGATATGACCATCTAATATCAAGAGCCGCTGCTCGTCGGGATCAACTGGTTGTGTACGAGGTATAAAGATATCACGAAGCCATCGAACGGCGATATCTGTACTGATCCAACCGTTAGACGAATAAGTATATTGCCAATCAGGTATATCGTCGCAATCGTTAAACCATTTCCCTAGATAGCTTCATCGACGCGATTGACGCGTCAGAATGGCTGAGGCCATCGCCGAGTCGTAATTGGAGGGTAGAGCGTGGAACGCCCCATCGGAGGGAAGCCTGGCGCTGGGATATCCCTTGATTGATATCGTTGAGAGCGCCTTGAATCGAATTTTCTGAATATCGAGGCATTGTATAATAATAGCCAATACCGACGATAATCTGTTGTGCCGAAGGTTGTTGTAATTGGCAGATTAGGTGGCCGGAAAGGTGGGGTTGTACGTTATGCATCAAGTTCTCTTCTTTTGGACGCCATCCGGAATGTAACATAAGAAGTCGCATATCAAGAACGGTGCTTCGACTATAGCCTCGAGGGACGGCCCAGTAACATACTTGCGACATTGCGCACCTCATGAAACAGTATCAAAATCGATACTTGTAAAACACGGCTCCACCAGCAACAAGAGCCTCCAACGGTATGGCCATGTTTCGAGTAGCTATCCCCAGCCACAACTTCGTGATCTGCTCCTCTTTGCGTTAAACCCTCTACTTCTAGAGTCGGCATCCTCCCCAACCCGAAACAGCCACGGCCACAGAAATCGATGAAACGCATGCCATCCCAAAACACATCTTTACCGAAGCACCTCGTGACCCAGAAACCCCAGCGATCATAAATCACCTTCAGCATGGTCTCCTCAATGCTCTCCAGCCATTCGTCTTCATTCCGCCGCACATTCAGCACCACTCTGGCCCGCAGGTACGCCGCCATTAGCTCCGCTGCGAAACCGCTCCCCGCTACGTCCGTGACGGCTCTGCAGTGGCCGAGGAGGTTGTCGAGCTCGGCGGCTGATATGCAACTTGAAGCCAGCTCGCATACACCCCCCGTTCCTAGACATAAGCGTCGTATGCGCCTTTGAGATTAATCAGCCACGCTGTGCTGTTCTGACATGGTGTTGATCTTTGTCTATCTACCATAGCGAGCGAAGATGTTTTTGGTCGAAATGACTCCTATCTGTGACTCGTCTATGTTATCGAATTGGAACTCATCTCTTTCCAGACGTATCTGCCGTGACTCCCATCTCCGTGACATCTCACCGACAATGTTTCGATCCGTCGTGACGGCCACTCTGAACGGCGTCTCTCTGGGCTGTACCATATGGCGCTACAAGTAGCAATACATATCAGATTAAAGTTTCCAGTACATGATCGAATGGACGTTGCGCGCCAGGCCGTCATCCCAGAAAGGCGTGTCAAGGGGGAGGAGGAGGATGTATTTAATCTCCCAGTTCCCAAGCTCTGTTAATTCCACAAAAATACCGATGTTGCCGTGACCCATCAGTATGGCGGAAACTGGTTCAACAGACTCCAAATCGTATCGTTTCCGAAGTCGCCACCAAACTGCCACGCTTGGTTACTGTCCACGGTCCCCGCTGTTGCGCCCACCTGCAATCCCGGATTTCCTGCATCATCAAGAGTTGCCATGCCTGACCAGATGTTTGGCGCCGATAATCCTTCATCACTGATGCCGGTCAGATCGTTGTACACAACATCGCCCATAGGATACATCGGAGGCAGGGAACTGAAATCAAAGTCCGCCGGGAAAGGCCAGGCAGCCTGATTGAAAATGTCGGGCGTTGGAGTGAGGCCAGTCCCGCTAGATGCTATTGCACTTGTCGGCTCGGACGACTGCAGCATAGACGATTCCGATTCTGATGCCATGGTGTGTTGATTTGAGGCGGAACTGTCAGTTGCGGGTGTTGTGTTATCGGTTCTATTGGGAGTAATCCCATTTTCTCCCGTCGTACAGTTGACCAACTTCCCCCTTTCGCGCACAAAATCGGCGCCCTTTTTGTCTAAGAATCCGTGTCCAACGGCCTTCTTCAGTCGGATCCAGACCGCGTGCAAGACGCCAAGTGCCGCATGCGCGAGCCTGTTGCGGGCAGCCATGGTCTCGAATCTCTCCACAGCCCACTGGAAGTGCTGAAGAGCACTATCTAGGAACTCCTGATGTTCCTTCGGGAACAAGATGAAGATACTCGCAATCATGACAACTGCATCGAAGGTTCCAAAGAACAAGTTGAAGGTCTTGTACTGATTAGGCTTTAGCACGGCGAAATGGACGCGGTGCGCCTCGAGCATATCGAGGCTGGCTTTGAGCGCCTCTTCCCTGCTCTTGGCGTGGGTGAATATGTATGGTCGGTGTAGGGCCATTAAGTTGAAGGCAGTGAGCTGGGGCAAGCTGGTCCGAACGTATGGCAACCACCAGCATTCGGGGAGATGGTCGAAGCGAGTGTCAGGATTTTCGAGGCGGAAGCATGGAGGTGTGCGTGCTTTCAGAGCTAGTAAATCTTGATGAATCTTTTCAACCTCGGAGAAATCCTTTGGGAATGGGCCTTCTTTCTCCAAGTCCAGGATCTCCCTGAGTGGCTTCATCGCCTCAAACGCCCACAATGCCCTAGTCAGCGGGGTTGGAGGATCGCTCTCGCCCCGTGGAAAAACTGGCGTCTTCTTTCTGTCCTTCGGTATGGGTGCGTCTACTGGGGCAATTCTCTCCAAGGTCCGGTAGTCCACGCTCGTGGGCCTCCCCAAGACGGCTCCCGTATGAAGATCACACCCGACCAAAGTGTACCAGAGCCTTCTTCGACTCTGCGCGTTCCACATGTTTTCCAGCGTCGTTTCTGCCGGGTCGTTAGGATTGGGTTTCGGATCGAAATCATCACAATGAAGCCCGATTTCTTGCGCATCCCTTATGGCTGTCCCCACTTGATGCCACTGTATGAATGTTTAGTCTTGAAGTACAGCCAGAAGACCAGGCCACCCTACTTACGGCTTCTGTGACTTGTCCAGTATATTTGAGGAAAGCAGCTCGAACCCATCCCGCGAGGACCGTCGTCATTGACATCTGTCGCTTCCCCAGAAGCGAAAGTAGTGATACGCCTGTCTCACTGTACTCGAGTGCCAGGTCCTCGAAAGTCATATTTCCCGCATATTTTAACGAGGCGAATCTCTCATCGTCTTCATCGGTAGAACCCACCAGCCCCGTCGCCAGAACCTGAAATAACAACGCAGGGAAAGACCTTAGTGTCGGTTCGATTCCCTGCGGTCCAGCTGAAGATAACAAGTTGAAGGGCAAATTGTACCACTGGTCCAAGTAGTCCCGAAATACCGGCTCATCAATGCCGTAGTACTGCCAGTTGAATTCATAAAAATAGACGTCCACCAGCCTTTCCACGAATGTCCTGGCCGGCAAATGTCGAATGAGACTTTTGTATCGTTCCCTGGTACCAAAGTGATCAGACTCCTGCGCCTCAGCGGCAACGTCAGCCAACGGCTGTCCAACGCCCTCAATCTTCTTTAAGAATCCCAAGGTCGAGGGCGTCGTCCCGGCGTGAGAATACCCGAAGTCAGCTGCTTTGATGGGCATTTTCTCTACAGGCTCAGGCGAGCGCTCACGACCAGACCGGGACGAGCCTTTGCGGGTGCTTGCAAGAGGCGTGCCCGTCTCGTAACGGCAGGCTGAAACCTTTCCACGCTGCGTACAATTCGTGCACGGCAGCTTTCGATCGCACTTCTGTTTTCGCCTGTGGCATTCTATGCAGGAGATGACAATGCGTCTGCGCTTACGAGGTGGTGGTTTGGACGAGTGTTCTTCATCCCCGAGACCCTCAGCAGCAACACCATGGTCGCCATCCTCGACCACCTTTGGGGGCTCTGACACGGCTGCTCGCATCTGCACGGCAATCGGCGAATAAAAGCTGAGGGAATTCGACGAAATTCGAACCAGGTCTCGACTCCACGCAATAACTAAGGTCCTGCTTACTCGACTTCTCTTGCGAGCTTTAAGTTGCTTGCGTTGACAGCTTTAAAATAGAAGAACCTGGCTAGGTAGAGGAGTAGCTTGGAAGGATAAACCCCACCTGCCGCGGAGGCTAGCAGGGGGAGAAGTCTGCTAACACCGGCCCCAAGTCCGAGAACCCCTGTTTAGACAGGTTAGAGCCGGTGCCTTGTGGACGGAAGCAAATGTGCACCTGGTTTTCTCCATTTAGGTCTGTGGGGAAGCGAAATGGCATTGGCAACTCGGTCGTTCTAAGCTCAGGTCATGTCGTTGGAGGCTTCGTGTGTGACACATCCATCATGAATCGAGGCCGGTGGTTACTGCTTGAGTTCTTATTAAATAGGTGTTATTGCCCGGGCCCAGAGCCTGGAATACGACCCCGTATACTAGAACTTTCACTGAGGGTGGTACTATGATTAACTCTTCGCGTGGCTGTTGTGAGTAATGGTACATACATCCTGGCACTAGAACCTGATGTTTGCTCGGTCTCAAAACTTCTACAGAACAAACACAATGTCCCACGATGTTGGCAAGTGTATAATCCCCCGATCCCCAGAGCATTCACTCGTTTGTTTGGTTTAGGCCCGACTGCCCAACCAATAGCAGCATCCATTGCAGAGCCAAAACTCCAAGCTCAAAAGTCAAATACTGCGAAATGCTTGGGGAAATTTCCTTCTGCCACTGTAACTAACCCTTCACCGCCCTGTTCTTTGCATATACGCCTTCCATGCTCGTCTTCGGTAACGCTCGGCCTCGGCCTGCTGGTCGCCCGCATTGAGGATGCCGCGTCCAACAATGATGATGTCCGTTCCACAGAGACCCACGAGTTTTGACGGCGTGTTGTACTGTTGACCGAGACCGTCACCTTCGACTACACCATTCTCCTCACTCTCTCCCTCTGGTGGCAATTGGCATCCGGGTGTCATGTGAAGGAAGGTGTCAGCGGGATCAGAGTTCAGACTTTCTTGTGAAATAAAGCCCATGACAAAGTCCTTGTGCTCTCTCGCCGCCTCAACGCAAGCCTGCGTGTACTCCTTGTTCATGAAGTTGCCCTTACTGGACATTTGCGCCAAGATGAGGAGGCCACGATCCCATGGGGGCTCTTCAATGCCAGCGTACACAACATCGTGCCCATCATGGTTTCCGTTGGAAAATCGAGGCGAGTCAACCGGTTCAAAAGATTGCGTAACCGTAGTGATGGAGACGATGCTCCCTTTCCTGCTTTCCTGTTGTCTCGCGGCGTAGTTGCCCGAAGAGCTAGGTTCCATTGGCGCGAGACGGTCGTCTTCCTCGTCAACAGCGTTTTCCTCGTAGTTGTCGGCAAGTGGAGTGCCAACAGTGACAGACGTCTTCACTTCGTAGTTGACACGGGATCGCCACTTAGCAGCAGCCTCCGCCAGGGCATCCACTGCGGCCTTGCCCGGGACCATGTTCACGTTGACAATGTGTGCCCAGTCGATGATGCGGGCCGAGCCGGCGGTGTACTGCATCTGGACTGTGCTGCCAATATCGCCAAACTTGCGGTCTTCAAAAATGAGGAAGCCGTGTTTCCTTGCCAGAGCGCCCAGCTTAGCGCCGGTGCCAGTTTGCGGGTTGTAGTCCCATCCTGCGACAAGATCGTAGTGTGTCTTGAGAACCACGATGGAAGGACCAATTTTGTCGGCCAGGTGCACCAACTCTCGTGCCGATGCAACATCGGCGCCGAGGCACAGGTTGGACTTCTTCAATTCCATCAATCGCAACAGGTAGTTGGACAGGGGATGGGAAACATCATTGGCTCTGTGGGCGAAGCTCGCCTTGAGAGTGGCATGACGAGGTAGGTCGGCGGACATTGCGATGAGACACGAAACAAAATTTGTGGAGTATTGCAAGTGGTCGAGTTGGGTTCGTCGTCGGACGAGTCAAGGGAGAGTATGCGATCGTGGACCACGCTGAGACAGAAGGTTTTGGAGAGACGTAGTGCAGGACCTTAAAGGGGTTCGAGGTCAGGTCGGCGTGACGATTGTCGAGAGGGCGGTGATGATCTGCAAGTCGAGTAAAGGGTGGAGCTGAATGATGTCAATTTATTCTTCCCGTGTTGGCTCCAACAAAATAGGAGAAGTGTGGCTCGATCGTTGGTGGGTTCGGCTGTCGTCAGTGTCCCTGTTCAAAATTTTGGCGATAGGGGCAAGTAAGGAGTCGTTTTGGTCGTCCCGTCAGATATGAAGTCGGTCGAGGCTTGCCAGTTTGAAGATTGTAGACATTAAGACAAATGCGGTGTAAGAGGAGATCAATTGGGGGATGCATGCAAAAAGGGAAACTTAACGAGGAGTTACGGGTGTTAGGGTATGGACATGTGCACAGCACAGCATGACCCCAGTGGCGCGGTTCAGGACGAGAAGAGGCGACCCGAATTTCGCAGCTGCAGTCCGCTAGTCGCGGTCAGGTAAGAGGGATGGGGTATTGTGCAGGAGGCGCAAAAACTTCCGATCAAAAGCTAGCATATACACCTATTACCCGTGCCACACCCCACTTATTTCGGATTCGCTTGAGCTCACCAACTTGGCCAGTTTTTCGACAGATTTCAACCTTCAATTAGAATCTACGTAATAACCGCCAACCAAGGCCTGTCTCGAAGACATCTGTAGGCTGTAATTGGCCTGTCAATCGACGTCTTCTAGCTTCTTTTGCGGCATCATAAAAGCTCTTTTTGGCTACTCTACGTAGTCCTTCATGATACTTGGCGAGAACTCTCTGTGCTTTAGCTACCTCATCTTCAACCTTCCTCTTCACCATCTCTCTACCTTCTGCAACGGATAAAACTCCACCAGATTGAAGATGATAGTTCTTCATAGCGCGGCTTTGTTTTGATATACGTTCGGCGTACTTTGTACGGCTAAGATCGCGCTTAGTCTGTATAAGCTCGGTCGCATTAACGAGGGACCCTTTAACAAAGTGACTAAGTCGATAAGCTAGATCTGGACTAATACCAAGCTCTGGATCAGTAAGACAGTTCGTAATCTTGCTAGCTACTTTATTAATTTGTCGAAAAGTAGTAGGTGTGCCTTCATATGACGAAGATGAAGGGGCTGGTGGTGGTGATGGCGTCTTTGATATACGTTCTTCAATCTCTTGTAGTATTGGATGAGGGTAAAATGGATATATACCGGTTTTCTTGAAGGCTGACTGGATAGTACTCGCTTTGAAGGTCTTTTTGCGTACATCTTCGATAATTGAGAGGAACTCTAGCTTGGTTATATTGGTACATCCAACCCGTACCAGCTGATCGAGGGACTTCGCATGCCAGTGCTTATATGGCTGAAAAACAACCACATCTAGTGGCTGTAAGAGATGAGTAAGATTGGGGGGCAAGCCGAAGGGTATAATATCGTGGTCGTTGCAGTACTGGATAAACTGCTTCGTATGGTGGCTGCCGTGGCCACCTAAGATCAATAGTCGCTTTCGACCTTTCTGCGTTTTCTTAGAGTTTTGTTCGAAGTGCATAAGCCACTCGAGAGAGATCTCGTCATTCGAATAGCCTGTATCGACCGGCCGTAGCTTCGTATCTGGATGAAGGTCTTGCGCGTACCACTGAGCCGAGTGGATAGTCCCCGTGAGTATGAGGAAAGCTGGTATTACGTCACCAGCAGCAGAGATAGCTTCAATAGCTGTCGCTGTCTCTCTATTTTCTGGTAGGCCGAAGTAATGGGCCCTCTTGCGCTTAGTGATGATAAGTTGATCCTTACCAACACCAATCCAGAAGCCAGTCTCGTCCATATTCCAGAGATCAGAGGGATCGATTCCTTCTTCCCGGAGGACTCTCTCGAGCCGTGTAAAATACTCTCGTATAGTGTCAAGGTTTTCAGCAGTCTGGCGGTTTGAATGGAGCTTCCGCTGGGAAGTGTGGAAGTAGCTATGGCGCTTGAGGAAACGTGTAGTCCAGTTTGATCCAATTGTTGGTGGTGGCTGATTTGGTAGAACCTCGACTCTCTCACGTAATATCGTATTTGCAGCGTCGGTAACGAATTCTACGCGAACCGCAAGATTGATCCTATTAAGGCGGTCGATGTAATTACAGAGGGCCTTTTCTTCGGCTTCAGATAGTAGTTTGTTGAGTCCTCCGTGGTTCTTAGTCTTCCCAGCTTGCTTGACGCGGTATCGGAGGGTCTCGCGTTTTACGCCGCTTTCTCGCGCAATCTTGGCAATTTTGGCTTGAGGATGCTCTTGCATGTAGAGGACGGCTTCCTGTAGCTGTGAGTCCATTGCGATTGGAAAAAGCTAATGAATTGACGAAGATAGGATAGGTTGAAGTTGAAAGTGTCGAAAAACTGGCCAAGTTGGTGAGCTCAAGCGAATCCGAAATAAGTGGGGTGTGGCACGGGTAGACTGAATGGCTCAGCCGCTTGATCACCACATTGAATGTCTTTAAAGAAAGTGATGGCCTTATTTTCAATTTGGTCTCTGTTCACCTCAGGTCTCACCTTCGTGCTTCTCAGAACGACTTGTGTCTTCCATCTCGGCTCATGCATTCATCAATCAATGAGTCAATTAATCGCATGCGAATTGAAGTACTTGACTTATTCTCTGCCTTGCAATGACAAATACTTCTTTTCATTCTCTTTCCCACTTGCCACCTTCGACAGCCAGCTTGCAGACTCCTCGTTAGCTCTTTCCGGAAAGCCCGGTGTCTCCAATCAGATGTGATGTTTTCTTATCACTTGCTAGTCTGCGAGTCGTTCCACCACAAACTTTTGCGCCCCTCCTTTTTCTCGCCCGAGCGGTATAAATTTATGTGACCACGCCTTGCGACTTGCATACTATGCAACTGTCGAAGAGGTATCACGTCTTCGGCTGGCGTGATTTGAATCGCGTATTACTAAATGCCTGAAGCCGCCCAAATTTCCCCAACAACACCTCCATGATTTGAACGATACCCCGCGACGAAAAGGCCCGACCCAAAGTGAAGGCACCCTGGAAAGACTTGGATGGGTGAACCATTGGGCGTACAAGTCATCATGCTAAGCAATCCTGAGTTACCACGTCGTCTTCTGGAAGTTCTTCTGGAAGATTGAGATATAGCCGTGTGGAGTTGCGGCCAGAGGATGCGAGCTCTGGGTAGCTTCAATGAAGCTTGGCACTTGATAGCTATTGCACTCAGCTTAATGCACCTCACCAAAGCGAGGCAGCCCTGTCGTCACCTCAAAGTTATATGTATCCATGTAGGCATTAACCGTGCTGACCGGCCTTAGCGATTCCAAAAACCAGCCTAATTTCAGACGCGACGCAGGCCTACATTTAGCACGCGTTTTTCAGTTAATCAACCTACGTAATGTCCAGAAGACGGAAGTCACAGCCAGAATTGAATTACAAGATCAGAGATACCAATTTGCTATGAAAATGGCATAAAGTCATACGACGCGTCCAACTCTACAAGGTATAGTCCTCTGCGCAATCTAGACGCGCGAACGAGACAAATCCAATCCTACTGCTATAATAAGCATACGAAGTAAACTAGCGACTGTCGGCATATAAAGAGCGCCTCACTAAGGACTGAATTATGTACGAAGAGCTTTACGAAAGGGCTTTATCAAAGCGTTTCGTAACTATATTTATAAAGTCAATGTTACTATCCTTAGAAGATATAATTAAATGTGAAGGTCAACCCTCGCAGACTCACTACAACCAGGTGACGTACAGCTGGAACACCTGCCATGGCAGTGTCAGATGGGAAGCCAATCATAACCCTTGTAGGAGCCCCGCCAAGCGTGGACGACTTAGTCGCGCTCCCTCAAACCTAAGTTGTCATCTTCTTTCCTTCGCTCCTTAGAGTAGAATCTTCGTCGATAGCACCTAATCGAGGTCTCTACCAATGCGATGCAACCCAGGTCGTGACACGGTGCACGGGCCTAGCCCCGTGACAAGCTACAACTTCCTAAGCTTAGCCTTTAATTATAAAATTTCTAGTCTAGAACGATTATAGTAAAAATATGTTACGCTATCATGTAATCACTTATCAACCAATCTGTCTAGACTATTCTTGGTTATTCACATAACAAGCGGTACAAGAGTTAAGAATCGAGTCCCTTATTAGTGTTTATTAGTATATTAGAAACATCGTGTCAGAGAACAGAATGCCATATGCACCAGTGGGTGTCAGGACACTGAACGCAGGACACCGGTGGGCCGCCGGAGGGGTGTTTCGGACAAAAGACTCCCGAGTCATGATTACAATCTATGTGAAGCTTTGGGATGACGAGAGTCAATATCCTTGGCATCGCCGACCCTGCTGTTATGCCGGGTCCAAGCGGCGGCCTAGCTATCTATATAAGGACCATCTCGAAGTAGGATAGGGAAGGAGTTGTCAGAGCCACAAGTGTCATCCGAGGCGGGCCGGCTTCCACCAGGTAGGAAGCCGTTTGTGGCGAATGAGAGCCGTTGAAGCCGTTTGCAGCGGATAGGGAATCGCTTGGTTGCAGATAAGGAGCCGCTGTCCAAGATATTGGCCGAAGTCGGAGGAACACAGACATACGGAAGCAAACATCCAGAATCCAAGAGAGAACCTCGGCTGGCTATAAGTAAGGAGTCGAGACGGAGGAAGATAGAGAGGGCAGAGATCAATGCATCACCGTGGGCACCCCTACCTGAGACCGCCAGTGACCACCCGGTGCTACGTAGGAGGGACGCCCGTTACTCCCTATCACTCTGTACTATTGCCTTCGGCCTAGCCGTACCCTGACACATCGCGATCAATAGCGCTAGTCTCGTTATACTTATGTCGAATTTAATGCTAGATATTCAATATCTCGTCGAGCTTGTTACTACTAATATAGTCTAGTAAGGCCTATTAGACTAGTAATTAAGCAAATTGTATATTATAAGTACTACATTATTGTATTATTCGTCTTCAGGTCTCGTGCGCAAGTTGGTCGGATGCGCCTCTGTAACTGGCGACAGGACAATTCACTGGTACGACGCCTGGCCCTGGGAGTCGAATTGAGGCTGTCACTGGCACTGAATTGGTCGATCAGGACAAGATGAAGGCTCCTGTAGTTGTCGAGATTGAGATAAGAGCAGAGTAACGGATTCGTGAAAGCTACGTCTGAGTGCATGTATGTGTGAAAATAAATAATCTTCAAGATTGACTGACTGACCATGAAAGCAAAATTGAGAAGGTGATGATGAGGATGATCTCTGTGACGGCCGGTGTCACGATGCCACGAAACCCACTAGCTGTGGACCTGTAGGAGCACTGGCCATCTGAAGGCGGGATTTAAGATCCTCAGATGTGAGCCAGCCTGTTTTAGTTTCTCTTTCTTTCCTTGTCGAGAATCGTTAAGTCAATACAGTGCATTAGAGTGGTTTGACTCTTCAATTGTGCTCACCGTGACAATCTCGAGGAAGATGGTCCTCAGTCCCAGTGTACGTCTTGAAGCGAAGAAAAGGGAGTACTTCCTGCCTCCTGTCACCTATTTGCCCTGACGGCCGGCCTGGCCCCACTACAGTACTTGTTTTCCTCCTAAACATGATACTTTCAACGTATGCATCTTTTAGATAAGCAAGTTGTTCACGCTAGGCGAATTGAATATTTAGTTTAAAAATGTATATAACGACTAACTTCAGTACGAATCTTCTAGTATCGCATAGGGAAGCGATCGTACTATCTTTTACCTGTTTAATGTCACGACCTGGGTTGCATCGCATTGGTAGAGACCTCGATTAGGTGCTATCGACGAAGATTCTACTCTAAGGAGCGAAGGAAAGAAGATGACAACTTAGGTTTGAGGGAGCGCGACTAAGTCGTCCACGCTTGGCGGGGCTCCTACAAGGGTTATGATTGGCTTCCCATCTGGCACTGCCATGGCAGGTGTTCCAGCTGTAAGTCACCTGGTTGTAGTGAGTCTGCGAGGGTTGACCTTCACACACCGCATGTATATTGGTACTGCACGAGCTGGCTGATGTTCCATTCTTCGTGCTACAACAATAAACTACTGGTACCCCCATACACGACCCTGACATAGCTGGCGGTATAGTAGAATATCTAAAAAGGCTATAATTATATGTCTACAAACATATCTAACATAAGGAGTATAGAAGAGAAACGATAAAAGTATTTACAGCCTATATGAACTGTTTTCTCGATAAGCAATAGCGCTGCTAAGGAAACGTAACAAATGATGACTGTGTACCGTAGATCACTTAACCTAAGTATCAGTTGCTCCTTCACGTAGTAATCGAAGTGGTGTGTAATTTTTAGATTTAACGCGATTGATGCGAGTGCATATGGGGTGTGAATTGTTGTATTGGGAAAGGATGGCCAGATCAGCTATTCTGGCCTGGCAGAGCTCTTTTATAGCTCTTATCTTATCTATCTTATCTATAGCTACAGGGTAATCCCCCATGGAGTCACGTATTAGCGATTCAGTGTTGCTACGGCCGCTCAACAACCGAGATTCTGCAACTCGGAGAGCGTTTTTGATAAGATGATTTACCTAGGTAAGTGCCTCGGCCGGACTGTCACACTGCCTGCTTCCTATCATCGTTGACGGACATAGCTTTCTGTAGTAGAGAATGCCAGTTTCCATGAAATGTATCAGGATCCTTCTTAAGCCCTCGCTTATCTCCATGCATGAACGCAACTATCGAACAGACGATCATCAGGGTACGTGAGATTACTGGGTTTGATTTTCCCTGTACCTGACTGGAGTAAATCCAGAACCGGAAAGTCTTCGTCTAGATCCAAAGATGCGCATGATGAGGGGTGAGACTAGAACATATCACAAAAGCTGATATTTTGTATCCGATGTCTCGAGTATCAACGATAGCTGCCATGATTTAGTTACCCGGCTGAGCGCCGTCTCACCACCACCGAATCACAAGGTCTACCCAATTCTAATCGAAGCTCTCGTCCAATAGGAACGGGCATATGTTCGTTTACATGGCCCCGAGTAGTGAAACTCAATTCCGCTGCGGAATTCCGCTACATCGACGACCGAATTCGACGTCCGCAAGTATTGATGATGGATGAGACATGGGTACAATTGGGCATCTATAAACGTAGCAATATGAAAAGGCCTTCTCGGCACTGCTTCTGTGACAGGCTGTGCCTGATATGGGATCCGGAGCTGCAAGGACCGTGCGTCCGGATCCACCAAAGGAACCATCGAGGGCACACAAAACATAGTCCGTGTTCCCGGGACAGCTCGCATATTTTACTTTCCTCCTCAGTTAGATAATTAACAGTATTTGGCCATGTTGAGCTGTATAGTTTCGCAGTGAGCCCGTCACAGCTTCCCTCCGGACTTGGAGTACGACTGGTAAGCCTGGAGCTGGAGCTGGAGCTGAAGCTCTTGTTCGCTTGGTAATATTAAGCATCAGAAATATCGAACCCTGGCTGCCGATCACAGTATACCGCGCCACTCAGTTACCGTCTATGGTCATCATATCTATCTGCTATGCGAGACTAATGATGTATGCAATCTAGGCCGCATCGATCGAGGCATCTTTTGGTTTGTATTTACACCTTGGTTCTTCAGACACCTGTATATGTCAGGTAAGCTATCCTAGTATACGCCTACAAGTGCGAGGCCGCTTTCTAGAACAATAATAGATCTACAGCGGTGGGGCTACAGATTCGCTCTGCGATGTTACGATGGATTGCAGGGTCTTGACGACCAATGCATTTAAGCCTGTCGCCGCAACTCTGCAAGCGAACATGCATGTTCAAGTGACAGTTACTCGTGTGTGAGACGAGATAAGTAAACGTCGAGAATCCTGTGAACCATGTCCCCATGAGCTCAAGGCCAAATAATGTTGCCTTCTCCTATTTGATCAGCTTATGTCAACATGCTGTTTTTTGCGGGTCTCCGCAGTATGGCTGGAGCCGACGACCCGTTCGGGAAGTTGCTCGTCATCTTTAAGAGCTTCCGTCAAATCCGGCCGAATATTGGTCTCTCGGTTGCCTTATCTTCTCCTCCTTCGATAGTTGCCACGACAAGGCATCATCGCATGTGCAGTGCTGCTTCAATCTGTTCTTTCCGTCGCTGAGTGTCTGTGCCCGATAAGCTCCCTACCCCAATTCTGGGATCTACGTAATTTCTGCGACCGCCTAAAGCAGCTCGTCTCGTCAGCAGCACAACCAGCCAACCCTCCAAGTCGAGAAAAGGCCAAGCAGCATCTTCGCCGACGCGTGGGTAACGCACGATCAAACGCGATTCCATCCAGTGATTATTGCGCAAGAGCACACGCCGGGGCCGGGAGCCTTTATCTGCAAGCATGTCCGTTCGACAGACCCGACGTCAAGCAGCACTGGCTGCTGCGAATGACACCCAGACCAAACCAACATCAGATCTTCTTACCAACGCCAACAGCAACGGCAATGGTAATAGCAACGGTGCTGCCGAGGCGCCCCAGTCGGTCCTCGACGACGACGCCAGCCCACCTTCAGAAAACATATTCCTTTTCTGGCCCAATCTCATAGGTACCGCCCCCGTCTGTCTCGGTCGCTGCAAGCTAGCTCCTCGAAGCTCTCTTGTACATCTCGTGGAAGCTCGCATTGACAATGCCGATTCGAATCTTTAGGCTACTCGCGAATTGTGCTCGCAATCGCTTCCCTTTACTATATGCCCTTGCACCCGAGGACTTGTTCTGTGCTCTACAGCGTGTCCTGCCTACTCGATGCCCTCGACGGCTATGCGGCAAGGTACTTCGAACAGTCGACGAAATTCGGCGCGGTGCTTGATATGGTGACGGACCGATGCACAACATCGTGTCTGATTGTGTTCCTGTCATCCGCCTTTCCACGGTGGTCCATCGTGTTCCAGAGTCTGATCTCACTGGATCTGGCGAGTCACTACATGCACATGTACGCGACCTTGTCCATGGGTGGCGCTGATTCGAGTCATAAGAAGGTGGATAAGTCTAGGAGTTGGTTGTTGAGCCTCTACTACACCAACAAGGTGCGCAAAATTCTAGCCCAGGGCCGGTCTGGCAATTGGAGAGAAGCTAACAAGCCAGCAGACAGTCCTCTTCCTCATCTGCGCCCTGAACGAAGTCTTCTTCATTGGTCTCTATCTGCTCTCCTTTTCCTCGCCTCTGCTGTCACCACAGCTCCTGTCCACGGTCGGCGCGTCCAAGGCCGCGGCTATTCAGAGCGGTGCTCAGGTTAATAGCTCGATGCTCCGCCAACTGTTCACGAATCCTTACAGCGCCGGCGCCCTCGAGCTCGCGCGCGCAAACAAGATGGACTCGTTCTGGCCGTGGGTCATCACCGGTGTCAGCTTCCCTGTCATGGCAGCGAAGCAGATTCTCAACGTGATCCAGATGGTCAAGGCCAGCAAGTGGATCGCCGAGGGTGATGTGGCAGCTCGCAGGGCTGCAGGCTTGCCTAAGCGGAGCAAGAGCAAGAAGACGGCGTAAGATCGAGTCAGGGAGACGAGATGATGTGTGGGCTTGGCTAAGTCCTGATGGCAGGTGATGGCCACTTCATGACCATAGGCCGTGCGGAGGGTGTAGAAGTTGTACGAGAATGGACGACACATCTTGTGGCGCGGTTCGCGTCATTGAGATTTGCATGGGACCGGCGTAGTAGGATTAGCAGACATCGATATGGAGTTTCGTACGGAATCTGTTACTGGCAATGGGTTTTAGACGCTGCTTCGCTGGCTGACTATGCCTGACGATGTATGGTCGTGCCACCACGTTCGAGGCGGAGGCTTTCTGTTCGCTGTATATATTGTAATGCTGCCTTCTTGCATGCACTGAGCATACGAATAGTTCAGAATAGGTCAAGGTTTTCCTGCTGCCTGCCCAATTGACGTGACGCACTACGCTGGACTGATATCACTTGTTCTGATTTGCTGGGCAATCCTAATTCACAATATCTTGCTGAGCGTTGTTGACGAACTGTCCTGCTTTCCATTTTCTACTGGCTGTAAACTTCCCGCAGGCGACTGAAGACACCAATCCTCGGACGACCGTCCGCTCGACACCAAGCTGAGGGCACGGATAAGCCTACGCGAGCCTGGGACCATTTTGTGACACGATACGGAAACTGAGATGAAGAGGACCAAACTCAGTAACACGAGCAAACATCAAGCTGCTAATTTCCGCGCATTTCATCTCACTTCGCTGGCTTCCGTCCAGACGCCATGATGGCAGTCCTCTCCACCGTAAACGGCTGCCCAAGCCCATACTTCTTATTGAAGAAATCCTTCAATGCCGGCTCGATCAGGGGCATGCACTGTGCCCGCTGCTCGGGGGTCCAGTAGTCGTCAGTGACGCAGCGCATGAAGGCCCGGAAGATGTAGCAGAACTGGTCGGCATTGTTCATCACAATGTGGCGCGTGACGATTTCAGTTGATGTCGACGAACCCTGCGGCTTGGAAGGTCGCCTTGACGAAGCGGACGTTGTGCCAGGGTCCCATTGCCCATGCCGAAATGAGCTCGTCGGAGTCTTGGGGCCACGGAGGAGAGCCGGGCAGGTTGGAGAGTGCGTCCCGAACATCGTATATCCAGCCTTCGATGTGCCAGAGTGAGACAGCGAAGCAGCCGTTGGGTTTGAGCATGCGGTAACACTCTGAGGCGGACGTTAGCCGAGCGGTTCTTCATGGTTTGGCCCGGAGGGCGGGGGAGGCGGGACAACAAAAAAGGGGGTGGAGAAGGGGGTGGGGAGGGGCATACCTTTGACGGCCCCTCGTGAATCAGGAATGAGCATGAGCGCCATACCAATTATAACCACGTCGTAGTTGTCAGACGGGAGGCTCGATTGCTGGGAACATCATCAGCGACCCGACTTTGTTCCCCTTACAAGGGACACAGCCCAATAAACACTCACAGAAGCATCCACAACCACCGCCTCGGTATTGGGCCACCCATTCTCCTGCATACGGCGGCGCACATGCGCAATCTGAGAATCGGACAGGTCGGCGCACGTCAGCTTCACCAGCTCCTGCGTGTTGTGTTCTTTGAGGATCTGATGCAGGTGGGCTGAGACCACACCCGTGCCGCATGCCAGGTCCAAAACTTCGATGGGCGTTTTGATATCCTGGTTCAGACCCGCGTGCTCGAGGAGCGGTGTGGCTACGGGGCCCGTCAGGTGCTCCGCACTCGAGTAGATGTTGCTGGCTTCACTGGTGCCGAAGAACTCAGGCATGCCGATACGGGACTTGATATTGAGGGTGCTTCCTCCGCTGGGTAAGGTGGTCATGGTTGCCATATTGATAGGGGTTGGAACAAGTGATGCAGCTTTGTGTGCTGGTGATGATTGTGTGTGTATTTTGGTTGAAACTAATCTACCCGAAGGAAAAAGGGAGACAGGTCGTGAAGTGTGGTGGATGTCTACGGCAATTTATGGTCCATTCCAGACGTCGAAATGCTCTCTAGTTCGCAAGAACATGAGCTGAACGGATGGGTGAAAGTCGCTGAAAATGGTCGCAGTTAGCTGAGGGGTTCATCGAGGGACGAGACCAGGTTATCAAAGTTTTGAGCCATGCACAACAGTGAAACAAGTGCAACATATTGCTATATTCTCCAACAAGGCAAGGGAACGGACTTAGCTCCGTAGGCTTACCAAGCCGCCAAATATATACTTAATATGGCAAGTGAAGCTGTACGTTGGCAAGCGGTTTTATTCCATCATTTGCATGACATCATGGGGCTCTGCTTGTCAATCAAGCGGCTTGGTATCCTTCGTTGGCGCAAAGATTACCAGCATAGCACTAAATGGCCACTAATGTAGTTGGACTGACTGATCCGATGAGATGAAACATGAACCTAGCCCGAACTCCATGCATATTGGTGGAAGTCTATATCAGGGTATACCCATGGCCTTGTCTTTTAAGCTTCGAAGCTCTCCTTCGGTTTCTTTCTGATTGGCATATATCGTTTTCGCGAATTTCCATTACATAATATGAGTCGAAAATCAGTTAGAATTGCACACAGAGTTTGGGAGAATGCTCTTTGCTGAACCCTTCTTTTATTTTGTGTTTGATCATCTAGTTACGCTCCGCATAGGATAAATGGGATAAATGTTATCGATCTTCAGGCAGCAAACCATATAGTTTCTAGGCCACTCCCACCGCTCACTTCCTAGTGTATGTGACTTGTGGTAGATGGATACCAAGGCATGCATATGAGAGTTTGGGGCTGAGACAGAGGCCTTTTGGGTTCCTGGGTTGCTAGTTTAAGGTAATGCCCTGCTACATCAGTCCAGATTTTGGTAACGCGGAATTATTTACTGGAGCTACAGGAATAGTGTCTTCAATACAAATACAGTAAGTAATGTTGTAAATCATCAATGTGCAGTCAAGTGACTACTCTGCGTTGTGAAAGTTCGCACCGCAGGAAAAGCGGTACAGGAGTCAAAATTACCTGCCATTCAGATTAACCTTAAGTGATATAATCCCTGGAATTTTGACCGCAATAAAACAAAAAGAGTAACCCATGGTTTTGCAATTTTGACGCTCTAGTTTATATTAGATCGGAGGATTAGGTGGTAGTGATCCTTAATGCGTCACGAGTTCGTCTCTGATGGGAGTAACAGCTTTGAGTCTCCTGGAACTTTGACTGCATCATATAATTTTGGCCTGACCCGACAGTCCACAGATTTGGTTAGCGAATCCTCTACATATTCGGTGCACTTGAGATAGCTTTACCTAGGTCGAACGTTGTGACCCCTTCATCTTGATCTATTTTTAGACGTAGAATAAAAGCAATCGACAGACTAGTTTTCTTGATAAAGATCTTGGGGCCTTGAGCAGCCGGGTGTGCTGGCGGCGTGGTTTAAGGGTCGCAGCTCAGGTGTCTTGTCGGTTGAGAAATTGAGCGCAGCAGTTGTGGAGTGGAAACACCCACGACTGAGAGTTGGGAGCCGCACTGGCGGCCCAATGGAGATAGGAGCCACCGCTATCCAGAATGCTGGTAGTATTGACGTCGAGCTTGATCAGCATTCGAATGGCATCGGCACCGTTGTGGCTACGTATCGCTGTAAGCATTGGGGCTCCCGTAATTTGACCGTCTCGAACCCCCCAGAATTTCGTGAATGCAGCAAACTGAGTTACTCCAGTGCCCAGTTATCGACATCAGTTTTGGAGCTGATGTCAACCATACCAACAGTCTTGCCGTAGATACTCTCGTTTGTTGACGCGCTGTGGAACAGTAGAAGCCTTAGAGCTTCTAGCCAAGTGTTTGCTAAATCAGGGTCTTATACCCACGACAGCAATGCTTGGTGATCTGTTGGGTGGTTAATTAGAGCTTTATTCATATATACGAATATGTTCAGAGTGCGCACACTTGGTCGTCGTCGACTGCGTTAGGGTCAGCCCCTTGTCCGAGGAGGAACTTGATGGCATCTATGCTCTTATCCTGCATAGCAAGCTGTGGCCGCACAGATTCCTGTGAGGCTCGCTTAGCCAGGTTGACGTTGAAGGGGCGTCCCCTCTCGTGCAAGCCGCCATGGATGGGGAAACAATGAGGACACGGTTCAGTAGGCGAATCTGCCCTGACAGTACATTGAATCCAATTTCACCGTCTGGTAGGCTGGCAAGCCGGAGAACTCAGTACTGGCATAATCTCTGTCAAAATCGTCTTCGAGTGTCTGATACGCTGCATATTTCTCTCAGAGTTCTTGCGCTTCATGAAAGCCCACAGTAGTCTTTTTCGGACCGAGGGAACATCCTCAGAGCAATTCGCTAGTGTGGACTTTTGCAAATCTTCAACGTCCTCCGTGGAACCCAGCCGGCACGAGTCTCAAACGCAGGCCTTGGGAGAGGACCTTTCCGTCTCAGGGATCCAAAAACATGGGCTTAAAGATCTTTCAGATGGCACACAATCGCCAGCAAATTATCTGACTTTCACAACCTCACGCAATGCATCGCGAACGTGTTGGATCGTATGTCGGATTACAAAAGGACAGTACACTACGGTCTAATGTGTAGTCTGGAATTATTCGACAATGGTGATCTTGTTCTACAAATTACCTGTCTATTACACAGCAGCGAGGCTGAGTAAACAGGCCAATGTTCTAAAAGAGTTGGCGTAGGGATAGGGCGGAGCATGGCCATTCGCCAGCAACATACAAATGCAAAGGCCCAATTCAAAGCGTTGGCATGAACGGAAAGTACCCTGTACTGGAAACGCGGATTAGTTGTCACACGCCAAGCAATGTAGTTATAGCATAGTCTGATTCCATTCAAGAATAATCTTGACCATTTTATATGGCACGAGTAGTATGATGCAGTGGGACGAGGACTGCTCGGTTGAGCCTAGCTAGATTGCGATAGAATACCCAGCTCGGCTCGAGCTCTGGGTTTTCTCGCTGCCACTACCTCGTATGAAAGCACGCTCAATGAGGGTGCGTCGCCTTCCGTCCCCTCGAGCTGCTTTACTTCCATCTCACTGAAGTGCCTCGCTTGGACTCCGGCCGCCGTCACCCTGCGCAATCCACGGCCCAGTGACTGCTTTTCCACAGCGACGGTGGTTCGTATCACCATACTTGGTGGGCCCAGCTGACAGCTTCCGTAGCACGGCGAATGTGTGTGATGTGATGAGTTGGGTCACACCTCTCGGCTGGGCGATATCCTCGATTCGCTCTTTTCCCACGCAGCTCCCACGCAGCTCGAAATCGCTCACAGGGGACGTCATGGACCGCGTGTCATTCGCAATGAGGTTGGATCATCCGATAACAGACTGTAGGGTTCATCCCGAATCGGTCGCGTGGACCCTGCGTGGGTGATGTTTCCACAAAGGTGTGTTCGTGCTTTGGCCAGATGTCTGGTGCAGTAGCAAAGTGGTCCTAATAGATAACACAGGCGAATATCAAGGCAATACCCAATCTTCGTTGGTGCATGTCGACTCCATATCTTCGACAAAAGCATAGACACGATCCATGAGCCAGCCGGAGGTTACTCGCTCGACAGCCGTTTCTGAACGCTCGTGCCCTAGTCTCAAGACGGATGACGTCTTGCAAGTCCGACCGGAGCGCGAGAACTGTACACAATCATCCTCGAGTTCGCAGATTCTGCGGCAATCGTCGAGGGAGTTCGAGAATCCATGGTCATGTTCCGACAGGTTGTCCCAGTCCGCGTGTTCCGGTACAATGCGTGGTAGGATGTACTGCCGGAAGACGTCGGCATGACGCATCAAAACATCGGGATTCTTGAAAGAAGGCACCAACTGTTAAAACCAAAGCCAGTGGGGGAGATGAAACTATATCGGATTAGACGTACCATTCGATTCCATCTCCGCTCAAAGGCGGAGAAATGATCAATATCTGCGGGCGAGAGGTGGTGGTAACTCGCAGCGTTGTGACACCACAACTTCTTGTACATATTCCCAAAGGACGCGTTGAAGTCCATGTTTGACGGCTGTTCGTTGACCAGGTTGGGCCAGGACCAGAACAGGGGCACGCCTGCATCCGCGAGGGCTTTGCCGAGGACACAGTCGCCGGCCCAGTGGGCAGCAGTAAATTCATCGTAGTTTTTGAGGTGTGCCCTGCGATGCTCCACCACTTTGGTCAACGCCGGCTTCGAGATGAAAAAGCCGGCGCCACCATAGGCGAATACTACGTCGCCGATCTGCATCTGCATGCCCAGGTACTGCGGCTTGGATTCATCGAATTCCAGCAGCCACTCGAGGACGTTGCGCCAGAGTACGTACGTATCCGTCTCGACGAAGGCGTACCACTTGGCTTCGGGCCGCAGCTGGAGCGCCTTCTCGGCGAGCGGCAGGAACTTCCACTTGTCGAGTTTCCACCCCGGGCTATCCCGCCCGCTGTTGGTGTTTTTGGCCTGGAGCCACTGGCCTACTTCTTGGGCCGAAAACCCGTCCTTGCCGTGCTGTTGAAGACGGCGGTAGTACTCAAAATCCGGATGCGATGCGACAATATCGGGGTTCACGCCGTCCAGCGCGTCGTGGACCTGATGGCCGGCAATCTGCTCTTTGTAGTCGGAGAAAATATCGTAATGCGGAACACAGCGCAGGGTCGTGCTGAGATGCACGGGGACCTTCTCAAAAGCTTCCGTTGCCCCGGTCTTCAGGACGACGAAGACATCGCTGAGTCCCTCCAGACCCTCGCACGGGTCAGACCCAATCCAGCTGTCCACGTCGTCTTGCTGGAGATAAAAGGTTTGGCGGAGTTGGAGGACCTCGAGGAACAGAATCCAGGCCAACACGAGGCCCAAGATTCGAATGAATGTGCGGCGCCGATGAAAAGACTTGAGAGGGAAAAGAGTGAACATGGTAAAGGCCCTATTAAAACTTAAGGATACCGTGAAAGCACAGCAAAGACATCGACAAAGGAGTGACGTGGGTTTAAAAAGTAAAGATGAAGAGAAATCGGGAGAAGATGTTGGTTGGCTACAAACAGAGGAAAAAGCACAGCGAGAACGTCGCTGACATCTAACGATGATGATGAGTATCCACGGGACCGCAACCACCGGTGACATATGTGCAAGTGCCTGTGCCACTTTTGATTTGATGGATACGCTCTCATTAATGCCGAGACGTAGATCGCGTCGTGTTCTGTAACTCCACTCAGCACGTAACGCCTACCATAGTAACCTTGCCCAGCCGAGTCCCCAGTTCTGCCCTAGTTAGCATGTCTTGGCCAGGGTTTTGGGAATGGGAAGGTTGTTGAGCCAGTCATAAACCGGGAGGGTGGCTGGCCGATCGGGGCCCTCCCGTAATTAGTTGAATTCTGAAACTTGAACATGACTTAGATAAAGTACCAATGTGGTTGCGAATTTCAGTCCAACAAAGTAATCCGCAACCCCTGAGCGTCTGCTTGCACCCATGCAAATCGCTGATTGGTTACGAGCTTACTGGCTCTGCCGTTCCGGGCTATTGGTATTTCAATGTTTCATTTCCTCGCCTGGGTATAAATGGTTCCGAACAACCCGCGTCCCAGGCTGTGTATGTCGGTCTTTTGCTTCACAGGGACTCCAAGAGCAAACCAAGCTTCTTGGCTCGTAATACCAAGAGATTGCGGGTTGTACGCATTATGACGTGTGTCCCTTCTCTCAACAACGGCCCTGTTAGTGTTTGGGGCATGCATGAACATCCAGCTCATTCTGTCATTCCACCTGAAGGGTTCATTTCCAGCAGGCACATCTGCATTTGCGACATCTGCCTCCAGACACCGTTCCTCGAGTTGGCCGACGTAGAGACGATGAAAGCCGGCGTGGTCCTGGGAACCCCCAGGGAGATCAGACTGGCTCGCTTGGTATAGAACATGTGCTCGTCCAGATCCTCGACGTGGGAGCCGTCGGGAAAGAGATGTGTTCCAACAAGCTTTCCCTCGCACAGAAATGGTGTTGTGTACTGAAACCCGGTACAGAAGATGATGTGGCCAACCTCTGCGGCCCCCGTGGCGCCGAGCTGGACTCGTCTCTGCTTGCGGTGAAGGGTCTTAACGGGGCCAACGAGCTCATCGTTTGGAGGCCAGAATGCGCTTTGTGTTGGATGAGACCCATGATTCGCTGGCGACGTTGGCAGCTGCCAAGATATGTCCTATCCACATGCTGAATTACCTTCGTTGACAACGTTTAGTGAGAGCGTTAGCGCATAATTATATGTTCATGGCTTTCGGATCATTTCCCCCTCCTCGAAAATCCTCTGTATTTCTGTAGCTCCTATACATGCGGCGTTTCCTTCCAGTCCATCAGGCGAGGGTAGTCCGGCTCAAAAGGTTTGTCGAAAGTGCCACGCGCAAACCACCACGGCATCAAAATCTTTTAATGTTTCCCCCCTCCTCTGGCTTGAGCTTACTTATCATTACATCCCACTCACATGGCTGTTGATGGCTCAAACCGTACTAGTCAAATGGCTTCCGTGTCGAACTCCACCTCGAGACCCTCGCTGTGATCTCCAAGACACTGCTCAACGTCATCACGTTCTGGAAACAACAAGCCTCCAGCATACGGAAAAGCACAGAGTGCCATCAACTCGCAGGTAAGTTTGGCCTCGAAGCTGCCGTACATGGGCGATGACAGGGGGTCATCGGGATTCGCGGTGAAGTCCCAGACACCACCAGGTCCATCCTGTCGTTCGTAGATTGTGATCTTCAGCCCTTCGGCTTTGGGGCGTCGAATCGCTGTGAGGATACAATCGATCGAGATACTCTTACGCATGGACGCGGGAAAGGAGTTGTCTTGAAGTTTTGAGTTTGCAAGGAGCAAGAATGGGGATCGATCAACTAGGCAATGATTATGGAAAAGCCGAAGTTCTTATGTAGATGCCGTGGATGCATCGGCAGCGATAGGCCTTCACATGGTGGAGAAAACTCAAACTCGACATTGCAGATGCATGGCTGTATAGATCGAGAATCAGCAGTGGCTCCGCAGAAACAGGTAACGGCATTACAGAAACCTCGTGGTTTTCTCAGCACGGATCAGAGGTCTTCCATAGATGTTGAAGGGAAGCTCATTGTTGTACGTCGACACCTTTGAGGCTCTTTGGGTTGGGTGCTACACAACGCTTGCTCGTTATGCATACCGGGGTGGGACAAAACGTGGCATCAAGACTAGGCAAATGAGTATCCAGGTCTTCAATTCTATATCCAGGTAAATCCCAGCACAGAAGACACGTCTGGTAATGAACAATGATCAAATGAGACCAAATGATACCCCACGCAGGCTGTAATGAAATGGATCTACTATTGTTTTGCTGAAAACGGACTCATATCATTTCCTGTCTGAACCTGCCTACCTTCAGATACTTGCTTAATGACAGTTCTCGTCCCCAAACTCCTCGACTATTGGCTTAATCGCTTTCGTAAGTGTTCGCTATTTGCTTGATATAAGGTTTGTAGGTTACGTCAAGGGTAGAGAAGTTTCAAGCTGCAACCTAAAGGTGGTTTCGTGTAGCCCCCATGTTCCTAGGTAGTATGTTCCACTTCCACCGATACTCCAACGACTGAACGGGTATGATACTAGTTTGTTATAGTTGTCCCAGAGCCCATGCAGATGCACGAATACGGGTCTACCTATGGGCAGATTATGCTTCACCTCCGTATGGATGAGTAACAAATATGTCAGTGAATCTGAGTTTTGATCTTTCGAAGAGAAGAAACCAGTTCTATGTAAAAACATTGCAACTGAGCTGGTAACGAGTCGACCGTATAGCTTCTCTCTGCTTTTCAGGAAAATAGGAAGTTCAAAAAATGTTGAATTGACCACGAGGGTTAGCTTGGGGTAAACAAGGATACAACGTACTTGCGTCAGCTACCTGCAAGAATGTCCCTCCAGAGCTGCCCAGCTGCCCCACATCAACTGAAGCTGGCCACATTCTCCCCCACCACAACTTCCATACTCACTGCAATCAACCTCACCTGCATCTTTGGACCACCACCACCTTACACCAAGGACCGAAAGGAAAAGCCCTTGCCCAAGCCAGCCAAGATGTCGCACCCCAGAATAGAAGAAGTGTCCGACAGCGAAGACAGCAACCTGTCCGACCCCTCCGAAGGCGACATCGACGACTTTGCCGAATCCGACATCATGCTACAACGCAGTAGTGCCGCCGCTCCCAAAGCCAGCGCACCTCCCCCTGCCTCTCAACCTCAGCTCTACAACCCCTCCGCTGGCCCCTCCTTTCCCGGCACCTCAGGTGGCCCCATCGCGCCCCAAGACATCGCCAGCTACCAATGCCTGTACCCAATCTACTTCGACGCCTCTCGCACGCGCGCCGAAGGCCGACGCGTCCCGGCCTCCCTAGCCGTGAAAAACCCCCTCGCCCGCGAAATCGCTAACGCCTGCGCCGCGCTACGCATCCAGCCCGTCTTCGAAGCACACAAGCTCCACCCCAAAGACTGGGCGAACCCAGGGCGCGTGCGGGTGCATCTCAAAGACACGTCAGGAAAAAACCCGTACATCGGGCAAATCAAGAACAAGCACCATTTATACATCTTGGTCGCGAAACACTTGAAAGAGAACCCGACGACGGAGCACAGCGATGCGTTGAGAAGAGTTAGGATCCCGGGACTGCCTACCCCGGAACCGGGGGAGAGCTGGCCAAGACCGGCGGTGCCGCGGGGATGGAAGATTAATGAGTTGTTGCCGGCGTATAGCGCGGCTATGACGGGGGGTGGGGTTAGTGAGAATGCGTTGAAGGACATCATGAAGGAGATGGGAGGTGCGCCTGGGGGTGGGGGAGGGGCGCCCGGGGCGGATATGATGAGCATGTTGCAGGCGATGGGTGGGATGCCTGGTATGGGGGGGCCGAGTGGGGGGGAATGCCTGGCTTGGGTGGAGGTGTGGCAGATGGTAGTGAGGGAGGAGGTGGTGGGAAGAAGAACAAAAAGGGCAAGGGCAAGGCCTGAGCGAAGGAAGTATAGCAGAACAAGTGGGCTTGCTTTCGCTGCGTTGGAGGGAAGCAAATTCTGCACGTGTCTGTCGATGGATGATGGTATAGGGGTTATGATACCATAACCTTCGGAAACGAGGTCAAGATAACGCTCCTAGAAAACAATCAATCCAGACCGCATAAAAAGAATTGGTGTTTGCTTTTCTACAAGGCTACTTGGAGCTGATGTTACAACAAAAAGGGTATCGATATCTGTCTCTTCCACACGCATGCACGGCCTTGGACGTGTGTGGTATTACACTTCTGTCATACCGTAGCAAGTCGTCCCTGCAACCCCTCCCATTCCCTCGATCCTACAATCTGCACATCGCTGCCCCCGGGGACGACCTTGCCGTCCATGTCTGGCAGTCTGATACGTAACTTCGCGGCAGCTTTCCTCATCTCTTCGTTTTGGTACTCAGGTCTCCGCCCGCTCTGCGCATTAAGCACCACCTGCGCCTTCTGCAAAACCGAGTTGTGCCAACTCTTCCATGTGGCAAAGTCCTCGGCCTGCTTCGCGGCATGGTACTGAGGTGTGATCTTCGCCGGACGCCACGCCATTTTGTCTTCGGGCAGAGCCTTTAGGTCGTACACCTTGGCCGAGATGGCCATCTTGAGCAGCTCGCCCAGTGCGTCCTTGCCTTCAGCCACCACGAGAGCCTTGCGCTGTTCGGTGACGGGGGCCGGTTTCTTGAGTGGCTCAGCAAGCCAGTCGAACTTGTGTTGCTCCGTCAATCTCGCCCGGCGGTTGTCCTCTCTCAGGTACCGCACGGCGGCTTGCAGGCTCGCAATGTCGTTCTTGAGAGCGTCCATCTCGCGAGCTGTAGCAACGGCACGTTCTTGTCCCGCCTTGGCACCGGCGGTGCCGGCAGCATTGCCAAACGCTTGATTGTCGCCCGCCAGCTTCTTCCACTTGTCGCGGTCGGTCTCGAGCGTCTTCAGCTCGCGATCCTGCTTGTCAATGTCCTCCTTGTGTTGAGCCACAATGCTCTGGGCCTCGGCGATCTGGGCCTCCAGGCTTGTGATGAGCGAGGCTTTGGCACTGGCGTCCTTCATACGGGCCTCGAGTGTCTCGATGCGAAGGGTAGCCGTGCTAAGACTGTCCTCGCGCACGGCAATCTCACGACGGGCTTCGCTGTAGTGTTCCTTCAGCAGACGCAGCTCCTCTTCAGCATCAACTGGCACGACCTTGATGGCCTTGAGCTCCTCGGCGCGGAGCCTCCACGGCGCTTCGCTGCGCTCGAATTCTTGTGTCTGGGAAAGATCTGCGCAGACGGCGGCGAGATCGGCAATCTGGCCAGTGAGTACACGTAGCTTTGATAGGTACGTGGAGAATAAGTCGGTCTCGCTCGAAGAGAAAGAAGTCATAGCCGTATTTCTCACAGTGCTTTGCACATCGGAATACGTGATCGCTTCGGCACGGCCTTCTTCAGACGTGAGAGCGTGTAAATCAATGCCGATCTTGCGGGACATGTCTGCGAGGTCCAGGGACGCAGCCTCGCACTGCTCAAAGACTTCTCCAGTCTCAGGCATGAGACACAGAGATCTCGCCTTCAGCTCCTCCAACGACCGTACAGCCTTGCCGACAATGACCTTGGCACTGCGAGTCTGACTGATGACGGCATCCGACTTCTTGGAAAAATGGTCTGCCAGCTCGCCGTCTTCGTCGCTGACTGGCACGGCGCGAGTAACCAAGTCTTTGATGACGCCGAATGTGGTCGCCGCCGATTCGAGGTGGCTTTGCATCAGAAGTGTCTTCATCTGGACGTTGTCGGCGAAGCTTTCCAAACCATCCGAGATGTGGACTTCTCCAAGATGTGACATCAGAGCGATAGTACGCGACAGCTCGGCCGCACATTGCTTCTCCTTCAGCTCATCACGTCTCAGCCCATCTATCCAGCCATTGAGCGCTCTCTCCACTGGCTCCAGCTCAAACAGTGCACCATCGTACTTCGCAAATTCATCCAACGAACAGTGGCTGATGACATTGACGAACCGGTCACACATGGACGATACCCAGGTCAGCTTGTCCATAGCATCGCATCCGGCAATTGTGTCGTCCTCGTGACCGGGATGGGAATGTTTGGCGACACGCTCCTTGATGAACCCGTGGAGAAGGTTGGCCTTGAACGCAAGTCGGCCAAATCGCAGCAAAGCGAGCACCGAGTTCTTGTCGGTTTCATACGTCTCTGGCAAGAAAAGCTTGACGATCTTGAGATGCTGTTGCGCCTCTGCGGCGTCCATCTTCTGAAGCTCCAACTCAATTGTCTTGACCTGGGTCTTGGCAGCCGACAATTGGAGCTTGAGGTTCAAGTCCATCATGGCTCTGGACTTGCTGTTGAGTTGCTCGGATTCGGCCTCATTGACGGCGTGTGATGACCGCATGTCTTCCAGATCCGTCTGCAAATTCACGAGGAGCGCTCCGAACCGGGACAGATCATACTCTCGATCCTCGATGATCTTCTCCCGCTCCCGAGCCTTTCGATGTAGCTCGGCAATGATACCGTCCTTGTGATCGATTTCATCCTGCATCTCCCTCTCATTTTGATCACGGTTAATCTCGATTTCATCGTTGATATCCCTGAGAGCTTCGAGATCGGCGATGGCTGCCTTGAGCTCCTTGATGTGCTCCTCATGGTTCATCTTCTCTTCCGAAAGCTGCTCAATCATCTCCTCAGAGCCCAGAGCATTGTTAAGCTGTTCCCTCAGATCCTCAATCTGCAACTCTCCCTGAATCACCTTCTCCTTGGATATTTGGAACTCCTCCTTGATTGCGTCGAAAGCTTCCAGGTCCTTTTGCAAAGTCTTGATCTGGGCCTTCGCGTCCTCGTCTTGTTCTCGCGATATATCTCGGAGCCTGATAAGCGCCTCGCGCAACCGCTCATTATTCCTCTCCAGCTGGATCCAATTCGTGTTGGCGAGATCTTCGGCGGTCATACCCTTTTCATACTCGGCATTCTCTTCACGTAGGACCTCGACTTCCAGCTCCAGCTCCTCTGTCTTCTCCTTGAGCGCATCTAGCTCGACTTTCAAGACCTCGGCGGTTTCCTCGGCCATCTCTCGGTCCAAAGTCGCCAGTTCCATTATAGAGTCATGCTCAGCTTGCAGAGCTTCAATGCTCTCGAGCCTATCCTCAGCCTCTTTGACCTGTTTCCGAAGATTAAGATTTTCCTCTTTCGTGTCCTGAAACTTCTGCTCAATTTTCTTGTTGATAAGCTCGAATTTTTCCTTTTGCTCTTGTGTTTTCTCCAGCTCCTTCATCCTTTCCCGGTCCTCCAGCCTCTTCCGTTCGAGTACCTTCAACTTCGCCTTTAAGTCTTCATTTTCCCTACCGAGGGCGTTATTAGCTGCCGGTCTAGTAGTGCCTAAAGAAACCCGAGTTGATGCAGCACCCGCTCGAACTGTTGTGGGACTTGGGTTGGGTTTGGCGCCGGATGTGAGCTTCTCCAGGGCATTGGTTCGGGAGCGAACTGGGCTGGTAACTTGCTCGTCGTCGCTTTTGACGGGCGAGGCAATCTCCGACCTGTTCCTGGATCCAAACCCAGCTTCATTGCCCGACAACGAATCCCCTGACATAACCCTGCCACCTGTGCGAGTAAAACCGCCTCGACCTGTCGTGGACAAGCGTCCACTGAGTGGCCTCGAAGCTCCAGCACTTCTAGTCGCAGAACTCGACGATGTGGATGTGGTTCTTTGAACTCCCCGAGATGCTGAAGGCAGAGCTGGTGGTCCCATGGACGTCCTCTGTGTGCCACTAAACGAAGGTCTTCCTCCTCTGGCCCTAGTGTTGGCCGGCGTGCCCGTTCGAGAGTTAGATGCGCTCGATGCAGCGGTTGAACCGAGTTGTTTTACCGGTGACTTGTTGGGTGACTGAAACCCCAGGTCAGTTGGTTGTTGTATAGACAAACTGAAAAAGATCAACGCACCCTCGGTATACTCATGCTTGCCGGCCGGGAAACCCTAGGTCCCGGACTGGGACTAGCAGTATTCAAACTCATGCGCTTGCTCATTGACGGATCGCTCGTGGAATTAGACCGCGAATTAGACCGCCCGGAGCCTGGCACATTGACGCTGCTGGGCCTCCTCCTAGGGGGCGCCGCAGATCTCGGAGCGGCTTGAAGGACAGTGACGGCGAGCGGGCGCACGAACATGCCCTTCCGCATAGCGCAGTCGAAGTAGCGTTCCCCTTGAACAGAGCCATCATTCTTGCCATTTTCCTCGTCAAGCTCAACGCCGACCCAGTCGCCGGCGGCGAAGTTGGTGCGCCCGACAAAGCGGACGACGCCCTTCTGCCCGTCGCTGAGCTCGACCGGCTGCCCAACTGCGATCTCCGACATTATGGGCAGGAGACCCGGGTCATTTAATTCATTATGGGCCGCGGTCGGATATGTCTATTTGTGGTGTGTCGTGTTGAGAGACTGTAATTGATGTCGTCGTGGCCGTCGTGGAAAGCTGTAATGTTGTCGCCGTCAACCGGATTGGGCTAAACGCGTCTTTGTGGACTGTCAGGGGTAGTGGACGCGGGTGGCCCCAGAAATCAGAGGTAACGTAAGGCCCAAGCTTACACAGTATATAGTGTAAACTATCCTGGTCACAAACTGTGTGCACCCACCGGGGTAGCACATGAACGGCCGCATGACGTCTATTAACCGCCAACAACCAATATTTCAGTCACCTGTGCAACAAAATGGGAAGCCGCACTTGGTATTTACATTCGTCGCTCTAACAACCAAGCGAGTGCTTGTATTCCATGGGAAGCGAATCCGCAACCGAGAACCAGCATTCCAGCAAGCCAGCCCGCCAGTCTCGCGCCCAACCGGCGGGTCTCACTACACGATACGCGCAGCCGAGGAGCACTGACTTAGACGACATCATGTCAAAAAGAAAATATCAAGTGTGTCGTATGTGTGCGTGCGTTATAACTTAGCCTGGATGGTGAAAGACAAGTAGGTCCCTGGACTTTGGCTGTCAATACTATCAACGCCGTCAAGTCTCGTCATCCCTTACATACAAGCTCCGGTTTTTGGCGTCTGAGTTGGGAGTTACAGCACTCTGTTTTCTTTTCAGTCAATCGTATCCATCCATCCGTCCCATGTTTCAATCTTCCACGGCCCTCTGTCTCACCTCCAATCCCTCCCCTACCAAGCCAGATCTCACATCAACCAGCAATCACTCTTCTTCCCATCCCCCAACCTTTTGTTCAAACTCCCACTCCTCATCCACTCCATAATCTCAAACCCCAACCTCCGCTCAAGCTTCTCGTCAACCCCGCGTCCCTCAACAAGCCGCAGGATGACGACGTGCCGGTTAGCAAACTCAACGCAGTTATTGTCCATGATCTCGTCCTCGCTCGCCTTCGTGACGTAGATGGTCAGGTCCGCACCCACAATGCCCCGCCACAGTGTCGCCACCCACCGCCAGTGGTCCTCACGGCTGTACGTGTCATTAATAGGCACCGCCGCCGCGTACTTGTCGCTGATGCTTAGACTGTAGCCCGTTGAGAGCACCGCCACGGGCAGTTGTTTTTGTTTTTGTATTTGTTGGGGGTTGTTGTTGATGTGAAGTGGGAAAGGAAGGACTTGGCTTAGATTTAGGTCCTGATCTGCGCTGGGCTCTTTACTGCTGCTGTCACTGCTGTTCTTCGGGGAATTAGGAGAAGCAGGGTGGTGGGTAATGTAGTTGATCAGGTCTTCGGATGTGCGGTGCCAATTCACCATCTTGGCCACGTAGTTGGCCAGTGGACTGGCTAACTTGTCTGTTGGCTTCTTCGTGGCATTTCCATTTGTGGGTGCGTTACTGGTCTCGTCGTCCTCCGCTTCAATGACGGTCGGTTGGTCATCCTCGGACCAGATCTTCACAGCGCATTCTCCCGAGATGGACAGTGCCTTCTCAACCACGGCAGTAACCTCTTTCAAGACGGCAGGATTGACGCCTTCGACTGCGATGATGATTCCTCGGGCCTCAAATACTTCAGCACTAGGACTAGAGGGCTTAGGAGGGTCTCTGTGGATGGCACGCAGCATGTCAAGCTTATACATGAATTGCGGGTATCTTTGACATATCTGTTGTCTGAAGACGGGCGGTCCAGCACTGGCATTCGTGATGCCCAAACCTGTGCCCGCATATGTCGTATTTGGAGGAGGAGCTGCTGGCGCCTGGCTGTTGCTAGCCTCTGAATTCGCGGTGGGTGAGTTGGGCATCTGCGTTTGCAGCGGTGGTAGACGAAGCGATTCTCTATCATCAAAGCCGCACTCAGGCCGAGGGGCCACCGGTGTTGGTTGATACGAAACAGACGGCCGATGCTGGGGCTGGGACTGAGGATGGGGATGGGGTGGGGGAGGGGGTGGAGGTTGCATTCCCGAAGCGGTACGTTGGCGGAACTGCTGCATTCCTGGTCTGGGCAAAGGACTAGTCGAAACGTGAGGTCCGCTTATGGATGGCCGTTGTAATCGAGGGTCGCTGCCTTGAATATGGTAAGGGAGATATCCCATTTGCGGCGAGCCGGGCATGTAGCCGTTGGCGCCGTTAAAACGCCGACATTTGGCATCGTGTATTGCTGTGGGCGACATGCCAGACTCTTCATCGAAGCCTCGAAGATGAGGCTGTGTATATCTGCGGCCATGGCTGTCTGCCGACATCATGCTGGCCGTCGAGCCACGGCGCATGTGGTCCGGCTCGATGACACGCGAATTGGCATTCATGTATGAAGGCATACTCAGTTTCGAAGACGAAGGTGACGCAGCCATGAAAGGTGTCGAGGGCGTTCGAGGTGTTGCAATTGATCTTCCACCACACTTGGGACAATGACCGGGGTCGTCTCCGTTGGTCGACGTCGGTTTGCCTGGGGCTCCCTTCCCGCCACGTCGGGGCTGGTATCTATAATCGGGATATTGGCGTTGGTGTCTGAGTTTCTCCTCTTCGGCCAGTCTCTTCCAGCTGTTTTTCATCTCCTCGGGCTGCTCTCGCCACTGTTCGCCGATGAGCTTGGAGATCTCCGGGTTGGCGAGTCCTGGATTCTGGGCGGCCACTTGGGCCTGGTAATGCTGTCGATAAAGGATGAATGCTGCATCAAAGGGCGATTCAAGGTCAGCTTCTGACAGTGATATATGCGCATAAGGGATACCTCATCTCCCTTTGACAACCTACCGTCTTTGGTGCTGGCAGCCAAAGAAACGGGGTCCGAGTTTATCGTCTCAGCATGCAGATGTCCCCCTAAGGCCATCTCCACCGAGGGGGAAGGGAACCAAAATAACCTTCTGAGGGAAGACGAGAAAAATGCATACCGTTGCGAGGTCTTGGGACTTTAGGCGCCTTGGTGCAGAGGCATATCAGTTCTCGTGGGCTATCGGTTGGGAGTGTCCTCAATTTCGAGTTGCTCGGGGTGTAGAGACTGAGCTCATCATACCGCGGATGCCTGTTTGCCTCGTTGATGTCAATGGAATCCGCTCGTTTTCTTTTAAGCCTGGCATCGGGTGGCACAGGGCCCTGGTGGTGGAGGTGGTTCATGGGACTTGGTCTGGCTACTTCTTCATCGTAAGATCTTATTGCTATCACAGGCTGGCTCATGGGTCTTGTAAGTGGCGCTGTGTGTGGTTGTGGGTGTGTATGTGGAAAGGAGGATGGGTTGTAACAGTGCTGCTGCTGCCGCGGTGAGTTGCTGCTGGCAATGTCCGTCATGCTGAATGATGGAGCTGGCAAACGCACGAGAGCCGATGGGATAGGCGGAATCAGTCCACACAAAGTCTCAGGGGCCTGGCATCTGGAGAGGCCTGGGACGGGGACGATGGGATAATCTTGAGAGCAGAGACACAGACAATAATAAATGATGGACCATGAGCTTGTTGGGATTGTCTCTTTGTCATGTATTATTCTCATTCATGGGCAACTAGACAATGATCTTGGCCGGTCAATGACCTTATGCTGAAAATTGGTGTTGGCCTTTATGGGGTAGTGGTAGGGGCGCCCCCCGTGGTAGACCTCTGGGATGTCTCGGGAATATACTGAGGCCCAAGCTGTTGCGGATGAGACTTTCTTTGTTCAGCGTTTGCACAACGTTTCCGTTCGCAGTCTTCAACAAAATGACAAGTAAACAAAGTCCAAGCTCTCACAGCGGCCAACTTGGTTCAGTAAAGGGGATGTAGAACTCGCTGTGGGCCAAAAAGGCCTGAGGAATGCTAAACCCCCAGGAATGACCGCCGGTATGCTCTCTCTCGCGCTCTCGCTTGTTGCTGGCAACCAGCCCGGTATCAGCCGAAATTGGCTTAGCTACCCTCCACGTGTCCTCACATTTTCATTGTTCTGACCAAGGAAGTTGTCGTTTTGAATGTCTTTTTTGACACGCAACCAACCAACCAAGTTGCGTCCTGCTGGCGACCACCAGGACATGGGACGCCAAACACCAGCCAAAACTCCCGCCAGCCAATCCCTTTTTTACACAATAATGTAGTAGCCTTGTGTGATTAATAAATACGACGACTCCCGTCCGTTGTCTCAGGCTATCCGTCTAACATCTAAGCATCATGAAATGTAGCCCCGGCCTGTCTCACCGCTCAACAAGTTGGCGCTGCGACGCGCATCAAGGAAGAGCTCTTCGCACTCGGCAACATCCTTGATGTCGATTTGACTGCGACCGTTGACTCGAGCAAGAATGCTGTGTTTCGTTGTGTTAGTCCACTTATAACAGAAGAGTTTGAGGGGGGATAAGATTGGTAGTATATACCTTGCTGGGGTGAGCAGTTGGAGGCAGTATCGGAGGCTGATCCGAACCCCATGCTCGGAAATCTTGTCGACAGCGCCATCGGTAATGGCGACACCCTCCGTGGTTGCTCGGATGCGCACAATACGTTTGATTTCATCGGCGTCGTACGGGGTGGTGGGGATGATGAGCAAGCGGGCCAGAAAGTCCGGAGGAATGCCGTGCGCAGCAACAACACCATCCGTGCCGCGAATGGAGCACATGCCTCGATTCGATGCAAGGACCACGATGGGAGAGATGGATGACTCCAATGCGCGGTTCAGATATGTAAAGCACTCGATATCAAGCATATGCGCCTATCATTGTTAGCCGTCTCGCCAATGAATCGGGGGTTGGTGGGGTTGTTACCTCGTCAATGAACAGCACGCCGGGAACAAGCTCGGCGACGCCTTGGTCAATGTACTTGCTGACAACCTTGTTGATCTCGCCACGCAGCTTCTCGGTGATTTCCGTCATCTTCGGCTTCATCAGCTGGCCCATCATACTCATGATGTCCTGACCTCCTTGCGGCCGAGCGTTGGCCACATCCAGGTCGTGCAGTGTGACGTCTTGTACGATCTCCTTCTTCTTGTGCACCTCACCCTTGGGGATAGGCACGTACTCCTCCGCCTCGAGATCGAACTCAGTGGCATAAGCATCTGACCGTCCTACACGCTTGCAAGCACCAGTGTTGGCTTCAATGTATACAACGTCGCCAACAGTGACTCTCTCCTTCTGGATGGCTTCGTATATGCTAGGATCTAGCCGAAGCTTCTTCTGGCCCTTCGCGCTCTTTAATCCGATCAACAGCGTGCTGATTGTCTTGCCGTACCCACCAAGCGGGTTCTCAGCCTCCTCGGGCGTGAGCTCTGTGACTTCTCCTTCGTAAACCTCTTTCGTCTCACGAACTTTGAGGCCGATGGCTCTCCGGAAGTTCTCCATCAAGACTTCAGTCTTCTTCACCTCAGTTGAGTAGATTTCGCTGCCGACGATGGGGCAGAAGGGTATTTTCGTTCCGAGTTCGTGACTGAGGGCTAGTGCGAGAGCTGTCTTGCCAGTACCGGGCCCTCCCGCCAAAAGCACGCCGCGACCTGCCATCTTTTGGGCCCGGATGAGGTCTACAACAACACCAGCAGCCTATTTTTGGTGCATCACCGTCAGCACCTTCTTCAAAGGAGACCTTTGCATCGCCATAGGAGAGCTTACTTCTCGCGCCGCAACTTGACCGACGAAACCGCCGGCTTGTCTTTCGGCAGTGTCATCGGATTTTAACCCCAGCCCCTTGATGTGGGTGTGGACCGCTGTGCGATTCTCGCGATTGTTTCCCTTGACCTCACTGATTTGAACCATCTTGACGGAGTCGGGTCTCGAGACTGTCGGCAAAAGTTGGTTGGTCTGCGATCACAAGCTCAAAGGGAATAAGGGTGACCGACTTCGTGTTAGTTTCGAATTTTATGGGTGATTTGGAAAATCGTGGTGGTCGCCTATGAACAAACCAAGCTTGAAGAAGGCTGTCGTACAAATTCGGAAATTCGATGACAGGGAGCTCTCGCGAACTTTTGATGCGATTGGCAATCTAGACGCGCCTAAGCCTCGAACGCTGATAGAGCTCAACTGCGCCACAAATTCAAGCCCCAATGATCTGCGCCCAAATTGAATGGATTCCGCTGCAATTTAACAAGTTCAGACTTGGAAAAGACGAAAACAAGATGGCTAAATGGGAACATGGCGAAAGTATATTGGAGCAGAATAAGCTACATCAATTATTGTTCCATATGTTATTCTACGAAATCACAGTGAAATAAATAGCCCTTTCACTAGAAGTATCTTATGTACAAGTACCTGGAGCCCCAAAGTGTTCTATTAGCTCTGCAAAGAACTCCAAATTCAAACTGATGCCTCCACGGAATCCCCAGAAAAGCCTTGTTGGGGGTGAGCGATCGCTACCATACTCTATCGGTCACAGGACGAAATACTACACAGAATCCTGCCTTCTGTCAAAAAGGGCAGTTGCAACTCGGGGACCAAGGCAAATATATAATTGTAGCTGTATCCCGCCATCACTTCGAGTGAATCGAAACAGCCATATCAATTGCACTAGCTCCAGCTCGCAACATGATTATCAATATATACACTCATATCAACAAGGAGTCAATTTAATACGTTTAATGGCCCTGTTGGCTCTTGTTAGCATTATTTACATGATCTATCAGGAACCATAAGCTGGATAATACTGACCTGCTGGTCCATAACATGGAACACATACTTAAGCACATGAATAGTGCTGGCGTAAAACTTACATAGATTTTATCTGTCACTCCTGAAGCAATCGTTGCGGGCTCAAAATAACGTGTGCCGCGTTTGAGATAATCTTCCATGCTATCAATTTCCCCTGAAGGGCTCTCCGAATTGTTCAACATTCACCAAAGCGGTTGTTCTACGAGGGGTTGAGCTCACCATTTGCAGTACGTTCGAGGGACACGGAAAGCTATTCCTGAGAACTCCCAAGTTTTGGTCTCGATAATGCTATTGACCCTCCTAAGTAGTTCTGGGACGGGATTTGTAAACCAAATTGAACTGTCCATACGGCGCAGTACGAAAGGTCTAGAAATGGGTTGCCAGACTATTTGGTGCAGATTGGGTTCCATTTGTCGCCCGCTGCTGGTAGGAGCAAAAGCCCAGTGTGGGGCTCACCGTCAACTTGCCGCTGGTCGTTGAAGGACCTGGGTGAGAAGATCATCTCGGATTGAGAGTCGGGCTCAGTGAGTTGGGGTAACAAACCAACTTTGGACTGGATCCTCCTGCTTCGTTTGGGCCGTTCAACTCTTCTTCCTCAGGTTGGAGAGGCCACAGGCGATAGCAATGGCAGCATCATATTGCAATCGTAGGTCGGTCCAGGGAGTGTCGTGGTCGTGGAGGCGTTCTGGCAAAGGAATGGTTCACAATTCTAAAGTTGTATGCATGTAAGGTTCAGACCCTCTTTAAATAAGCAGCTTATTTCTGTATTCTTGTGAGCATGAGGGGGACAGAGGGGAATGACTACGATTGCAACCCTGAGGGAAAATTATCAACATCCAAGATTACTATCACATCAGAGTACGCATCTGGTCGCAAGCTTCCCAGGTGCCTGCTGGTAGCGTGTATTTGCACACAGGATATGGTGCTGAATAAATTTATGGCTACATAATCACAAGTCGGCAGTAGTAGACTCAGACCAGCCTTTAAGGGGGCTGGGTGGGTATAATTGGCTTTGGGGGACATAAATCTGAGATTAATCAATTACCTGGACGTCGTTAACATTGACAAATGTTACATTTAGGGGATCAGACACATGCCCATGAAGTGTCGAAGTGCGGACCCTTGAGCAAGACGCAATATGGGAATCTAATTAATATGGTAAAGGTTGAAAGGCCGGTATGGTTCATGTAAAGGAATAAGTCCTCCGGGACCCTGTAGTGCTCTTTTGTAGATGCTCAACCTAAGTAAATGGACAGTGATTGTCAAATATACTGGTTGCCTGAAAGATGTAACTCGAGGCCGGTTTCCTATTCACACTTATACGTGTTAAGAGGCCATTTACAGCAAAATCAACACAACACACGTTGGCTGGCGGCACACTTTTCAGTATGCACAATACTGGGCCATAGATAATGGCACACACGATCCTCTCAGTCGAGTCATGTGCTTCTTGCGGGTCGGTTAAGGTATCTGATGATTGATTTCCACTGGTTCTTTAGGCACGATGATGCCCGAGTGCTGAATGAAGCTGCTTATGAGGAGTGTCTCATGGTGGTAGATTGCCTGATTATTTTATCTTGAATACTCAGTATTGGTCGCAGCCTGACCCTAACCCCAACCCTGAACCAATGGCTGCAAAATCTCTCGAGGTGAGTCGTTAGAATGTGGCAGTCTGCATAATCCCAAGGTGTAGGTTATGCGTGCGAGGTCTGAGTTGATCCCGGCGGTCACTTACGAGCTGCTATGGTGCGAGCATGCGATCCTAGAAGTACTTCACATGTCAACCACTAATTACTCAGCCCGTTTGAATCAATTTTCTGTACTAATCGAGGGTCACGGCTGGGGCAGTATCATTGATATCCAAACTCAAGAGTAAGGCACAACTTAACACAGATACGTGAACCAAACTCTTTGATTAATAAAGATAAGATGCAATAGAGATTCAAGAAGGTCATTAAAGACCCCTGCCAACTTTAACCCCATCCATGGATACCACCGCCAGTCCAACGGCAACCGGCAGGCATTTGCCATCCACTCCGATTCGCTGACCAATTCCGCGATATCGGTCGGGGTAATGTCCGCCGGCTCTCAGCCGGCCAGGCCCTGCCCACTCACAACCTAGCAACCTATCAACAACGGGGGTTCTGGAACCGGACATGTCGGATGGCTTATGACGAGCTGCCCTGAGTGGTTGGATGTTGACTGGGATTCCACGATACAGCTTTCACCTTGCATCAGGCTGGCTCCATTGAAAGAGCGAGTGAGAGGTTGAGGCTCCACTCCCCCCGGACTTTCAACAACCCCGCTTGAGTTGAGAGAATGGATGTAAAATTGGTAAGTAGATAAACGTGCCGAATTTCCATTGCTGGATTCTGTCATTACTGTTGTGTTCTTTTGTTATTATGTTTCATGGTTCAACTCGTATATAGAGTTGAGTTGAAGAGACCTTGGTTCCGAGTCCCCTCGCTTCAGAGTTATCGATATGTCCTACAGCTTACGTCTACGTCTTTATTCACTCAAAGTGTGTTAATTCAACTCTGCAATATTTGTTCTTCGATTCACTCGTGACGTTGGAAGCATTTTGTCGAAACGTTTTTGACAGCAGTTAATCATCATGTCCACGCCATTGTCAATAACCCAGACCCCTTCGACGAAGAAGATCTTCGACATCGATGAACATAACGATATTGTTTGTGTTTCGTCGTCGAGGGACATTGACAAGAAAATTTATCAGACTAGAGGGGAGATAGCAACACGGCTGGACCCAAATGACTTTCGTCCATTGTCCGTCAGTCCCTTCTCCCAAGACGTACGACGGAGCACGAGGGGTTCATCTCCAGCTCCCTGGAGGCAACCTTCTCAAGAAAAAGGCTTCAAATTTTATTGCAAACCGACCTGGATCAGGAACAGAGGTCCCATCCTAGTAGCTCTCTCCCAGCTCTTCGGTGCTGTCATGAACCTCCTCACGAGACTCCTGGAAATAGGCGACGACGCCATGCACCCCATGCTGGTTCTCAGCGGCCGAATGTCGGGAACGGTGATATTGAGTGGCATCTATATGTGGTGGATGACGGTTCCCTCGGCGCCCTTCGGCCCCCGCGACGTCCGTTGGCTGCTCGTCGTTCGCGGACTTTCCGGTTTCTTCGGTATCTACGGCATGTGGTATTCCGTTATGTACCTCCCGCTCGCGGACGCGACCGTCATATCATTTCTCGCGCCGAACCTGGCTGGGTATCTGTGTCATATCCTTATACATGAGCCGTTCACGAGGCTGGAACAGTTTGCCTCTTTTCTGGCTTTGGGGGGAGTATTGCTCATCACACGACCTGTCTCCTTGTTCTCAAGTCCGGAGACTCCAACAACAGCCGATGGGATTGTCGAGATTATCAGCAGGGAAACGAGCTCCCAGTCTGGGTTCAACCACGTCCCGACGTCGTCAGAGCGTCTCGGTGCCGTGGGAATGGCACTCCTGGGCGTGCTCGGCTCCTCAATCTCAATAACTGTCCTGCGCTGTATTGGAAAACGGGCACATCCGCTTATCAGCATGACCTACTTCAGTACTTGGTGCACCGTCGTGGCTACAACCACGCTTTCCGTCGCCCCCGTTTTCGACTACAATCAACCGGCCCTTCGCTTCGCGCTGCCTTCCTCTTGGATTAAGTGGTTGATGCTCATCATCATTGCTTTCTGTGGGTTCATGGCGCAGCTCACCATGACGGCTGGTTTGGCTGGGGAAAAGAGCAACCGGGCTACGGCCATGATATATACGCACATGCTATTCGCCGCGGGGTTCGACCGTTGGGTCTTCGGACATGAGATGGGCTGGATGAGCTTGACGGGGTGTGGGCTCATTGTCGGCAGTGCGCTCTGGGTAGCACTGAGCAAGAAACAAGAGATAAGTACGAGAGACGTAGAGTCAGGCGCAATGCTGGACTCGGAAGCCATAGCGATGTTGGCGGAATCTAATGAAGACGATGACAATACTGTACAGTTAGAGAATTTACGTTGAGATAAGCTCCTCATTGCGTATACATATGATATATACATGCTTTTTTTTTTTGGAACATTCCCCTATAAAAATCACTCAACTTCCAACGAGACCCCGCAGCGTATGCCTTTTCTCATGTTATCAGAAGACGGGGGCTGGGCAGACACAAGCTGGCCTTCTCCACCTGAAGGGAACTGGCTCATTATGTATGCCGTTTCATCAGAGGCCAGAGGAGTAAACAAGAAGGATTCGTCACTTCACAGCTTATGCCACACCAAGTCGAGCTGAACTGACCAACTGTAAAGAACCACCCAGCTCATCGTTCTAGTCAGTCTATCTGATGCTTAGAGGTGGCCACTTCTGTTTATAAGTGTATGATCCTTGGGCGACTTGCACCACCCCTCGAGAATTCTGTACCGGCGCCCAACTGAAGTTGGGGTTCTTCCAGCAAATCTCAACCTTTCAGTCTTGAGTTCAAATAGATGCCGCTTCCGCGGCTGCACCGATACTGTTGACCCAGGAGCTTCTGTCATAATATTCTGATCGGTGGTGACAGGTGGTTCTACCGCGTTACGTTTTTCCATTGCTGCACTTGATGGTGTCGCACCGGTTTTCTCTGTTGCAAGGACACGTGTCGCAGACTCTAGGCCGGAGCATTCTTGCGCTTCTTCTTGTTATGCTTGCCTGCGTTCCTGACTGTGTCCATGACATCGGCATCATCCTCGAAGTCGTCAAGCAGATCCTCAGAGACGCCGGCGGCAGCGGCAGCAGCGGCGGCAGCATTCGGTCTCGTATCCTTGATCACGGCATCATCATCATGATGGAATGCCTTTCGCATTTTGCTAATCTCGATTCTCTTGTCCACCATGGTACGAACTTTACCGAGGTACTCTGGATTCCGGCGCAGGGCGAACTCGAAATCGTCGAATTTGAGCTTCTGGCGCTTGGCAGTGTTCGCGTGCGCGCATGCCTCAAAACTTATTCCTGTAACAAATTCGGAGAGAATCTCGTCCATAACCTTGACGGTCTCTGGGAGCGGGTCGGGAACGTCGCCGTAAGCGTAGAGGAGATTGGAAACTGCGCACGGCATTAGATGCATTTCAGAGGATAGGATGATTGTAAGAGGGTATAACTCACTGTCCTTGGCTGGGAACGTCTCCTTGCCCACGTTCTTTCCAGCGCGCGCACGAGGCTCCATGGTGAAGAATGATGTTGAATCAGCGTTGACGAGGTTGAGGACGTAGCAGAATGATGTATCGAGCAGGGGTTGTTCTGTGGTGGAGAGCTGATCCAATTGTACCCCAAGGTCTCAAGTATGAGGTACTTGAGCGCAGGTGGGGCCAGTTGAAAAGGAAGCAGCTTGCGCAGTCAACCATACGTTTGAGAAGAAGGCCGACGAAGGTTTTGAAGTCGACTAGAGTGCTAGTGAGAAAAACAGAAGTGAATCGCTTTCGATGGCAAACACTGAAGTGATAATGTCGAAGCGGCAGTTTGTGGTTGAAGATGGTGAAGGTAGGTCGTCACGGTCGATGATTCAAGTACTCCGTACCTGGTAGGCACTTATCGGGATGTGGGCCCAGGCAGGCGCCCCAATTTTAGTGCAGGGAAAGAATCGCTTGCGACAACTCGGTCATTGGGAAGGCTGAACAACTGTCAACTTGACGTCTGATCGCTGCAACGCTTGCCCAACACATAATCATCAGCTCAAATTTGGCAGGCATATCGATTTCAGACTTCACGAAATATTATAGACAGCCAGAGCTTCGTATATTGAACGAAGCTGCAATACCTTGACCGAACCTACGACACCAACTGCGCAATTCTCTCACGTCATTCCGCGAAATGGTTAGTCATGCTGCTGGTCGTGCCTCGTCTCTTCAGGTCTATCGCTAATCACCAAATACTAGTCCGCCCTCTTCAACTTTCAGTCCCTCCTTCTCGTCATCCTCCTCTTCATCTGCACGAGCACTTATGTGCACGGTTTGGCCCCGAAGTTCATGAACAACAACAAGCAGGGGTAGGCGGCCCTCGCAGTACCTGGGACTTGTAACGAGCTGATAGCTAATCATGTTTGCAGGTTCATGGGACCGTTCTGGAAAGCCGCGAGGATAGGAGAACGACTGAGTCCGTACATAGCGCTGTGTTGCACGGCCATGGCAGTATGTCGGCTTTCTTTCTATAGTCTACCCATCATGCTATCCTATTGACATTCTTCATCTAGATCAGTTTGTTAGTCCGTTAGAGCGGTCGAAGAACTTTATCGACGCGATGTATATGGGAGGAGTATGGAAATATCCTGGGATTTCCGACGTCGATCGAATGCGTCATCGTCTACGGACAGCGAACCTGGATTGTTTGCACATGCCGCGCGGGGTGTACACCCCGAGTCTACATCTAATATTAGGCGGGCAGTTGGTTTAAATCGCCAGGATGGACGGTATACTCTAAACTGCACGGCATTCCTCGTGTTGTCGGATCCCTTAGGCGGGAATGGCTGAAAAGGATTGGGCATGGTTGGCAAGGCGACGTAGCCTGAGTCAGGTGAAACTGTCTCGGCTTACGACAAATGAGGAATGTGGGCGGTGGAAGTTGGGTTGGAGGGAGCAACATGTCTCATTTTGATACTTGACCGATGTGTCTCAAAGCAATGGGGCTGAAAACGCAATCGGGTGCCGCTCGCACAGCGTTTGACACCAGCAGCTCTGTGATGCCACGAGGCTGCCAATTTCAACACCCAGCCTTGTTTTCAGTCCTTGCAAGATACCCAATCTAGACACCTCAATCCCCGACAGAAACATATGTCTATTGTAGGGCCGAACTTCAAATGGGCGCACGAAGAGCTCGAGTTACAAAGTCGAGCGGAGTCAAAGGAGAGCTGTGGAATGCCGATAACCACCACGCGCTTAATATGCAATCAACCTTATGCCGAATCTGGACGACTGCCCTGACCTGCCTCTATACATATAATATCTCAACATTTTGTCGTCGAACTGCGGGATTCACTACTATTGAAAGACGAAAATAGAGGTAGCCCCCCTGCGTCGGGTCGTATCTTCATCTATCATGTTTTCTATTAGTGGCGGAATGAACTGCAAATAATGCCCGTCTAAATTCGGCACCTTTTCATGTCAGAATTGGTCACCACTCTTTGGGATCTGGTCAGCACCTAGCACACTGGGAAGCAGCTGTGCTGACCACAGTTAAACGAATTGTACTACTTTGCGGGCCGTTGGTCGTGCCTTCTTCATGTGCTCCTGTCCAGGTGCCCGAAAAGCGGCATCTTGACGTTGCAGGTGGTGCCTACAAAGGCATTAGTTTCACAGCAATGTTCCCTACATTAAACCAGAAGGGAATTCAAAAGAGGCAGCCAACCTATAAGCGAAATGAGGTCAATACCCTCTTTCAAGATCTGAAAATGGGGAGTGCTGAATCTCAAGTCACTATCTATTACCCTCTATGTTCGGAGTCCTCCGTAATAAAGGATGAGATTTGGGAAATTGTCCGAAGGGGTCCGACCACACCGGTCCGGCTGACAGGGGATCTTGCTCAGGCCGTTTCTTTGACCCCGACGCAGCGCGATATGGGTGATCATGTAATGGCTGGGTTTGGATGAGATTGTTACTAAATTCATCTCAGCGCCGGGGCTGCTGGTTCGAGTTTCACACTTGCGCATTTCTGTGGTGACGAGAAAACGGCTGTGATGAAACAGGCGCCTCGCTCGTTTGAGCCACTCAGGAGCGGGATATCCTCCGACTACTACTGAAGTCGCAACAACGCTTGCTTGCCGCAGGCTGGCCGGAGATAGATGACACGCGGCGCGAGACACTACTGCCCAGCACTACTCTATCTGAGGTGTAACGTACATTAGGACGACGACATGGTGAGCCTTAGGTTGGGCTCCGGACTGGGGAAACAATCGGTTGCTGCCGTGGACGGCTGGACATCGTCGAATCGGGTATTTGAACCGGTCAAAAGTCGAGATTGAATACAACGGTCGCAAATGATCGAATAATTTTCTTGCGTGGGCGGGAAGGCTAGCGACGCTGCACTGAGCTGATGCCCGATGCTTGCAGGCAGCTTGGTGTCGCGAAGGCACGCATACATAGTATCATGTGCCTCCAAGCAACGGCTCCTAGCAGCTTACACCTCGGGACGCGGAAGCTGTGCTAGCACATGCCGTTTACCAGACGGGAGTGTCCTTCGGATATCTTCATAATGATTGCTCTGACCACTTCGCTGCAGTGAAAAATAAGAGAATCACACCGAGTCAACTGAGTCAACTGAGTTTGGCACACTAAAGCGCACATGCTACGGTGTGTCGTTGTTGTCACCGTCGTCAGAGTGCGGAGGCTGAGTCATGAAATAGAAGAACCCTATCGATCTTCTAGCTCCTTGGCGCATAAGCCTGGGGTGGGTTAAATGCCTAGTTGAAGTTCGTGTCTCTCGATATCGAGCTGCAGACAGCCGACACGATGGACTGTGTGACACCGCTTATTTCCATGCAATGAATGCGGAGCAAACACAAACAGTTGACAGCGATGAAGATAACGGTTGCATCGACAGTGGCGTTCCAGATACCGGAAGCAACCACCAAACCTTGCCACCGCACTTCGTGGTCGCCACACACTCCGCCGGTCATGCATGATAATTTTGGATCTCCGTCGGGTGTCCTCCGGCCATCCGTTGAGAAAACCCACCGTGCAGCTGACTGTCGGTTGGTGCAGAGGTCAGCCCTGCAGAGGGACTTGGTCTTTTTTCATAGTTGTGGTGCCACGCATTCAGTCGTCTGATTTAGGTATTGGATTCACTCCATAATTGGTCCGGCCGCCATCACCTTGCGAACAAGCGTACCGCCATCAAGATTGATGGAAACCAGCATTCGCTTCGCCTCACCGCTAGGGAGAAGTCAGGAAAGCCTCGAGCTGGACCATGGGCCACTACTTTCCTCCCACCTTACGATCAGCCTCGTGCTGAAGTGGGTCTGCAATACGTAAGTAGAGTAGCCCGTCGCGGCTCCATGTTGCAAGACAGCGACCGGGTGAATGCCGCCACGGACCTACGGCAGTGTCAAAACACGCCGTATCGTATGTCTCTGGCCGCCTCCTCTCTCTCACTTACCCCGATGTTTCGTCGAGCAAAGGTTTGAACGGTCACCTTTCAAACACGCCTTGACTCATGCCAGCTTGTCTTTACCGGGGGCCCACCACACTCATGCCTTCTAAGATATGTAGACCTTGCAGTTCAACGTCCTGCAGCAGCTCGAGGCTTTCGCACCATGACGTCTGTGCTTTGCAGCGTACTATTAATTTCATGACTTGGCTAATAATCTGCTCAAGACTGGACGAGTATGTCGGCTCCGGTCACCGGCCTTTAAAGCCTCAACGCCGTTCTCTCCTCGTAATGGGCTTGCATTGAGGCTAGGGTTGTGGGTAGTGTAGTCAATGTAGTCAAATGCACATGCAAGGCCGGTTGTTGATTAATGCATACCACCACGACGACGAATCGACGATGTTAGCACTGAAGGGCGATAATCCGTATTGCGTGACAGGCAATCCAAGTGTGATGACGCCGATTGTATTTTCGCGGACCAGACGGAGCCTGCAAATCTCGGCGCTCCTATCTCGCACGCCTCCCACATCTTGTCTGCTAGCTATTGACTCAATTTAACAGGTGCAAGGTGGTGATAAGTGTGTCAATACCCCGGCATTTGCATTGGCACATACGATAGTCATCAAGCGATTCAAGCTTGGCCGCAGCCGGCGTTGCGTTTGTGAACAATGACTGCAATCCTTGGGCGAGGCTAGTCGCTTAAAGCGCAAGGCCAGCAAGCCAGCTAATACGCACGCACCTGGCATTTATTGCATGCAGGGAATTGCGGCTTCCGCCGAATAGACCATTGGCTCATCCCCCTGAATGGCAGCTGGGCTAGCTAATACGCACGCACCTGGCATTTATTGCATGCAAGGACTCTGCGGCTTCCGCGAATAGACCATTGGCTCAACCCCCTGAATGGCAGCTGGGCTACCCTTGATAATGTACCAGCGTATTGGAAACCCTCTTTTTTTTCCTGCTCGAGAAGGGAATGAATCCGGACTCCCATCAAATCAAATCCACTTCAATGGGAGCCCAAACGGCCGTCTCCAGGATTCTCAATGCCTACAAAACATCTCGAGGCATCCACTTTGTTCTTTTTTCCCTTCTGGCTTGGAACAGGGGCGTCACAATTCCCATTTCCCGCAGCCGTCCCAAGTACAATTGTAGTGCGATGTACATTAGAGTTCCTAATAATAATCTCCCCAAGCCAGTAATTGTCAGCTGTGGTGGCCGAGATTGGGGCGGATCTGACCCGAAGGACGGGCACTACCAACATTTTCATACACGTCGATTTTTCATCTCAACTCTCCCAAAGCTAAGCACAAGCAGGCACCCAACACGACTGACCATGACTTGTGTACATTGTGAGTACCGTAGATATTTTAGTGGAGGATGACAGGGGGTCCCTAGCTTTCATGTATCGTCCCATCAACGGGTATTGCCTGTAGTCACCGCTGATCCTCAAGTGACCACCCACGGCAATGGAGAATGGAACCGTCGCCCTTGGGCCCTTCCCTCGTGTCGAGCGCGAAACCGACGTCTGAGTCGCCGTTCTCGTTCACCTTGCCCCGACTCCCTCCAATGCAAATTTGGGAGGAATCCGTCCCCTGAGATGTGTGCCTGCTACCAGCCATTTTCGCGCTGGCGCATAGGATTTGATGTATCTGTCCGCGAGAGGAGGCGCCAAAAGGGCCCGTTTTCCCAGGGATTGACTGGATGCAGCGCGCGTTCCAGTTGCGCGATGCCGCCAAAGCACACTCGCCCCAAAGGCCAAGCCGGCAAGGCATACTTTAAGAGCCACGGTACGATCGTCCAAGGTGTGGGTGCGATGGCGCATTGAAGTTTCAATGCTTCATATTTCTTTCTCATTTGCCCCGAACTCCCATGTCTGTGCCCCCTTACCACTTGACCCGTGGGTACCTTTCTAATTTGGCTTTGCCCGGATTGATTACTCCTTCTGGGAGAAAGGGACCTGAGTCTTCAATGTATTTCTCTCTCTTCTTCTCTTTTCCTTCCCCTTTCGACACAAGACTATTCACACATGCCAATTGTCGTTCCTGGCCGTCTGCAGCAAAAACATCTTGCATTGTCGTCCGCAGTTACCTTCCTTTGTTGCTGCTGCTGGTTGGGCCATTCCTACTTCGTTACATAGCACACTCCTTTGGGAAAGCCAGTCCTTGTCTAGTCCTTCCTTGAGGATTCCTGCAAACATCCATAGCTAGCGGTTGCCAGTTGGCTAGGTTTGACTTGCTGTCACTGCCCAACTCACACCTAACATTGATTGATGTACGTGTAAGCCCCGTTAGCCCAAGCCGCTTTCCTACATATCACAAAGCAACTCGACGTCCTCTCGAATCAGAGCCGGGCTTTGCTGTTACCAACCTGCAAGCTCCCGGTTCACGAGACCACCAGACTGTCCAACATCAAAAGCAGCAGCTGTTTGCAATTCGTCTCGTCATATAGAAACCTCGCTGACCCGCCTTGGGGAAAATTAGCCACACGCACTCCTTCGGTCTTCCGTAGCCAACCCGCCGATCTGGACTTTCCGAAACCGGTTATCTTTTGGACATATCCACTAATTGCTCCGTTTGTGCTTGTGCAACATAAAATTACCAGCTACATCTTGTGGTGAATCAATTTCAACTGGGGTGAGGAGAGAAAGAAGGAAACCCAAAATAGAAGGATTCGCAAGATGGGCGACCAAGGCACAGGTGGTATCGAGGGCAGGATGGAGAGATCTGCGAGACGCTCGATTTCAGAAGCGAACCCAAATACGCATGAAGACCAGATGCAGAAACAGAGCAACCAACCAGAAACGCCCAGTCCGGAGCCCGAAAAGCAAACCGAGTTTCACCAAGTCAACTCACCCCGCCACTTATTCACACCTCCGCCTCCCGCGAGCGCACTATCAAGAAACCCGTCTACGAGCTCAAACACATCCGAGGAGTGGTCAAGTAGGCCGCAAAGAAGCAGCGCCCATCCGCGTAGAAATGAATTGCTAGTGGACAGCCGCGGCCGCAGGCCATTAGAGCCTCCCGTCACAAAAACCACCCTGAGCGAGCTGGATGTGAACAAAATCATCCACAACCCAAAGTTACGGCACGATATTAACTTCGACCCGGAACTGCACTTCAGACCCAACCTGGACGGAGAGAAGGGACGGAGGAAGCAGGACAAGGCCAACCAATTCTGGACCACACTCAGCGAGCAGCTGCAGCAGTTTGTGACGGACCCGGTGACATTTCAGAGCCAATACAGCGGCAAGGAGTGGTGTCTGCCAATATTGCTGAGATCAGTCAAGGAAATCATCCAAACGCTGGTGCCTGCTAGAGACCGTGCCTATCTCGACGAGGGGCTGAATGTTGATCTGATCATGCAACAATTCCACAAGGGAATCGCCGATTTAGAAAAACTCGCCTCGTGGCTGTCCAATGTCCTCAAATCTCACTGTGCGCCGATGAGAGATGAGTGGGTGGACGAAATGTACAACCAATTGACCAATGGCAACCGAACAAATGACATGGAAGAGCTGGTGCAGGGGATGCGGAGCTTGTTGAGCGTCCTCGAGGCGATGAAGCTGGACGTGGCCAACCATCAGATCCGCTGTCTGCGACCCATCTTGATCGAAGACACAGTCCATTTCGAAAAGCGTTTCTTCTGGAAGAAGATTCAAACCGGGAAACTGGACCCCCAATCCGCAGAACACTGGTATGTTCTGGCCCGACACGAGATCTCTCCGAGCCATGCATCCAGGATCGCTTTTGGGGAGATGGCTATCTTCTTCGAGGCCCTGTCGAGACTCATTTTGCCGTCAAACTCGGATCAGTTTCCTCAGACATTCCTCTTCGATGAGGAGCGCTTGTTGAAGCTCCGCACCGACATGCTCGACGCTGTCAACCTGGAAATATGTATGCGGTTGTACGAAAGATTCGAAAGGGAGTACCGATTTCACGCAACACCTACTTTGAGTGCCATCGGAACATCTTTTTTGGCAATGCCTTTTTCGGATGCTTCCGGGTTCTTGACCTCGGGCTCGGATGACGAAATCTCGGAGTTCAACTTCAACGACCCACCACCTTCACGGCCCTCGAGTCTGATTTTCTCGTCAGCAGGCTCAGCTCACTCATCGCCGCGCTCCTCTATGATACTGCCTGCAAACCCACCGCCGAGAGTGGACACCAAGGCAAAGTCACGTGAACTCTACAACTCTCTGGTGGCACTGCTTCAAACGTCACCGCCTAGTTCTCGCTCGAGTCAGCGATGGAAAGCGATGAAGGATTCGTTGGCTGTCCAGATCTTCCGATTTACAGATGCGCCTGCCGAGGCGCTGCTTCGACTGGAAGAGCAGCTCGATCAGCATCTTTGCGAGCCCGATTCCTACCTCTTCCAGGAAGTTGAACAGCACTACCACACCCGCCTGGTTACCGAGCTTCAACAACGTGCAAGGGAGCTGAAACCCCTGACGGGCGTCGGACTCTTCTCGGTCGCTACTGGCGGCCGGGTTCACACATCAAGCCGTACATCGGATGGACCGAGGGACAGGGTCCCCGAGCGCGATTCACACGAGAGCTGTAGCCGGGAAGTCCGGGAAGATACCGGCATGGAGGACATGGCCACCAGGCTGACACACCTTGGTCTCCTCCACTGGAGAGTGTGGTCGCAGTTGGTCTACCAGGGAGAGCAAATCGACACCGAGATGACTTTGGACAACGCGCCTTGAGCTCTGATGGGATCACCATCAGCCACTTGCAGCCAACCCTTGCGGAATACACTTTTGCTACCACAGCAACGCGCTCACTGACCGTTATATCATTCGAGCACTGCCGGGGAGAACAAGATGGCATTACTAATACTGCGTAATCCGAGCCACCAAGGCTCTTGTCCTGGCGATGTTCCATTCATTCAGCACACCCTGGTCGGCGTTCTCCCACTTACCTCTTCCACGATTCATCATCACACATCAATACCCCCGACATAAACACTTCTAATCACACATTACTGGTCTTGTTACCAGTCTGAGAAAAGATCCAGCTTTTCCATATTCATCGGCATTCACACGGGGTTCAGGAGTAAACCAGGTCAACAACAAGCTTTAGAAAGTTGAATTCCTTATTTTATTTTTTTGAACGAGGGAAGCAACGCAAAGCAACGCAAAGCAACGCTTGAGGGTGTTTTTGGTGTGTCTTGCTCTAATACCCCTCCTCTCCCGTTCCGGCGTTTTTGGGGGAATTGAGCATATGTTCTGTTTCGTTGCCCTGAAAGGGCAACACACTTTTTCTTGGCTTTTCATCAAGGGGAGGAAGGAATTTATTTCTTACACACGCAACATTGGGATGGCGCATCAGAATTGGGTGGTAGACTTTTTTGTTGCCCTTCCTTGGTGGCGGCGCGCCAGCAAGGTAAGGCGGGCAGGGCCATGCAGGACACGAAAGGGCAGATGTAGATAGGGTAGTCCAATAGAGAAAATCAAACAAAACTCCCCTGCATTCGCGATTGCTTGTTTTCCGAAATTCGCTCAGTGAACTTTTCACTAAAACAACCCCCCCCTGTACAAGTTCTCCTAGATGTGGTGTGGTTCGGTGGCAGCAGATTGGGGCGCCCGAAAAGGGTAGCTTGTAATAATTCCGTGTTACCCAGAAGGCACGGTGGTGAGTGTCGCTTCAGGCGCGAGGGGAGGGCTGCTGAAACCGGACTTATGGTGCAAGCTGTCTCAGCTGAGGCGCCGCCTCAAATCTCCTCTTTTTGTGTGCTGCGAGACATTCATATCTACAGGTAGCTATGATTGGTTGGTCTTCACAATGATCCCTCGTTTAATCCTATCATAATTGTTCGATATGTCAGTTGTAACGGAGCTGCGTATGCGTCACCTGTGACATGGCCGGATGACTTGCCAGCTGCAAGAAGCAGCGTTTGCGTTTAGGGCAGGTCGGATGCAACACGGACAGCTAATGGATAGTGATGCTTTGTGAGCCGCAAACCCACTGCTGATGCCTCAAAACGTTGTGGCCTCCCTTTGGCTAGTACTTGGAGATACTTGCCACTAATCTCATCGCCATGGAATACAATACGAGGTACACAACGCAAACTCCCTCGACACTCCTGTCTGGTAAACATGCGGTTCGATTTCAACGGCATTCCTACCTCTTTGTAGTCAAGTCCCACACAAGGAAACCGAACCATGAACCGACATCATCAAAAAATTAGGGTTTGTCATTAACGTCTATCATAACACACTTATTCCCTAGAAGCCCCACTCACGTTACTGCCTACACACATTAAATCTCGCCACACTCGGATCATGATCTGATACCTGGTCGTTATAAGCCGCCCACGTATTGACATGTACATGCTCAAACTCAGGCTCCGTGTTAGCCAGGGCGGGGCTCACGAACATGTGGTCGAGCTCCTGCGAGTTCATGTCGTACAGGTAACTATATCGCTCCAGGACATCGATGCCCGCGACCTCATCGAGGTCCTGCATCTTGGACAGCGACAGGAAGTCCAGGATGGGCTTCGTCACGGGGTACTCGTTGAAGTCGCCGGCGGAGATGATGTAGGCTGACGGGTCTTCGGCGAGGATTTGGGCGATGAAGGACTGGATATGATGTTAGGAATCTTTTTCTTTCGTTTCTTGTTCACTCTGGTAATTCTTTGGAAAAAGGGGTCTTGGACTTACAGCAGTTACCTCCGCCTGCGCCTGCCTCGCAGCCAGAGCACCATTCACGGGCGGACGGGCGTCACCATGCATCGAAGAGCCGCCCCCCTTGGAGCTCCAATGTACATTCACCGTGAAAAAAATATTATTACCATCGACCGTCTCCCACGCCGCTACAAGCGGCTTCCGGCTTGCCGTCCACGCGGCGTTAGCAGGGTCGATCCGCCCTGGGTTGTAGCTCAGTTCCGGGCCGGGGAGCACCTCAGTCGCTGTTGTAGAGTTTCCCGGTTTGGGGTTGCGCAGCTGGACGACGGACGGATTGAATAGGTACGCAACCCGAATGTTACCACCAGGAGCGCCACCGTCGGCCCCATCGACGGGGGAGATGTAGGTGTAATTGTAGTTCACCTCGCCGTCGAGGGATGCTATGGCAGCCGTCAGCGCAGAGAGGGATAAGTCCGAGGCGACGGTTCCGTCGTTGGTCTCGCCGTTGTTGTCTTGGATTTCCTGGATAAAGAGGAGGTCGGGGGAAAGAAGGTAGTTCACGATGTGGGCGGCGACGGCCTGGGTGTGCGCCGTGTTGGAGGGCGCGAAGTTCTCAACGTTGTAGTCGCCTACGGTGAGGCCGGAGCAGGAGCCGGCGCTGGTGAGTGTCGTGGGCGGGGGCAGCGATGGGGTCAAGGACGAGGTTACGGTGACTTTGGTAAGTGGCAGGATGTAGTAGAAGCCAAAGGTGTAAGTAACCACTCCTGTTATGTCTTCGAGCGTGTCGCCCAGCTTGATGGTCGTGGGGCTGTTGGTCCCGTCGAGGGGGTCGCCGATGATAATAGCCTCGGGGTTTCCATCTTTGCTCGTGAGTGTCACGCCGTCGCGATTGTTGTCACCTGTGGTGTTCCAGGCACCCACAACCCAGGTCTCGCCGTACGAGTTGGGTCGCGACACGGCGTGCGGGCTTTTCACCGTCACCAGTTGTCCCACAAGACTCTCCCAGAAGTCGAGGCCGTACTTGGTCGGCTCCAGCACCGGGTTGATGACGGAGATCAAGTTCTGGTTGTTCGGCACTCCGAACACATCGCCCGCGTCAAGGCTGGTGTATTGCTCCGTCGGCGGGCTTAGAGTGTCCACCCCAATCACACGAGGCGCTACCTCGACTCCGTGCTCCAGGATCGCCGAGACCACGGGTGATGCGATTTCCGTGAGGTACAGGTACGAAGAGGTCGATCTGTACTCGCTCACTTTCCCACTCAGAACGATGACATCACCAGTGAGAATCGACGCGTTCTGTGCGAGCGCAGACCCAAAGACGTAAATGGCGTCCGACATACGCTCGTCGCTCGTAGGCGTGACATCTCGGATCCAGATGCCGCTCGGGCCTTTCGCCGTGACGATACCCGTAAGGTTCGTAAAGGTCGCGCCGTTGTAGGGCGACAGGAAGTTCTTCCCATTGATTTCGGCTACCGTTAGCGCTGAAGCGGCACCAACAAGGAGAGAGCTGGTGAGCCACCCGCACAGGGAGGTGACCTTCATGTTGTCTGGGACTCACTCTGGGGTGGTCAACTAGGATCGAGGAAAGAAGCCGCCGTATCCCTCCATCTTTCTAGAGTAGAAGTGCGAGAGTGTCATATTTGTAGCGTTCGTCCGTTTTCCATATTTCTGCCTAGGTGGCCGCAGCCGAGATGAAAAGTGGATGGCATCGCGCTCAGCTATCGCAACTGATAATCAATGATAGGTTGCTGTCAGACAGCCCGGGCAATACGGGTGATGGTAGTATAGATTAAGGACCGCCCAGGTCTCGATCAGGAAATAGACAGCTGGAGGAATTGACCAATCCACTTCAACATACCCAGATCGTGCCCGTTCAGGCCTTGCCTGAAAGCGAAGGTGTCCGGCATCTTTTTGGCCGCACCCTGAAGGCAAGCGGCTTGGCGAGATGCTTCGATGCGGGACGCCTCTAATCGCAGGAGGTTCAGCTTCCCTGTGTGATTGACCGACTGCCAATTTGAGGGGAAACTTCCTTAGATGCGATTGAGAAAGCTGGTACTGTCGGCACGGGTCCTTTGAGCGTGTAATTCTGATGCTGCATGCGGTTGAGCTTCATGGTTGAAATACACGTGCTCGCATTGCTGCGGAAATAACATTGTTCACCATCACCGCCAAGCTGAATGCATGTAACCCAACACGGAGAGCAAGTCCCCGCTCGGCCCCGAGTTAACGGTGGAGCGCCGGTAACCGCCGGTAGCGCCACGGTTGAAGATCCGAGTAAAGGTAAGCTGAACATGTTGATAAGGTTATGCCCTCTAAGCATCCACATGGTAGCAACCGAGATCGCCACATTGGAACGACGCCGGCTTTAACTGGAGGGTCCGTCATAAAAGAAGTTTAATGGGATTGGCAAAACGAAAGTTATACTGTGCCTGCGATCAATAGACGATGTAAGATAGAAAGCAGCTATATTGAGCCGCAACTCTGTTTTTACAACTTTTTATACGTTTACATGGGGTCTCAACTTGGTCTAAACCAGAAGCATGTTTGTTGTAGAGGATCCGCACCATGGCCTGCAGCCATACTTGTATGAGAAGTTTATAAGGATTCGGTCTCTCTTGTGGTCATTCCCATTCTTATGCCGTCAAATCGAGAATGCAATTTACACAAGGGCTAATTGCCAGCTCAGTGAGCGTCTAGTATTATAGAAGCAGAAAGAAACAAGAAGTGGGTGTGTTTCTCCCGTTAAACTAGAAGAGCAGGTGACATGCTGTTCCCGGATATCACGAAGGTATCCTATATAGATATTACGCAAACAGCCAACGGATATGCCGAAGAACTGTACGGATTTTGATACCAAAGGTGTCCGTATAGTACTGACCGTTTCGCATGATCAGGATACATTGACATGAAGCTATTATCTCTACCTCTAGTACAAGTGTGGTCACCTCACTAAGAGAAAGAAGCAGCTGCTGAATTACAAGCTCCCGTTTCCCTGCGCATTACAAGCCAGTGTCCCAAAGCCTCAGTATCTTGCATAATACTCATGCACCATAGTATGCTGGATTCTGGGTTTATAAGAAGAATTAGTCCCTGGCATATTACGACGTGTATAGCGGAGGAGACACTGCACGAACAGTATGCCTCTTCTCCATCTAGCGGCCAGGGTACCCCACACTTGAGCATCGTTGGTGGGGTTCTATGCAGGAAAGGTTATTTTGAGAATCCGATCTCCAGAAAATTTCATCTCCCATCAGAGCCCGGCGCATTCAACGTTGCTTCAGGACAGTCAGTGCAGGATGCACTCACTCATCCAACCCAATGCTTGGGTAGCAATCAAGCTTCCTTCGGGGGATTTAAAAGTGCTCCAGGTCACTCCCAATACGTAAGTTCTCCTAAATAGAACCTACCAAGGGCAATCAATCACTGCGCAATCCATTTATCGACATGTCCATCCTGTGTTGCGTCCTTACTAATCCTCGACTTACAGCACTATTTCCCTAGGGAAATACGGTTCCTTCCCAAGCAACTTGATTATACATAGACCATACCATCTTACCTACGAGTTAGAAGACAGACGCGAACCCGAAATCTTCAACCGTTTACGCATCGTCCCCGCCTCGGAACTCTACAGCGACATAATTCCAGCCGAATCCTCGACATCTTCAGATGCGGCAACGCCAGTACCTGAAGAAGATGCAGGGACCGTCATTCCGACCGGGGTTGAGTATTCGCTCGTGGACCCGGACTCTGGCGTCGTGTTGGCTAAGACCAACCGCGCAGAGCTGGACGCTTCAGCCCGCCAGAAGCTCAGTATGGACGAGATCGAGGCATTAAAAAAAGACGCTACTGGCGCAGGGAAGGACTTGATTGCGAAATTGATGCTTTCACATACGGCGCTGGACCAGAAGACGGAGTATTCGCTGGCCAAATACAAGCTGCTTAAGACCAAGAAGTATATCCGGAGATTCAGTGTGCTACCCATGGACGTACCACTATTGGACCACTTTCTACTGGAAGAGAAGGACCCGCTCAAAATCTTGGATATGAGGGATGAGATGATCGCGTTACTTGGCTGCTGGGCGAACGTGCACTATGGGGGGCGGCATCGGTGTGAGAAGGAAGTCTCTCACGTTGATGACGCACAAATAGCTGAGGATTCCGAGCCCGGTACTGGGCGCTGGCTTGTCTTGGATGACACGGGCGGCTTACTTGTAGCAGCCATGGCAGAGAGGATGGGCATTTTGTACCCGTCTGATAACGGAGAGTCACTGCAGAAGTATTTGGGGTCCCAGCAGCCAGCAACTCGCCCAAAAGCTTCTGTAACCGATGGTGGCGCGGGAAAACAAGATGCATCTTCGAATCCAAGCGCCTCCGCCGCGAAAAGAGAATCTCCGGGTAAACTGGAATCGTTACCCGACCGAATCGCCACCAAGGCAAACGCGGATACTGATATGAAGCTGGCGTCAAATCCATCGTTGCCTGAGGCAGAATCGGCTTCTCTGGTGAAACAGGAGTCTACTTCGAATGCGGCAGCATTTTCGGCGAAAACAGACACTGCGGTCTGTCAAAGCTCAGAAGGAAAGCCTAAGAGACATCCAGATGGCAGACACCGCGGCGATGATATGAAGGTCCCGTATGCGGATTCCAATACTTTAACTTTGATCCACGCCAACTCGCAGCCGAACCTCACTTACCTTCGATACTACGATTTCGACATCGCGAGTCCTACACAGACGGTGGCGCACCCACTTGCAACAAATCTCATGACGCTCTCTTGGCTACAGCTGCTGGACCCTTCCGCTGATACAACATACAGCGCAGAACCAGCAGTGGTTGACGCAGAGGAGTTGAAAACATGGAAACCAAACCGTCGCGGGAACTACCATCGCAAGAGGCGCCGCTGGGCACGCATTCGTCATATTGTAGACACGACAAAGAAAGGCGGGTTTTCGGGTTTAGTTGTGGCGAGCACAATGGATCCCGTATCTATCTTGCGACATGCTATTCCGTTGCTTGCAGGCGGTGCGCCAATTGCAATTTACTCACAGTCCATCGAACCACTCACCGCTCTTGTCGACAGCTATAGTATCGGACGACGGGCGGCGTGGATATCCAACCCACCCGAGGAGGCCGAAGGCAAAACCCCAGAGGAACTGGAGCAATGGGCTGGAACCGAAGAATTCCCTTTAAACCCCACATTATTGCTGGGAGCTGCGGTACAAACAAGCCGGGTCAGGAAATGGCAAGTTTTGCCCGGAAGAACACATCCATTAATGACGAGTAAGGGAGGTTCTGAGGGTTACATTTTCACTGCATGGAGAGTTAGGCCTGCAGAGGGCAAGGTGGAAGCTAGAGGAAAAGGCAAGCAGAGAAAACGGAAGGCTGACGAGCAGGTCAGCTGAGCCGCTTGAGGATGGAATAGACTTTACTGGTCGGTAGCCTCGACTTCACATAGAGAGACCGGCACCTGGATCGTCATAGCCTCATGATACCCCCGTGTATAGAGCTTTTCTGTCAAGCGCGATCCCCAGGGATTAACTCGCTCCTTCGCCGCCATATTTCTCATACACAACCACCCCGTGTAACTCCTCACAGGCTCTTGCCCATAAACTTTCGCTTCGTAAAACTCAACCACCACTTGCTCGGCTTTCCATCGCCACCGTCTTCGTACACCCTCGCTAATAACCGCGTCGCCAATTCTTGTCGCACTTGGGACAAGTACTGTCTTAGCTGTTCGGCATCTTGTCGGTCTCGTGGCGGCTCATACATCTATTCATGAATTAGTCACCAGTCCGCAAGATCCCAACTCCCCTACAGTCCTCGCCCGTTCACATCACCCAGGCCCCGAGACTTGTACTGCAATCCGTGACTCACCTGATTCAAGGGAAACCCTGGGTCTCCCGGGATCGCAAAGTTGAGATCCAACGCCGTGTTCAAGACTTCCTTCTGGGCGTCCCGAACGCCATGGTGCGGCCGGATTTTGCCAAGCACCTCGCTCACGAACAGGATGCCGTAGATGAGCAGCCTGTCGGCGGGGCCCTGGATCTCAAAATTGCGGAAGAAGGAGTTGGCGCGGAAGAGCGACAGCACCTCGTCGAGGATGTCGTACGACTCGGCGTCCGGGTCGGGTGACTCGTTGGCGGGGAGGGGAGGCGAGGGAAAGGGCAGCACGTAGGCTGGACCTCGGGTCTTCGTGCGCAGGGGGAGGAGAGGGAAGTTGCCGACTAGACGGGGCACGTTGGGGTCGTTGTTGAACATAGAGTTGTAGGCCTGGGAGTCCGTCAGAATAATAGGCTACGGTGAGTCCTCTGCGAGGGCTGAGCGTAGTTATTGGTTGGGGCGCGGGTTGGTAGATAGAAGGGCAATAGACCAAGACTCACCGGCATCGTGGCGGGTCGATAATGCTCTGCACTACAATACTGCTCTGAAGTGGATGACGTTCGTGGAGATGAGGCTTTCGGTGTCTGCTCCCTCCTATCGTTCTGTAGAGCTGTCCAATTAGAGGGGCACCCTTGACGAGTGACGTTCTTCTCGTCTTTGTCGGCTAAACCACGGTGCCACTTGATAGCTTCCAGGGCCGTTGCAGGCGGTTGCAATGAGCCACTCAGCCACGTCTGAGGTCGGAGTTGAACTTGAATTAGGCAGCCACAGGCTCCATCCCTGCAACCTCCTTCGGACAATCGTCACTCCTGTCCCCATGAGTCGCAGCTTCCAACTTCTTGGCATCACGATTGACAAATTCCTGCTCCAACCGGTGCTTGCCGGTCTGGGTAGGTCGGAGCTTAGCAGGCAGGCTAGCAGGGATCAGAATCAAGTGACAGCGCGATCCGCTCGCAGCATTCATACACAAAAGAGGCGCGTTGTCCATTTGCCCCTCGTCGCGCTCTCCCCTGATTCCTCTCCCAATTCTTCCCCAAACCCGGACTACCCTGTCTTTCTTTGCCGCCGGGTACGGGTGTCTCACTCTCGTCGCATCACCAGACCTCGAATATTTTGAATTTTTGGAACTTTTTTGATGATTCGCTCTATCGACACCAATAAACATCATTTTACAGTATACTTAGGCCTTTGCAGTGGTATTTGGGGCGGGCTTTCCAAGATTTCAACCCGAGACAACACATCCTTGCCACTTTGGGCGCACGCACAGAACGGCGGTCAATTGACGACTACGAAAAGCCATCCCCAACGTAATTATTCAAGTGCGTTCGAAACACTACTCTTCAACCGATGCGACCCGGGGACATGGCAACCACGACAATGACGTCCACAACGGAGAAGAAGCGCCCGAGGAGACCGCGTCGAAATCACATCGTACCCGAGTCTGGGTCACTTTACGACGTCATGCATGAGCACCAGGGCCTTTCGCTCTTCGTCCTACCGATCTGCTGGACCGATCTTCACACGCGACTGCTTGGCTGTCGCTTCGTCCAACTGCCGCCGCAAAACACTCCGACGCCGTCGTCATCGAATTCCCCGCGCAGATCGCCTGCACGAACATCGCCGACGGTTGTGGAAATTGGACGATACCTGGACACATTGATGACTACTGAGACGTCGCGCAACATCATGATGAAGAACCGCGCGTTAAGAAACATCATGATGACTCTATTTCCAGATCACCTATCGAAGCCAAAGGCAGGACTTGCAGAGCTGGACTTGCGGTTCGGGGGTCGTTTGTACCAAAAGGCAGTCAGATGCCAGGTTCTCTGGAAACACCCCGACGCATGCTTGTCCTTTGATTCGGCCACCACCTGGACATCGAGTCGATCTACAAACCAACTCCTCGCCTCAATGAACGTCACTGTTGCTGCAAACGACGCGCCAATACTGGCCTATGTCAGTCGCAGTAACCTCGACTGTATCAGGAATAACTGCTTCCGCATTGCACCCGGGCCTATGAAATCCTACAACGGCCCGGTTCATCAATTACAAAAGCTGCGATCGAAGCATCTGATACCCAGCAACCCCGACGAAGACCAGTACTTCATTGCGGCCATGATCGCTATGGCACAGAAGACAGTTTATGCGGATGGACTGAGGAGTAACATCATCTCACCCCGGGATGTCAAGGTTAGGTTATTCACAGTGTCGGAGGAGGAAAACACATTCCTCGTCTACACGGCCACCGTACCCGCGGCTTTCCTGATGATGTTCCACGAGCCGCATAAAGCGCCTCAGGAGAATGCAAAATTCGACATCGAGTTCACGTCGGTACCTGTTTGGCCAGTACTTGGTCTCAAGGAAAGATTGGGGAAGGCGCTTGGTGAGGAAGTTGTGGGCGGCTTCGATGAGCTCAACATTGAGACGTACGACGAGGAAGAAGAGGAAGAGTTGACATCCATTCCCCAGGTGACCACTTCGCCCAAGCGCAGGCGCGAGGCTCTGTCGGAAGTTCTTAACGCGAGCTTCTCAGAAGACTCAAACTGCGATGATCCCTTGGGGAAGCGAAGGTGTCTCGAAGGTAGGGTTGGCGTTGTTCGATGACTTCGCGGTGCCCTTTGTCGGAAGCTGCGTTTTGGGGAGACAGTTGCTGCGTTTGGGGGTATCAGATGAGCAGGCGAAAGGCGTTGAGGCCATTGTAGGCTGAGGAGTCTGAATGGCCAGCGGATGACGACACGAGATTTAGATTTGTTGATGACAAAACTTAAGACATGGCAAGCATGATGGGTTAAGGGAGGCTATACCATTCACGATGGCGTTTTTATGCATATCATGGCATCGGTGGGAAATGCTCGACACCTCAAACGAGGCGCGGCATTGCATTGCATGGCGACGCACACATTTGAAAACTTTGAGCTAGAAATTACGGGTTCTGCGAGAAATGGAATTTTGTGCTTGTTTATAGCAGCTTATGATTCAATTAGCTTTCGTTTATGACGCCGCGGTATACGGGCAGACAATGCATAAAAATGCCCGAGAGGATCGTCAGAGTGTGGCCCGGATACTGGTAATTTTACAAGTCGTTGGGTAGTGGGCGCTTTACGGTATTGCCCCGACGTCTTGAATGTGGCATGCGTGTTGGTCGAGGCTTGCACGTTGTCCCCTTGTGTCCCCTATGGTCTAACCCTGACAGTAACAACGACAGCAACCCCACTCATGCTCTCATATATCCCAAAGTCGTTTTGCCGGCGGAACGCAACCTCCTCGGCGGTGACTCTCATCTCCGTCCGCTCACCATCACCCACACCAACCCTTTCTTCGCTAAGCCCCGACACAAACCCGCCAGCAACGGACCCCCTCCCGCTCCGCGACGATTCGGACATAGTAGGGGGTTTAGATGACGTGCCAGCTGCCGGTGACCCCGTGCTGACGCTCCGCCACTTCCCCCATCCAAACCCCCTGCCCCCTTTCTTCTCCTTGTCAGCCGGTATCCTCTGCTCCACCGCAGTCTGTACCGCGCTTATCTGAGCTGCGGGAGAAGGCGTACTGCTTGGTTTCTCCTGCTGCGGCTGCGGCTGTGGCTGTAAGTACAATGCCAGCCGCTTCGCAAGATCCTCGTCCCGCCACCAGAATAGTTTGGAAGGCTCCGTGCTGCCAAACGAGCCACCGGAAGAGCCCCAGCGTCCCCAGTCGGTGAACTCGCGCGATCCTGTGGTTGTGGTTGGAGGTCCTGTGGAGCTAGGTTTCGTTTCACCCTTGCTATCCTTCCTCGCGGTAAGGATGGAGACCCGGAATACGCGCCCTATTTCCCCGCGCCGTAGCATGTCGTCAAGTCCACTAAGAACCGCATCTTCGGGCACTGCGGCTTCGGGGACGAGGGTCAGGGTTGCCAGGGGAGGGGCGATGGATTGGGCGCCTAGGTCCCTGAGGAAGGATTCTATGATGGGGACCAGGTGGTCGAGGAGGGCGACGTCGCTTGAGGTTTGCTGGGCGTTGCGGTGTTGTTGGGTTTGTCTGATGCGGTATGGGAGCGAGGAGAGGTGGTCATGTAGATGTGAGGTTAGGGAGTTGGGGTGGAACTGCGGAGTAGATGGGGCTGGTTGATATTGATTGTTCAAGGATGGGGGGGAGTAGGGGGGCGGCTGGTCGCCGTCTTCTAGTGGTGTTTCCATGTCCATAGAGGATAATTTGGTTCAGATGTGTAATGAAGTTCTCGGTGCTGACTTGATGGGGTAGGTGAAGAGGGCAAGCATTGGTTGTGACCGAGGAATGAGTTGGACTACACCTCTTCCCGACGGTGCTGGTACCTTGCCAGGTATCGTCTATTGTGAATTGTCCGTGAAGCTTACTTGGTTGTGACTATGTGGAATAGTGAGAACCAAGTTCTTGAATTTGCGGTCCACACAAAATCCCCGGAACCCAAAGTACACATTCCGAGGTCGAGTAATGCACAGAAACGTTCTAGAAGTCTGACAGACTCAGCATGGAAGCCGCGAAACCAACAATGAGAGTTATTTTGGAGACAAGCTCGGTCAACACAATTGTTGATCAGAATTCAGTTGCCAAGATGATTCGACCGTGGTATGGTCGGCAGAGTTAATGCATTTAGGTCCATGTACGTCGAGTGCTTTGACAAGGAATGAATTGGTGTTCCGATTAGCCCATCCACCTAATGAATATCGACTCGGCAAGATAGTCACACGCAGGATCGATTGTCCACTCGTCTTGTTGAAACTATGTGCCTAGCCTTGCGCCTTGCACTAGCATTGGACGGTTTGGTGACTGTTTATCTTATTGGTCAACCATACGCTTACACCACGATTTGTGAGCCGTTCCTGATGCCTCGATCGTAAATAGATGATCCATTCACTAGAGTATCGGTGCTGCCGAATTGAGTGATGCGCAGCTGACGATCCAATGTTGTCGTAAAATCCTACCTAGATAGATTGAAGGAGGCAAGCTGTGGTGAGTGGCCAGATGCAAGTTTACACTTTTTTTTTTCCTATTTTAACTATTTCTTAAAATGGATATCAGAATTGAAAATGACTTGCAGCAAGTCACGCGTGGTGGCGAAACGGGATCTTCTGCGACTAATACGTGCGCCACGTTCCCGTCGGTGCCGTAATTGTAGGGATGCCGGTAGCACCTCTTGCAAGGCCGGCGCCGCATCGTTTTTGCCGGTTCCGGATCAGTCGGGTCTTTAGGCTGAGATAATTCAGGGTAACCAAGTATGTTGTAAATCAGTATTCAAAGAATAGCGACTTAGGAAGGGTTCTCACAGGAACTTCTCTCGGTATACGTTACTGAAGTCCCTAACGACACGTGTGACCTCTTCCTAGGTGGCTGAGTTGTAGTGTTGTTCGTTCCTTGGGTCGTGGAAGCAACAATGGAATGGTATGGCTTCGAAGACCCGCCGCATAATCGGCGTTATTGAATCTTGGTTTGTGGCACTTTTCGACGGAAAACATGAAGATGCGGCACCACAAACCGACACGTTTGCTCAGGCTGATATTGTACACACCACCATTCCGGAGGGGTAGACAATCCAGGCAACAGCATCAGCAAGGCAGACTTCATCGGACGCAAGTCATAACCGCATGCGTCGTTTTCATAGAATGGGATTTGAACTTTGCCGCGTTTGTGCCACCATGAGCCACTGAGGAACTCCAGGCAGCACGCAGTCAAGTGCTGGAAAGTACAAGCCCGAGGCATTTCCAATCTTTCAATGCAGAAACTGAAAATTTGGCTTCTTCTCTTCATATTCCGTAGTCTTGCATGTGCGCTTTTGAAGCCAAGATGGAAGTGCTTGGTATAAGGCGACCTCGGGAAAGAAAGTCCACTGCATGAAGGTATGGAGTACGATCGCCCAGGGTGATTCAGGCCCCACTGGCATGCTGATCAGTGGGATTTGTGGGGTCGATTAGTGCAGATGCAAAAGGTTTCCAGAAGGCTTCTTCCTATGCATTGTGTAGAACGTGCTCTTTTTCAGCCAACATAGACACTGCCACCTGGACCTGCGTCTAATAATGCTGATCATTCTTGAGCCAGTTCATCTACCAATTGTAAGGCTGAACTCACCACAACACGGGCTTTGACAGCTAAGGTATGCGATACGAACGGAAACACCATAGGTTGTTTGTTATGCTTGGAGATGAGGGAGAGTCAGAATGTCACATCACGGGGACACTCCTTTGTCATTTACAGTCTTATGTACGTAAGATGGGCATACTTCGAAACCAATCTTGGAATGAATATCTCCAGCAAAGCAATACTTGGCAATCACGTTCTGTCAGCCTACTACTCCGAGCGTTCCCCATACGGATAGGGTCTTTGCGCGCGACTTTGCCTTGGTACTTGCCACATCTTGTAGTCCTGGGCGGCACAGAAGATATACAGCTGCTTCAACCATGGTAAGTTTCCGATGTTCTCCGAATCTCTTGGCATACTTCTCTACTACTTAAAGTAGCGAGGGCCTCCTGGCAACTGGATGACAAAACAAACGGCACACTCAGGTGGGATCATCAAGTTATACTTGGCCTACTACACTGGAATAACGGGCCATCCCATGTTATTCCACCCTTGGTGCGCCATCTGTTCTGATATCTCCTAGCATGTCCCGTTTCTCAGTTAGTCTTTTACCTGCCTACAAGGAGGCGTTGCGATACACGTCGACTAATATTTGCCGCTTCTCGCAACCACAAGGACTACATCCATACATTTTCACGTCATCCAGCAGCAATACCTCAGCATCAATATAAACTGCAGATTACTAGTATCGACTACGAGACCGCCAACATGTCGTACAAAATCGCCGGCCCCGACGAGTATCTCGCCGTCACCGGCATGGGAGTTAAGTTGGTTCGCATCACCAAAGCGGCCTGGGTGTGGCCGTTCCAGCGATGCACCCGGTTTTCCGTCCAGCCGGTAGGTTTCCTCATCTCCAACCAGCATTTCCTAACGCATGAGAACGGCCAAGAGCGCTGCCTACCCGCTATCCCAATCCCTAGAAACGAAACACAGTAACCGTCCCAAGCGTTCGCCTATGGCATGCACTAACGTGAAAAAGTCTGATTATGGCATGAATTTGCAAGCAATGACAAAGGAGAAGCTTCAGTTCTTGTTGCCAGTCGTCTTCACTATCGGTCCTGATGTCAATGCCCGTGGAGCGAATGGCATCGCTCAAAGTGCTCGGCCAGGGAGTTCGCCCCAAGATCTACTCTATGCCGAGGACCGCGGCGATGCCTTGATGAAGTACGCCATGCTTCTCGCCGAGTCTAGTGAGAAGGCCAAGAAAGGCGCACACGGTCTTGAGCAGATTGTCAAAGGCATCATCGAAGGAGAGACCCGAGTCCTTGTGTCGTCCATGACAATGGAGGAGATCTTCACTGAGCGCGAGGAGTTTAAGCGTCGGATTTTCAGAAACATCCAGGGCGAGTTGGACCAGTTTGGTCTCAAGATCTACAACGCAAACGTCAAGGAACTCAAGGATGCGGTTGGCAGTACTTACTTTCAATCTCTGTCTCAGAAGGCGCATGAGGGTGCCACCAATCAAGGTAAGACTTCCGGCGTCTTTGGTATCTTTGCTACGGCGGTTCAGCGGAGTTCATTTCGTCGTCGATGTATTGAAAAAGCTGCTGCTGCGCTGCTGCTGAGACCGGACTTCAACTATTCCAACGGTGTCAAAGATAACTGGACCAGTATCTGCTAACACGTTCCTAGCGAGAATCGATGTGGCCGATGCGCAACTGAAAGGTAATGTCGGCGAGGCAGAACGACATGGCACGCAGGAGCAGGAAGTCGCGCGTATCAATGCGTAAGTAAAACCTCTACTTCACCATGGTGTAGCCCTCAAGACCCGAGATTGCCTGGAAGAGCGTGTTTAGGGCTTTGCCCCTCGTCAGCTCCTGGACCTACAAACTCCTGTTTACTAACTCTCGTTGCAGCGAAACCGCAGTAAAGAAGACCCAGAGAGACATTGAGCGCGAGCGAGCCCAGGCTAGTCTTGAAACGCAAAAGACTCAACTGAACAGGGAAGTCGAGGTTGCGAGAATTGAAGCCTCGAGAGCAACTCAGGCCAGGGACGAGGACCTTAAGAAAGAGGTTGAAGTGAAGCGTGCAGGGGCTGAACTCGAGCGTCTTCGTGCCACCGATCTCGTGAAGGCCACTATCCAGAGAGAATCTAAGCAGCAAGCCGCCGATGCCAAGGCATACGAAGTGGAGATCGAGGCTAAGGCTAACCTCGAGAAATCCAACAAGTCTACCGATGCCGCCGCTTACAAGACCAAAACGGATGCTGAAGCGTGGTCGCAAGCTGCCATCATAAATGCCAACGCAAGTTTGCAGAAGAAGCTCAAGGAAGCCGAGGGTATGATGGCACAGGCCAAGGCGCTAGCCAAGATGAGCCAAGCACTCGGAGGCCCCGCAGGTCTATTGCAGTACATGATGATCGAGAAGGGCACGTACATCGAGCTTGCTAAGGCAAATGCTGAGGCTATTCGTGGCCTGCAGCCCAAGATCAGCGTGTGGAACACTGGGGCTGAGGCTGGTGGTGCCAATAGCACCGTTGACGGCACGGCTACCATGCGCAATGTGTACCAGATGCTGCCACCGCTGATGACAACTATTAATGAGCAGACTGGTATTACTCTCCCTGAGTGGCAATTCGGTCGCTTAGCGGGCGAGATGTCCAACGGCGGCGGGAAGAACGTCGACATGGCTAATGGCCAGAAGTAAATGCCGCCATTTATTGTGAAAAGAGGCAGTGGGAGGCTCACTGCAGAACCACCCACCGGACGCACAGCAAATTTACGGGCATATTGCTTTTTACCCTCGGTGTGCCATCATTTTCGATTTCCTTTGTATTTAGGGGCTCATAAATTTGGCCTCTTCGCCCTCTTTTGCATGGCCAGCGTTGGATGAGACGACGCAGACGTGGATGGGGCGTTACGTTGAGTTTCCGCACTTGATATCCCGCATTTATGGTAGTTACATGCACAAACGCAGTCTCCTTTGCTTCCTACATACATGAAAAGTAAACGTGAAAGTGACTAATGAAGTAGCCGCCCGCTACCCGACTGTAGGCCCCTCAGGGGTAAAATATTATGAATCTCACATTCCCCCTGGATTGCATGGATGCCGTATATGTCCAAGCTAATCAAAGTCCAGCTTGGAGAAACTGTGCTGGACCATTGACATGCACTCGCTACCCACCTCAGTCCGATCAATGCATACTTACAAATCACGAATATTGGAGGATGACAACAGATACACGAAACGGCTCCATATACAAAGCTTTCCAAAGGGAACATGATCTCCAATGCGACTGATGGTTCCTTTTGACGTTCAACTCATGATGCAGCTGGAAGGCTAGTTGGTGCTTCCGGCCCGTTTCGGGAGGGGCTCGAGGGTACTGTGTATATCTCTCTTCGGAATCAGGACCAGAAGTCTCTGTTCAAGTCGAAGAGCAACCACGAACACGTGCAGAATGTATCGAAACGTTCCCTGGGCATGAAAGCCCTAGGACCGTCAGATACACTGTAACAGTAGAAGTCGGTAATCAAAGCTGTAAACGAAACTATTCCGCAAGACAAGTAATAGTGATACAGGATGCTACTCTCAAAGTGACGCCTTGAGCATAGCATTTCCGCAATGTTGGGACTCTCTGCAGTCTGTAGGAATGTTTCCTTGCTCTTGGAAAATGTCAGGAGCCAAGAATAGTGACTCGTCTGAGGAGATACATCCGGATTGGAAGGACAGGTCAAAAGGAGAATACAACTAGTGAAAATTGATAAAGCATTACTATTCTAGGTTAGGGAAGGGATCCCCACACAGCGTTGACAGGCAACATTTTGTAGCATGGAGCTCCAGTCGTTGAAGACCAAACACAACCCCCCATTTTAAACAGACAGCAGTCACCACAACATTATCCTTTGAAGACGAAACACCACCAACGAGGACCTGAGTAAACCAACCACCATCACAACTCGCTCACATCCTCCAATTATATCAGGGCGAGACCTGTCGCAACGGTTACAGCAAGCATCGAAAGGGACCGGACCTTGCCGGGAGCAGAGTTAGGTGAGGTACGGTCGGTACGGTCGGTGCGGGAGCCGCGAGAGCTGGAACCGCTGATGCACTCCAAGGTGCTTTGTACGTATTGATGTTTGACAGTGTTCTTGTCCTTGTCCAAGGTGGCTTGCCTCCAGGTCAAAATCACCGGCCAAACCTTGTCACGGGCGGCCGAAAGAAATGCCTGATTCGTAGGATTGTGAGGATCGTCGCCATAAGCGAGCACATGTCCACCGTTGACAAGAGTCGACTGATTGACAACTGCGATTACATCCAGTGTTAGTGGAGGGCTGCAGAGAGGAAACGAGAGGGAAACTCACCGAGTTGTGTGTAACTGTACCAGGTGAAGTAGTCATTGCAAGAGGATGGTAGTGCCCAATTACCGATTGCGCATGGGTCGGTTCTGCTGTTGATGAGCCGGTAAGCGTCAAGAGTGACTCGCTTCAAGGCCGTTTTGCATTCCTCAGACACGAACTGGCAATGTTTCCAGCCATCACTTCCGATTTGCTTAGTCATCTCGGAACTGGTTTTGAACCCCGGTCGGATGATCAAGGCGCAAGCGTTCCACTGAGTATCATCAGGGACATTCTGGCCCCCAGAAGGCGGTGCGATGCCGATCTTTGTTCCAGTGAAGACTTTCTGCGCCTTGTCGGGCTCCACGGGACTGTCTCTCAAGGGGACATCATCTGAGATAAGAATAGACAGATTCCACTTTTGAGTGCCGAGGCTGGTCGAGTTGGAAAGTTTTGGGCCAGTCATGTCGATGTTGTTGGTGATGTCGGGGAAGTCCATGTAGGTTTTCCACTGGCGAGGCATGGTCAATACCATACATCGAACAAGTGCTGTTGGGTTGGTACTCACAGTGTCAAAGGGGATATCATAGGGAGCGGGTGAATTTTCGCCTGGCCTAAAGTCCGAGGAGCTGACTGCGTGTGCGAGGGCGACTGCGGCAATGGAGTGCTTGAGGAAAGAGGACGCCATTGTGGCGACGTGCTTGGATGTTTGGGGCGATGATGGCCACGTTGAATTTGTGTTTGACAAGGGAGGCGACCCGTTGGATGCCCAGGGGCCAAGTAGTGATAAAGAGAAATAAGAAATCTGATGAAAGAATGCTCAGCAAAGCGAACCAAAAAAAACTATCGTGATATCTGTAAGTTGGTGTTGATGTGGGATGGAGAAGTTGGAAGAGTTGAGATCCGAGCTGGACTCTGGTTGAGATTTGTAGGGGACCTCGAAGCGTCCCAGTACGTAAACAGAAGGAGCTGCCAGTAGAGGTGAACATGACAAGCGCAACCACACATTCATGGCGTCATTGGCTTGTTGGCAGCGCAGAAAGTGTCGAGAGCTCTTGCCATTGCCAAATGTACCGGGTTCTGGCTTCATCCAGAAGGGCTCACCGGCACAGTGTCATCTCACCTTGTATTTCTGTTGGACATCAACGCAGCAATGACATGATCCAAAGAAGTATCCAGAATTGTGTGAGATACATTCACTCATACAGTATCTAACAGAAAACTTCTGGAGGCCAGGAAAGGCCGGTTGATATTTCAACTTCGAAGTAACAGTTGTCCTGACTGGCCCACCACTTGCATCAGTCACAGCCGTGGCCGCAGTTGTGTGCCATATCCACCCATTGCAGGTCAAAACAGCACGACCGCGATATCATTCCAAGTATGTACAGGCATTTGACCTTTGAAAACAGATGCTTGTGATTTCATATGCCAGAGCTGGAAATGGTATTCCTCATCCTCATCGTAGGCAGCGTGGGTCACTGGGAACTCCCAACAGCTCAGTATCCAGAACGCGCTTTCCTTGCGAATCTCAATCTACATGAGCACTTACTATATCAATGATGTAATCACTGGCTTGAGACAGGCATGCTGGCCGAAGCTGCTTGCCCCCACATGGCTTCCCAATCATTACAACGGCGGGCAGAGTGACCTTCCATCGTCTGTTCCCAGCCTTTGGTAGGTCCTAGTTACCAAGCTTAGTTACACGACACTGCATCACATGTCAACAGGGTCTTCAACCCCGACGGAAGGGAAGAGCTAACTACAGTCCAACAAACGTCCTCGTTTCCACCAACTCCTCATGGATTCCTGCATTCAAACCCCGGCCAGCCTGCATAACATTAAACCAAGTCACATCTGCGTTCCTGACCGCCGAAAGACCGTATATAATGGCTAAAATGGCCCTTTTTATCCCCTCCCAAGTATGTGTCAGAATAAAGGGCGAAACAAGTGGAATCGCGTGGAATAATACATAGGGTAAATCGGTATTCTACTATAGCAGACCCGGTATAACCTAATTATCCCACCTGCACCTGGCATTTATTTTGTCAACCGCTTGTCTCCTTTCCCAACGGCTGGGCCTGCAAGAACTCCTGGATGGAGCACCCACTCTCGCTGTCGGGTGCATCCATGGCTTCATCCCATGAGCAGCATAGGTAAGACGAGATATTACCCCCTTACCCCTTCTATCGTCCGGTTACGCCGTGCTGTCCAGAAGCACCCTGAAGACAACCATGCCGGTGATGATGCCGCAGGGGACGAACTAGAACTAGTGGCTTCGGCCGTCGACTCTTTGCAGCACATAAGCGATCGTCTAGGCGGGTTGTTCGGCATAACGTGAAGGATTACGAATACGGCCCAGACGCTCTTTAGACTCGCGCGGAGAGTGGGTCAAGGGGGTCAGGGGCGGTGATGGATGAGGCGGGTGAAGAAGGGGAATGGAACTTAGAGGGGGTGGGGGTGCGGGAAATGACCCTTCGACGCTACATATGGCTGGTTCTCGTGGGATAGATAATCATTACTGAAAGGAGAAAACGTGGTGACAGACTATGGTTTGACGGCATGGGCAGGGGAGACAGCGTTGCAAAGAGAACACACTACGGGGAACTGCTCAGGAGCTGTACAGTTAGGATTAAACTACACCCTTGATGAACTGACTGATATTTGTGCAGCAGCTTGTGATCATCTCGTTCATTCAATATGTATTGCGTATCTCATGCCACTCCCTTTCAACCACCCACACCTTAACCAAAGCGAATCCCCGAATTAGGATCCCACGTCCCCGGCGCAGGCTTGCTCGGCCCCTGATTCGCCGCCGGCGTGCCTCTACCCCCTGAACCGCCCGCAAATTTGATACCGATCTCAGGATTCCACATCGCCTGCATCGGGTTCGCCCTCGGTTGTTGCGGCTGCGGCGCCACCGTCTCACCGGCCGGCACCCACGACTGGATGTGCGCCTCAGCCGGACTGTGCACCTGTTGTCTTGGGGCTTGCTGTTGCTGCTGCTGCTGCTGCTGGGCGAAGTAACCTTGCTGGCCCTGCGGCGTATAGCTCTGTTGTCCCGTGGCAGTACCCCCTCCACCGCCACCGCCGCCATGCCACTCTGCACCCCCTGGACTCTGCAGAACCGCCTGTCTACCTCCCATCTGATCGGGCTGGCCCAGGCTCAGCCCGTGGAGCGAAGGCATGTTCAATTCATCCTCCAGCATCCTCGCCTCCCTCCTGCGTTCCGTGACATAGCTCCGCGCCCCATCTCGGAAACCACCCACGATCCGGCTGAGGTCGTTGTAAAACTTACGCCCGACTTCCACGTTGGACACGAGTTCCTTGTATTTGTAGTATGCATTCTCCAGTTTCTGCAACGCCTGCTCCCGCTCTCGGTTGCCCTTGTCGCCGACGACCTTCTTCTGGCTCTCGAACTCGCGGTTCACGCGCACGAGGTCGTCAATCACTTTCTCTTGCTCTATCCCCTCTTTTCGAACGAGCTCTAGGTCCGGCGCGAACAGGGCGTTAAGTCGCTTCTCAAAGAAATCCTCGAAGTGCGCCGGGACGATTGCGGTCGCGACGGCTTGGGTCCGCTCGAGCCGCGCTGCTTCGGTCAGGATATCTGATTTTATGTCGTCGCTTTTGGCTTTCTCCCGCAGAGCCTCGGCTTTGCGCCGACGTCGACTTTCCAGCCGGGTGATGTCGTTATACGCTCCCCGCAACCGACCAATAGCTGGTCGGAGGGTTTCGGGGATTTCGGTGCGCCGGGATAAGGGGACAAAGTCCATCATGCCCCTGTCTGGACCGGCAAGCACGGCGAGTACGGGTTCGGTGCCGCGGAATTTGTCGCGTACCACTTGATCACTGCTGGCGCTATTGCCGAACCAGCCCTCGGCCTCACCAACTTGACTCCACAGCTTGGCGCCTTGCGAAGGCTCCGTTCGGCTTTCGGGGCGGCTCCAGCGCTCCGTGCCATGTCGACGCCGGAGGCGCATATCCTCCTCTTCTTCTGCTTGCAAGAGCTCCTTCCCCTCTTCAAAGACAGCGATGTCCGCCGCTCGAAGCTTATCTATGTCTGCAAAGCTCCTCTGTAGTCGGCTGATGGCATCCGCTTGCCTGATCTCTTCTGCATGCTGGACCAGCGTCCCCGGCAGCCCCAGGGGCTTTTCGAAAGCTTGAATGGAGCCAGGTAGATTTAGAGAAGAGAGGATCTCATGAATCCTCTCATTCAAAACTTCGAGCTCGGAAATAATGTTCTGATTCACCAAGCGATCGCGGCGCTCTTCGTAGATGGAGACGGCGATGTGAACCGAGTAAGGTACCAGCTTAGTGAAAAGCGCAGGGCCAAACTCGCCCTTGTCGCCTAGAAAATCGAGCGGTGCTGCAACAGCAGGAGGTACGCGGGCTATTGCCATGTTTGCACGGTCGAGCGTCTTGAGTTCTGATTTAGACGGCACCACATCTGTACGCATTAGCACTCCCTATGTCTTGAAGCAGAGTGGTGGACGCACGGGGAAACATACTTAGATATATGACGTCGTTGTCCTTCTCCGCTCTCTTCAGATCCTCCTCGACACGCTTCTTCAGCCCATTCAAGTCATCAACTACCACCTTGTTCAGATACCCGCCTCTGCTTTCCTTAAGCCCTTCGGCTACACACGCAACAGCGTCCCGCAGCCGCGCTACTTCCTCGCCATACTTTCTCTTCTCCAGACAGTCGCAAGCAGCCCGGTACTGCGCTGCCGCGGCGAAATGATGGTGCTTAGCGCTCATGTGGTGAATCCAGCTGCTGCTGATCGCCTCGGACTGCATGGCTGCCTCGCCAGCTATGTTGTACAGATCGCTAACCCGTGCGGCCAGCTTGGCAATGGATGCATCCTTGTAGCCGTCCATAACGGCCTTTTGCCAGAAGCATTCTTGACTTTGGGCCAGTTGTAGCTGCATGAGGGATTCCAGCGTGTTCTCGTCCATGTCCTCGGGCGGCATGGTGTGCAAGTCGGGCAATATCTCGTCCTTCATGTGCTTGAGCACGCCGGCCGACTGGCTGTAGAAACTAGCGGCCGTCTTGAGCCCCTCGGTATCCGACCTGTTGCTCGTCATGGCGAGGTGCGAGTACAGCGCCGCAAGGTTATACAGGACGTTGGCCAGCTCGAAGTGTAGGTTGTTGTGCACGATGGGTCGTTCAGTGTTGTACCCCAGCGAGGGATACCACGTAAAATCGGCGCCGATGTCCACGGGAAACTTGCCGCACATCCACACCAGTTGCGCGGCATATGCCTGGAGCTTCTTGACGCCGCTAGGGTGGCCTTCGCGGATGTTGACGGCGTCGCGGCGGAGGGTATCGATGACGTCCAGGTCCTGCCGAAACATGTCCGGGTGTTGGTCATATTTGGTCGAGATGTACTGCCGTACCGCAATCGATAACGACAGCTGCGCTCCCTTGCGGAAGGGAACCGAAAGAATGTTGCTCTGCATTGCGAGGGAGGGGGATGCTACGGAGATGGACGAACCGATTCTATGGATATCTCAAGTCTATCGTCGCATGTCGAAGGTCTTGCGCGACTGGGGGCCGAATGAAGCACAAGCCCTTTGTGCCAAAGAAACTGGAGGTCGCAACTGCAAACAATGAAGGAAGGAAGGAATGACTTCATCCGCAAGGATTCAAGTTGCACGACGTCGAATGCCCACCCTACGCAGCCTAAGCCAAGTGGGGGCCGCGGGCCAGGCAGGTCCCGAGCAAGTGGCGTTCAATTGTTCGAACCCCAATCCATCAGAAAGGCATCTGGAATATACAGAAACCTGGCTGACCGCCGTTTGACCTACCACGCTGGGTTTGGTACCTGCGTACTGAGACCTATTTGTGTTCTTCTGGACTCCTCGTATCAAAGGTTGGGTTTATTCATGAAGATTACTGGTCCAGGACTCGAGCAGTCAAAGTTGAGATGGGCTATTGGGTTGTGGGTTGGCATCCCATCTCTCCCAGTCGGCAGGGTTATCAGATCACTCGATCCATCGCAACATTTCGAGTTGTTTATTTTCCAATGTTTTTGATTCAGCATGCTTATATATACACACGCTCGGTTTCCAAGGATCATATTCCCGTCTCGAGCACTTCGATGTCGGGGTTAGGTCCTCCATAAGAGCAGTAATTCCTCCCCTATGTGGCCCCCTCCTCCAAAGCCCACTTAGATCGCCGACCCAAACTTTTGCACAAATAACCTATCGAAATCCCACCAAACACGGTCTATGTTGCGCAAAACTCTTCCCTTATCTTCCCCCCTCGGTAAGTCTATGTGTACAACAGGATGGTATGGACAGAATTGAAATGCTTCGTGCGATCGAACCCGCCCTCGAGACTTGCGTGCGAATGTGGGTTGTGCATGGTTTGCATCTGTTGTCACCTCTGAACGCCGGGTCCGCCATTGGTTGTCGATGAGGTAAAGTCATCTTTAGCTGATAAACCTACGACGGTGGCAAGTCCAGAGGGTCGATGGTGACGAGTGAAGACGAAAAAAAAAAGGAAAAAAAAAGAAATGGTGGCCGGCTATGGTCGAAAGGTCGGAATTATGCATTATCATTGGTGTTGTGTCGAAGGGTGCGTATCGGAGGCCGGTGCCTACGGACTGTGAAACGGGGATGCCACATTCGATGAGGCTGTGTTTCACATTCCCCATCGAATATCTGACAAAGCATTTGGAGCCGGCCATTTGACCTTGGCCAAAAACGCAGCGTCAAATGCTTGACACTATTTGGGGCTGGGAAAATCGTTGGACTTGGGAATTCAGCTTGATCGTGTTTGAAGATGATGCCTTCGACGTGGTTCGTTGCGAGATTGCTTTGCTTTCCAAAACATGCGAAGAGTCGACTGTATATAGAAAATTCCCCGTCACCTCTAGCCCATCATAGCGTCATCGTAATATCGTCGCGGATGAAGAGAGTTCATGGAACCCAGATGAGCTCAATGACGCCGTCGTACTTAGACATCGGCACGTCGTTCTTGTCGACCCATCTCCAGTCGTTGGCCTTGCGTACATAGATCTGACTGACAGTATTGTCATCGTTTACATTGGCATCCTGGAGATCCCAACTGATTTTGCGGCCTGTCTTCAGCAGGCTAGGGCGCTGAGGGTCGAAAATGTAGTCCAAGTTCCAGCCCTTGTCTTGAGGGGCAGCGGCGAAAGTCCGTTCCATCTGAGCGAGGTTAAAGTTGATGCCCTTGGGGTATTGGACCACACTGAAACTGGTCGAGATGATGAAGTCGTCAGCGGTCTGGAAACGCATCAGAGTACAGTCTTCGCCACAGATGTGAGCAATCTTGGTGTATTGCCAAGGGAGGGCCAAATGCCAGCCTCCGCCCTTGTAGTGGTGCAGAGAGATGGGCTTAATGCCGGACTCGTAGAAGCCTGACGGGTCTCCGTAGAGATCAAGCTGGTAGAGACCACGCAGCAGCGACAATCGCACGTCAGTGTTCTCGTAAATGCACTTTCGGAGCAGAATGTCACCCTGAGGACCCCAACCGGAGTTGGATTCGCGGACCTTCTCGTCGGTCTTGCAGCTCTCGTAGTCGTTAGTGATTTGCTCGGCCATGGGCACCGAGAGGAAGACACCCGCGCCGCCAAATGCTTGGGACCCGTGCCGATCAATGTTGTTAACATCTTCCGACAGGGTACCAATGTAAAGCTGCTGGGTAGGGTCGTATTGCTCAAACTTCCTGGTGAGCAAGTGTACGCTGGGGAAGAAAGTGTCATCGTCGCAGGTGACGAGCCACTTCTTGTTCGGTCGTTCGGGGTGGTTGTACAAAGTCGGCACCAAGGTGAGATATCGAACCGCCATTTCCATGCGCGAGTCGGAGTGGTAAACGTCGACGTCGATGCCCCGAGCGTCCAAAATAGTCTTGGCCTCGAGGATCTGGTCCTCGGTCGCATCCAGCAGCAGGAGAACCAGCTTGGCACCGTTCGAGTTGCCCTTGCCATCCGTCATCCAGTAGGTCCACTCATTGACGGGACTGGTCTTGCTCGCATTGAATCGCTTGAAGGTGGTGGAAACACCGAACATGAAGTCGGTGAGGTTGCCGGTGGCAGGGTAAGGGGACTCGGGGACCGGAACCTGCAGGGGCTCCATGCACCGCTCCTGGCCGTAGTTGTTTGCGTAGTTGGAGTCGATGGTCTTGAAGCTGTCGGGCAGGAACTCCTGCTTCAGCTTCGTGATCGACTTCCGCGCAATGGGCTCACGGTTAATCTTGACGTAGCGCTTCATGTACTGGAACCCATCTTGAAGCTCATACTTTGTCTTCAGTTCTTCCATGTGCGTCGTGTTCACGCTGCAGTCCATGACATGGTCCGAGACGGGGACAACATCAGCCTCGGTGGCCACCGGTAGATCGCCACCAATGGGTTGCTGGTACGTAGATGTAGATGTCTTGCTCTTTGTCGCTGCCGCCTTCATGATCTGTGTGGTGACATCGTCTATCCTGTCTGATTTCCAGGTCAGGGCCAGGAGGAAGAGCAGTGCGACAGCGAATAGCACGCATCTCGAGAAAGGGTTCCGCATGCTGAAAAACCGCTGGTGTGGTGCTGGCATTTTGGCTCCCATCGTTTTCCTTACCAGGCCGACCAGATCAAAAGAGTGAACCGTCGTGATGGGGAGGGGATTGTCCTTTGATTTGCTGTGTGTTGCAGCCAGTGCCGGCGCGTTCCCACCTCGAAGCGCTGCCACAAGGGACGGACGCGGTGATGCGTGGGAACTATGTGCGGCGATAGTCGAACAATATTCGTCCCAACTAATAGCTTGGCACGCGCGAGCTTGGAATGTAGGAATGCCTATGGTGGATAATGGGACGATGCGACTTAGCTCGTACCGGGTAACGAACGACACCTCACATGCAAAGAGAGGAAGAAAGATGGGATGAGAAAGAAAGAAAAAAAATATAGACCTTCCGCCTTGTCGAGACGTGTCAATTGGTGGTGGTGCAGGAATCCGCGTGTGCAGAAGAAGGGGGGAGAGGTCAGGACGAAAAGGGATGGGAGGGGCTGATAATAGTAGTAGTCCGACGAATGGCTAATAAAGATACAGTAGCGAGATGGCGACTGTGGTGGCCCTGGCAGGTTTCGATAGCAGATTTAAATTGGTCTGGCAGGGGGTTGGCTCTTTAGTCCTTGGTTGTCGTCCTTGGTCCCTCCGTCAAATCGTGGGCCTCAGCCAGTGGGACGCGCAACACACACAGTGAAGAAAAAGGAGAGGGCGAGGGAAAATGGGGGTGGATGCCAAAACCAACAGTTCACGTGCGAGACGTGGTCGGTCGCGGACGCGCCATGATTGGGTCCAGGTGTGTGCCAGGCACTCCCAAGGTTGGCTTGGACCAGATGGCCCACCGGGAGAAAGGGGACCCCATCCATCAATGAAATGCGGCGGCTGTGGACGCCCGTGAGGCAATTGGAGGGTTGGTGGGTGACACGACTGGCGCCAGTGGCTCTCATGCTTTTCCTAGCTTCCTAAAGCCCCCCCAAATCCTGCAAAGGATCAGTACTATATCATGTACCAGCCAGCTGTGGGTGCCTTCTTCATGTTGCAAATTCCACTCGTAACACCAACAAAGCATTGATAACCTCGACTGAAATAGAACCGCGTCGCACCGACGATTGAAGAGGATCATTAAAACTGGTGGGGGTTACCATTGCATGGAAATAAAACCCCACTCTCATCTATCTCGTAGAAAATGCATAGAAGGAACGAACGAATGGGTGGCAAATAAAGTGCCTTCCTCTTCAGCTGCCGAAACAACATGCTCGAAAGTACCATTCCAAAACGACAAACCGTTCGATGCACCTGGCGTTGTCAGGAGACTTCAAAGCTGCATGGCTGCATGTTGAAGAGCTGCGACGACAAGTAGTAGTCAAGTTGTCAACCGACTTTGGAGACTCAAGTGGAGCACAGAGTTCCGTTGGCCGTGTCAGACTTGGTTGACACCTGGGGAATACAGCCAACAGTATCAAGAACGACAATACAATACTGCTGCTAGTAGGTGGCACGAAGGGGCTGTCGTGACTCGAATTCTTTGCTCACTTGCTCATGATGCCGTGAAAGCGCCATGCCATCCAGAGCGACTCGTGTCTGTGTCGGCTTGAGTTTGAGCAGAGGCGGCGAGACAACATGTGTGGGAACTTCCAGGTTTCTCGTTGCCACATTTTCTCGTGTTCCATGCTGAATACGTTACCACAGTTATATTCAGCAGAGTACGGGTGCTGAGCCATCATTATTACGATCTCTCTTACATTGGCGAGGTCGGATGGAAATACTGGGTATGCACCGTTGGGAAGCTTGCGGCACTTGGTTGGTTGAAAGGTTCCAGACAAAAGAAATCGTCTCATGTAATTTTCTGAATTTTCTCGGTTAGATGTAATAATTGAAGCCGCCACATCAATGAAACTCAATATGAGAGCGGCCCGTTCCAAGGGCAATTCGCAGGTCGAGTGAATTCAATATTTTGCAGCATACATGCAAAGTCCGACGACGCCACTACGGCCTTCCAACCACTGCACCAACAAGGTGGAAGCATACATTTTGAATTGTGAGCAATATGGATGTTCCCGTTTTGCCCCATTTTGCCATGCAGACGACATTCAGGCCACTGGAACTGGACAAAATCCACCTCACAGGAGGTTGGGTGCAGCAGATCTACAGCTGTCCTGCAGATGGGTACATCCGACTCGCCAAATGGGTGCATCCCGACGGTAGCCTGTGTACCGCCGCACTATTGCATGCCGAGTCGCCGCGAATCAAGCAACTTTAAGAACTGGGAGGCAAACCAGGCAAGTTTTAGAAAGAGACGTTACGTGTCCAAACACATCCTTGGTCAGGCCATCCCTGGCATGATGCTGGTTAACAACAACAACAACAACAACAACAAAAGTCAATCCGATGATGCAGGCCGTCTGATTATCTGATATGTTGTTTACTCCGTGCTCGCTGGTGTCATCACTTGGCTGATAACAAGAAAACACCCAATGAACCAAGTAGTAAATCCGAATTATCAGGCAGACCGACCCTGCATCCGCCGCAGGACGGGTGTTCTTGGCTGCGTGCTTGGCTGTCGGCTGTCCCTATTCGCTGAAACACACAGTGAAATGCGGACTTCAATCATGACGACTATTTCGTAGCAGAGCAAGCAAGCAAGTTGGCAAATTTAACGGTGGGTTCGCTCAATTCTTTCAGGGACTTGGGGTCGAGATCGTCGCTCTCAAGCACTGAGCCCGGGCAAGGTGTGTCCATGGCGTTTCAGACTCCAAGCTCTTCTTCTCCACGATGACGTCTTTTGTCAGAACTTTCAGAAACAGAGGAGAAGCTGGTCCATTGGTGGAGCGATGACCATGCCACAGCCATGCTGCCCATGTCCATACCCGCCAACCCACTGAAAGAAGCCTGCCACTGCCGGAGGGTTCGACAAAACGTAAAAGGCCCGTCTCCGCATCTGGAATGGGAATGGCCTCGTCGTATAACGGCAGTCTACTTGTGACCTGCCTCGGATTGCGAGGTTATCGTGTCGTACTGAACCTTCTTAGGCGGGACGATGCCGGGCGATCTTGAGGGGCCTCTGGTTGTTGGTGCAAAAGTCGACGACGGTGACGACGCCGCCCAACCGCCGAACTGCTGGGCGCATCTAGAGGTCAAAGGCCTGGAGACACCTGGAGAGGAACCCCAAAGCTGGAGTTGAGTCTTGACTGACTGTCATCGATTGCCGTCCGTTGCTACCCCAGTTCACCCGGACACCTTGGCTCTACCAGTAGTCACATTGAGCCCGCGGAAATCCCACGAAAATGGCACTGTTCATCCGCTTCTGTACAACGGTAATTCCCTGAAAGCGTGGCATCGCTGCATCTTTGAAATCAGCTTGCAGCGGCTTGTTCCACGCCTAATCTTAAAACATCAAGATCGTCTCAACATGTGCCTAGTACAGATGGCTTAACTACCGGAGAAGGCGTGACCGCCACGACGGATTGGCTGCTTGAGTTTGCTCAGATTAGGACATGATTCGGGTGATGGGATCAGTGTTCCTACTTGAAGGCGCCCGCGCCAACCAATCACGGCCGCACGGTTAGCTGCGTCATCTCAAACCACTGTTCATTTACACGTAACATTGAATGGCATCGCGATTTAAATAGGAAGACCTTTCGAACCTCTTAGACAACCCTGAACCTGTTATCAATTGCCGATTGCTGCGGGTTTACAGTCAACTTTGATGTTCCAGAACTTGAACCAGAAGGGCACTACGCATGTGAATGGAATGGCATATGATGGGACGGCAGACAATCCATTCTGCAAACTGATAGTTGCGCGCGAGAAGGCTAATGAAAATCGTGCTCATTCCGGAGTGGAACGCTAGTAATAAAACGGCGCCAAAATTGGCCAATAGCGACGGCGCGTCGGTCATTATGGAAGGGTTACGATTGCCTTGCTTTTAACTAGTATGCAAAAAGCCGCGCAAGCTCACCAAGACGCAGGAAATTTTCGTTTGGACACTGGGCGGCCTTCTACTATAGTGCTAGTTTCGAGCACAGTCTAGGTCTCTGCCGGCTTGGTTTCAGCGTCGACGCGGTCTTCAACATCAAGCCTCTCTAGGATGGTCGACGAACTGAAACAATTACACATCGTTCGGGAGGCATGGGCGTTTGTCGGCAAGTGCTGTTCCCCCCTGGAACCAAATAGGGGGCGCACGACTTGCATTGCGGATCTGCCGATTTGATGTCCGAATTTTTCCCTAAAATACCACAACAACAGGGCAAGCGAAGCTCCAAGAGCAAGCCAAGCTCCCGAGCCGCGGAACGGACATGTTCACACCGTGGATCCACAAAACGAAGCCAGTAGGGATCTGCCAGATCGCCGGGTACCAATGGCCGATCTGCGCACGGCGCTCGGATGGCTTGCTTCCAAGGCTGGTTTGTAGAAGAATACAAAGAAGAAATATCAAGTGTGAAACATTGCCCACTCCGCACAGGGGCCAGAGCGCTGGTTCATTGATTAGTTGGCTTTTTTATTGGCTATTTACTCTGTGTACTTGCAATACTAAGGCATCTTGTCTCGAGCCGCCCACGACATCGGAGGCGGTCTCGCGAGAGTCCTAGCGATCCTTCGTTTTACTCGAGCGGTATCCTGGAAATTAGAGAGTCCGCAGGCTCCTTACACTTTCCGCCAATTGCCAAACACGGCGGATGGTTGAAGATTGCTTTTCCCTTCAACGGAACATTTCACTCCTGGCACACCTGAAGAGATAACCGACTTCACTCTCCGAAACACCACGCAGGGCAGGATCCAGTCCGGTTGAGTCCAAAAGCAGTGGCACAGCCTCTGGCCTCTGGGAATTTCCTCATTGGGGCAACGGCGACACTGCCGGATTGTTTGTCAACCGACACACGTGGTTCCACTTCCGCGGACCCGTTGGTAGTCGGGTATCTCGTCCGCCGGAGACCGTTGTTGTCTCGCATATCTACAAGCTTTCTGCTTGCATATCGTTAATCTCTATCCTTTGATGCTTGTTAATTCAAGCTACTGCGCAGCAGATGTTTCCACCACACGCTGACGTATCAAACAAATAATTGTGGCATGTATTCCTACTGCTGGCCATGGATATTGGCAATGAGTGTTTCGACCTGACCCGTTTATTTGTCATTATGAATGGTACCATTCACCACACCACAGTTCCACTCTAATGAACTATCACATCTCGAAGATCTGGGATGCGAATATCCAAGACATGCCCAGTTAGTTCCCGTTCGATGCGCTAGCACTTCATGAGGGCATGTTCTATAGCTGAATTTGCTGCGATGTTATCTGTCTGCAACGAGCCCATTTGTCTACAAGAAGTCCTCTACCGGCTGTCTCAGATGCATAGTTACGAAGTTGTATTAGTACTTCACGTCTGTAGGGTTTGGGCCATTCCAAAGTGCGGTCCTTCAAAGCTGAAGACCTGACATGATATGGGGATGAGCAAGCTTCATTTACTTCTGACGCCATCAGGGTGACCTGGTTACACCTTGCTTGAAAAGGGGGTTTGAACTTGCTTGTTGTTCAGCCAACGCTATGATTCACCGTATGGGGGATTCGCGAACAGTTGCATGTCGATTGGACTGACCTCTGAGATATGGGAAACATTTAACCAAGCCAGCGGATGCATTTCGACTGCGCAATGCGACGGTCAGGGGTGAGGTACCTTGTCGGCTTGATAGGACAAACTCAGCCCTACGCTCATCGCAGAAGCATGAGGCTTCGAGCCTCGTGCCTAAATCCTTGAGTAGGTCGCAGCAAATACATTTTGGGGGGCATTTCGGAGAAGAGTAGTTGTTTAGGTTGTAAATGGAATTCGTGAGGTCGCGGATGAGATTGGGCTCTGCGGGACACCACTTCTGAGCTTAGTTCATCGGAAGCAATTGATCCTTTCTCGAATTTCCGACACCGTGTGAAACCAAGACACTGGGTGGCAGCAGATGCATGCAGAGATATTAGGAGTACCCTGGCAGATGTTGGTCGAGATTGAGCGTGTGGTTAGTACCACTGAGTCGGGTACACGACATACTCAGGCATACCCCCCTATTAGGACATACTATCAAAAAGTCCCACTAATTTTTGCCAGTCCGTTGGGTTGTCGGTTGAAAGACGAAGCTGTTGTGTCAATATGTTCTCTGGGTAGTGCTAGCACAGAGCATTTTACGTTATATTTGTAGGTCGCGTGGAGCAGAACCCGTTCGCCATTCATGAGCCAGATCACTAAGTCACCAGGTAACTGTCCTTCTTGTTCGGTGGTCACTTCTGCATAGGGGTGACATGCCGTCTTTGACTTATATCCAACGGCTATGTTCCAAATTGGGTTGAACAGATAACTACGCACTTTGAAGCCACGGGCTGGGCCTAGGCTTGAACGAAAATGGGATATTGCGTGGCTCAGGGCTGGACTCAAGAGAAAGAAGACCTTACAGTGTGCATTAACCAGGAAGGCAATTCATAGCAAATACCGCGCTGGATGTCGGTATCAAAATCACTCGCAGCCCACTGCTACACCGGAGACGTACCATTCGGGATACGTCCTAAGGAGTGTCTATCAAGCCATGAAGTATTCTTCAAGCTGGGATGGAATTGGATAGAACCTAGACGTACTCGTTTAGTAGAAAGGTCATCTTAAAAGCTGTCGAATTGGTATAATTATACATATGATTGCTAGTGCTAACGTTACACCGTTTCAGCCATTTCAACTGGCAAGCCCAACTATGTCTTCATCCAACTGCTCGTCAGATTTCCACCGATGCTTCTGAAAGCATTTATCTCAAGTATCCCCGGATCAGTCGTACGAGTCTGCCAGCTCGAATACAATAAATCCCCACCCGTGCCCAAAGCAAAAACGCCAAGCCTAGCAGGCTGTTCATTTGGATCCAAGTTCACGATCAGCGGGGCACTATTAGCGACCACATCGCCCAGGTCGAGCCAGTCAGCACTCCATATTTGCCCGTAAAAAGCCCGGTGCTTTACCTTGCCGTCGGTCCCCACAGCGACAACATCAAGCCGGTCATCTCCCGATGCAACGACTGAAGGCACGCTTGCCCAGCTACCCCCAAGGTGCTCCATGTCTGAGTAATTCGACGAAGACGTCCAAGAAAAGTGCCTCATATCCTTATCAACAGCCCCAATACCAAAGAAATCGATCCTGTCGTTGGAAGGTGCTATCACCACTGGGTCGCCTACGAACGAGCCGCCGCGGTCGTTCCAATCCTCCCATGCATTCCTTGACTTCGCGTACTGCCGGTGCAGTACTGTCGATGTATCCTTGTCGTATATGACGATGTCGTGCATCATGTTGTCATCTCGACACACAACTGCGGGCGTCGCGCCCGACCCCTTGGCCGGGTTCTCCGCAACGGTCGTGTCCCACCGGTAGAGATTGCCGGCCCAACCTCCGCCCTCGAAATCCCAGTAATTGTGTGTCACACCTCTCGAAGTTGCGTCTTTGCTGACCATCCATATATCTGCCCGGTCGATCCCGTAGGTGCTATGGCATGCTCCTATTGCGCTACCGGCCGCGGCATTAAGGTTGGCCCACTCGCTTTCGGAAGGATTGGGGTTGCCCTCATCCGTCAGTGACTTGGCTACGACGCCGCCGGCTGAGCTCACGGCGAAGAGACTGAGGGCCCCCGAAGAGTTCCAGACTACGCTGGAGGGTTGGCCTTGGAACTGGTTTCCTAGGCTAGACCATTGGTTCGTCCAGTTGCCCGCGACGGTCCTCGTGTACCACATGCTCTGATCGTTTCCAATGCCGAAGACGTACCTATCGCCCATGAGAGCAGCAGCACTGAATATCTGCCGACAAATCGTGCCTTTACATTTAATGTTTGCTGGACTGGTGTTGTTTGCCGGTACGCCCACAGGTTGGGTTTGTGTCGTTTGTGTCGTGTGTTTCAGACCCACCACGAGGCCAATGACTAGTGCTACCACGATAATGAAGGTGACCAGCCCTACTACTATCCATTTATTTCGCCATCTAAACCATGAAGAGTGCACTTGTATCGGTGCAGACTCCTTGAGGGACAATGGATCTGGCTGTTCTAGGCCTTGCGAACCCAGTAGGGTCGAGCCAGAATGACCGTCCAATGAAACGACCTCGGGGCCATTGCTCTCATAGGAGGAAGAGGCTACTGTCCCAGGAATTAAAGACTGGAGCAACTGCGGTGCATCGCTGTACTGGTAAACTGGATAGTAACCATGTGGTCCTGATTGCGGTTGCGTCACAGTCACCTCCGGAGCATCACCGTATCTGCTCCTCGGATCCGGTCTTATCGCTTTTGGCGACGGTGTGGTTGCATGTTGGGCGTGGCTTCTGACATTGGAGCCTGAGGCTTTGTGCTGATGATCCCATGACACCAGCACCTTCGCCGCATCTTGGTAGATTGGCCGATCGTAGTCTCCCGTAGTCGGTGGTGACATGACTTCTGGGTCGTTGCTGTATGCCGAATTGGTTGAATCCATGATTCAGAGTTAATGTCCGCTATGATGGAAAAGAGGATAAGGTCAGGAACGGACATATGGTAATGTCCTCGACCTTGAAATCCTTGGGGTTGTCAGCCCCCCTAAGGGCAGGGTCGAAAGCTGGCGAGGCAGTGTCACCGGCTGTACGGCGGCAAGGGGGAACAGACCGAATACACCATCATACCACGCCGCAGCCATGCTTCATGCCCACTCAATCCTCCAAACACAGCCATGATGAATTTGGCAATGATTGGTCCTGAAGCTTCGTAATGAAAACGTTGTAAGCGCGCTTCATCCCGGACCGCATGGCCTGTTAGTTCCTATCAGTATTTATTACTGGGCTGAGATGAAGGACACTAAATATATAGTAGACAACTATAAATAGGCCTTGAGGTTTGGAGACAGTAGGCTTGAAGTTGATGTCCAAGTTTCGATTGCCCTGATTTCAAGAACGAGACCCAACGATTGATCCCATTATGCAAAGAGCCCCTCGGGCACTTTGCACGTGATATTTCACCGTGGGAATGTGTCCTTAGGTCATGCAAGGAAGTCGCAGTGGTCATCCTTCTCGGCGATGCCGGGCAGCCTCAAGGACGAGGCGTAAGATGCCATTGATGGCTAGGAACTTTACTTTAGAAAAGCGCATATTGAACTCGGTATCGATGATATCGACAGTTGAATATCGACTTGAACTACTTGGTGGCTCAAGCGGTTCTGGCGAGCCACCTATTAATAGAGGAGAGGGAAATAATCTAGGACCGACGCGCTTGTACAATGTGCGAAGATACGTGTTTTACAGCCAAAACACCATATTTACAAACACCGAGGTTTTCCTAAAATGTCGACGGCCCATTACGGTTTTAGCACCTCCGGTAGTAGACCTAATTAAACTACTAATTTTTATATTAATGGTATCTCTCCTACTCGTAAAGTTAACCGTAACTGTTACTTAAATATAATCAGTATAGTTAGGATATGTTCTCAAAGGAAGTGATAGTTACCCTGCTATTACTCTACTAGTAATAGTTTATAGGCCCGAGCGCCATATCCAGGTATCCTATATTAATGTACTTTTTATCGCTTGAATGTATATTAAGGTTCTTTAGAAAACATCGTTATATTGACGACGGGCAATAAGTGCCCGCAGGTTTAAGGTGAAGATGATGGCCGTGGACAACAAGATCCTTAACAAGACCTTACTATCTGGGAGGATGAAAGAATACAAGATCGAGAGCCTTCTTTCCCTGATCGGATCAACAGAAGTACCTCAACAGATGAACAACAGAATGAAGCCTCAGCAGGCTGGAATAGATCGTCTAACTTAGAACAACAGAAGTACCTCAATAGGTACGAATAATGGCCTCAACAGGCACGAGAAACAGAATAAGACCTCAGCAGGTCATCAAACAACTAGAGCCTCAGCAGGCGAAGGGAATTAAATTCAATTGCTACTTGCTTGGCCGCTTACTTCTTCTCTTCTTCTTAAGAGAGTGAATACTGTAGTGGAGCAAGGCCGGTCTTCAGTGTAATGAGGTGACAGGGACTGGGAGACATTCTTTTCTTCAAGAAGCGCGCAGCGGCAGTTTTCATCGACCATCATCTTCTCTTTTCAGTCAATCACTTAGTTTCGATTCATTGATAGATACATTCAGACGAAGCCTTTCAAGAATCTATTCTTTCGCCTTCACCTTAGCCTTGTCGACTACAGAAGGTTTTATTTTGTCCTGATGAGACTAACCTACTGCCAATGATGTCTTCATTTAAACTCTCGGAGTCAAGCGCGCTATATGTATTCCTCTCTTTACGTCATCGTTTCGTCTGTATTCTACTAACTCTTCTTCTTTAGTAGGTATAAAAGGAAATCTCGGCCTAGAAGGCGAGACTCCTTTTACAGTCTATCTACGGGAACATGTTGTATAGGTCTTAGTATACAGCCAAATAAGCCTTCTTCTAGGAGTTGAAGTATAAAGTTACTAGCTTCTTTAGCCCTAAGTATTAGTAGGAGTATAAACTCTCTATTTCACAGAGGCCTACGTATAGGTGCTCCGATACCGCGTTGTTACCTATTCGTAAGTTAACTAGGGAGGATATTGAAACGGGGTCAGGCGGTCAGTAGGATATACCCACCACGGAACACACGGTTGAGACGGCTCCAGCACTAACGCAATCCATCTGAGATCTGATCAGGGTTGTAGGAGCGAAGTGTCAGAGCCACAAGTGTCATCCGAGGCGGGCCGGCTTCCACCAGGAAGGAAGCCGTTTGTGGCGGCTAGAGAGCCGCTTGTGGCGAATGAGAGCCGTTGAAGCCGTTTGCAGCGGATAGGGAATCGCTTGGTTGCAGATAAGAAGCCGCTATCCAAGATATTGGCCGAAGTCGGAGGAACACAGACATACGGAAGCAAACATCCAGAATCCAAGAGAGAACCTCGGCTGGCTATAAGTAAGGAGTCGAGACGGAGGAAGATAGGGAGGGCAGAGATCAATGAACTACTGTGGACACCCCTACCTGCCATCATCAAGTGACCACCAGTGACCACCAGGTGACCACCAGGGGGACACGCCTATTTCTCCCCTTCACTCTGTACTATCGCCTTCGGTCCAGGCCGTAACCTGACACGAAGCTTTTACAGGTCTCGTGACTCTGAGTGCGCAAGTTGGTGTGTCCTCTGTATTGGCGACGGGACGATTCTCAGAATAGGACTCTTGACTCTAGGAGTTGAAATAAAGCTGTCACTGGCACTGGATTGGTCTGATTAGGACGAAGTAAAACCTTCTGTAGTTTTCAAGGCTAAGATGAAGGCAAAAGAATGGATTCTTGAAAGCTATGTCTGAATGTATAAGTCAATGAATGAACTGAAGTCTAAGTGACACACTAAGAAAAGAAGATGATGACTGTTGACTGCAAGAAGAAGATAAAGATGATGATCAAGAAAAGCTACTGCTACGTGCCTCTTGAAGAAGAGAAAAGGAAATCCCCCAGTCCCTGTCACCTAATTACACTGATGACCGGCCTTGCCCCACTACACTATTTTTTGCTCTACTAATTCCGCTAGATTAATTCTAGTATATTAATCCCTTAGTAACGCTTACGCTTAGATTACTAATTCTTAGTATTAATCCTTAGTAATCTATTATATAACCCTCCGATATTAGAGCTGCCCGCTTTTCTACTTTCTCCCTATCGTAGACGTCCTTCCGTTTCTATCGGTCTTTCTCAGATCTCTTATATTTACGCTTAATAGGGGTTAACGTGAATGTACACCGAGCTGGCCACCCCTACATAACCTCGCATAGAAATTTTACGATAGTAAAACCACAACGCCGTAAATCAATTGAAACTACTCTGAATATTCCTCTCCAGAAGATGGCAATGCGATCTTACAAGTTCACGCATTATGCCCAGTCCCGTTGCAAATACCACAGCGCCTCGGGCGCGTTTTTACGCGTTTGGAGGGTGCTTCGGGGGACTTGGTACGTTTTTGCCGCTTGTCGGAGACTAAGTTTTTGGTCATTTTTGAGAGCTTGAAGGGCTAGCATTAAGTCTGCTTCGTTGTATGACTTTGCCATAATTGGTTGTTGAGAAAATCAAACATTAAGTTGGCCGGTCGCGTTGGCGCATGAAAGTGGCCAGCTCGGTGTACATTCACGTTAGCTAGGTCGTTAGTTCATACTTATCTTATCTTATAAGAGGTGTCGCATCTAGATCCAGATATAGTTGTTGAATTGTGGGCAAATGGTCTTGTATTGAAAGTGTCATGATCTCTGGAAAGTCTTGAACGAAGTGGACGCCGGCCATAAGGGCCTTATATAGACAGGAATGAACGATGCCTGTCCCACAGGCAGGACTTGTGTGGTTCGATGGGTGGTGGTCATATTGGCCCATAACGTACGGTGCGTGGCCATATGTCCTTCCAAGACTGGCAGTCTTGATGTAGTGGCCTTGAAGATCCAACAATAGTTCTTCCTTTCTGTAGTAGGTTATATTAAACTAATAGCTCGGAATAATATTCTTATCCAGCTTTCTTAGATTATATCAATAATTATAGAAAATTTATCTTTTTGCATGAATAGTTTTCTTCTTATTCTTATTACTATTATAGAAGTGCGAGGAATATCTATTAAAGTATTGATAAGTACTCACCTTATATAGGCCTCTATCGCTTTCTATCTTCGTCCTACTTTAATGTTCAAAAGTCAATTTCGCTCTAATAGGTTTAAGTGTAAGCTCGTCGGTAGTCCTTTGGCGTGGTCTTCTAGACGGGTAGGATCGCCCTAGCCTCCGTAACAAGTGCCCTTTGTATAGCCGTTACGTGATTTCCCAATTTTGTGCGAACGGTATCCGGTTTGCCTAGCACTCTCTATTGCGTGAGGTTCTGTACCGGCTGTATATGTCTCCTGTACTATGCTTCGTGTCCGTATAGCGTAACTGGTAATACGAAAGCCTGGGCTGCTTTATGTAGCGTGCTCGCTGGAGGGCCCCTGGTGAAATTTGCCACCCCTTCAGGTGGTTTAAGACCTTAATCACTTTGCTGGCCCTGATTCCGACGTGTCGGCCAAACCAGAGCTTCCGGTCGAATCACACTCCGAGCTAGCGGAGCGCCGTGGTGCCTTCTATAGTTCTTTCGGTCGCTCTCCCAGGTTCTCGTTCTTGTCCAGTACTAGTGTAATATCCCTGGTGTGTAATAACCTTTCAATCGTCACGATCATTTCCCCTCGCGAAGTGCATCGCCTCCATCCTATCCGGCGCCAAAGTAATCTTATGCTTACCGTTTGATTCATAGCTGAGACCTTATGGAGCGCGCCTTAGTGTTGTGGGTTCATAAGTCTATATTGGAGTGCCGTCCAGGTCATATTCCGGGCGACCATTCTTTCAAGTCCTTTCCCGAATATCGAGAGAAGAGCGATTGGCCTCTAAAAGCGAAACGTCGATAGGTTAGTTTTACTATCCTTCGGCATCATCATAATGTACGCGTACTTCTAGGTCTCCGTGAAAATACTTTGCTGTACACATGCCTCTAGCGACTGGCGTAGGTATTCCCCGACGGAGCTCCAGCACGATTTTATAACCCTAGCTATTACTCCGTCTATCCCCAGTGACGTAGAGGATATACCTACCAGGTGTCTCTCCGCCTCCTCCAGTGTAACCGCTTCAGTCTATAGGATAGGTAAATATTTTACCTTACTAGTAACTGAGTTCCGAGTAGCGCTATCATGGCCGCCGGTGTTGATTATACATCAGGGCATAGCTACTAGACTCTTATCTCAGTATCTACTGTAACGGGGTAAGGCCGGACATCAGGGAAATAGGTTACGGGGCTAGGAGAAAGTTTATTTTCTCTTCTTTAAGAGGCACAGAGGCAGAGTAGGACACGAGTCCCCCATCTTCACGCATCATCATCCTCTTCTTATCTATATCTTCACCTTCGCTTTTCAGTCAGTTATTTAGTTATTTTAGTTATTCAGCTATCTTTACGTTTGAGATCCTATTATCACGATACGAGTATCAGAGGCACATCCGACCAACTCGCGCACCAGACGTATAAGAGCTTCGCTCTTATAACCAGTACCACGATCTTCGTCTGATCAGACCAACAGATGGGATCTGTTGGTACTGGAGCCGTCTGTTCAGTGTGTTAGGTGGTAGGTATATCCTACTGACCGCCTGACCCCGTTTCACTACTCGACTATACGGTGTTCAAAATCTGAAGATAGTCGCTATCCAGGCTAAGTTTACTCATGTGAAGGTCAACCCTCGCAGACTCACTACAACCAGGTGACTTACAGCTGGAACACTTGCCATGGCAGTGCCAGATGGGAAGCCAATCATAACCCCTGCAGGAGCCCCGCCAAGCGTGGACGACTTAGTCGCGCTCCCTCAACCTAAGTTTGTGATCTTCTTTCCTTCGCTCCTTAGAGTAGAATCTTCGTCGATAGCACCTAATCGAGGTCTCTACCAATGCGATGCAACCCAGGTCGTGACAACTCATAGTATAGCACTCCGTTACAATTAAGTCTATCTGCTAAGGTCCTCTACGGTATACCATTCTTCTAAGCCGATTAGCGATGTAAGAGGCTATTATCGGCAACTAAAAAGATAGTATTAACCTTCTGAGCCTCTGTAAACTTATATAGAGTCAGAAGAGGCATTTTTGATGGAGTAGTTCTTCAGGAAAGGTGTCTTAGGGGCTAGCAGTGAAATTTGCATTTTAACCCCTACTAGGTGCCTATAATTCCGTATGTAACAGACCTGTGACAACTGACACATGGACGATAAGCAGGGACATCCTGACATGGCCTGCCCTGATCTGGACGAGCGCGTTCCCCTTATAATAGGAGAACGGCCAGACATACTTGTAACCCTTTCCTTCTCTTTCTTCCCTAGTTTAGTATTCAACAATAGAGATGCACTGATATGCAACCTTGATTCGTACCTATGTGCCTCTGCCTCGTTACATAATACTAAACTCAAACCTATAGTATGGAGAGACTCAAATCATCTTAAGAAAATTGAAGACGAACGCTCGCCCTCCCGGCAAGCGTAACTGATCTACGTCTGATCAGAGCAAGAATGGCCCCAATTCACGGAGCTAGTGTGAACCTGGGTCGAGAGGCCCTTCTACGACGAATCGCCACTAGGATTACGGATCTGGCCTTGACCAGGGAAACTCTCGACCAGATCAGAACAAACCCGATACCCGATTCACGACAAGGAGCTACTGGCGTTTATGGAGGCTCTGCGGCAGTGGGAGTACATGCTCTTACCGCAGAAGTTCCTGATCGTAACCGACCACGAGGCCCTCGAATACTTTAGTACGAAAAGGATGTTGAACTTCCGGCAAATAGGATGGGTAGACCTGATGTTCAAATTTGACTTCAACCTGATCTATCGGCCGGGACGATTGAATCAAGCCGCAGATGGCTTATCACGAAAAGCGGAAGACCTTCGCACAGCACAGGCTATAAAGGAAGCAGACCGCCATAGGGCATTGTTTACCCCTATATGCCCGATTGGTCCTATAAGACGGCTATGGATTAACGCCTTGGACCGCGACGAGACAACCAGCGACGGAGTAGGAGGACCACAAGGATACGAGGTGGTCGAGAAGATCTTGCAATATAACCGGACTCTGCCAGAGCTGGAAACCTGGAGGATACGGGCTCGGTCTGATCAGGACAACGACAAGGACTGGAGACTACAAGATGGGTACCTAACGTACCAGAACCGTATTTTCGTTCCCGACAAGGACGACTTACGAACTCGTCTAGTATCGGAACACCACGACCCCTTAGTCATGGCACACCCGGGCCAGAACAAGGTCCGCCGCCTACTCGCCAGACAGTACTATTGGCCGGGGCTCCATGGATTCGTGGATCGGTTCTGTGCGAATTGTTGGACCTGCCGAGCCAGTAAGGTCCCTCGCGACAAGACGCCGGGGTTGCTACGCCCCCTCTCTATACCAGATCGGCCGTGGCAACATGTCGTAATGGATTTCAAGGAGTTTCCCCCTGATCAGGGTGGATTTGACAACGTCTTTGTGGTAATAGACCGCCTAGGCAAAAGGGCCTTCTCATTACCGTGCCACCGAACGGTAACAGCCACGGAGACAGCCTTACTGTATTACGACCATGTGTGGCGAATCTATGCCTGGCCCGACTTGATTACATCTGATCGAGGGCCCCAGTTCATATCGGCCTTTTGGGATGAGCTTTGTCGCCTGGCCGGCGTAAAGCACCACTTAGCATCAGCCTACCATGGTCAGACATCGGGACAGGTAGAGATTATGAACGAATACATCGATCAGCGTCTGAGGCCGTATGTGAATAGGTACCAAGACAACTGGGCCCATATGTTGCCGGCACTGGATTTGGCCCAGGCAACAATGCCACACGAGTCAACGGGACTCTCCCCGTTCCGACTGGAACTAGGATATGAACCGCGAATGCATTTCGATGTAACGGCTAGGCTAGATCAAAGCAAGATGAAGCCTAAAGAGCGCCTTACTCGTAACGAAGCGGCTGCGATGGCAGGGCGCATGCATGAAGGATGGGAGTTTGCGAAACGAGCAATGGCCAAAGCCCAGGAACGTCAAGCCCGACAGGCAAACAAGAAACGGCGGGAGCCTGATTGGGACATTGGTGATCGAGTCTGGCTATCTAAGAAAGGCTGGAATACGGATCGACCATCTGAAAAGCTAGATTTCCCGAATGATGGTCCTTTCGAGGTAGAGGCTCGGATAGGGCATTCCTACAAGCTAAAGTTGCCTGATCGGCTCAAGGTCCATAACCAGTTCCCAGCAGACCGTCTCCGGAAGGATCCAGATAACCCGGTTCCCGGCCAACGCCGACAGCCGCCGTTACCAGTAGTAGTTAATGGGGAACACGAGTGGTACGTGTCGAAGATCATTTCGTCACGAATCCATCGGGGCAAACTCCAGTACATGGTAGATTGGCTAGGGGCGGACCCGGATGATACATGGTATAATGCCAGGGGGTTCGAGAATGCCGTATCGAAACTCCGTGAGTTCCATACGGAATACCCAGAGAACGCTGGACCACCAGCACGGCTAGCACAGTGGCAGAAGGCCTTAGAAACGGGGTACGACGACCCTGATCACCCCGAGGATGATAAACCTCTACAAGGGGGAATCGACCGACAGCGTCGGCGAAGATCGAAGAAGTGAGAATGCGGGAAACGGAAGAGGCTCGCGGGCGACCCTCTTCGAAGGGGGGGGGGGTGATGTGACGACTGACACATGGACGATAAGCAGGGACATTCTGACATGGCCTGCCCTGATCTGGACGAGCGCGTTCCCCTTATAATAGGAGAACGGCCAGACATACTTGTAACCCTTTCCTTCTCTTTCTTCCTAGTTTAGTATTCAACAATAGAGATGCACTGATATGCAACCTTGATTCGTACCTATGTGCTTCTGCCTCGTTACAAGACCGACCCTCTGAAAGGTAGCAGAAACTAAAGCGCCTTCGATTTAGCTATACAACTACACACTCCTTTTTATAATTAGCTCTTATACGGAGGTTGTTGACTTTGTGCAGGAGATAACGAAGAATATAACACATACAACTGTTAGAAGCTATGTACAGCGCTCTATGGGTAGAAAATTATTTACTATTAGGCCTTAGGATGAAGTCTGTTTAAGGTAGAAGAAGGCGCTACTCGCCAGATCTTAGGCGGTGAATACACCAAGGGTTCCATGCGTTTCTTTTAAGTCACTCCTTGCACCGGATCTAGGCTGAATCCATTCAACACTACTAAATTAGCGGAACAACTATTCGGTCAGACACACGTGTAACGTAACACAATATAATATATAGCCAACCTAACGAAATTGCAGGTGGTTTTCTGACAGCATACATATTCCATCCCTTAACCCTCTTAGTGCAAACATGCCTGTGGTGCGCTCTGTCACGACCTGGGTTGAATCGCATTGGTAGAGACCTCGATTAGGTGCTATCGACGAAGATTCCACTCTAAGGAGCGAAGGAAAGAAGATGACAACTTAGGTTTGAGGGAGCGCGACTAAGTCGTCCACGCTTGGCGGGGCTCCTACAGGGGTTATGATTGGCTTCCCATCTGGCACTGCCATGGCAGGTGTTCCAGCTGTAAGTCACCTGGTTGTAGTGAGTCTGCGAGGGTTGACCTTCACACGCTCAGCCTTTTGCAGTACTCAACACTTTAAAGATTAGAGAATTTCCCTATCGATGGCTTGAGCTGCTCCAGGGCTAATGAAAAAAACCCAATGTCTTAAGCCACATCTAGAGGCTCGTCGACCGAAACGGCGCTATCCATCTATTCGTACGTAAATAGCAGATTTCTCGGCACGACCTATACCACTGTATCATCTACGCACGTACCCTGACATTTCTTTCCCGCCATTGCGATTAGTTAATTATAGTTTACAGATAAGTGAACAGAATTCAATCACCGATAGTTAAAGAAGGTTGGAACAATTTGGAGAGGTAACCGGACTTGCCTTCAACTTACGATCTAGCCCGCTCCCCCAGCCTACGGTGCATCAAAGGGACGACCAAGAGCGAAGTTCATGAGAACGGTCGTAATGTGTCTAAATATGCTAAGGCGAATATGCTACAGCGGAAAGATCAATGCCGAAACCCCTTGTTTATTTCGGACCACCAGAGTCTAAGAATGACCCTCCAAGACCCCAGGCGCGGCATAAAAGGGGGTCTAGTGACGTACTTAGCAGATGGTGATGATAATGGGGACGTTCGGAAGGCACGAGTTGAATAATTTGCATATTTATATTTGATATCGTAAGTCGAACAGACTAGACTAAAAAGTATTCGTACACATAAAGGAGACGCATCACAACTATAAGGCCGCTTAGCCACAGTGTCGTCAGCAGTACCCTTAGCGGGGCACTCGTAGTGGCTATTAAAGCTTTTTTAACCACCTAAGATTACCCGCCGAGGCGACATAACTAGTAGCGCACAGGGTTAGTGGTCGTGGCAAGCTAGACTGGAAGAAATATTGTGTCAGATATTCATATATCTTGCGGTGTGACCTTGATGTGACGGTAATGTGACCGTTCTGTGTGATGGTTTGATTGTTGCGTGTTATGATCTATATTTTTCTCTTTTTCTTTGCTGTTGTGTGTGATCTTTTGTAGAGAGACCTTAGCTAGGTTCAGTGGCTTACAGTCTTGCCCTCATAATCAGGGGACCTTTATTTCTGACATATTGCACCTGCGTCGCGTCAAGTCAACTGTCTACCACCCACAATCCTCTTAATACGAATTTTCTTTCTGTTAAAGGGAGCGGCGCGAAGGAACATCGGATTCTTCCGAAAGATCGAAATGGGAACTCCAGCTCTCGAGATAGTACGCTACAACAAGCGCTACTACATTCGTCATCATCAGTTAGACGGCTACTTCGAGGGTCTCGGCGCCCAAATTGTAGCGAGCATTCCCCCCGACCCCGAGGGGTACCTGAGTACGTATGGAGAACAACCCGTGCATTATGTCATGCTAACGATTCGCAGAGTGGCTCAAGTCGATGCGAGAAAGGTATGCCGCCAGGGAACGCGCACTTGAACAGCATGTCTATGAGATCCACGACCTGTCCGAGCCAGACTATTCGCAGTTTCGCGAGTTCATAGCGCTGCCATCCGAGCTACCGCAGCTACATGACAGCAGCCTCCAATACTCGTACATCATCAACATTGACGACGAGGTTCTCACAATGGACAACGGCATACACTGGGTGCTAGGGAACATCCCGCGCCAGGACGATCTATGGCTTCGGGCAATCGTCGAGAGTATCTACCTGCGCAAGCCCACCATCTCCCTCGACATCTGCCCAGAAAAGCATATGGCATCACTGGCTTTGGAGCTTCCCAAGCCGAACAAGGTGATCGACTATGCCTTCCGCATCGTAACTCCACGGACGAACATCCGAGAGGCGCACAACGTGTTCCTTATATTCGTTCTGGCCACGGTGCTTATTGATTGCAAGAATGACATTATTGGATTTGGGAGGGAGTGGAGCCCGGACTCGTTTCCCTTTCGCGAGCTGGCCTTTGCCCTCGTTTCGATTGCCTCTGGCCAGGCCAAATTTCATTCCTTTCCTGCTCAGCAGTGTAACCCTCGACATGACTGCTTGTGGAATTGCAACTCGCAACACCTCCCAAAGTCGCCTGGATGGCTTGACGAAGAGTGGGTTGGCAACAGCGCTCCGTTGCTGGAATTTGGCTCCATGTCTCATCGACCGGGGGAGCCCCCAGGGGCGTCACCTATCGAGACGATGTACTGGCTCGATGACGTGCTTGTCAGCCTTACGCTAGTGGTTGATGGCGAGGCCATCTCGAAGGCCGTTAGCTGGGGCATCGAACAGGGACGCACTAACTTTCAGATAGTAGTCTTGTCACTTTTCAAAGTATCCTTTTCGGAAGTGTCTTTGGACGATGACGAGAAGCCATTCGTTAGAGTCAGCTCAGCTGTCGCTCTCTCGCCTCTGCGCGCAGGATATTGTGTGAGCACACATCCGCGCGAGCGACCAGAGCTAAAGGACGGGATGAAGATCCAGCGTCAGCGCGGTCAGTACATCATGCAGTCGAACTGGAAGGGCACCGCGCGAAGACTACGAAATATGTTCCCCGGACTCGCAGCGCTCGTCAACTTCTTCGAGGTCGCTGCGAGCCGCCGCGCAGCATCCAAGTCGGAAGGCATTCTGCCGCAGGAACTGTACCGCATGATTCTAGACTTTGTCGATTACGATACATGGAAGACCTGCTTAGTCGTGTCGCGAGTGCTTCGTTTCTGGTGCCTCGATAAGTACAGGCTTGACGATCGAATGAGGATTGTGGGAGGCCCCTTTGTGAGGCTACAGAAGAATCAAAAGGAACGTCTGCTGTCATTCGAATTTGAAAACATGCAAACGGGCAAGATCCTTCCGATGATGCAGGACCCGTGGTGCGTTAAGACTGCCGAGTGTAATTGGATGCCGGTCATCGGCAGCAACCGGAAGGCGCTTATGTTAAACGTGGTCGTCCAGTTTGAGCCAGCGGGGGACGTTCCAGTGGAGGATGACAGCGATGATGAACGCACATGACGTTGCTCACAGCGGCGTTTAAGGGGACTAGGCCTATATATCGATATTAATAAGAATATGTTTAGCGTCTCTAAAACTGAATACCTTAGCCTGATCTCTAATAAGGGTAGCCGAATAGACTCCAAGAAAATTAAAATAATTATCAATTAGGCTTTACCTAACTTATACGGTGGTAATAAGCTTAAGGAACTCTAGCGTTTTTAGGCTTCGTAAATGATACGTAACCCCATGAGGGATTACCTGTTGCTATAGACAAAGGGTACAAATAAGCTCTGCCAGAATAACTGACCTGGGCATCCTTCCCAGTTCATACAACTTCACCCCATATGCACTCGCGTCAGTAAACTTACATCGCTGATTTATTAGAGGATACTCTAAGATAGCCCGCTTACTAATAGCATTAACGAGAAAAGAGACGCCCTAAGTGTCTTTTTTTTCTTTTTAGTAAATCTCGTCTATTGTGCTGCCTTGTAGAAGCCTACGGCTTATGAAGGCAGTGAATTAGACTAGCTACTAAATATGGGAAAAAGGTAATAGGGGACTATGCTCCTATAGTCTCTCCCAGGCTGTTGAGGCCTAGAAAGAAGGGTAAATCCCGTCTCATTTCTTCCTACGTAAATACCAAAAACCTTTCCCTCGCAGTCTAGCTATTATTAGAGTAAATACCTATTCCTCGTAGCGATTTTCATACTATCTAGGCAGCTAAGTAGTCCCTATCTACCTAGTTTAGTATTGAATAGAGTGTATAAAGAGAACGGTAGGGCTTTTAGGTCTCGGAAACATCCATGTCTGAAGGACGTAAATGACCCCCAGGAACTCCATAATCGATGCTGCCAGGCAATAATTATTTCTAATGAAGAATCTAGATGATATAACTTATCAACTATGGTTCAATCGATTGCCATCGCCCTGGGGCCCACGGCAACTAGAAGCGCACAATCTATCCTTCAGACGTGCTGCCTGCCAACTATCCGGCAACTCATCCTCCAACGCTCGAGCTGCCAAATACCATCACGATTCTTTCAATAAATGAAAATTTGCCCTCTTTGGCCGGTATTTTGCCAACCCAAGTACCAGTGAACGATTGCAGAGTCCGTAAACAGCACGTCCGTCCCTCGCGCCGTGCGCCACGTTCAACTTTCTCAACGCCAATGCCAACATCAAAATAATTTCAAAGAACGAGGATCATCCTACCACAGATAATCAGTCTTTAGGCTACGCTGAAGCTGGCGACTAGAGGTTTGTCTTCCCCATACTACCTCGCGCCGCGCGCTCTTCCCTGAGGCAGAGACGACCTAGCCCCAGCCTGATAGATAGATTGCGAAGCACAAGGGCAAGGGCAAGACGCGCACTGTTGTTGCATTTTTGGAGAAAGAGCAAGCTGCAGGTATTATCTTACCTCATTTTTCTTTTTCTTCATCATTTTTACGTATGACACGAACTGGAGCACCAGAGCCCCTCCACCCAGGGCCGTACTCATCCCGGCGTTGAGGACACAAACATGATGAACGGCAAGACCCTGGTCGTTCCCCGCGGCTTGTCTGGGGGTATCTATGAGTGGAATGAAGAGCAAGGACTGGATGAAAGATATGATAAAACAGGATGAGAAGATGGACGAAGGCGAGTTACACAATCATATACGGTTTCACGAATGGGTCGAGACCTCTGGTCGGGCTTCCTCTATGATTAAACATATGCGAGCACTCTAATAGAGTTCGGAGGATGATGACTTATGGCAATGGTACTTCGGTCCCATGAGGACGTCAAGTGTGTCTCTCTGTGCCAACTTCGTCCCACCAGCGCCTCAAGCCCTCCACGTCGCACCATAAGAACTGGGTCGGGTTCTCATACCACCAGCTTGACCCATCTTTCGGCCGGTCACTAACATACTACATCTACAGTTAATATTAATCGATTCAGGGAATCAAAGATGAAGATTGAGAAATCAAAGCTAGATCTTGGCGTGGAAACTCTCGAGGGTACTCACCTTCTTCACACTTCCTCCATCAAACCGATGATTCTTAACCCCGAGCAGCAACACCACGCTACCAACCTCAGGGTGGAACTCCTCCGCGTCCAAGAAGACAGTCAGGTGTACATGTTTCGACGTCGACGGATCAGCGATTCGAGCTTGCCTCTGGCTGAACGGCGGCAGAGCCGATGGTTCTAGGTCAGAAATGGCCGACACAATGGCGAGCAGGTTGACAGACCAGTTCTGCTTGTAGGGAAGATGAGGTATGTTTCGTAGGGGCGTGAGTTTCAAGGGTTTGGTGGGGTCGGTGCTTGACCAGGGCAGATGTCTTGAATCTAGTGATGCCACATAGCCTGACGTCTGAGCTGTAATCTCGAGTTGTTTCTGTGTCGTTTTGTGATATGTTATGGTATTCGATTCGAAGTCATCATCGGCTTTGACAACTTCTTTCAAGAGGTCGGCGTCTGCAGTTGTCTTGGGGATACTTGACGCTGGCGCCATTGTAACACTGTGAACCTTGGCTGGTGTTGCCAAATTTGGCGCACCTGATGGCTGTCCCTCGGCATCCTTGGCCCCCTTGCGCCTTTCGTCTTTTTGGATCAAGGTACCTTCAGTGGCAGACGTAACATCAGCCTCGTTTGGTTCCTCGAGGAGTCTGTTATCCCAGCCAACCATAACAAGGTCCTCCACCACTAGATAAACCATCGGCCTTCCCTGTTTCAGTGCCGCCTTTTCCCTTAAGTTGCCTGCAATAGTCGATCTTGCATCTTGTCTGTTAGTTCCCACCCGAAAGACACCCAACTTGATGTAAGACCCGACAGCGACATCTCCAGCATCGACATACCGATGCATCTCAGCCGACAAGACGGCCTGGATACACAGCTGTCCATCACCTAGAAGTAAGCGGACGACGCGCCATCTCTTTGACCTCGAAGTATGTATAATATCAATCCCCTCGACCAGAAATATAGAGCCCAGTGGGCAGTACTCTGTGCGCAGGATGTCTGCAATGAGGGGCTTAGGTGTGAATGGCTCCGCGGCAATTCTAAATATGTAGTTGGCCAGGGTATCTGGACAAGAGGCAGACATGGATTTCCTCTGGTGAAGATCATCTGAAAAAAGGTCTTCCAGATGCAAGGGTCGTCGGGTGCTTACATTTCCAACCTCTTCGGGAAGTGACGTTGTGTACAGAACGCGTTGTTTGAGGGGCATCTAAGCGTCATTCGTATGGGTTAGCCTATGCAATATGAAGTGCCGCTAAGTATATATGCACTTATTCATAACACCCCTACCGGCCAGTGTTGTTGCATAACATGACCAACACCATGGGCTAATTAGGCGACCAGCAGGCAGTGCACTAAACTAAAGTAGGAAGGCACGCGATCTACTCGGCTAGTCGCCTCGTCACGAAGCTTCCACTGGTTCTATCCTACATAATCTATTCAACGCGATATAAAAAACTTAGCCTTTTATTTAGAAGAAATAGGCAAGCGCGATTATTTACTTATAAGTTATAGTTTATCTCGTGTCAAACAAGATCTTGATACTCCGAATCAGTTCGTCGATGGCAGGGTAGCCTTCGGAAACCTTGGACGGACGTTGATTTCCACAAGAGTCTACACAATCAATCTTGATACTGCTGCCAGTCAGCAACTTTTTTATGGCATAGAAATAATGGAATGTGGAGAGCGTGGTATAAGCAGGGATGAAGTGGCTCTCTAATGCCTGAAAATCGGTCTTAAGCATATGATTATCTTCTACTCGCAGACAAGTGTCAAAGGGGGCTTGACGGCCAGCTATGTTCCCGTGTAAAGCTGCAAACTCCTCACAATGCTGTGCTCTGCTTGGGGTTGCTTTGTAATTGCGCTTGTGTCGACCTTGAATGCAGCAGCTGGTTTTTCCAGGGTGGCTTGAGCATCTTGCTCGATCCTGTACGCAAATTTTATGGCTGTGTTTGTTACGATGGCCACGGCTGTCAGATCTAGCACCTCTCGTGGATCTTCTCCAGTCTTCTCTCTTGCGACTTGGCTGCTGTGACCCCACCTCTTGAGGGGGGAGCAGCGATTCACTTGTCGTTGTTGAGTCCCCTACACTACACTGCCACTACCTACCTGATGAAGAGCAACCGAGTTCTCTCTAGCAATCTCGTCCTTAACTCTGTACTTGAAAGTACCCGTGACATGATGTGAGGTGATGGAATAGACAAGTTTGCCAAGATAGCGGTCAATTCTAGTTGGGGAGACGAGAAAGACCTGTCGGGCGTAGTCTGGCAAGTGAAACATTGCATGGAAGTGGAGATAGTTGAACATAAGTTGAGAAAAAATTGAAGGACGACCGAATAGAAAATTTTCCTTGGGTAATACAGTTAAGAGAGTTGTATTGGTGATGATGATGGGCTATCTACGGGTAGCGGACCCGAGCACTGCACCTAGCATACATCTGGTGTGGTTAATGCATGCAATAGTTTCCTTGAGATCTTTTTCGGGTTCCCATGTGTATTTGCCATTGTGATACATATAAAAAGCCTAATTTTTGGTACCTCCTATAGTTATTTTTTATTTTTCACCTATGGCACTCAGATGAACAACCATAGTATTGAAGTTACAGGGTCACATCGCAAAAGGTGCCATGACTCGGAAGAAACCCTTAACTATTACTATAAAGCAATGCTTCGCTGACCTTCGTGCAGCTAGGTCGAGAAACCACATCATTCAAAAGATTGCAATGCATTCTACTATCTTCATCGGCAGTTCATAGACGACGCTGGTCACAAGCCTCCCTTTGAGTCTTACACTACATCTTTGGATACTTCATAACTTCTATTGTCATGCTATTGAAGAACCTTTGCCACTCGTGTTATGCACTAATTGATGCTGAAAAGAACCGATGTGGGGAAGTGATATGAAAGGTCTACACGCCTGGCTAATCTCCTGCAATTATGCCAAAGTCTCCAACGGTCCCTTATGCAAACTCACATTCAATCAGACTCTGGACACCCTTTCCACCACCCAGATCTTGATGGTCTTCAACCCAGTTGAACCAAGCAAGATCTGCCAACCATCCAGTGTGCGCTCCCTCGAAGAAAACAGCGTCAACATGACTATGTCAAGTGTCGCGGTCTCCCAATGAGCTGAAGTTCGCAGGATGACAGGTTTTATTGTAGATGTGATACGACTTAAGATGATCTGGTAGACATTGTCAGGCTATTTGTGGAGAACCGAGTGCACGTAATACACCCTGACTCCCTTGATTGGCGGCTCATCGCGGGAATCGTCCCCAAGCGCTCATAGTGAGCCTAGAGGTGCGGATATCGAAGGGCGATGCCTAATCACCGCAGCCGATCGGACATACCACCAGTCTAAAGTCCCAGGCCAGGGGATACGCACCCATTGATCTGACTGATCTTGTGGTAATAACACAGCATCCATGATTAGTTTCACCACCTGCCTTCTGCCCTCACACCACACAGCAGCCATGCTCAAATACGTACCGCAAATCTGAAGCGGGGTGTCCATCCAGTCCAGGCGGCACATCCCTACACAGGCTTGGCTACCATCTCCATAATGAACTATCATTCAAATAATTTGGCACCGACCGATGCTTTCGCCACGCTCACTACACGGTGTAATTTTGACGATGTTGTCCAAGGTATAAGATGAGTAATAATAGCAGGGACTAGGATACGTCTGCAATACTGGATCAGGGCATGATTCGAATCGAAGTTGCGGTTGATCCCAAGGCTATGTCGAAAGAACTGATCTGGGACTTGAGTATCGCAGTTATATAGATAGTCCATTGAGCATTCGGTAGTTATAGCCTGAAATTATGTCGGTCGTATAAGTGGCCAAATGTACCGTAAGGTCCGAACGTAACCCGCTGCCGATTATTTGCAGTAAGCTAGGTACTATGTTAGTAAGTTAACACACAATAAGTACCTATCTCACACAGTCAGTGTGAAAGATACGATATACGCTTTCGGAGTAGCTTTCGAATTCTGGGCTCTCACAACCCATGTTGGTTTTGTATGCGGAGTATACCTGGCCCCAGCAGTGTTTGATCATTGTCTCTCGCGTTGTCTCCAAAGCCTGGACCAGAGCTCAGGCTTTCAGCAGCATATTGTGGCGTGCTTCATCACCACCCTCTAAGGAGCCAGCATCCGCTCTGATCGCTTTGAGTCTCTGGACAGCCTCAATATCGTTGGGAGCCAAGGTGTCGGACCGCACCATCTTGTTAGTTTCTTCATCTGCTCTGTCAACCTAAATGTGCAGCCAAAAGCACATTTTTCTGTACTCAAGGCCCTTGTGGCCACCTTCGCTCTTGGGACTTGGAAGGACAGACATAATCAGTTCTATGCTTTGTTATAGATTGCAATAACTCCGATAAATGTCAGGTGCAGAAGTTTCTTCTATGCGAACTATAATATAGTGAAGCGCAGTCTCTTCCAGAACAGGAGAAGACATCCGAGTATCGACAATGTAAACAAAATAATTATAACAAAGCCCACTTCTCGAGATTGAGTATAAACCTACATGTTTAGGAAACGATAAAGAATGTTCTTTAACCGTACCCGACTTTGTGATTCCTAGAACAATCCCTTTTAAGCTTTAGACCCCACACTCACTTGCAGCAGACAATGTACTTAAATTCTTGTCCTTTGTTTTCTAACAGGGTCATAGTCTAACACACCCTGTTGCGAAGGAGTATTATTAATGAATGGCACCACACTCTAAACAATAACCAGAACATATTTGAGCTCCGTACCATCTACTGCCAGGTAAGCAGACAGATTTTGTAACCCAGTTCGACTCAAAGTCTACTCAAGGGTACCTGGCGTTGACTACGCTCCACCATGTCTTCTAACCAATACGAAATGTCAAAACGAAATCCCACGGAATGCCTGGCACGTTCGCTTGCCGGCGACCTTCTGCAAAGACATGTCAGACTTATACGATATCGTATTTGGTGGCGGGGTGTAGATCGCGTGGGGGTTTTGGTTGGTTACTGTAGACAAGCGGCGCTAGCTGTGACTGATTTTTTCCCTTGACCCTTCCGTGCCTGGAATTGGCGCTAAGAAGACTCGATAGACAGATGTATGAGATACAGCCTGGAAGTAATAGTTATAGAGTACGGTTCCGAAAACTGCTTTTACCCTCGTTATTATGTAATATTTGATCATCTAGCTACCTTGAATTAGGATACCTGTAATAATATACTTCATTCAATAGAGAAAATAAATCTGCATCGTATCTTTCAGGAATTGATTTGTGGAGTGACAGAACTATTGGGTTGTGTTTAGTGGTCGCCCTGCCCCTTGCCGCCATTCTCAATGAGTCTAGTTCCAACATATTTCTGATCGGTAGTGCCTAATTTCTCGTTCGTCTGTGCGATCTGCCTGTCGACTTCCTCGTAAATGGAGGGTCTTTGTAGCTGCACTGCTAGCTTATTGTTGAACACCAAGACACTCCTGTTGTCAAAGAAAAAGCGATCGATATCCTCCAGAGATCGGTGGGCGGTTTCTGGATAGAACAAGTAAGTGATTGGAAGAAATGCGGCGCATATCACGGCCCAAATGATCCAAAAGCGGTAACCCAAGTTGGCAATACCGGGAGGCGTGACCTGAGAGACCATATAATTGAAGATCCAACTACACCCTCGTTAGTCAGGACGAAGTCATGTGGCTGGGGAGAGAATGCCTACTTGGTGGACATGGCGAGACTCGCACCCTTCGCCCTGAATGCTAAAGCATTGACCTCGGTAGGGTAAACCCAGGGAACCCCGAGCACACCCATTGCGAACGCGGCGAAGAAGACGAAGAAGAATGTGACAGCCACAGCGCCCGTTTTGTACGAATCAGCCCGACCTGTCTCGGACAGCCCCATGCAGATGGCGATGATGGTCCAGCAAGTTGAGCATGCTGCCGCCGAACACATCATGACCTTGCGCCGTCCGAATCTCTCTATGACGAAATATGCCATGAAGGCGAAGAAGAGATAATCCATCGATCCGGCGGCGGCCAAGATACGCGCCGTCAGTTCATTCAGCCCAATGGCGTTAATGAAGACGTATGTCATATAGTAACTTGTCACATTAATGCCGGAGATTTGGTTGCTGGCTTGCATCCAAGCTCCCAGTATCATCCGCCGAAGCACTCCGGCCGGACCTCTTCCAGTGATAAGTTGCCACCAAGAATACTCGACGGAGTATTCCTTGTCGAGGACCTCCTTGATAATGGCAAACTGCGTCCGGACTTCAGGCGAATTGACCGTAGCTCCATTGCCATGGAGGGCAGCCAACACGCCGTACGCTTCGTCGTATTTCCCTTTACGGATGAGGAGGCGGGGCGAGTCGGGAAGAAAGGGGCACATCAGGCAAACAAGTACAGAAAAAACTGCGCAAGTGTTAGTTCCAAGGTCCACACGTTCCTCGAAGTGACTCACAAAGTTGAAATGCCAGCGGAAATCTCCACGAGCTTGAGTTTTCCACGAAGCTAAACCCTAGAGTAAGCCAATTCGAAATGGCGAAGCCGGTGATACAGTTGGCCATTTGGATGATGACCAGTTTGCCCCGGCTTGATATCTTGCTCGTCTCGGATTGCCAAACACCAGCTGTGGCGGTATTCATGCCGGTTCCTAGCCCAGAGATGACTCTACCCGCATACTGCATCTCCGCGTTGTAACAAGCTGCCTGTACAATTGCGCCGAGTGCAATAGTGACACTGCCCAGCATTAATGTCCGTGGTCGGCCCAGCTTGTCTCCTGTGTAGAGCGTTGAGAGGGCACCGCCGAAGCATCCCAGGTTCTGTTGATTTAGTCAGCTCGGCATTTGAATCATACTAGGTAGGAATTTTTACGTATACACTGGTCATTGTTCCCTTAGCCGTAGCTGATGGATAACCGACAGTACGTAAGAAATCCTCATTGATAAGAACATTGCCGAAGACACCTTGGTCATAACCATAGAAGACCAGGACTGTCGATGCTGCTATGGAGATCCACACAGTCAGTCTCGGACCCGAGCCACCCAAGTAACGGCTACCCATTTCTAAGAATTCTGGAAAGGTGTGTAAAGTAGCAGAAATCAGGAGTTGGGGGGACTCGATATTTAGACACTGTTACAGAGTATCATTCTTTGGTAAACCTCGAGTTTTGAAGTGCTTGATCACTACAATTGCGACTCGAGATGATCCACATATCAGTTATTTCGGGAATTCCACTGTCAGATGACGTTGTAATGCACGTACGAGTCGACCCCCCGCATCTCCTGTGGAACAACAGAGCATAGCCAGCGATCTATAGACATGGGGATTCGCGGGGAAGTTGGGGTAGGACTCAAACGCATTCAGCCTATCCAAAAGACCCGCGGCTACTTTTGTATCTTCCTTGGTTGACAGGGAAATCGATTTCCAAAGGCCGAATGCCGAGTAATGCCACCCCTATATCCACTGGCAAGTCACACGCCAATGCTGCCGCTTAGGGCGATGGGGTGACGGTGATGGTTATGTCGTGGAGGAAGTCTAAGTGCTCTAAGTATGATAGGGTCAATCTCAGTATTCTATACTTACTAACGTAGTCCACGGTCCAATTGCACACTTCGGCAGATTTTCGTACGCTACCACTTTGACCTGCGGTTTTTCACCACATAACTATGGTTGGTTCTTGGAATGAAAGTGATATGTTTCTAGCATTACATGCGCTTCAATCTGATCCAAAATTAAGTGTACGTCGCGCTGGTCAGATCTATAACGTACCTTTTAGAACCCTTGCGTATCGACGCGACGGTAAAACCGCTCGAGCGATTATACGATCGCCAACGCAAAAGTTGACTCCTTCCAAAGAAGAGGCAATCGTACGGCATATAACCGACCTAGATTCGCGAGCATTTCCTCCCCGATTGAGTGGTGTTGAAGATATGGCCAACCGATTACTTCGAAGTCGCGTCGGCGTCAACTGGGCCTCGAGCTTCGTAAGACGACAACCAGACCTCCGGACGCGTTTAAATCGAAGGATCGACTATCAGAGAGTCCTCTGCGAAGACCCCGACGCGCATAGCGCGTGGTTTTACCTGTTACGGAATACAATTGCGAAATACGCGATTCAGGAGGAGGATATCTACAACTTCGACGAGACCGGTTTTGTGATGGGCCAAATCTCGTCCGAAATGGTCGTGACGACTTCTGATCGGCGCGGAAGGCCTAGAGCAGCCCAGCAAGGAAATCGGGAATGGGTTACAGTTATTCAAGGCGTTGGGTCGTCCGGTTATGCCCTCCCTCCGTACATCATTTTCGCCGGCAAAACCCACCTCTCGTCATGGTACGAAAACAGCCCATTACCGCCTGATTGGGTTATCGCAGTTACTAAAAATGGCTGGACTACGAACGAGAGAGGCGAAGATTGGATAAAAAACTTCGATCATCACATCAAGTCTCGTACGAAAGGTACTCATCGCCTATTGATCCTCGACGGTCACGAAAGCCATCACTCGACCGATTTCAAGGTATATTGCAAAGCTAACAATATCGTCACGCTTTGTATGCCTCCTCGTTCGTCGCATAAGCTCCAGACTCTTGATGTTGGTTGTTTTCGCGGGTTAAAAAGAGCATACGGAAAAGAAATCGAAGATCTCATGCGAGCACATATAAGTCATATCTCGAAAGAAGACTTTTTACCGGCGTTTTTAAACGCGTACAACGCAACTTTCACGGTTTCAAATATCTAAGGAGGTTTTCGAGGGGTAGGAATATTTCCGTACGATGCAGATTATGTCATATCACAGCTCGATGTGAAATTACATACGCCAACACCTCCGGGTAGCTCGGCTGGTCTCCCCATCCCTTGGGAATCAAAGACTCCGAACAACCCAACCGAAGCCCAATCACAAACCGATTATGTGAAAAATAGGATTGTACGACATAAAAATAGCTCACCAACGTCAATTTTTGCTGGAATAGATCAGATTGCGCGAGGTACAACGAAGGTTATGCATCGGCTTGCCCTTTTAGAAGGCGAGGTCGAATCACTTCGAAAGGCAAATGAGACCTTAAGTCGACGTCGCCGTGCGAAGAAAAAACAGTTACAGAGTGGAGGGTCACTTCGTATACAAGCTGGACAGGACCTACAGTCTCAACGAGAGTTGATGGGCAGTTACATGACGAATTTCGTCAAATTGGTGGTCGTACGAGGCGGCGAATTGCGCGTGTACGGCGCTGTAGAATCTGCGGCGTGCCCGGACATAATGCGCGCACTTGTGGAAATGATGTAGAGACGTCTGAAGATAACGATTCTGAGTAGTTTCAATTGATGATAGGCGTTGTGGTTGAATTAACTTATACATTGTCGTATAAGGTCTGCCAAAGTGTGCAATTGGACCGTGGACTACGTTAGCAGATGTTTGAACCTTTAGCTGCACTGGTACGGGTGATCTTGGGCGAATCTGCGAAGCTATAGCATAAACCAAGGTATTGTAAATGTTGGCTGCTGGCTCAAGGAAAGCATGACCAAAATATGCAATGCTTCGGTTGGCCTTTTCAGTACATGAAGATGTGGGAACCATTGAACATGTAGACGTTAGGTGCGCAAATTCTCAAAAATCAAGGCAAAGAAGAAAAGAGAGGCATTTAGGTGTATCAAATCCAAGTAGTCCCGATGGAAAGATTAATAACTCTTAGCATTACAAGAAGAGCCTTAGGTAGACATAAGGCTGTCAGGGAAGCTTTGAAACAACAAAATTCAGCTAAATGGGCACAAGTTACACCATATAAACTATAGGATGAATAACGATGAGTAGAAAAGCGATGAACGGAATGGGGGACAAGCGACGGGATGACGAGCAAAGCAAGCATGAGCGAAGCAACAAGGAACGAAAATATAACATGGCATGTTCAATATACCATGCTTTCTTCCGGAATTTGTCTTCTTGGGGTGTACGAGTTTAATCTCTTCATGGCCCGAGAATCATATCCTTGTGACATATGGTCCTAAGAGGATATACTGAATTCCTTTCCCTTGGTTGCTTTATGGTCCCTGCACTTGACTAACATTAGTGACATCCCTGGTGGACACTTTTACTACCACGACACTAGAGTGCCTCTTATAGCGAAAATAATATCCAGCTAGTGCTCGAGGCGATCAAAAATGGCCATCCTTTCAGAAAGCAGCCCAAATTGCACGGATTTCAGAAGTCAAAACTATCTATCCGCTTTGAGGCAATGAATCTTGGCATAACATCAGTACAGTTCCGCAACAACTATCACCGGAACATGAACGAAACAGCCCTATGTCATTTCTGGTGACATGTCGCAGATTTCTGCATTAAGATATTATTGATACACTACTGGAGGATTGTACGTGATTCCAGAATCATTCACTCAGATAGCAACCTAACGACATGTCCTTTAAGTGGTTCCTGGCTTCCGGCTAGGTCTTGAATTTTCATCCCCAGGTCGTCATGCACCGTGTATGTCCTCGACTTGCTTCGCATAGTGGATGGCATATGTTCGCTTTTCTTGCTGGTTTACTCGTCGTAGCGCCCTTGTCTGGTCCCCTTTGATCCCTTTCAACTATTTTTAAATATAGTACGACCGAAAATAAGTTTGACAAGCGGTTAAAGCCTTGGTATGATGGATGAGACGATCATTGTGCTCCCTTCAATGCTAATGAATAAATTTCAGCTATCCACGCATAGAAATGGGTTTCAGCATGATAATAGGAGGTATTTCTCACACATTCCAGAACACCAGGTCAGCTGTATCACCTAGACGTCTACTATCAGTCCATAGCATCCACAAAGTGGAGCAAAGTTATTTCACAGAAGCAAGAACTGTCTAGAGAAGGTATCAGAGTTGACTTATAGATGGCTACGACGCCAGAACTATTGATTTCAGACTGGCTACAGGGATCTCCTTATAGATGCTAACTACATTGAGCCAAAGCCTAGAGCACAGCTCAAGAGAAATGGATTTCCTTCACCGAGCAAAACGCCCACTTTCGCCAATAGCGTCAATTGACCAAGGGCACCCACGACCCAGAGGAACCACCAATGTATTCTCCTAGGGTTAAGGAGTCGTGTGAGCAGGGCAATTACAGCCTATTTAGGGATTCCAAATGTAACGAGGAACAAGTGAGCCGCAGACACTCGCGCGCAGACCTATGTATCTTGTTTGGATTTGCTTGTCCTACGTAGGGGTGGGTATGGAACGGGATAAGGGGCTTTGATGCTGTTCACGGGGGTAGAATTTGCCAAAGGGGTGAAGACAAAGATGAAATAAGGCAAGAGGCGGACGATAGTAGATGAGGGAGACCATGGTAGACGCAACATATGGTGGTTAAGGTGGCTATTCCACAATCAGCAAGTTTCGGACTTGAAGAGGATCATTATGTGAAACGATGATGTATATATGTATCACGATGGTTCTGATGATATTGCCTAAGTGTGCCTAAGTGTGCAATGAATTTTACGGGACACAGATCTGAAGGACGAATATGTCGGGAAATGACATGCACTCGGAAGAGACATGTTTGATTTTAATGATGCTTCGGATGACTTTATCCATAGGCATATCAGTATATGTTGTGCTTGAGCAGTGTCACACCATTCCTACATGGCACAAGTACCTAGCACATGAAAATTCACCGTAATTGCATTTTCGAAAGGCAGCTTGGCCGTGTTTAGTCTATTTATCGGAAGAAATTGGGGAAAGCCGTATGCCAAGCAGAGCATCATTTTGACATTCCGCACGTGGAAGCTTAAGAGGTCAATAACCTGCACACTTCGATTATCCAGGCTGGGGCTAGATATTGAGTGGGAAGCGGAATATTCAGTGTTCGTGCACTGCCAATTTCAGTAAGAGGCTCTTGTCGCCATGAAGATCAGTAAAAATAGAAAGAGACGAGATACGCAGCGAACTTCAACCTTGTGAAGAGCTGATAATCGCTAGGTTTAATATGTTCAAAAAAGCAGGTATAACCTTGCAAGTAGCGGACGCCCGTGAAAATAAGATTGGAGCTGAAAACCATCCATAAGCCGAACTCTATCGGAACTAGGAGGTTACTGACCTGCTATTGAACTCGGTCTAAAATTGGAGATAACGTCTCTGTTCCCCCATGTATGCTTGACTCTATCGTGACTACGAGCATTTCGACCATGAGTAAGCTACGTGTGTTAATGCAAGAAAACTCCCAGGAACCTTTGCGCACTTAAGGAATGTCCATTATGAAGTATAAATCGAAGCTGTTTCCCACACGTAACAATCAGGGGGCACATAAAATTCTGAAATACGCGAACCTTGCGACTTCAATATGACTGATTGGAAATATGCACTTTCGTTGCCGCATAGCGAAGTGAAGAACCAAGCTCCACCTGGAACGATGCGACTCGTAGGTGAGCAATCAACCTAATCCCAAAATCGACTCGGTCACCAGGTGTCTAATCAGAACATACAGAACGCTTGAGTCAGACCAGGACTCAAGATGGCCGGATTATCAAGTTCCCCGTTCCTTCCGCCGACCCTGCGGACCCTCTGAACTGGGACCTTTGGCGGAAGACAGCCTGTCTCTCAGTCGTATCGCTGTATGCCTGTGTAGCCAACTTCACGGGGACATCTCTTGTCCCGGCGTTGCCACTATGGAATAAGACGTTCCCCCAACATCCAAAGCCGCTTGCACAGCTGAATCAACTCATTGCAGTTCGTTCTCCACAACGTACAGCAGTGGAGTCCCCTCACTAAGCTAATGCTTCCCAGATCCAAGTTTTAATGATGGGTCTAGGGAATATTTTCTGGGTTCCATTGGCAAACGTCTTCGGCAAACGAGCCATACTCATCGCCGCGACTCTGATGCTAGTCATCTCGACTTTCTGCGGTGGCCTAACATCATCTTTTGAGAATCTCCTAGTGATCAGGGTATTTCAAGGAATAGGGGGTGCGGCATCAGAGACAATAGCTCCTGGCGTAGTAGGAGATGTCTTCTTTGCGAACCAACGTGGGCGCGCTATGGTATGCTCCAAAGAACATCGTACTGTAACCGCCCCAACTGATATCAGATATAGGGGGCTTTCACTGCTTCCCTCGCCAGCGGTGCCATTGTCGGTGGCATTTCTGGTGGGTACATTGCCCATCAACTGGGTTGGACTTACATATTTTGGGTCCAGACGGCGCTCACTAGCACCGTGTTCCTTGGTACACTATTCCTGGTCCCAGAAACGCTCTTCGCTCGCGAGATTGCCTCGCCGCAGCCGACGCTGCACGATGCTGTCATCTTCAAGCACGCAGATTCAGTGAAAGACGAGTACAAGCCTTACACCTCCCTGCGCTCTCTGAGAATCGGGCGGTACGAGGGTAATATTGTGCGTCACTTCGTCAAACCTTGGCTAACCTTGCGATTGCCTGGAACTTGGGTCATCATGTTGCAGTATGGCGGCATTGTGGGCGGTGTCGTTGTCATGACGACCGTCGGCCCTCAGCTTCTGATTCAGCCGCCGTACAGATGGGGGCAAAATGCCGGGCTTATTTTTGTGGGATCGTTGGTTGGAATCATCATAGCTGGTTTCGTCACTCACCTCTGCACGGATTGGCTGCTCGAGAGGGGCGCGAAGCGTGAGAATCACGGTTATGCCGAACCGGAGACGAGGTTATACCTGATGCTCCCGGCTCTTCTCATCGCTACAGGAGGATTACTAGTGTTCGGTTTCTGTGCTCAGTATCCCGGACCGAATATGTGGGTTGGACTCAGCTTTGGCAGTGGGATGGCTGCGTACGGGAATGCCCAGGTACCTTCAGTTGGTTTCGGCTATGTGAGTGTGCTGGTGTCGTGGTATTCTATGCATGGTTGTTTTTATCTAACACAAACTCCCAGCTTATCGATGCATACTCAGTGGTGGCTGGAGACTGCTTCGTCATGGTCTGCGTGCTGCGAGCCATCATAGGCTTCTCATGGACATTCTTCGTTGGAGAGTGGACGAGTCACGCCGGATACGCCCTGCCGTTTGGAGTCTTCGCAGCGATTCTGGGTACGTTCTCTCTGCTGACCATCCCACTGATTATATGGGGAAAGAGATGCAGAATCGCGACCGCTCGGTTGATAACTCGCGAGTATGAGAAGCGTGGAACGGTCCAAAGTTCCCTGGACATTGGGGCAGTTAGCTTGCATGCTACGTTCCCAGCTACATATCGAAATGGCCGATGGTCGTGTTGATTTTCTAGATACAGCAGGCAAGGAGATGATGGTGGAGTGCAGGAGCATGCAATGCGCCGAGTTTGTCACGATTTTCTGTGCACGAGTGATAAAATTGGACAAGAACAGCCCAAATATCGAAGGCATCTGATGATAGTTTACCAGTAAAATCATATTTGCCTGAGACCAACACTTCATAGTTGACAGTGCCTGAACCTGATCTCAGCTTTCGTTCTGTGTCCCCCTGGGAGTCCCCCTGGGAGCTTCTATCCTTCTACTTCTGGGACGCTACCGCCATGCAGTCGTATTAAGCCTCACTCATATCCTTCCTATCCCTAGTCTTCAAACCCTTGGAGAAGTAGTCAAACAGAGTCGCAATCAACTATCTTCTTGACAGTGAAACATCCTAATCCTTTCCCATTACTGAGAGAGAATTTCGCTCGTATTCGTACATATTCGCACATATTTTAAGACTAACGTGAATGTACACCGAGCTGGCCATGACACCGAGCTGGCCACTTTCATGCGCCAACGCGACCGGCCAACTTAATCTTTGATTTTCTCAACAACCAATTATGGCAAAGTCATACAACGAAGCAGACTTAATGCTAGCCCTTCAAGCTCTCAAAAGTGACCAAAAACTTAGTCTCCGACAAGCGGCAAAAACGTACCAAGTCCCCCGAAGCACCCTCCAAACGCGTAAAAACGCGCCCGAGGCGCTGTGGTATTTGCAACGGGACTGGGCATAATGCGCGAACTTGTAACATCGCATTGCCATCTTCTGGAGAGGAAGATTCAGAGTAGTTTCAACTGGTTTACGGCGTTGTGGTTTTACTATCGTAAAATTTCTATGCGAGGTTATGTAAGGGTAGCCAGCTCGGTGTACGTTCACGTTAGAGGTTGACTATTCGGGCTGAATTATTGTAACCAGGGTTGGCACTTTAAGATACGTTACTCATGACATGTAGAGGTTAAGTGCTTGCTGCGCCGTGGAAAATGCAAAGGGATAAATCCAAATACATAGAGGGTTTAAGCTAGGGGGGCCTTGGTTTGGTTCCGTTATAAACAGTTAACAGAAGGGTAGACAGTAGGGTTCGCCGGAAATGGCTACCATAGCATCCCACCCTTTCGCTCAGGTAAATATTACGAACCTTAGATAAATTGGTCAACTTCGTTATAGGTTATCTAAACAGAAATAAGAGCTATCAAAGTACTCTTTTCGTATTAAATAGGTTAAATATTTAAATATTTAAATATTATCGCAATCTTTTCCTTTTAAGCTGAAGACTATTCTTAATAATGATAAACGAAGTAAACTAGGCTATTATTTAATATTTGACTTCTTATAAACGTTAAACTAAAGAAATAACGAGACATCCTACAAATAAACCGAACTTTTCTACTTACAGCTCAAGTTACAATTTCTAGAAATATCTTCTGTTTTTACTGTATAAGTATTTGTTGAAGAGTTCCAGGGCTGCGGCGTTTTTCCCTAATAAATTGGTTAAGATTTCTTACACTCCCTGACTTACATGGAAAGTATCAGGGTTAGGACTCGGTTTAGGCTCTACCGCTTGTACATTTATGCGATTGTATTGATTCATTGGTTGAATTTCGAAAATATCGTTGTCAGAAGATTATCCTATAATAAACCCCAACTCATATTCGCTCAAGAAAATTACAAAGTAAAGGGGGAAGATCTTTGAGTTCTCCTCCACAGCATACACACCGTATATTCTGATAGCAAGTTTAATGTCCAAATTTTCTCTCGTTCGACTCGCTCTCTTTCTCTCATGAAACCTAGTATCTTAGAAAAGATACCACGTAATAAATCATACCAGTCTTCATTGCCTAACCGAGCCAAGTCAACAAAGCTTCCTCGTGAAATTATTGAGGGCATTTTCTCCCTCAGTGCCGACAACAAGAATATCTGTATCTTTTTACCCAGTTGAATTCATCGCCAGTGCAATTGTACTTACTCTCGTCCCTTTCCATCAATTACATACTACTTGTTCTCCGGTGTTTCACCAGGATCTTCCTCGCCAGACGACGGGGGTTTCGAGCCGGCCATTGAGCCTTGCCCTAGAAACAAGCCCAAGCTTGCAATTCCAACGACGAGGAAGACCCTGAGAAACCAGCTAGCAATGCGCCCATATTTGAATATCCAGCTAGCCAGCCACTGCATCATTGGTGTCACCAGCTGCTGTCGCTCATAGTCAAGATCCGGATTGACCGTGAAAATAACACCCATCAAAGCGACTAGGATCAAGCCCAGGATGATGGTGGTGAAGACTTGGACGCAAGCCAGCAAGATGGCGATATTTTTCGTCGTTTGGAGAACTTCAAACCCCGCGGCTACCAGTGGCGTGACTTGGTCGAATGCATGGTTGATTTCCTTGGAATAGGGGATGCCCATCTTGTGGAATGTGTAGATAGATAATACGTGCGATTCGAGTGTGAAGGTTATTGATTTCGTATGGAAGAGAAAAGCTAGCCCCGAATGTAACGCAATGGATGTTGGTGATGTTCATCTAATAATACTTCGGTGATGTCATGGGCATTTATGGGATCAGATGCCGCCTATGCTGGCCAATCATCACGAATTTGGGTATGGTGGCCACAACCTGACCCCGATTCGGACGGTTTCAAGTTTCGTTATTTCCGCCGACTGCTACGATGTCCCCCTGATGGACTCCTGAAACCAGATGCCTAGTGCAATTCTATTTGTGTTCTTTTTATAACTCGGTTTTGATGAAGAAGGATGTTCTATGCAGTAGCGTTGCAAGAGCCGCAACAAATACCAATACACTTGGCTAGTGTGGGTGCTGAGCTGCGTGCGTGAATGGAGCTAAGGTGATGGGACCTGCTGATTCTCACTGTAGGAATAGCGTAAGGCAGGTTAAGAAGCATATTGATCCAATAGGTACGTAAAAGTTGGGATAACAAAGAGTGGGCAACCTTGGCATTCAGTATAAACGTGGAATTCACAGAGTTGGAATGGCTCCGCTTAATTTGCCCAATATTGTCTCCTATGTGCCCTGACGACGTAAACGTTGATAACCAAACTGAATATTCTAAATGTAGCAAAATCAGTTCCCACAGATCAGTTCCCACAAATAGTTCTCTTAAATGGCTTAGAAACCACCCGGACCACCCATACCACCTCTCATACCTCCCATCATCCCCCCACGCATACCTCCCCTCATTCCACCCCTCATACCACCCATACCGCCTCTCATACCTCTGTTAAAACCCTGTCCGTCACTCGTGGACGTTTGCTGATGCTGCTCATCATGCTTCTCCTGTTCATGCTTTGCCTGTTCTTTCCGCTCCTCGTCACGTTTCTCCTGTTCGTGCTTTGCCTCTTGTTGTTTCCTCTCCTCGTCACGCTTCTCCTGCTCACGTCTTTCTTCATCACGTCTTTGTTGATACCGACGTTCATCGTCACGTTTCTCATCCTCGCGCCTGTCGTGATACCGTCTCTCTTCATCGCGTTTTTTCTGTTCACGCATCTCTTTCTCTTGTCTTTCTCGTTCGTGCTGCTTGCCGTGTACCTTCTCGTCGACCTTCTGCTCGAACTCTGTTTGGACAATATTGTCAGTAAATTTGTATTCCGGGATGGAGGAAAGAGTGACGAAGGTGAAATATTTGAAACACGCACTAGAAATAAGACCCATAGTTGCGGTTGTAATGTAGTTACGACTGAGTCACACTGATAAGAGAGATGCCCAAATGTTTCGAATTAGGTGTATTGTTTTGAAGCGTTGCGGTTGTTAATTGTTGGCGTGTGTGGCCGACGAACGTCTCTTGAAATGCGTAGAGCATCATATATCTTATATACAAATTAGTTTAAGGGTGCTCGACTAATCTAGACACATAAACTTGTTTTCATCAATATGCTTCGCGGACCATTTCAGTGATGACGTGTCTCACACCAGGGTCAAGTTCTCCTTGGGCCAAACCGAATTTGTCTTTCTGAAGTGTACGTTTGGGACCATCTGATCCCGACACCTTCATCTGTCGGCATCGGGTTCTCTGTATGGCTCAGCTATCTTGTGGCGTGAATACAGGAGTAGGCTAACTTTGGTATCGGTCCCAGCACTTTGGGCTCATTGCATCATAATTGATACGTACATAGAAACATAGTTCAGAAGTGGCCAAGCTGCGTCAAAAGTGCGACTGGCATTATGTCCATTTAGACTCATTCCATGCAGCATTGGGTTTTCCAATAGATTGGTGTGTTTGGCGCGAACTATTAAACAAACTCTCCAAAGATGCATAGTTGAAAGTCGCCCATGGTACCAGTTGTTGCGCCGGGCTGATAATCATCGTCTTAGCCCAGATTGCAACTTCAAGCCTAAAAGTCGAACCGGACTGTGGCCCACTATAAGCTTATACCGGCTATGGTGCCGACTGTATCAGTACATACAAGCTGTAAAGGTTATTCCAGGGCTACACCCTCCGCGCGCCTACAATTAGGTATGTCTAAGGGGAACTGAAGACATTTGGTCTTTCCCTTGTGCAAGTAGTTGATAATTCTTTCCCTCTAAGTGGCACAGTGATTTAGAATGCCATCTAGGAGGCATAGGCTAGAGGGCTCGGTAGCCATGGTTCAGTGCTGTTTCAGTTAAACCTTTATTTTCTTCAAAAAGGTTTTATTATATAACTAATATAGTACTTTATAAGCTCTTCGAGCTAATAACTGTGGGATCGCACTGTGTCAGGGTACGGCTAGGCCGAAGGCAATAGTACAGAGTGATGGGGAGTAACGGGCGTCCCTCCTACGTAGCACCGGGTGGTCACTGGCGGTCTCAGGTAGGGGTGCCCACGATGATGCATTGATCTCTACTCTCTCTATCTTCTTCCCGGGCCTCCGCCCCTTACATAGATAGCTAGAACCCGGCGTCGGAGCCGCGGAGCACTAGTTTCTCCGATTGTTCCGCAAACCAAGACTTCCATATCGTGTCATGACTCGCACGTCCCTACACCAGAGCCCCACCGGTGTCCCACCGGTGCCTATGGCATTCTGTTCTCTGACAATATATTCCGTACAAGGTTGAACTATTCCTAAATCTTGGGATCTTTGTATAAGCCCCTCTAGTAGTTATATAGGCGATTAAAGCGTAATTAAGCTCGAATTACTATTATACGAAGCTGTAAGCCTCGTTTTAACCGATATATTTCACGCCGTGCTCCACGAGTTAAGAACCCCCTGAAGCCTATAAGCTCACTTATACAGAGCTCTTTGTCCTGTTACATAAGGAAACGTTAGATTATAAATATTAGTTAAACTTGCAAAATCTCTTTATCAGCTCTGCTAATTGTTTTCTAGTGTCCCTAGCTGCTATAACAGATATATTGATGAGAATGTCGTTGAAATTGATTGGATAACAAGGCTGGTTGGTTACACTCAATCAATCATGTTTGTCTAGTTGAGTTACGGTATTATGTGCTATTATCAAGAACCGATGCATCGTGTTTTATACAAAGATCCCCCAGTCTGAGTTGACCCTTCACCCTTTTCGGCGCAGATTGCTCACCCGAAGTTGATTGAAGCTTCGGTTGCCACACTGAATACCATTTATTATTCAAGCCCACCTACATTCAGAGTTAAATCAATGGGACCCATCTTCATCTTCCAAGCACTAAACCACAGAAATCTTGATTTGCACACAGCAATCAAGGATTCACACCGATCTACAACCAGACAACACCACAAGCAACATGGATTTTTCAAGACACGACGGCAAGCCTTACTTAGATATTTCCATCCAACACTACCAGATATCCTCAAGGAGCTGTTATAAATAGAAGAATGAGTCGCTGCTTGCCATGTTGATTCCATGAAGGAGACGACCTATGGTTAAATAGACTCCGAATACGACCCTGAGGGCCGATCATACGGGCCGTCCAATAGGCCACTTCGACGATCCTGTCTTTTTGAGGCCTTTCGAGGCTGATCGCGATGGTCTGGCCCATAAAAGTAACCTGAATAGACGCTCACCGAGCGCGCTGCCAGCGCCGGGGTTCCTCTCTCCGCACCCGCGACCACTCCCAAGGCATCTTCCCTGGCCCCCGTTCGCAAGCACCAGGATAACAACTCGTGGCATTACCAACACCCATAAGACCAATATCAGCTTTCACGGTGCTGTCACAAAGATCGCACCCGCCCACGGCACCATCACTCACAGTTGTCAACGACGCCGTTCCTTCTCAAGTTGCTCGCGCCAACATAACCCTAGATATGATTCGAGTAAATCAGAAATAATGGGAGGCCTACATGGTTCGCACTCGATCATTCTTAGACATAAATATATTGATGGAGTGATGGTGGACCAGAAGCAGCTTCGACGAGAATGCGAGCGCATGGGAAAGCCTTAAACCCTGCCCAGACTGAAGGCATGCCCTATGTAATTGCGAGACTGAGATCGCTTATGCTGTTGTCACTCCAGAATCATAAGATAATCAAGATGATATAAAAGAAGATAGCTACACAAGAAATATTCACTCATATTCGAAAATAAGCATCCATGAATGAATGAAATTGTGTATGACAGGTCTGGTTGTGCCGACTCAAATGTGTATTCAACTACCAACGGGAATAACCTTCGTTCTCCCCAAACCTTCCCTCGCATAGTAATCCATAGGATATGGCCCCTTGCCCCAGTCCTCACGCTCTTCAAGAGCCACGAGCGCCTCATACGGAGTCAAGAGCGGCCTCGGAAACGCGTAACCCCAATCAATGCTCAGCCGCGGGCAGGCCACCTGTACCCAACATTCAACATCATCCATCAGAGCTAGCTTCCCCGGGAATATCTCGCTTAATAGGAGGTTAACCCAAGGAATGCCCATTTTCTCCAACTTGCTTTCTATCAAGCTCATCGTGTGGGGGTTCCCCTGCCGCCCAAGCGACCCCAAGATGAGGCCCCATTTCTTGGCACCCTTCGCCGTGCTGATGGCGTCTCGTCGTAAAGACTGCATCTCCTCATGTCCATAAGTCTCTTTTGTCAGCTTCCGTGAGTAGGGATCATAGCGATACGCCGGTATCGAAGGGTTGTGTATCATGATACTTTCGAGGTGGAAACGGCCATCACCAAGATACAGGATCAGATCGACATTTTCCGAGTCGAGAAGGCGCGGTGACGTGCATCCGAGAATCTCACCCTTGGACAGAGGTGAAATCTGCGGGACGAGTACTTTGAAGCCAGCCCTCTCTAGAGTCGACTTTACTCCGTGGATGGTCGCATTGAACTGGATCGTCCCGACCATGGCGATAGTTTTGGGAGGCGCAAAGTTGCGCTCCAGCGTCGCCAACAGATGCGACGAGTCTATGCTGATGTCTACGAAGACATACAGCGTCTTGATCTTGGTCACGTCGACTGGTATCAGGCAGCTGTGAGCATAATGGATCAGGATATCGCAGCCCAGTGCCCTCGCCGTGTAGTCGTCGATGCAGCAAGCACCATAGGTGACATCTCCCATGATGAGCGTCTCGATGCCGGGACAAAACTGCGTGAGAATGTCTGAAACGGTCGTTGCAAACATGAGTAGGCCCTCTGGCATCTGCAGAGCAACCTTCTTCGCGCCTGCCGACCGGATGCGATGTATGGTCTTGGGAATTTCAAACGAGTAGTTGGCCGGCAGCAGCGTCATGGCCTCTTTGAGACTTGGGTCCTCCAAGATCTCAGGCGGTACTGAGTTCAGGAGCCGGGGTGCTCTCCGTGGCTGTGCGACTGCGACTCCTTAGAAATCTCATGATGCAATCCGCGAGGGGGGAGGGAAGCTACCTTGAATCGCCCCGCTATCCTCGACCGACGGACCACCCGCACCATCTCTCGCCGCCTTGGCTGCTCTTCGCCCTACAAACCTTTTTTTGGGCTGTTTATAGAGTGGCGGTGACGGGGGTGTTTGCGCCTCTTCTATGTCGGCTGCAATCCCAAGATCTGTCTGTGCTCTGTCTTCCTCCATGGCTGCTGAAGGCACTCGGACTGATGCTCTTCACCCCGCTTCGCGAATATCGAGACCCTGACCAATAATGTAGTCCGATTTGCGCTGAGCCCTATTCGCTATGAGCGGTGCGCAAAATGCGTCGAGATTATGATAAGGGTATTTCAGAGAATCTGAATGGGTAATTTGAAGGGTGCTGGCTTCGGATGTCAGATGTCAGGTTGTCTGTCTCTGTGAAGCTGTGCTGTTGGGTGGTAAAAATTCATATTGGTGGAGTAAGACCGTTGCTTGCATAAGCCCCGTTATTACGTTAGCATGAACCAAAGCTACTCACGAATGAAACCCAGTTACACTCCAATCATGTTCACATTGAGCTTAAAGAACAACAGCCACACGCAGGTTAGAGTGATTGTTAAATCAAGTAATTTTGCATTAAATTAGATACTATGGAGCTATATTCAGCTCGGGAAGGTATTTGTAAAAGTTGTTCATCGCACAGTACAAATCTTCACGCAGCTTCATGCCGTGGTGTTGTGGCTAAAGCGATAACTAGCCTGAAGGATATACGGGTCACCACCAGGTTCGTAAATTTGCTTGCTAGAGCGTCCCCATTCCGGCTGATTGATGGCGTCAATCCAGTCTTCAACCTCCATGACGACACAGCCATACTGGGGAATGATGCGCGGGAAATATTCCTTATCATCAAGGCCCTGACTCGTCTTGAGCGCCATGGACCCGTTCTGTCCGTTGCAAGAGTACATCTGGAAGGCTTCTTGGTCGGAGTATACGTCAACTTGGATGCCTGACCAGGCCGACTGCAGGCGGGCGACGAAGCCGTCAGTTCGCCAGTCGTAGGGGCCGTTCTGGGCGCGGTTGACGAGCCAGCAAGTGTCTAGTCCAGAAAGTTAGCATGCAGGAGATTCATGATATTAGGACAGGGGGGTTGAACGCACCATAACCTGTACAGTTGAAGCCGCAATTGCCGTCGAGTTCTGGGTTGCCAAAACTGGCACCAATTTGTTTGGGTCCGCTCCAGAAGTCGTTCACAGACCCTGGCTGGTTGGCAAGGATGTCCCCCGTCGGAATAAGGATGTTGTCGACCCCAACTCGCTGACCACTGTAGGGCATATAGAAGGTGTGATTCAGAGCCGTGTTGGTCTCGTTGTTACTAAACCCATCGAGGTTCCAGTATGTGTGACTGCTAAGCATGATGGGAGTTTTCTTGGTCGTTGCAAGAGCCACCATCTTGAAGTCCCAAGTCCAGTCGTGGACGGTGTAAGTGACGTATGAAACCACTTCTCCCGGGAAGCCTTGCTCGCCATCAGGGTCGACGATCGAGAATGTGATGCTGTCGTTGGCATGAGCAACGACGGTGAAGTTCCGGTAGTCCCAACCGTTGTGGCCACCGTGAAGAGTATCTGCGCCATCCGGAGCCTCAGCTGTGGGGTTCTCGTTGGCATTCACTTTGTATGAAACTCCATCAATTTCGAAGGTACTGTTCTTGATGCGGTTGGCGTATCGACCCGGGACACTGCCGAAGTGGGGGTGCTGCTTGTCGATTTCGTAGTAACTGGCATTGTCAAAGCCAGCAACAATATCTCGTTGAATCCCCCATGCATCGTTGATCAGGAGTTTGGCAATTGACGCGCCATAAGGAATGAAGGCGGCGGCGAGCCCCTCGCTGTAGATCCAGTAGAAGCCATGCTCATCCGGGGCGAGACTTGAGGAGGCATTGCTGCTTCCTGTGCCTCCATACGACTGAGCGGCAGTAATTGGGAGCAGAAACGTTCCCAATGCAGCAAGACAAGCTTTCACACGCATTGTAGTGAAGGTGTGGTCGGTTGCGCTAGAGCAGTAGAACAGTATTTGATAGTTAAAATAATTCACTGAGAATCGCAAATATCCAAGATTGCATGCAACAACGACACTACTTATATGAAGGAACCGTGGGCAGAACCCCTAGTCAGCCACAGCTTGGAACAGTTTGACAACGAAAATAAGCAGCCATAACCGCAAACAAGGGAATGCGGAAAATAATATTAGCTTAAGCTCACAGGTCTAGAAAATGGATACAAGTGGATCGGCAAGCTACCCCGCTTCGCGAAGTTCGAAGTTGGGGTAACGACATAACAAAGACACATCATATGCATCTGGTAAGCAAGCGATAGTCGGTGAGTGTTTGGTTTAAATTGGAGAATATTTGGCGTAACTTGACAGATACAGAAGGTCGGCTTGAACTTGGAGGACTTCCACTTAAAAACCAAGCGCTGATTCGCTCGCAAAGTGCTGTGCGACTGTACCGTCTGGTTCCCATGATCAGTCGCACTCGATGCCTTGCTTGCAGGGCGAATGCTTGATGGGACCAAATGACCGGTTGCGTAAACCCTGCAGCTAACACTGGTCCCAATGGCTCGTCGCCAGGATGTGACGGTCTTCCCGGATATTTGTCGTTGGTCACAATCCTCATCTCAGGAGTCCTCGGCTGAGGTGAGACAATGACGATCGTCATTGAACATTAGCTCTACCGTGTTCGTGTGCCTTACATAAAGAAACGACGCATTCCTACGCTGTGCCATAATGCACCGCTTGGGTCCAATGGTATTTCTAGGGCCACGAAGAGACGTTCAGAGGGTCATTCGAGAAAAATAAATAAAAAAGAAATAAGCGTCAAAGCCAGGGAGGAGTCGACGTGTGTTGTTTCCATGCGGAGAAACCCGAGAACGAAGACTGACGAGGGGAACTTCGAATCAAACATGTCGTCACACTCGGCACGCAAACAAGCAAGCACCGTAATTGGAGCGGGAGAAGTTACATTCGCCCACCAACCCATGCCTATGGAAGCTGAGCAAGGGCCCCTGTAAAACTGGCACCGGGGGGATATCCCCTCCAGTGCGGGGTAGAGCCATGACACCCAATTGGCGGCTTCACCCCAACCCCAGAATCCTTCGAGCTTCCCCATCTTCTCGGGTTGGGAATAAACCAGCGTGGCTGGGGACAGGCGGGGGAATTGTGATGCGAGAAGACCAAGACGGCTGTAATTCACCCACTCAGGATTGTTTGTCCCATTGACTTTTGTGGAGAGAAAATTGTTCGGTATTTGTCTACAAGTCGGAACACCAATCCAGAGCTTGTGCCCGCACCTGGCAAGAGCACAAAACATGGTACACACATGTTTCCGCAACAAGGCTGAGCCGAATTGCTGTCGATTGCAGGTTGTTATATGCAGGTGGATGGCTCATGTGGTGTAGAGCCGTGGATTTCGCCGGAGCTAGCCATGTACCCGAGAGTCTCGACATTGGACGTCAGGCAATGGATCAACTAATGGAATAATACATGCGATTTCGCCTTGTTGGGTGTAGTCCGTTTGTATGAATACAAAGAGGACGAAAGGTGCAATGAATACCGAGGTTGGGGGCCCATAGAAACACAAGGGCTCTACAAGGCCAGCAGCTGTGGCTTGGGCACCTTGTGATATCACCTCGGCCCTGTTGTCACACGGAGGCAATACCAGAACATCATCATAATCGCACTTGTCAATTGTTGCTTCACAAGGATACTCGAGCGAACAATATTAACAGGGAACAACGTATAGAATTGCTTCACTATCTCCCATTGCAGTAATCAGAAGGTTGTTGCTACCAGTCTCGCCAACGAAATAACGTATACTCAATGGTTTGTCCTTTACGCATCGATGAGGTTCTCCTCTCGATCCTCCGGGTGTGTCGTCTTCGGCTTCGCTGTACTCTCAGCCTCCTTACCCTTTCTTTGGTAGAACTCCTGGATGATCTTGGCGGGGATACGGTTCAGCAGTTCCTTGGGGTAGATTCTGAGCAGGCTCCAAGCCAGGTCGAGAGATTCGATGATGGTTCTCGACTCGTATGCACCCTGAGTGACGAAGCTGCGCTCGAATTTTTCTAAGAATTCGAGGGACAACTTGTCCTCAGCAGACAAGGCCTCCTCACCAACGACAGCCTTCATGGCTGCAGCATCACGTCCAATAGCGTACTTGGCGTACAGCTGGTTCGATACATCTCCGTGGTCCTTTCGGGTCATGCCCTCACCGATGGCAGACTTCATGAGACGAGAAAGCGACGGAAGGACATTGACAGGCGGGTAGATGCCACGATTGTGAAGTTGTCGGTCGACGAAGATTTGACCCTCCGTGATGTAGCCCGTCAAATCAGGGATGGGGTGCGTGATGTCATCATTGGGCATGGTCAGAATAGGAATCTGGGTGATGGAGCCATTTCTTCCTTCGACACGGCCAGCTCGTTCGTAGATGGTGGACAAATCAGTGTACATGTAACCGGGGAAACCACGCCGACCAGGGACTTCTTCTCGTGCTGCCGAAACTTCTCGTAGAGCATCACAGTAGGCAGACAGATCAGTAAGGATAACCAACACATGCTTCTCGAGCTGGTAGGCATAGTACTCGGCGGTGGTAAGAGCGAGACGAGGAGTGATAATACGTTCGATACTGAATGGTGTTAGCAGGATCCTATCACCGAGTGCAGGAAGAAAACGTACGTGGGGTCGTTTGCAAGGTTGAGAAATAGCGTAACACGCTCCAAACTGCCGTTCTCCTCAAAGTCGCGAGTGAAGAATCTCGCAGTTTCCAAGTTGACACCCATGGCGGCAAAGACGATGGAGAAGTTCTCCTCGTGGTTATCATGTACACCCTTGTTCGTCACACCCTGTTTCTGGTGCTGCTTGACGAGACCGGCCTGTCGGCAAATCTGGGCAGCGATTTCGTTGTGTGGTAGACCGGCGGCAGAGAAGATGGGGATCTTTTGGCCACGGGCAATCGAGTTCATGGTGTCGATGGTCGAGATACCGGTCGAGATCATTTCTTCGGGGTAGACCTAGAGGGAGTCAGCCTCAGCAATACAGGAGGGCTAAAAAGGCACATACTCTCGAGAAGGGGTTAATGGGACTGCCGTTGATGTCAAGGTAGTCCTCGGCCAAGACCTTGGGGCCCTTGTCAATGGCCCGTCCTGATCCATCGAAGATACGCCCCAACATGTCCTCTGAGACACCAAGCTTCAAACTTTCTCCTGTGAACTCGACCTTTGTCTTCTTGACATCGATACCGGATGTACCTTCAAACACCTGCACGACGGCGCGGTTGCCTGCATCATACCTCATCAGCGGGGTGAGACTAAGCGTCGTCAAGAGGAAGACGTCGTACCTCGAGCCTCCAGGACCTGCCCAGATCTCTCTGTCCCATCAGGGAGAGTGAGGGTCACGATCTCATTGTATCGGGGGAACTTGACATTGTCAAGAATGACCAGAGGTCCGTTGACACCACCGACGGTGTTGTATCGGATTCTGGGTATGATGGAATATGACGACGACTCTCGAGGGTCCGCCATGGCTGCACTTAGTGTATTTGTAGGTATTTGGAGTGATGGTGGAGCTCGAGGCTCTTTGGTGTCGTCGTAGGAGGCGGCTGCGGCAATTCCAAGATGTCGTAGGCTAGAATGTTAGTATGAAGCTGGTCTTTGGGGCTCCAAAGAGCATTGACATTGCTTGGCCAAGCCCTGAGCGCGCTACTTCTGATTTGGGAAATCAGCTACGATAAAGGCCCCGCCAAGTGCAATCGGCAAATCACATGACATCCTTCTGCTCTTACCTGGGACGACGACATATCTACGCTAAGTTTTTATCTTAGAGGTGAAATTTTCGCAAAATGTAAAATTAATAATGGAGCGAACTGAGATTTGGAAGACATAGGTTCCTAAGATTTCAGAATGACCGGGAGACTTTCGGGAAACTGACATGCAGCCAAACCAAGACAAATGCACACCCGTAGACCAGTTCCACAGGAAAGAGCCACCAAGGCTAGACCCGCACATATACATAAACCTCAGGGTACCCACTAGGCCTCTATTATAGCAACGCAGCTACCGAGTAATCAGGAAATGGCGAAGTTGAATTAAGCGGGTTTCATGATGTAATTCCCAAACAATCCTATTCCTGCAGTCTACTCAGTGCTCAAGAGATGAGATTAGACGTCAACGGATGCAATAACTTTCAAGTATAAGACTGCAGCTTGGCAGTCATTCTCAACTTCAATATGTCTATCTCATGACCAGACATATCATTTGACTTGAGTTCTACAGATAGAATCCTTCAAATCGTCCTCAAATATGAAATATGTTTGCCGGACAAGTTGAAACCTCCCGGGCCCAGCGATTTCGCGAAACATGCACTTCCCACCGTCCATCACCGCCTCAATAGCTTCCACATGCGCTTTATCGAAATCCCTCCTTACGGCAACGCAATCACCGTACATCACACAATTCACCAAGTCCCGCAACATGCGGCAGAGAAACAGAATGTAGACCTTAACCTGGCCTTCACAATAATTCGTTTTCCCGCTGACACCGGCTCGCATCCGAGGATCTGGATAACAATCTGGACCTCTGTGGCATCCTCTAGAGGTATGAACAAGGTTGGTTCTGCCCGGAACAAATTGTAACCGAGACCGAGTTCCCAGTCTGTGGTAAAGCTCCGGGCTAAACACGGCGCTGACATGATAATATCGATGCACTCCGACCGCAGAAACCGTAGCCCGTCTCAAATCTTGCACTTCATGAGACGCTGCGTTGTAAAAATAGGAGATAATCCGACGCAGTGGCGTCCTACACGAGAAGTTGTCTCGTCAAGTTGACCCCTATGTTCACCCCAAGAATTGGGTGCCGTCAGATAGTCGCATCCCCGCCAAAGTAACTACGCTCCCTGTTCCTAGTTACGCTGTCTTCGTATCCCAGAAATGTGCCGTTCTGTGGCGTCAACGTAATGCAAATCGTTCTTCATGGTTGAATCAAGTCCACTGCAATCGGGGTTCTCGGTCTTGGTCGGGGTGAATTCGTTAGATGTAACCACCACTCTTCAATGCAACAACGCGGGAACTCCGACAAGCTTGTGTGATTATTGGGGGACGGTAGCAATGATGTTGCTCTTCTGGGTGCCTCTGGCAGACTTCGTTGGGGTTGGCCATGAACACCCAGAGTTTTCAAATCTTTGGCGGAAAATCCCGTAAAGCAAGCCATTGACACTGTGAAGGGGCGTTTTGGTCGTAGGCAGCGCAGGTCGTTGGGCTTCGCTACCGAACAAAGTAGACAAAAGCGTAGAAGACTTACGCCTTTGTTGGTATGAAGCATCTTGGACCCATGCAAAGGAGGATTAGCTGACCAATCCCATGACCCCTCACCTCTGCATGTATTGTTCGTATTTGCGCTGTCAAGTAGATAGCCCAGACAATGACATGCGGCGTGGTTATAGCTATTTTCACATGTCATATATACACAAGCAATCTGATTTACATACTGTTCTCTTCGAATTTCGCACAGTACTATTGCCAGTCGGTGACACATTGAGGAAAAGATTCTGACCTCTTATTTCGGTGTCGATGCCGCCCTGCGCACACCTAGGACAGCTTTGCCCACTGCAGAGTCATTCGGCTTGCCAATCTCTCCCGTGATCCATGCACCTATATCTGACACACCGTCCAAGTCGACGCCTGTCTCCATACCCAGGCTCTCCAAAAAGTAGACCATGTTCTCCGTGGCCACATTTCCGGTGGCCCCTGGACTGTACGGGCAGCCTCCCAACCCACCAACGGCGCTGTCAAACGTTCTGATGCCGTGTTCTAGAGAGATGGCCGTATTGACGATAGCTTGGCCATAGGTGTCATGGAAATGCATGGCAATGTCCTCGTTGCGGATTCCTGCCGCCGACATACATCGCAGAAGCTCCTTTGTACGAGGAGCAGTACCCATGCCAGTGGTGTCGCCAAGCGATATCTCATCAGCCCCCATCTCAAGTAGAGTCGTAGCAATCTCCGCAACTTTGTGCGGATCGACATCGTAGCCTTCGAAGGGACAGCCCAGAACAACCGAGATGTACGCTCGAACTCGCACGCCCATCTCTTTCGAGCCCTGAATAACATCCCTGAACTTCTCGAGCGAGGTGGCGATGTCACAGTTCAGATTTCTTTTGGAGAATGTCTCAGTGGCCGCAGCGAATACCGCCAGCTCAATCCCCGGTCTTCCGCAGGTATCAGTCCGTGCAAGTGATTCGGCTTCGGTTAGGTATGCGCCTGGGTTCTGCTGGAGTAGAGCCGTGGCATTTTCGAGGCCTTTCGCATTGGGCGCCAGGAAGGAATACGTGATAGGTACCGGTGATGGTATTTTCTGCTTCAAAATGTGTTCTAAGATCTCGCTGGAATTGTTCATCTGTTTGCATCATCGGTCAGTCGCCCAGAATCTTATTGTCTGCTGAAGAGGAGCATACTTGCGGCACCCATTTTGGCGAGACGAACGACCCGGCCTCAATGGATGACAAGCCCGTCTTCGCCAATCTCTCAATCAACTCGATCTTGGTCGCCAGAGTTATCGCCTTCTTTTCGTTCTGCAATCCATCCCTTGGACCAACTTCCACCAGTCTTACATGGTTATTGGATATGGGGTGGGGGTTCCTGACGGCTGAAGCTGTCGCATATGTTCGCAGGGCTTGGTTCCGAATGCTAGGGGCGCAGGCAAGTCGCTGGCGAGCCAGCGGCATCATTGGTCGTAGCGACGCCATTTTGTGCTCATCTCGTCCGGGCGGGAACGCAATGCCCTTTTGTCATTGCAAGCAATTGTCTTTGAAGTCGACAGGGCGACCGGCGTCGAACCGTAAGAGGTTCGATCATGATCCTTGTAGCTCTATAGCTCACGATTGCATAAGTTTGATAATACTGTTTATATGCATAATGTGCGGTTTCCATCGGCTCCGCTAGTGATAACACTGGGGGCCAGGCGACAAGTACTATTGATGTAGTCACTTTGTTTTAACGTGAATGTACACCGAGCTGGCCATTTTCATGCGCCAACGCGACCGGCCAACTTAATCTTTGATTTTCTCAACAACCAATCATGGCAAAGTCATACAACGAAGCAGACTTAATGCTAGCCCTTCAAGCTCTCAAAAATGACCAAAAACTTAGTCTCCGACAAGCGGCAAAAACGTACCAAGTCCCCCGAAGCACCCTCCAAACGCGTAAAAACGCGCCCGAGGCGCTGTGGTATTTGCAACGGGACTGGGCATAATGCGCGAACTTGTAAGATCCCATTGCCATCATCTGGAGAGGAAGATTCAGAGTAGTTTCAATTGATTTACGGCGTTGTGGTTTTACTATCGTAAAATTTCTATGCGAGGTTATGTAAGGGTGGCCAGCTCGGTGTACATTCACGTTACATTAAGTATACTAGACTATCGGCCTTACCCGAATAAAGTATTTATCAAACATCAGCTATCCGAACATCCTAGGATAAGCGAAATAAGCAACTACGGCCTATACTATTAGAGGAGCAGTCAAGAAATTAATCATTCTCTCGAAAGACTGCTTGGGTTAGTCGAAAGAATGTATTTCAGCCTTCGAGCTCTTAAATTAGGGTTGTTTACACATATTGGTTGAGCATAAAGTACTACAGTCAGTTCCGTCGAACTCTGTAAAATGGGGTGGTATACCAAAAGATGGTCGATGCGGTTAAGTGGATGCAAATATTGGCTTCTATGTTATTCTTCATACATAATTTAGAGTTGAGTTAGGAGGACCAATATTAAGTCAGCCAGGGCCTGAAGAAGCTACAAATGGTGTTGCTGTTAAGAATGTTTGAAGTGAATGAATGAATGACTGCTTGCCTTTTTATATTTACCGAAAAAACCACATACGGTTAAATAGACTGCAAAATATGACGTTGAAGGGCAAATAATTGTAGCGTGATCATGCAGCCTGTCCAACAGATCACTTAACGAACCCTTATAACTATTGAGATCTTCAGACCGATTGCGAAGGTTTGGTCCCATAAACACAACCTTGACAAGCCCTCTTGCCCTCTTGGGGCTAAATTGAAGCTATTCCCAACCTTGTCGTTGTCTCTCTTACAGCCTAGTCGACACTTTCACGTACCTCATCCCCAACGACTCGATGACATTCCTAAATAAGTTAATGGCTTTGTAAGTCTGCCAGCCATCATATCAGAGCCTGGCTTGAACAACAGCTCGGCATTCTGTTGATCAACTTCCTAGCGAAGGTAGCGGAATCAGACTCGAATATGCTTTGAACGATTCCTGATTTCATCTCACGGCGATAGTGATAACGGCAGGGAGCCCATCAACACTCAATACTGGACATAAAAGCTAGACAAACCCAAATTCGTCGCGATCTTGGCTGGACTACGATCGATAACGAAAGCGAAGAGGAGATAGCACAAGGGGCGGCATACATTGATCCGCATTCCCGTATGACAGCTCATTGTTAAAATCAGGAAATGTTGACCGAGGGTTCGCATTGGGTTATGGGATCAAGACTGAGAATACCTACGACGTTTTGAAATATGCCCGGGGAAAGTATGGCTCTGGCACACAGCACATAACCCGAACAGGATTTGTATGCTACTATCCAATGAGAGGTTTCATAACATTTCGGGAAAACATAATCGAAAATTAATCTAAATCATGATCTCGTCTTAATATGATGAATGGTTTCAGTAGATTAGAAGATTTACTCTTTCGGACACACTGATTCTATCTCAAGTCGCCGTAACATGAGATTACTCGTTGCATCAGGACTGGTTCTCTTGTCACGTTATGCATGAAGCGAATGTTAAAAGGTTTCATAGCAGGATCCAAGGTGGGGATATATATAAATGGACAGCTCTGCCTGTTGTTGAGTTCCTATCTTTTGTTCTTCCTATAAACTCTTCAGTATCAACACATCAGAAGTAAGAACAGCGCGTAATTTTCATGATCTTCGTAGCTTCGTCGAGGTGCCTAACAAGTCTTGCGTTTTCTGAATCTTCGAGGTCTTCGAAGCCATTCTATTAGATCTGGACCTGCGCAGTCGGCTCGTACCCGCCAAACGAATTAACACATTTTGGCACGATGTCAACGCCTGATCAACTCGAATTTAGCGCGCTTTCTTCTTCTAGGTCGAACCTACCGCCGAGAACCACCATGACCCCCTATTAGTGGACATAGTCCCCCCTTCTGCTTCCAACATCTCCACCTCAGTGCGGAGGAGCCGTTACCGCTGCTCACTTGTCCAGGGGACTGATTAGCTTTGGCCCACGAAACACTTTTCCCTATCGACCACTTTCTAGCAAACCGAGAAGCTTTCGGCCGAGCGATGCCTCCTGGCATCGCATGCTAGTCCACCAATCACCCGCGTATGAGTGCTACTTGATTGTAGGCTTGAGGCACCGCAACGACTTGGTCAGGAACTCCACAAGCAGTGAATGGGACCCTCTCCGCATGCTGGCCTTGACTGGGCTTATCTTCCCCGGCGTCTGTGAGATGGATGAAGAGGAGTGACAGTTTGTTTTCTTCTACTGTGAGCTAACTAAGTGGGGACTCCATCGTAGAGGATCTCATTATGTAGACTTATTGGTCGTTATGGAAAACCGGAGAACCGGAGGAAAACCCTAGCCGAAGTCATGGTAGAAGATTTAAACCCATATAACGGACTGGGCTTGGCGCCAGGGTCGATGAAGAACTGGATAAGAAGCGTGTGGTACCATGCACCTCCCGCGTGATTTAGCATCAGACCTCGCCACTCACGAGAAATCAGTGGCTCAATCAGAACATAGAGCTGGGAGTGAAAGGCTATATAGAGTAATGGTCCATCTCGTCCGGGATTCGACTAGCACATTTGGATGCACCGGGATTCTTTGAGCTGGCTGAAGCCCAAACTGCAGGAAATCCCGTTTCCAAGGACAATAAATAATTGGAGCCAATCATCGACTATAGACTGGCATAGCTACCACATCTAGCTAAACTATTGAAATCGAACAGGATATAGTTGCGTACAGCAATACTATCAGGCCGAATCCCACATATCGGCACGCTGATGTCAGGGTACGGCTAGGCCGAAGGCAATAGTACAGAGTGATGGGGAGTAACGGGCGTCCCTCCTACGTAATACCGGGTGGTCACTGGCGGTCTCAGGCAGGGGTGCCAACGGTGATGCATTGATCTCTGCCCTCTCTATCTTCCTTCGTCTCGACTCCTTACTTATAGCCAGCCGAGGTTCTCTCTTGGATTCTGGATGTTTGCTTCCGTATGTCTGTGTTCCTCCGACTTCGGCCAATATCTTGGACAGCGGCTCCTTATCTGCAACCAAGCGATTCCCTATCCGTTGCAAACGGCTTCAACGGCTCTCTAGCCGCCACAAACGGCTTCCCGGCTCCTCATTCGCCACAAACGGCTTCCTACCTGGTGGAAGCCGGCCCGCCTCGGATGACACTTGTGGCTCTGACAACTCCTTCCCTATCCTACTTCGAGATGGTCCTTATATAGATAGCTAGGCCGCCGCTTGGACCCGGCATAACAGCAGGGTCGGCGATGCCAAGGATCTTGACTCTCGTCATCCCAAAGCTTCACATAGATTGTAATCATGACTCGGGAGTCTTTTGTCCGAAACACCCCTCCGGCGGCCCACCGGTGTCCTGCGTTCAGTGTCCTGACACCCACGGGTGCCTATGGCATTCTGTTCTCTGACAGTTGTCTAACTAGTGTCTCCGGTAAGGTTAGTATTAATAACCAAAGTCCGGAGGATAGTGTAACGGGGTAAGGCCGGACATCAGGGAAATAGGTTACGGGGCTAGGAGAAAGTTTATGTCAGAGGTGGTACCTGCGCAGCCACCACTACTTATTTCCAGACCAACAACACTAGCCTAGCTTTCTTTCCTCACCACAATACATCACTTCTATTGTGTGTCCCTCAACAGGTTATGAGCCCTCACGCTCACGCGCATCACGAATAATTGCATTTCTGAAGCATTATTCGTCATCATCATCATTTCGATCATTTGCACAATTTTCGGCATCTGATTCGACCTTTATTTCGCGAAGTTGGCCTTCGAAGGTCCGCTACGGTAGGTGCACGAATCTGCTGCAACCTGCAGCAGCGTGGTCACTCTCCAACTTCACGGCTTGATCACAACAACAGCATTGAGAACAGTGACTGCACGAGCCTAAATCATTGATTCTGGCCTTGCAGCTCATCACTACACACTTTCCTCGGATTCGTTGATTTCTGCAGTTTTTCCACTTTGTTGGAAGGAACGCGTATCCGACGTCATTACCTTGAAGTGGGTCACGAAAAACTTCGTGCCTGCCTCAAGCTTCAACACTACTTAACATCACACAAAATTGCGTCCATCTGATAACGCAGTGACTTCACGATCGCATCATGGCGACTGAAGCATCTGTACGGCTGGCGCCAATTCCTCAGCTGGAAGGCGAGAAGAACCTCAAACTCTGGCAAGTGCAAGTAACTCAACATGCCGAATACTTTGGCCTCGAAGCCTTCCTCGATGGCACATCAACAGCACCACATGAAAGCGCGCCTTCTGAAGAGAAACTCAGATACAAGCAAAAGCAGATCCACGCTATGTCATTGCTTACTTCAAGCATCGTCAAGGTTCATGAAAAGCTGGAATCAGCAGGATGGGACATGCTTACTGAAAAAGATCCCTCTGTTCTCTACAGTTTGATTCTCAGAACCATTCCCAAAGAGT